AATTGCATCGTGATTGATGTTCGTCTGTTGGAATTGAGATGAAGCAAGATGAATCAAGATGAAGTTGAGAAGAATAATCTTTTGAAGGTAGCTAGGCTTCTATTTATAATATTTTCACCAGCAACCCCATCTATCACATAAGCGTTCTCAAAGTAGGTTTGTTCAAATCATGCAGCTTACAGTCAGCAATTCAAACTACCTTTCAGCTCAAAGTCCAATTAACCGAGCCAAGAGCGAATTACTATCTGACAATTCCTTCCGCAAGCAAGCCACGACTGCCCATAGACTGATGCTGTGACTCTAATCCCGGGGAGAAAGAAGCAAAAAGTGAACACAGAACCATACGACAGTTATGATTTGCTGATATACCAACGGCCCATTGGCCAATAAAGACTTTTAGCAAAGGTTCCCTGCGAACACTCATTTGTAGACACTCTCACGTTGTAGTTACGAGTAGCTTGCCGCTGAGATTTACCCCTCAGTTTGATCCAGCCCGCTTCATAAATTATATGCGCCAAGTTCTTGGCGGCAGGGCCAGGAAAGAGTGTCTAAGAGTGTATTGTCAAGGTGATTCTAAGAACACTGTGGTAGGACATTGATTTAAGAAATGCTATTTTTCCTTAATTTACCGTATTCTCTTGTGTATTTCCTCGAAAGATAACCAAGCAGCAGTGATTGTGACAATGTATATGTCGGGTTTGTATGTATAGTTAGTGTTAGCAAAAGCCAATTTAGGCCCCCAGAAGATACTGTAGAACCTCAGCAAAACGTACCTCAATTGGCCGAATCCCCGCTACATGACGAACACCAATCGCGCAAAAATTGCAAATACCATATATAGAACGAATAACCTCTATCTCTCGAATCTCATTGGATTTTTGCCAATTATTCGTCCTTTCGAGGTGATTGCACAAAATAATTACTTATTTAGAACGCCGCTATACTGCTTTAGGAAATTGGTATATTGCACTTCAAATGTCCGCCAAGTCCTCTGTGTCATGGGATGTGCCAGGCCATCAGCTCAGCTAAGACCCAGGATAACTTGAAGTACCAAAAAGTTCAAATTTATGTGTTCGATACAGAAAAATCCCGGACATAACGAATTAAACATCTGTAAAAATTAGTTCGTTTTACTAAGGTTCTACCGTAGTTAAACGTGAAGGTGTGGTGGTTTGCAATGGCATTATGAGAACATCAGATTCAGCCGACTGGCCAGTTTATCTGCAGGTGCTTCAGGGCGTTCCAGTACGGAGCTGAACCTTGGAAGTGACTGAAGTGGCAGGGGTAAGCCAAATAAAAGCAACGAATATATGACAAAAACATACAACAGCAGGGATTCGCTTGTGGTCACCCACCATACTACTAACCTGCCGGCGTGTGGCTTAAACGTGGCCAGTAGTCGGGTGGGAGTCGCCCGGGTGAGAAATGGGTGAGCGCCGCTTTATGGTCGCGCGACTGGGGGTGAAGGGGGTGAGTGCGCTATAGACAGGGTGATAACTTCAGTGGAAATCACCCGCCATCATGGATGATTATACGCGGACGATGGAGAATTCTAACCCCCGAGGTGCATTTCTGAATGGTGATACCGCTGTTTACTCAAGTTTTGGGCGCGGACGGAAGCATGTAGATCCGAAGGGGATCTTATTCTTCTACCGGAAGTCATGAGATCGTAATGATATCTCAAATTATTTCAATATCACAGAGGACTGGGGTATATAAGACTACGACCATGATGCACCCGACACCCCTGAGAGCTATTTCTCACTACTTTATGGGCCGCTGCTGATGGATCTCCGACCCGTCAACAAGGATAAATTGATCGTGATGGCGCATATTTGGGCGATATTGATCGCTACGCACGTCTACGCAGACCACAAATGGTTCGTGAGGAGTTCTTCTACATAATCCGAGGTATCCACCATAACTCCTTCGGGGCCAAATGTCGGAGCACACAAATCCCTAAATACGCGAACACGAGGTTCAGTGAGTTTGAGACAAAAAGATCATACGTGCAATAAACGCTCGACGAATTATGTCGGATGATGTCACATGGGTCACAACGGACACGCCGGAAGATCTACTTCCTTCAAACATCTGGTTCCCAGGGCGAGCTTGTGCAGAAACCTACAAAGACTGGCTCGCATCAGGCGAAGTATGCTGTGGCCATGCCTTCACGCCTGTATTGTCGCGGATTATCCAGAAATGTGGGACGAGCTACTGATATCTTCCTCCATAAAGGCTGTTGATAGCCAGACGCCACCGACAGAGAGCGAGACTCAAGATTTGAAACTTTAACAACTTTCTCGGGTTTTTGGCCCCGAAAGGTGGAACGAAGCCAATGCTTCACATAACGATCACTACCGGCGGGACATTTCGGCGGCTGTCCCGGACCAACTTGAGTCACTCAACCGAGAAAACAGTTACATCTCGAGAACGCTGTTTCTCATGGACTCGAAAGAATGGTATTTCCCCGGGCCGGATAGGAGATAAAGATGGGTAGACAGAAATTATCCGGCGCATCTTGCGCTGCGGGACCAAGGTGAACATGACGGATTATCCGTTAGAATTCCCAGTATAGACTTTGCTGTATTTGCTAGGGATGCTGTTGGTGTGGACCATGATATTTGGAGAAACTAAAATGATGGGCGTCTTGAACTGGATGAACTTTATGAATTGCTGGAGGCAGCTCAAGCCACTCACCGAAGCGTGGCTCAATGCTAGCATGGCAAATGTACAGGGGCATCCTTCTAATTAGTGATTCGTTCCGTGAAAAACATCTCGAGACCGAGGCAAACATCTCAAAAGGGAATCATGCTCCATCACAAATCAACTACTAAATTTGCGTTATGTCAGGCTGTGCTTAGGAGTAGCAAGATGATATAGAGATGTATAGAAGTGTATATTGGATATAGTGTGGTCTAGGTGCTCTATATAGGTCAAGGAGTGGTAGATATCAGGTGACTTAGGTCAGGGCTGACCAATCTACGCACACAGGCCAAGGAAACAGTTATACAATAAATCAGTTGGCGTACAACCTACCATGAAGCATTTAGTTGGCTCAGTTTGCTTGTTCCCGTGCCCGACCATGTGGTCGGCTTCAGACCTTCGGATAACATGTGAGGGATAGCTTAACTGTCCATGTAATGCAGTCGCCATTCCCCCCTCCCCATTTATGCTTTTTCTCGGTAAAGGCAACATTCTGTGATTAGTTAGTATTGAACTGGCCCTGCTCTGATCGAGAAATTCTGTAATGCCCACCCCCGCAAGTAGTCGGATCCACACCGCAGTGGACTCGCTCTTTTTTCTCTTTGCACATTTCTTTGCCTGTCTATATTGACACGCACTCGGTATAAACCTAGGGAATTGAAGATGTCTGCTAGAAAATAATCAGTCCTGCAATGGGTATATGCGTCCATTCCAGATCGAGACGCAGTCAACATATGATCACTGTTGAATCTATAGAACGCCAATAACTTTCAACGCATTATCTACAATATGACTTCCGGCAAATATATTTAAAATAAACTGTTTGCTTAAAATAGGTTTTTGGAGGTCTCTAGCGCGATGATTTGTGAATTCTTTACTAGGTGGCTTGTGATATCATACGGGTGCATGAGAAGGGCCTATCGCCACATATGGACTAGACGCCCCCCCGATTGATTATATTCCACCCAAGCGATACCTTCTTCTAGGCCCTCGTCAACCTCGACTCTCGACCAAGTCTGTATCAGCAACGATTGAACTGTAAAAGCCATCCGTGTGTTTGCCAACGGAGAACTGATTATCAAAGCGGTTTCTGGGCCCCCAGGGGAGCGGCGACTTCTTCCAACGTGGAAAAAATGCCGTTTTGCCAGAATTGAGTGGGGGCTGGCTCATGAACCTTGGAAATTGGGTGATTGTTTAGACAGATAAAAAAGCTTGCCCATGTACAATTGGACTGGTCATTGAGCCGCAGTAATTTAATACATGCTGGTGTGTAGTGAAATAGTCAAGAATGTTGATGACACCCGTTCGCGGCCCCAGCATTCCGATCCCCCCAAGGGATACGGTGTAAACAACCGAGACTGTCTGGAATAGGAAGTGCTACAATTATCACCAATAGTAATAGTAACACTAGTAGTAATAGTAATAGCAACAGTGATTTCTGGTGTCTCGGCGTCAGTGAATTCGGCAGTGAACAATATCAAGATCTTAGCATTGTTGTTTGTTGTTCCCGCCGGAGCCCGTTCAAACCCTAAACTAGCGGTGCAACTCACCCCACTCCCCTCTGAAGATCACCGTCGGTCCCCGATCCATCCGAAACATGGCAGTCATGGAAGTCATGGCATTCGTGATCTGGTTTCGGTCGGATGCAGGTCGGGGGTTTCGAGAACTCGGGTGAGCTCCGTCTGCGGGGAATCTCAAGGCAGCCATCCCATCAATTGCATCAAGACTCACTACGGACGTTTAGCAATCGATCAGTTCAAATCATTCAGTTTTCTACGATTTGCACAACCAACTGCTTGTACTCAGAAATGATGCGTACAGCCCTAGAGTCAATCTCCAGAGCTGCTCCTGCCGGGATCCCGACTGACGTGGTAAATACTGAAACCCACCCTCATCCGCACGCGATGCATCATCAGGGTCTCGATCGTGCCTGGCCCCCACCCAATCGGGATTCCCAAATTCTTTGACCCACCCGGGTAGCTGCAGAAGCCTGTATCGACGCAAACATTGTGATCTTAGTATTGTTCCCGGATATGCTAGCGAGAGCGTGAAAATATCCATGACCAGGCAGTATCTGCCCAGGTGCCTGAGCTAACTTGGAATCTTGTTTCGCTAGCCTTGCTCATGTTTAAACCTATTATATATACTATTTCATACCTAGGTACCTGAGTACTAAAGGCTGTTAATCGGCATTCCATTTCCTTCAACTTGGAAGTTCAAAATTCGACAATCGTCTCGCATCGGGGGATCCGGGTTCGACTTTGAAGGCTGTGGAAATAAACAGCAACTTGAAGATGCATTTCTCTATCTTCCAGTCCCTGGCAGTCCTGGCGATGCTGTCAGAGACGTCTTTCTCCATGGGATTATCGCAGGGAAACCTCAAGCGCGATCTAAAACTTGCTGCAGAGGCCGGAATCGATCCAGATATTATGTTGCGCGGTGGAGGAATTATGCATGCCATGGCAAAAGTCACTGAGGCAGTGAATGTTACCCCGGAATATGCAGAGGTAAGAAAGTCGAGTTTTTAACTCCAGGGCTTCTTTGATTCATGAACATCTGCTGATCAGTACAGTTGCCAATTGATCACAACGACCATTCTTTCGGAACATACAAGAATCGTTATTGGGTATCTGACCAATATTACCGTGAAGGAGGACCTGTCTTCGTGTATGATGTTGGCGAGGCTTCGGCTGAAAGTCCAGCGAATACACACCTGGGAAATGAGACCTCATTTTTCGCCGAGATGTTGAAGACGTTTGGCGGAATGGGTATCGTCTGGGAACATCGGTATGCAGCATCTCAGTCCGAAAATTGAGAAACAACAACTCACCAAGATCAGATATTATGGCGACTCTCTACCCTTCCCGATTTCAACCGAATCGCCACCGGAGCATTTTGAATACCTCACTACAACACAAGCCCTCGCTGATATCCCTTTCTTTGCAAATAACTTCACTCACTCGGCGTATGCTCATGTTGATCTCGCACCCTCCGGAACACCATGGATCATGGTAGGAGGATCTTATTCTGGTATGCGGGCAGCTTTCACCCGTAATGCTTACCCTGAGATAATCTTCGCTTCGTTCGCATCCTCTGCGCCCGTTGAGGCCCGGGTCGATATGAGCATGTATTTCGATCAGGTCTACGATGGAATGGTTGCCAATGGCTATAGCAACTGTACGAAGGACATCAAGGCTGCCCTTCAGTACGTTGATGGCGAGCTGGGCAAAAATGCATCGGCAGCTGCTGGCATAAAAAAGGCGTTCTTTGGCCCAGGCGCGGAGAGAAATAGCAATGGTGACTTCACGGCCGCTCTCGCCGGAGTGTATGGGTATTTTCAGGCATATGGTCTTGGTGGCGGGGATGGCAGTCTAGGGAGTCTTTGTGAGCACATGGAAACCGACCCTGCAACTTTAGCTGTTGCTGGTCCTCGTGGATTTGCACCCTACCGAGGTCGCAAATACGCTGCGGAGCGATTCATTTCGTGGCCTATCTTCACGCGGTTGATCAATTACAACTACGACACAAACTGCGACCAGCTTGACGACACGCTACCTTTATCATGTGTGCTTAATCCAAAATCCGTCGATCCGGATACCATAAGTTGGACGTGGCAGTTTTGTACAGAATGGGGCTACTATCAGAGCAATAACTTTGGTCCTCACTCTCTTCTATCCCGGTATCAAACTCTCGACTACATACAGTATACCTGCAATCGACAATTTCCCGAGGCGTTGAAGAGGGGCCTAATGCCGAAGAGTCCTCAGGTAGAAGCCACCAACAATATCACTGGTGGGTGGAGCATTCGCCCATCCAATGTCTACTGGAGTGGTGGCCAATTCGACCCTTGGAGGACCCTTTCTCCTCTCGCAACTGAGAAGTCCGCCCCGCATGTGACGCTCACAACGAAAATCCCCAAGTGCAATGTGAAGACGGGCACTGATACTCTGTTCGGATACATTATGCCGAATGCTGAACATTGTTTTGACTTCCAGGCCGACTTTGGCCCAGGAAAGGTATCCCGAGAATATTTCTACCAAGCTTTGTCTGAATGGCTTCCCTGTTTCCAAGCCCAAGGTCACAGCAAGGGCCACCATAAGTCTCCTGAGGCCCCGAAGCCGAAGCAACAGCAGAACCAGCGGAATGATTAATGGATTTCATCAAGGCTGGTCCTCTCTCGCTAATGAAGCTCTATTCTCATTTCTAAAGGCATCTATGGATGTCATGTATTCTTTCAGAATCTCAGATCTTCAAGTTTCCTTCAAGTTCAAGTTCATATCAACACTTCAATTCCTGAAACCTCCAGGGCTCATGATTCGAATAGTAGATGGAAAGTAGTGCAATATGGTTGTATACAGGCAGGCTGCTATAGTTCCCAGACTGGAATACCGATATAAACTATCTAAATCAAGGCTAATACTAGTACACGAGTTTATAAAACCTGCGGTCATTCGATTGCTATTAAATACTACCTAGCTAGCATCCTTTCCAGGTCGCTGGCCCAAAGGAAATGACCTGTTAAATGAATCAATGTTCTGGCTCGATCTTATCTGTTCATTGCTCAGGTGGGAGTGTGAGGAGTATTAGTGACATCTTATTTGCACCTGGCAACCTGTATTGGAAAATAGCAAATGCGTGAGATAGATAGCCTTGGGTCGGGTCGATCGCTTCGATGATCAGACATAAATTCTGCACTGTGGTATAATGTATCAAAAATGCTTCACCGCAGCCAGAAAATCACCCGAGGGGGCTTAAATCGGTAGTAATTATCAAATTGCAGATGGCTCATTGTGCGCTATCTAATGTATTCGCCACGATCTTGGGTGGCCCTTGGACTGGGTTTGCCTCTGCCAGAGAAAGCAATTATATAGCAATCATATGCTTGACCAGGCTTTCCAATCCATAGAACATCAATTGATAGATTTCGGACTTGGTCAAAACACCCGGGAATGTCTCAAGATGTGGTGGAAGTAGCGGATGTCGTTGTCGTGGGGTCATTACATCCGAACCAGCCTGGAGTGTGACAAGTTGTTGTTGTTATTTCAGTGCCACTGGTGGTGGTAGCGATGGTCGTTGTCGTCGCGGTCGTGGTAGTCGTAGAACTATCGAGACAACCCCACCACCCCGGAGTCTTGCAGGTAGATGTCCTCGTAAGTGTAGGAGATGCGGTGCTTGTGGTTGTGAGCGTCGTCGTGATCTCAGAGCCGTTGCTCTTGAAGAATTTCCACAGGATACAATCATAGCACTCTTCGTCTGACTCGCAGGAAGGAACATCATCATACACCTCGATGACGTCCCGAATAACGTTCTGGATCTTGTGAGTGCCGATTCCGACACGCCAGCCCTTGTCGGCCACGGTGTCGTAAGTGCAAACCTGCCCGGTATGGCACGCTGACTCCATCGCATAGCCACCCCAGGTGCAAATTGAGTTAATACCATTGCAAGTGCCCATATATACTGGGTCCGCAGTATGTCCAAAATGATAAGCACCTGTATGTTGCCGTTCCTGGTGTGCTTCATAGCCCGGTGGAATTGGCAAACCAAGGCGGGAGGCCGGCAGTGCCTCCGGAACCGCCTCGAAGGTCACGACGGGAAGGCCAAATGTCAGGCCGAGCAGACTTGATAAAGCACCGCCGAGCGAGTGACCGGTGAGCCAGATATTTGAATTCGGGTAGATCTCGGTCACATTGGAATAGAGATCGATGGCGGCTTTGTAGTATCTGTTTTGATCATTGATCGCCTCGGAGATACATGTGACATTTGCGGAGTAGGTTGCATTTTGGCAGTCACAGACTTGTCTCCACAGGTATGATCCCCCCTGACCACAGCAACAGCTGAATAAAAGATTATCGTTGACTTTATCATTGGTTGTGGTCTCGGCGCCATCAAACAGAGCGGGGGATGTGCCTTTGAGGGAGATGACCACGGTGCTGTTGGCCTTGTCGGAATAGATGTGACCTCGGAGGCTGTCTCCTTTCCAGCCAAAGCTAGACGAATAGTTGAACTTGCCATGAATTGTCTTCCACTCGGAGGTACTACCGGGTATTTGGATGTAGTCGTTTGCGGTCATCTTTGCAAACGTCAAGACGGTCTCCTTGTCGGTGACATTAGGACCGGGGAGTGTATCCAGGACCCATGGGGCAACGGAAGACTGACTGGTGGATGAAAGGTGATCTTCGATGACGGATATGCGGCGATCCGCGAGTCGATTTATAGTGATTGGATTTGACGAGGCGAGAAGAGTTGGATGGACAGTGACAGGCTCGGCCTCGGTCTCGGCTTCGGTTTCGGTGCCGTCTTCGGGCAAGATACCCAGGCGAGTATCTGGGGTGACATCTAGTCTGAGGTGTATATCTTCGGGGTATGGATGGGTATCACGATGAAATATATGGCGAAGAGAGAACTCATGTGTGGCGGGGATGGGAGGTGAGTCATGGGATGGGAGGAGTGGCGGGAGAACAGGTGCCTGAAGCGAGGGGATGTTCAAGTTGTTATTGTTATAATCATGGGTTGCAGATACCGGGTGAGGCAAGAATATAGCAGAAAGGAAGAGATCTGAGAGAATAGGAATAGAGATCGGAATAGGGGGCCGGCCTCGCCTATGGCGAGATCGGTGTAACCGCATGTTGATCTGGATGTGGAGGTGGAGATGGAGGTGGTAGATGGGAAGTGGAGATGAATGGAGATGAGCAGGGAAGATACGCCGATAAGCGCAGTCGTCATCGGATGTGTTTGTCTTGTTTGTTTGTCTGTTTGTTTGAATGTCACGGGGGTCGAGTCACGAGATTGGGTCACGGGACTGGGTCATGGGGTCTCACGGGGCTCGGGTTACCTTCTCCGGGTTTCCCCTTTCGGACTCGTGGAACTTCAACTTCAAGTTGATGAATTATGCAATCTTTGTCTTCCAAGGTCTCCAATCCAAGTTAACTTAGTACAGTCTTAACTGAGGTGGTACTACTACTAATAGTACTAATTAGAGCTAACTCTTAAGTTCAATTTGGATCATGATGTAGTAATACCGTGGAATGTAGTATCCATGGATATATCAGTGCCAGCCCTGGAGTGTGATCATCATTCACCACTACTAATAGTAGAAGTGATGCTCCGAGTCAACTTCAAGTTCAAGAACTAAGTTGTCTACTACTAGGTACTAACTAACTACTAGTACTAGTACTAGCATACAGGGAGGTCTGATCTGATTGTTTGGGCAGAATCTCACCGCCCACATGGCATCGCGATGGAATCAACTCCAGTCAGCTTCAACTTCGAAGTTGCACATGTCCACCTTCAATCTCTTCTTTCCTTTCCACTTTCCATTGCTCTTAGGACAATATTTCATTGTTCCAAGGCTGCTTATGTGGATCATGTCTCCTGCCAGCCTCGCTATACCATTGTGATTGATTCTTCTTCCGCTCTCTACTCTATGCTTTGCACTCTCGCCGTGCCATCCCACCAACCATGTTTTCGAATGCGCTAAAGTCATTCAGCTCCAATATCTCTGCCAACTATCAGATCTCCCCTCATGCCACCATCTATTCGGGTCCTTGGAAAATCCACGATGCCAAGAAGAAATCTACCGGCACCCCCGCCTCCGTCTTTATCTTCGATCGCAAGACCCTCGACCCACGATCCGGTGGGTTTGCCTCTCGTTCGGGCTCCGGTACAAAAAAGATCCAAGACGATGTGATCGAACGACTCAAGCGGGAAGCTGGGAATCTTGCCAAATTGAGACACCCGTCTATCCTTCAGGTGCTGGAGCCAGTCGAAGAAACCCGCGGCGGTGGTCTTATGTTTGCGACTGAGCATCTGACCGCCTCATTGTCGGGTCTCCTCTTGGATAAGAACGAGCAGGAGGGCGCATCCGGTGGTGGCTCGCGGGCGGGTCGTTACATGGTGGAAAGTCCTGATGGTACTCGCAGGCGGCGCGAATTTGAAATCGATGAGTTGGAAATCCAAAAGGGGTTGCTCCAGGTCGCCAAGGGTCTAGAGTTCCTCCACGAATCCGCTGGCCTGGTTCATGGTAATCTCAACCCGGATGCCATTTACATCAATGCCAAGTCAGATTGGAAGATCTCCGGTCTTGGATTTGCCGGACCCCCCAGACTCCTCAGAGACTCCCTCATCACTACCGCCGCTCGCCGTCTCCGAGGTTCTTTATCAAGACCCAAGACTGCCAGCCTCCGTCCAACTCAATATGGACTTCACCTCCCCAGACTTTGCCTTGGATTCCAACGTGTCGTCCGCCGCTGATTTATTTTCCCTGGGTCTCATCGTTATTGCTCTCTACAATTCGCCTCATGTCTCTCCGCTAGAAACACACATGAATCTATCGACATATAAAAAGCTCCTTAGCTCCCCTTCAACAACACCATCTCAAAGCAACAATTTCCTTTGCTCGAACCCCATTCCGCGAGACGTTCTATCTCAAGTCCTTCCCCGCCTCATCACTCGGAGACCGGCTCAGCGCATGAATGCCCGCGAGTTTCAACAATCCCAATACTTCGACAATGTTTTGGTGTCAACCATCCGATTTTTGGAGTCATTGCCCGCCAAGAATCCGAATGAAAAGTCCCAATTCTTGAGAGGGCTTCAACGGGTCCTGGCCGACTTTCCCGTCTCGGTCTTGGAAAGAAAGCTCCTTGGGTGCCTGTTGGATGAAATGAAGGATCGTGAACTGCTTGCCCTGCTGCTACAGAACGTTTTTGGTATTCTCAAACGCATCCCCAACGGGCGTCGCACTTTCCCTGAGAAAATCATTCCCCGTTTGAAGGAGGTCTTTGGAACCGGCCCGGGAAAAGCGGCAGGCCCGGAGCGCGACTCCAAGAAGGATGCAGGGCTCATGGTCGTTCTGGAGAACATGAAGCTTGTCACAGAAAATTGCTCCGGCCTGGAATTCAAGGATGGTCAGTCATTCTTTACATATTTGCCATCCCCAAGCTGACCCTCGAATTAGATATCCTGCCATTAATACGGCTTGCATTGGACTCGCCCACCCATTCCCTGGTAGATGCTTCTATCAAGTGTCTCCCTGTCTTTCTGCCCACACTCGACTTCAGCACCGTCAAAAATGAAGTTTTCCCGCCTATCGCAAGCACCTTCAGCAAAACGAGCAGTCTAGCTATCAAAGTTCGCAGCCTAGAGGCTTTCGCTGTCCTGTGCGGTGGATCACCGGATGAAGCGGATGGGCTTGATGATCTGTCTGGCGTTGTCCAGCCCACCAAGACTGCCAAATCATCCATCCTGGACAAGTACACCATCCAGGAAAAGCTTGTTCCTTCCCTCAAGGCCATCAAGACAAAAGAACCTTCAGTCATGATGGCAGCTCTCAAGGTGTTCCGTGAAGTTGGAAAGGTTGCCGACACGGAGTTTCTCGCTTTGGAAGTCCTTCCCGTCCTCTGGAGCTTCAGTCTTGGTCCTTTGTTGAACTTGAACCAATTCAACCAGTTCATGACTCTGATCAAATCTCTATCGACCAAAATTGAGAAGGAACAAACACGGAAGCTCCAGGAGCTTTCGTCGGGTGGAGACTCTGGGGGTTTTCAGAACGGTGCCAACGGTTTCTCGCAGTCTGCCACCGACCTTACGTCTCCCGATGGGGACAGTGCCAAAAGCAACTTCGAACGTCTTGTTCTTACGAACAAAAAGCCGTCGTCAAATGGAAAGGACGCTGACCTTTGGGGGAGCATGGAACCAGAACCAGCCACCAAACGACCCAGCATGTCACCTGCATTCTCATGGTCCACGAACAACTCCCCTGGCCATGGGGCATCGAACCAGCTGGGCTTTCGATCCATCACCCCCGATCAGAAGTTAAACACAATTCCTTCACTCGAGCCTGGGCGGCAAACATCACCCCCAATGGCAAATTCACCATTTTCATCCATGCAACCTATGCAACCCATGCAGCCATCTCAGTCCTGGAATATCCAAAATCAGGCTGTGAATAGACCTGGCTCTCTGGCTTCTTCATCCGGCATGTCTAACGGAACACCAATGCCCCAACCGGCCTTACAACAGCAGTCCCCAAACTACTCCTCATTCTCCATACCACCCCCACCGACCAACATGGGCATCACAAGCCCGACCAATTCGATCAGGAAAACCTCGCTCAATATGAACATGAACATGAACATGAACACGACTACACAACCGCCGCCGCCGCAGCAACGGAAATCGGGACTTGACAAATATGAAAGTCTACTATGATGCGCATGAATAGGTTTTTTTTGTCTACGCAAATACCCCTCGTGTGATTTATATTATATCTGCCTTCCACAACGATAGGGCAACACTATCAAATACTAGACAGTTTCGATGAGGCAAGGTCGAAGAGCATATTGTATTTAGCTTCGCAAGCAATTCTTCATTGATAAATTGACTTCTTCGACATGGTAATCCACACGTTGGGAATTGACCGAGGAGTCTTGTCTGGTGTAAGAATTAACCACGTAATCCTCCTCGAAATGGCCGTGCAGGTCCCACAAAGTGCTCAGGTGGATCGTAGTCAATGTTTGGATTCCAAGGCGGAGCCGGGGGTGATCAAATGTTCGATTTGCTGCCCAGGTGCCCAGGCGAGTGTGATTGATCATGTATGTGAGCCACGAGAGGGATATGACTATTCTAACTGGAAATTGTTGGGCGATAAAAGTTATAATATAGACCCCGACACAAAAGATCGTCGTGATGGCAGAACAGCGTTTCTCAAAATGTTCATGGCCGACAAATCTAGTCCCCAATCACCTTGCCATTGTTCCATACGGGCTCCCTTTTTGAAATGTGCCGCCAGGTGTTCAGCTCGGGAAGCCCAGGTAGAAAGATCTTGATTGCAAAACCCGCAACGACTCTCAACATCACCGCCAGAACCTCTCCAAAAATCCAGATCTGAAGAAGGAAGCTTGGTACACGCATGAAATTTGCGGAGATGCTGACATAAATAATCTTTTCGACTAAAAGATCTTTCCACAATCGGCTTTCCGGCACATATGTGAAATTCATGTTCATCCCAGTGAGCGGGAGTTGGGTTGGGAGCATCACAAAAGTAGCAGTTGGATACAGAACTGCTATATTGTTGGTTGAGTTCATCGAGATTCTGTGTGCAGATCCACGAGTCGAGTTGAAGGTGTACACTTTTTTCGTGCCGAGCCCAGTCATGTCGCTTTCGGAAGGATGAAGGGCAGAATGTGCACTGGTATTGACATTCAGCTCCCGAAAGTCGCCTTCCTCGCTGTCGTCTAGTGCTTGGAGCTTTAGGAAGAAGCGGGAAGGGTATATTTCCTTCTCCAGATTGATGGCTCCAGGCCGAGGAAATACTGTCGGAAGTCTCAGAGGCTCTACTCTCAAAGCTAGAAGCAGACGAGGCGAGATGTGAAGATGTTTTATCCAGATTGAAAAGGTCTGTCGCAGATCCATCGAAGTGAAACGGGTCAAACGCAGGACCGGGGTCTGCCACGCCCGAGGCGATGGCATCTTGAATGGCCGATTCCAAAATGGGCTCGTCTTCAGGTGGTGATGCTTTCCAGCGTTCCATGGGAGTCATTGAACTCAACGTGCTGGTAACCATCGGAGAGCCTGCACGGGAACGTGAGTTCGAAGTTTGTTTCGATGATTGGATCTTTTGCTTTTGTCTACGACGAGCATTCGCAAACCAAGTCGAAACACGCCTTTGAGAGAAGCCAGTTTCCGTCGAAAGCTGTTCTTTCTGTGCATCTGTAGGATACGGGTACTCTTGGTTTTGATAAAACCATTCTCGTAAGACCCTGGCCCCTTTCCGGACAAACTGTTTGGAATCTTTGCGTTCCTCTCTGTTTTCAAGTCCAAGATCAACGCCCTGGGTTACTGCGAGGTCATGACCGGGAAAATCCTGCTGGTCAGCTGCGCCATATTCTGCGTCCTCTGGCAGACCATGGAGATGACCGAGTACGGGTGAAAATGTCTCAAAGCGAGACGGGAGTCGTTTCTCGCCTTTGGCTAGACTACATTCCCGGAAGAGTGCCACGCAGCTAGAGCAAGAATTAATAGGGTTTGGATTAGCTGCTGTGGTTCGGAGTATAAGACATTGCAATCGATGTCTACGGCAGTGGCTGCAGGATATGGGTGGGCGGTATGCTCCATCAAGCCACTGTGGAACATTCGCAAGATTCTGCAAAGGAGAAAAATCGCCGAGTTTATCCTCAGCTTGAACCAAGTGCTGTGTGGTTTGCTGTATAGGATAAGATTGAGTCCCCCCCCGTAAGATTTTGAGGTGAGCCAATTCCCATAAACTGAGACCATTGTAAATCTGTTGGGTCTGAGGAACAGAAGAAGAAATCATCGAGTGCATTCCAATCAGCTTGGGGGTTCTCATGCAGCCAGACATCCCCCATGCTAGCATCCAGCATACTTGGAAGCTCGGATTCGGGCAACGATTGGGGGAATTGTTGTGGGGGATAGGAGTCTGATGGCAAGCCCGAATCCATTGCGCGTATAATTCTCCGCAGAGCGGCCAGTCCAACCGGGCAAAAAGCCTAGAGGCCGGTTTGATTGAAGATGGCTGGGCTATGAGGTGGAATATTCCATGCAGAGACACATACGTGAACAAGTAAGTGAAGGATCGGGATGTTTGCCGGCGGAGTAGGACATTGGGCTGGGTTGGGTTGGAGAAGAGAAATGAAAATAACGATGATGTCAGCATCTGATATAGTCACGTGCTACATTGCGGGGAGTGCGCTACGTGATTGGCCGGATCATCCTAAATTGGCATCCATACTTGGTTATACTACTACACTCCTACATATACACGCATAATCACTCAGTGAAGTTATATCCTGGTGCTCAACATCGGTACACTAAGCAGGACTTTTCCCATCCCCATGGGGTTCCTTCTCCAACACTGGTCATCCCGAGGCCTTCCGATCGGTTGACCTAGGGGGATATTGATACTAGTATCAATACTAGGACTAACCGAAATCGAGTTTCTGAGGTCAATGCCTGTTGGAATTGTCACATCTTTCTTTTCTTTGTTTACAATAACCTCCGTAGTTTTAACGATGCCGGTTTTTGAACCGTAATTAGTTGCATGGCCCGGGGGCGTCTCATCCGAGGCAGAGAATTGTTGGGAGCTTACTGCTTTGACATTATAGTCCCCGTTCTGAGTCAAATGAACTTCGTCAGATTTGGAGTCGTCGCTAGAACCCCGGCTCGCTCCCTAGCTCCTGGAACGCGTACTGATCACCCCGATGAATAGACCACATATGATTGCCTCCACCTCCCCCCATTGTGTGAATGCTTCCTCTGGTGCCAGTCGCAGCACGTTGCGATCGGTAATGGCCACCGTGAAAACCTTGAGATCGGGAGTTGGAATACTCCGATAATTTGAGAACGTTGCTAACCAGAGGCTTAAGGTAGAGAATGCAAGCGGCTATGACACCGATTGTGAATTGCAGTCTGTATTTATATTCCTTATTGTTAGCAAACCTATGCTTGTTCCACTACCCGACAGTATCGTTGGACTTAGTGTGGCTCGGATTCTTGGTACTTACGTTGTCCAGACTAAAATCCAGTCGTTCCTAGCATATTTGTCAGGATAAAGTGAATTTACAATGAAATTTTCAAATACTGATCCGTCGTTGTAGTGAACGCAATTTGATAGATTGCCTTCAATGCACCGAATATCAGGGCGCTGTACTCATCAGAAGCTAGTCAGTGGGGCCTCGCTTTTGACAGCGGGGCACGCAGCATGTGCTAACACGTACAGATAACCAAAGCTCATAATTGCTATCAGACAAATTCGAACTTTTCCTCGCATCTGCAGAGTACAGATAATTGGGATGGGGATTGTCGCAAAAAAACGTCAGTGGAGATGTTGAATTTTATTTAAAAAATTATATTCTTAGCTTTAAAAAAGCTCGCGAGTTCGTTAAGGGGAACTATACCGGTGTTCACGAGTCCAAATGTAACAAAAAGCTCGATTGGATAGTATTTAGACCCTGGGGAGTGAGTCCAGCATGCTGACATAGGTCTACAATAAAGAAAAAAAGGCCATGGAAGGTTCCCAGGAAGCAATCAGACGCGACAATGACGAAAGCTATAATGGTTATCAGCACATGAAAGGTCAAGGGCTGATAGAAGAGCAATCTTCAAAACGATATTTTCTGTTGGTAACTCTTGGAATTTGATTAACTTACCAATGCTTGCCCAAAGACAGAACGCATACCTTCGAGCTGGATTCAATCTCAGTATGTTCCAAGCTATGGAGATCTTGAGCATGGTTTTTCCTAATGCAGAGTCAATTATCACCTGCCAGAAGGAGCCTTGCGAAACTTTCTTTGCATCCCCATTGCCTTCAGCAAACCAACCATCACTGTGACCCTGCCCTTGAGTACCCTCAAAAACCCAGAGGATCCATCCTCCCAGAGCGCATAGCTATCTCATCCACAGGTCGTTGATCTAATTCGGAGGTTTATGGCCTCAGGGAGGTCGGAAGATTTGGGACGATAACCTATAGCTGCTATCAACATTGTCCAGTTATCAACACCGGTGTTCTTGATAAGTTTGATCCGAACGTAAATGCGTAGACCAACGGCCAAAGTAGCCAAAAAGATAAAGATGGTCTGCACGACTAGAATCCGTGGCAGATCGTTTTGCCACTCTATGTTGGAGTTTGTAGACCTCAACCCATTAATAGTCGCCATGATAATTGGTTTGGTCAACAAGACTAGGAGATCACATTGCTGTAGAGAGATATGTACAAGAATTTTAACCTTACCTGCAGGGCTTTAGACAGGTCGGCTCCTTGGAAATACTCGTACCGGGTAAGTATATCCACTAGTAGCACGCGAAATAGGAAATGTACCCTTTACTTAAGCGAATTGCTAAAAGGGAGCTTCTACTCCGTAGAGCGCCAACCTTGCATTTTGAAAAGTGGCGTACGTGTCTCGGCATCTTGAAGGCGAAAGATTTTGAATGAATCACCGAAAAAAAATCGAATGGTTCCAAAACCCTGGCACGTCCCTGCAGGATTAGCGGGATTCGGCCTATCTGAGGAAACGTCAACGAGCTTCTTTCTCCCATGAAGAACATGATGTTTTAATGTTGATACCAAGTCTATGGTCCTTGAAAATGATTCCTCTCGAAAAAATAAATAGATAAAACTCATTGCGCTGTAGATTGCGTAGCTGTAGATTGCGTAGGTCATTGCATCCCCATTCGATGCACTGTGGCTTACGAGGGCGTGGAAATAAAAGGGGGTCATAGTAGATTGCAACCCACGGGCGGCCAGGACCCTTGAATTCAAACCTGCATGGGGCAACCCGAAGATTATATTGTGGCCAGAATAAGGCCAACGGCCGGGCCATTGTAATCGATTCCAAGACTGGCCTTTTAAAACTTTGTCCGGAGTAGTAGATACGGAGTACGAAACGGCGAGAACTGCTCACTTCGTTGAAATCGGCAATTCGACGACCATCATGTCATTCTTGGGATAGAATTTATAGATAGCATGAGTGGAATGTTGTGTATATGATTGGATCGCGGTGATTCTGCAGCTGTAGCCTGATTTCAGCTCTTTCAAATGCGGGTGTGTGTATTTTGAGTCTTGATCATTTCGACGCCAGGTTAACCGAACCACCGTTGCCCCCGAACGGACAGTCCCAAGGCCCCTTAACCAGTATTCTCGTTTTTATGAGAAGATGGAGTGAAAAGTCAATAAAATAATCTCGAATTTAATTACTTGATGGCCAGGTCTGTTTTCCTGATAAAATGCATTTCGCTATTATGCTTTCGGGCATGTGTCTCACATGGTCCTCGGGGATTACGCTAATGCATACTAATGTCAAAGACTTCGGGTAAATCCACCAATCTGTACTAAGCAAGATATTTTTCTTATTACATTGGCATCGGCGTTTCTGAATCCCTGTCATTGTGGTGTTTTAGCCAATGTTTGTTTCTCTGCGGTCGGGAAAGCCCAGTGCGAGCTTGGAGCGTCTGCCGGGCATTCCATGTGAGTGCCTTGCGAGTGGTTGTCCTCTTCCGAGCCCTAAACCCCCTTTCGGACTATGGTGTTTGGATTTGCCGAAGTTAGACTAGGGGAAATGGAAGCTGCCGGGTACTTTAACTATAAGACCAAGGGTTTTTGTTAGTTAGTAGCTTTCCAGGCAGTTCCGTCCCTTAGTTGAAATTCCCTGTAAAATCTCGACTCCTTTTATCCATCTATTCACTGACGATGAGATCCTTTTCATTTATCGCGCTCATTCTAGGGGCTGTTTTGCCCTTTGTCGACGCCAATGGTCTGCCCGAAGTTATTTATCGTGATGTCGCGGTCATCGGAGGAGGCGCCTCCGGAGCCTATGCTGCTGTTCGTATGCGTGATGATATGAACAAAAGTATTGCTTTAATTGAAAAGCAGAATATCCTGGTACGTCTGATAAATGAACCGCGCACAATTTTATCGCTATAGATTGCAACGATTTGGTTGGATTATGGAAGAACGTACTGATGCAATATCAATGAGCAGGGGGGTATGGTTGACACATACGTGGACCAGAAGACTGGGAAAACATTTGACTATGGAGTTCAGGGTTTCCTCAACGTTAGCGGCGCGACTGACTTCTTTGCTCGCTTCAATATCTCGATTGGTAGCCACCTAAGCAGCTCGTCTTCAGTCACCCAGTATATTGACTTCAGAACTGGCAGCAAGGTCGATTTTACACCTCCATCATCATCAAAGCAGATTGCAGCCATTGCCAAATTCCTCGAAGTCATCGAACCCTGGGAATCAATGTTATTTCCTGGCTACTGGGACTTCCCCGAGCCCCGTGACATCCCAGAAGATTTTCTAATTCCATTTGGAGAGTTTTTGACCAAACATGGCCTGGAGGATGGCGCTCCTATCATTTACGCATCCACTGGCCTCGGCGTGGGTAATATGAGTGCAGTCACCACAATGTTTGCGCTGCAAAGCTTTGGTTGGGATATGGCGCGCGCCCTGACGGGCAAAATGGGACTGTTTACGCCTGAATCCGGGGGCAACCAGGTGCTCTACGATGCGATTGCGAAGGACCTGGGAGATGATGTTCTATACTCGAGCACTGTCATCGAAAGCCACCGCACCGACTTCGGAGTCTCCCTGACTGTCCGCAACTACAAGACGAATAAGGTGACAATTATCATCGCTAGACGACTTCTTGTTGCCATTGAGCCAACCAAGGAGAACGTGAAGACTTTGGATCTGAGCCCCTTTGAATCATCAACCTTAGCCAAGTTTACATACTCAAACGAATATGCTGGCTTGGTCGATAACTCCATATTCAACCAGAGTACTTACTATTACAACTTACCATCTTCCGCTGCGCCAAACAACACCCTTGTCTACCAAGAAGACCCCATGGTCGCAAGCTTCCAATACACTGGCCTCGAGAATTTGTTCCGAGTGATGGTTATCGGTAACACCACTACTACCGCCGATGAGGCCAAGACTTTGAGCCAGGAAAGCTTCAGTACCTTGATCAAGTCTGGTCGGTTCACCCCTTCTGCGCAAGAGCAAGAGCTCAGCTGGGCCGCTTTCTCTACACACGGTGCCATGCATGCTCGCGTTACTGTAGATCAAGTGAAGGCAGGCTTCTTCCAGGACTTGTATAAGCTCCAGGGCGCCCGTTCCACCTGGTGGACCGGTGGTGCTTTCTCTGCAAACTTCCAGACCCAGCTTTGGAAATTTGACGAGGGACTTTTCCCCAAAATTCTGAAGGGCCTCTAAAGGCGAAATGTACTCGGGTTTTGTTGAAAAATGGAAGTAGATTAGCGCGAAAGTGGCTTTGTGCCCTTGCTGTGATTTGTGAACATTAGATTTCGATTGATGGTCTGAAAGGAGGTTTCTTGGAATCTAGCCAACAGTGATAGACACTTACACACATGATATCAAAACAACCTAATGAACATTATACGTAGGATACGATATTACGTACGTGTGAGAGGATAGCAAAGAAAGATAATGCCAAAGTGGCGCTGGTCTTGTCATCGCCATCTGTCGACACTCTCGACTTCATGGATACGGCAGTCTTCCGCAAGCGTACAAAGAGGTTCGGTTTTTGATGACAAGGCTCCATGGAGCGAGCCAAGAGTTATTTCATTATTCGAGTTCTGAGATGTGTTGAATCTGTCGATGCAGGGATCGAGGACAGCCAGTGTACCCTGTTCTTTAGATATTGAGAAGTGCATGCAGGGTAGGAGTGAGCAATGGGTGGTCAAACTATCAGAGGTTAACATGATTTGCGCTAGTGGTGGGGGTTTTTGCGGGTGAAAGGGAAGCACTGGGAAATAACGGGCCCGGAATATCGGGAAAAGAGCTAGCTACTGGGCAATTGAGTATCGTTCTGCCGTTCACCAGAGGCAATGCCCTCTGCAGCAAGAACTAAGCCTCTGGCATTGCGCACCTCCCATTCGAATTCTTTCAAAGCCCGGAGTTCGCTTGACACGAAGAGACCACCGATTAATCCATCCAAGATCCCGGCGCCGAAATTTAACGTGCTCACCAGAATCAAAATGAATCCGATGTACGTCCGGCTTCCAACCCACCATATTCCAACCATACACCCAATTGAGATCAAAATGGAGACAATGAAATGGATGAGACGCCAGCGCCGTTGGGAACGTTCTCGCCTGACATAGGTGTGAATCATATCAATGATATGATCATAGGTCTCTGGGGTGAGGGCAGCGTTCGGGGAGACTTGTTTCGATGCAGTTTTGCGTAGGGAGGGAGAGCGAGGAGAGCCAGGTTCGGAAGATGTGCGAGTGGAGAGGGTGGCCCGGCCTGGATTACGAGTAATGACTGCTTCGACGGCGAAATGGTCGCTTAAGGAGCAGCGGAGTTTAGGGTGGCGTTGTATCATTCCCACGTTAGCAGATTCGACAGACCAACGCGGCGGAGGGAACTCTGGGGCATAACCACCATCCCCAACGAAGATATAGTCGAGACGTTTCGCACGTGGGTCCGGCGCATCCTTGTCGATAGTCACATCTTGGCCCTTGTCGAGTTGTTTGCGGAGCGCCTCTGACCATCGCCAGGTATTATATGAACCATCGCAGGTGGCTCCGTTTTCGATCAAGTTATACTCGGCGGAGGGGGTAGGACGGTTTCTCGCGCGCTCAACAGCATCGATCGCGGCGCCGACAGAGGAGTCCGGATGGAGCTCGCGCCAGACGTCGCGAACGGGACTTTGAGCGGTGATGAGACGATGAGCGAAGGAGGATGGCAGCATGTTAAAGTCTCCGAGGCCGATGACGAGATGTCCACGTTCGGCCGCGCCGCGCATGAGCTTCGATATTTCCCAGGCCTGGGCGGTGCGGTGGCACAGATAGGAGTCGTGGGGTTCACGTTCGTAAGGAGCGTGGAGGTGTGTGCAGAAGACCTCGGCCACATCTGCTATGCCAGGCCCAAAGCGGATTCGCGCAGAGGCTACACCCTTCCCGACAAACCAGTCACCGCGAAAAAAAGCAGTTGGTCGTCCGTTCAGGGGGTAGCCATACATGCCGCTCTCTTCAATGGGCCATCGCGACAGGATCGCCAGGCCCGCGCCAAAGATCCCCCCCGAAATAGAATTTCCCATATGGTAGAATGTGTTGTGTCTGCTGGCGAATACTCTCGTAGTCTTCTTGTGTCCAACACTCCTGTAATCCAACTATCTCCGGCGAAGGGTCGGCGAGTGCGAGCTGTCGTCCGATTTCCGACAGACGTTCACGACGGTACTTTGAGATGTATTTCAGACCCCAGCAGTTGAGAGATAAAATCCGAATCTTGGATGGAGCTTCATCGTGATCGTTTCCGTTGAAGGAGGCCATCGGAGTTGAGAAAAGACGAGGTAAAAGTTGAGGAAGTGGGAAATTCAAATTTGGGGAACTTCTGGGGAAGCTTCGATGTTGGCTGACTAAGACGTCCTTATCGGCCAATCTTATCTGCTTATCTTATCGGGCAGATGATTTGTCACATTTGCACCATTTGCGCTGCTTCCTAAGGCTACATAGTCTTTGTTATTTTTCATTCTCCAAGTCGAAGTGAAGATGTATCTTGATTTAGTGAGAACCTCGTACTGGCTATGTATATATTAGGAGTAGCCTACAGCCCGGCTATAAATTCACCATGTTCAATCCAAAGACTGTTTATAATATTTCCGAATGCATGCTGTACAACTGGTCGACTCAATCAAATTCCAACTTTTGAGGTCTAATAACAAAAATCAAATAGCCCGAAAGGAGAGAGAGAAAATGCTCAAATTGTGTTATTTACCTGGGTATTACAACCAAAAGTCTTGCGGCTGAGGGGGCGTGGCAGGTCCTGTCTGTCACGGTAGAAACAAGTTGAACGGGTAGGCATGCAAAACAACTTGAAAGAGGAGAAGGACAGATAGTATAAATACGCGAAAATGAAGACAGGGAAACAGAAGAAGGTCAAGTAGATCTCTTCGAATCCCACCATACTGGTATTGTTGGAAGCACGGAGGTTTATTTCGCAATGCTGGGACCTTGCCTACTTCGAATCGATTCCATCCAAGCGGTCCCAGTTGGCACACTCTCGAGGCCGCAGTCAATCAGTCGTTACAAGTGAAGCCGCCCCTCAGACCAGCGGGCCCGGCATTTCTCCCACCATTTCGGAATATCATATGCCCAGTGGGTTAATAAACCGGCAAGGAATCCGACGGCATCATTCTTGAAGCCAATAAGTACGCCAACGGTCACCATCATGACTGTCCAACGTCGCTTACGTTCTTCATCAGTTAGTACCGGCCCAATGTGTTGCTCAGCGAGGCCTAGAACACCACCTCTAGCCTGGCCCAGGTCTCGGGCACCAGAGGTGTTGAGGCTCTCGCCGACCATGGCCAATTCTAAACCAGCTGCAACCACCATCACGCCAAGGAATGCGGCAGGAAATCGCTTGAGTAAATCAACTAGAGTCTCCCCGAAGAGAAGCCCAATCAAAAGTTTCAGTAGTCCGAGAAAAATCACGCTTGCACCAGAGCGGGCACCGAAATGGTACTGCGCTGCGAGACCCCCCGATCCGTGGCAAACAGGCATAGCCCCAAACCAGCAGCCTAGCAGGTTCATGCCAGCAACACTGAGACCGATATGTGTGATCGAGGGAGCGTGGACGCTGGTTTGGAAGAGATCATGGGCCAGATGAACGACCGCAACAATCGAGTTAAGTGTAGTGAGCGGAATCTGCCCGATACCAGCATCAATGGCACCAACACGCCATTGATTCGGGGTCGGAATGGTCAGCCAAGGGTGCCAGATCTGGAACTGGGGTAAGAAACCCGCCAGGGCAGTGAGAATAATCGCAAAGACGAGTCCGATTATTAAAATAATCAACGCGTATGGGACTTTGCGATATACATTTGTCGTGACGAGAGCAATGAATGCCGCGATCGCCCAAATCCGATTGTCAGCCCAAGAAGGGCTTATCCAGCCAAGCGGGGACAGTATAGTCCCACAGGCCGAGATACAGAGAGATAGACCGGCGCCGACCTGGATTCCCTTGATGACAGGAATAGGAATCACACTCGAGAACCAGTGCAGAAGACCAGTCACGCTGAAAAGGAGGATGCAAGCTCCGACAAAGATCCCCGCCGCCGTAATTGAGCCAGCAGAGAAGCTACGCGCTATAGCAACGGCTGCAATGGCCTTCATAGGCTGGACTGGTAGTGGAATCCCAAAGAATACACCCGTCAAGATATTATAGATACCCGAGAAGACCAAAGTACTCGCCAGTGAGACTGTGTTGTTGACGGCGAGAGCAATGGCAATCGGCAGGAAAGTTCCCAAGTCGCCCAGCGACCCGGAGATTTCAGAGACATAATTATGTCGGAATGTATGTAGATTATGACGCGAGACCTCTCGCAAGGAGCGTGCAGGCATCGCCATTTCGTGGTAAATGACTTAACATGAAAGATGATGATGGAGCTGAAGGAGAAAAGGATAAACGAGGGGGATGACTGATAACCCCGCAAAGTAGCAAAGTAAGCAATTCAAAGATCCGCACTCACCCGCACATCACCCACGTACAGTCGATTAACTCGATTCCCCCAGGTTAGTATACATTATGCAATGTGAAACTTCCATCATAGAAAGGCTGGGATTGAATGAAAAAAAATATCGACGTTTCGGTGTTGGTAAATTAACTTCTGGCTGTGGTGCAATAGGAAACAGCACAAGGTGAGACCTGATGCATCTCATGGGTCTGGTCATCCATAGAGAAAAGAAGAAATGCAGAAATACAGAAATAGAAAATTTCAAAGAGTTGGGAATATCTCACACGCTAGAATTCTGTGGCCAATTTGAGAGCGGTCTTATCCAGTTGGACTGCAGTTTACCGGAGATCCCCGTATTCGATTGCCTTCACTCCGTAAATGCTCTCACTTATGTGGAGTTCACGTGGGAATTTTTATCTGAGAGATTCAAAATACTCTAGGGTACCTAGATACTACCCTGCCTTGCTCATCTAGGTAGAGTCGCCGTCGACCCCCTGATCAATAGCCACGTCCACGTATACGCAAGAAAAACGAATTCAACGGAAGCTCAACCAACGTTGTATTTTCCAACTTGAAGTTATAAAGCGGTTCAGCCCATGCTGTTAACCAAGCATATAGCGGTATTTGCAGCCGGTGAGCGCTGAAAAATCGAAATTTCTCTTGTGCTAGATTTCTAGGTACGGAGCGCCCGCGGTCGCAGAAGATACTAGTAATTCCTACCTCTTTAATACTAGTACCTTTTAAACCAGTCCTGGAGGGTGGCGACATGTCCTATTCAGTCCCTTGGGGTGGGTACTAACTACCATCCATGGGTAGTTACACGTTGCCTATAACCCATGTGTTAATTCGATATTTAATTCACCGGAGCGGTAGCATAATGGTACTACAGACTCGGACACCTGGGCACCCGGTCACTTTTATCCTTTTGGAGAAATCCGTTCGAACAGCCCTGAAGGGTTGGGTTTTTTGAATGGCCAGGAACTTGAATATCTTACATTGGTAGCCAGAGCTCCCAGGGGCTTAAAGGCAATAATGCACTGATTAAAGCTTGAATGTTGCACTGAATGTGCAACATACCTCCCGACTCCCGAATACCTTTAATTCATAGACTCCGGGACAGCTTCGTTACAACATACGGACGTGGTGTTTTCACCATTGGCATTCAACATAAGCAAGATCTCAAGCAAGAGTTAGTGTCAATATTAAATCAAACTATTCTAGCTCTCCGACCACCCACAGGGTGGAATAGCGCAAGAAAATGTACTAATCAATAATAAAGCGACCCCAAACAAGTAGACTATGTGTTATGGAGTGGTGGAAGAGCCATTGACGAGTAAATTCTACTTTGATTGATTTTTAACTACCTGGGCACCTGGGCATCATACATTGTGAGATGACGCTAGAGATCCTACTTGCAAGTCTAAACACTGCAGGGCTCTCAACTCGTCCAAATTCAAGATCTCAAGGATTTATCACATAACATACTTCACCGTAACGCTATTGCGGTCAACAGAACTTGACGTCAGGATTCTATTGTTTTGCCTGATATCGATGAGCGTTGCATCGGATGGCCCAACGACTGATTTCCTCTCGATCGCCAGGGAATTGAGGAAAGTGACAGTCCCAAAATTTGCCAATGGAACTAAAGAATTATTGATTTCAAAATCCTCCACAATCCATTCCGCATTGTATTCGCAAAGATCCCCCTGAATGCCGCTGTTAAATGTGTGAGTCACGGATCTACCGGTCGATATGTTATCAACCGTGGCAGCGCCGGATGTCTTTGAGGTAGCATCCACGGTCATTCTAACAAGGTCGCCAGCCGAAATATTGATATCACTGAAATCATAAGCATAATCCGGATACTACTCGTACCACGCTGAATAGGACGTCGATCTGCCCTGGACGCAGAAATCAATACCGGTTTGCAAAATCGCCGTACCACAGGTGTCTCCATCAATGCCAACCCATGCAGAAGCACAGTACTGTTTATTTCCGTCCCCATAATTGGGGACTTGCGGGATTGGAACGATAAAGTCTGCTGTAACGGCAGTGTAGTCGGCACCGATCAGAACAGCACCAGCCCAGTTGGAGCTGTACTCAATTTTTGATGTTTTATTAAGACGAAGGATCTCATTGGTACCAATTTTGTAAGGAGGATGACTTTCGCGATTTTTCAAACGGGCAAGCCGACGAGATTCATGCTGGGCCTGGCGCTCTTCCGTGAGAGGTGCGGCTTCAGCAGCAATTGCCAATAGCATAATACTAAGCAGTCCGACGTAGATTTTCATGGTCACAGGCTGGTATAGCTGGTTTTCAAATAATCCCATAGAAGCAAGGAATGTCGGAGACATGAAGAAATAAAATAGTACTAGTAGAGCTCTGATTGATGAGAGCTTGAATAAAATGGCATTGGGCAGGAAGAACTTGGATAACAGGTGCCGGACCCACCTTTATAAGATTGTGAAATTTCTCTATCATAACACGTTATAGTTGAAGCGATGAATGGAGCAGACTGGGGAGCGCAAGCTCCATATAATATCTATTCGAATCGTTATATCTTTATGGTCCGGTCATTCATGGCTGGTGTCTTATACCACCTGGGCAGTGCAACATAATCACCAGGCACCATACCCAAGAGCGACTTACCTGGTACCTACGTGTCACCCCGCATGGGACCGGTGAATTGAAGATTTAGCTCAAATAGCTAGATATAAACCACCTGGGCACGCAATTTATTTACCTAGATGTCGGCGGAGGAAGTCAATACGTTCGTCCCAAATGTTGACCTTTCGAGTTCCCGTCGGCTATTAGTACTAGCAGCCTGACGTTTCCTTGCAGAAAGCATGGTTGTAAGTTCGCGCACATTATTCTTCAAAAATCTCGACGGAGGTTTTTGAAGAAACTGAGGAACCGAAACAATTCAGCGGCAGGGCTAATACATAGAATCGGAAAAGTCGAGTGCTAAAAGTAAGTTTGTCAGCTCTCGGACCGCTTGCCGCCCACGAATATTCCAGATGTTAGGTCTGGACCTCGCTGGCAATATTATCAGGGATAGCCCCAAAAAGAATCATCTTTATGGGTAGGGTGTTCATGAGCGCGAGCTCAGGCTGTCAGTTTCATACTTTTAACACGATATTTCTCTTCGGGGGAACTTATAATTCGACAAGACATGATCTAAAAGCTGAATTCGAGAGATTGAATTTTCCAAGTTTACTAGTATTCAAGAAAAATGCGCACCCGGACGAGACGCGACGGAAATAAAATGCTCCAAAGAGCCGCAGCTTCAAGTTCAAGCTCTTCAAGTTCTCACGCAAGATACAAGCCAGGAAGATTTTGGAATCTCAACTTGAATTTGACAGACTCGAAGTCGGAATTCAAGTGGGGGACTTGGAGTTCCTTATCTACTACCTACTAAGGATTATATTTGCCCCGGAGATGGGGGCGGAAGACGGAATAAAAAAACCGCTTGAATTCGAAGGAGTTGTTAATAGTAATTACAAAACGTACTTCTAGTAGGTACAACTTGAACCTCCCAAACCTTTGAAGGCCGAGGTTCCATGTAGTAGCTGTCTACCGGAGAATTGATCGTCTTCAAATATCACGTCCACATCTCACGCCGTTTATCTAGGTGATTGACTCTATCGAGGTCACACAGGACTTGGCATTGCCGGTGCTTTTCTGGAGATAGCAAGAGTCGGCACAGAAGTAAACAATACAATCTGCCGCTGTTATAGTAAAAGGAACCATCTTTAACAGCCCTCCACTGGCAGGTCAGAGCTGGTTCCAAAGGGGGCCTAGAGTACCTAGGTAGAATCATATTTGATACTCTCCAGGGCTCTTTGGCCAGATGTGCAAGTCGCCACCACGTACTAGCCCTAGGTACCTAGTGAAAGATGGGAATCGCACGCTGGCTGTCTGCGTAAGCAGACGGGTCGATCGCAGAGAACAAAACCACCACACCCGCAGGGTGCATGAATTAAGCAAGGCGTAGTATTGTGCAGGTAAATAGGCTTGTCCTCAGTAATGAACTAATTGAACTTCATACTCTATAGTGCTAGATACTAGTGATAGCAGGGTGGCTCCAAATATGGTCTGGTCGGTGTTGCAAACAGCTTTTGCTGTGTGTTTCTTAGTACTGGTGATTACCTCTATGGTAGTAATGTCTGAGTTAGAAACCGGAGTGACGAATATGTCCCAGGTGCAATCCAAATAATTTTGCATTGCTCGCCGTGCATAAAGAAAAGCTTATGAGAAGCTTCACCCGCATCAAATAGACCCAGAATAAATTCCGCGTTCTCTTCGTCATAATAATAATATAACATGATATTTGTTCCTTGGAATTCGTATAAAACTCAATTCGCATGTGGTTGAGATGAAGGAATTTTCTTTCTCGAAAGCACATGTCCAGCCATCGATACCAGGGAACACCTTCACAAAATTTTGGGTGTGCTCCAAGATATCCAGAAAATGTGCGATCTCATTCAGAGAATCTGTCCCCGATTTCGAAGTCAATTTGCTTTCATACAGTCGTGCTACAAAGAAAGAGTTCTACTTGAACCACGATTTTGATTACCTGCAGCATTTAGATGACACACCAATTGCTCTTGTCAATCACTGCTAAACATCACGACCCTGGATATTTGTGAGGCTGAGCTCTTAAAATTTTCAGGGGGTTTTAATCGTGGGTAGAAAGTCAACATAATCGAACATCCAAGCCGCTACTCAAAAATTGTCGGCTCTTCCAAGAGTGTTCGAACTTTCCCTTACGCAAATTCACAAAGACAATCAAAATGTCGTGATTAGAGATTACGGACGGTAGGTTAAAAGAGAAGGCCCGGTCTTTGATACTACGGTCCCCGGCCACCTATAAATATATAACTTTGTAGAGTGCCCATGGGGTGTAATTGTAATGCGAGCGAACGCCGAAATGTAAGAGTGTGTAAAGCAGGCTTGGGAAGGGCAGTCGTTATTGTAAGAATCTTGGAAATTCCGAGATTGATTCAAAGTAGAGAATGTATTTTCTAGCATGGAAAGAAGATTCTCATGGTGTGTTATACGCTAGGGTTGAAAATGGACTCCTATAGTAATACTACTAGTACAAAATATTTAGACTAGTACTTATATTTATATATATCAATGGATCCTACTAGTTTAAACTCGGCTTGTTCCCCACCGGTCGGATCTGATACAAACCCGGCCGAGTGCGGAAATCTCTCGGAGAAACGCCACCTGGTTGTTCCTCGGGCATTTCAGGTACCCAAGATCGGCGACAACTCCGGTGTCATTATTCGTTACTCGGGGTCTGAATAAGAAGAAAAATTCCGGGAAATTTACTAGGTCCAATTCAGTTGCTGTCCGCGCGCGACTTAACTCGGCCGGGTGCCACCCGCTTCCGACATTACATTTACTAGGTACAGGCTCAGCTTCTGTTGCTTGAGAAAATATAACTACCTCAAATGCCCTTAAACATCCGATTTTATTTCACCTTTCGACCGTTCAAACCTGGGTTTTACGTACAGACTCGCCGTGCGACAACTCTTTGCCCTTTGCCAACCCCACGAAACAAAATGTTGACTGACGACAACACAAATTTTGAGGCTATCCCTGTTCGTGCAAGCCTCATCCCTAGCCTTCAGAAGCCAGTTCAGCAGGTTCTTTGGATAGGATGCTCAGATAGTTGCTTCGAAGAAACGAAGATTCTCGATCTTCTGCCCGACGAGATGCTGGTACATCGCAACTTGGGTAACATGTTAATTGAAGGAGACATGTCTTCTGAAGTCACCATCAAGCATGCAGTCTCAACGTTAAAGGTATTTCAAAGAATTTATCTATGCATTATCCTGATTCTAATCACCTGTCTCATAGGTCAAACACATAGTGGTGTGTGGCCACTACGGATGCGGTATTGTGCGAGCAGAGGCACGGCAGGGTTTGAATGGTCCTTGGTCAGGGTATGTAGCCCAATCTAATGCTCCGTTAAAAGATGTACTGACAATTTGAATAGTCAATTAAATGCCTTGAGCTCAACCTTCAGCGAGACTATCAGTCACCTTTCAGCCTATCACAGAGACCGCGCTTTTGTCGAACTGAATATTTTCGCCCAGTTAAACTATCTGCGGAAGTTTTCTGAAGTACACAACGCAACGAAATCAAGAGGGCTCCAATTGCATGGAATCGTCTATGACGCCAATACAGGAAATGCATTCAGGCTAGCGGATGGGGATCATCTTTGAAGCCTTGGAGGATATACTATAAATACATGTTTTCTATGGAGTGAATCTGAAGCCCATCACCTTTTCTCAAATTGAATCAAATATCAAATAGACGCTGAGCTATTCAGATTTTTTACCTGGCGCGAGGCAGTATATCTTCTTGACATCTCGGAGCATTGCCTCGAAATCGACTTCCAGGTCTCTCAATAGACCATCACGAAGGTCAAATACTAGCCCATGGACAATGGGATACTGGTTGTTCTCGTAACTTTGCTGGACAGCGGCAGTTTTGATAATATTCCTGCACGACTCAATGACGTTGAGCTCGATCAACCTGTTGTACCTCTTGTCATCCTCTTTAATCGCGTCGAGCTCCTGTTCATGAAGGCGATAGACATCACGGATATTTCGAAGCCATGGGTTCAGGAGTCCCAGATCAGCCGAAGTTAACGCGGCTTTAACCCCTCCGCAGTTATAGTGGCCACAGACAATGATGTGCTTGACATGGAGGTGTCTAACGGCATAGTTAATCACAGACATCACATTTAAGTCGACATTCGGGACCAAATTGGCGATGTTCCGGTGAACAAAAACCTCCCCAGCTTCCAAGCCCATGATTTCATTTGCAGGCACCCGGCTGTCGCTACAGCCAATGTATCTATCGGTTGTAAGCATACTTTGCATTCGCGATGCGTTCTGAGATGGCTGACTGACAAATAATCTGGCGACTGCCCCGCGGAGAGCTTGTCAAAGAAGGCAGGATCCCCGTTCGTTTTCGTGGCAACCCATTCTTTGTTTTTCTTGAATATGGTGTCAAGGGATGGCCGAATAAGGCGATTCATGTTGGAGGCAGTTGTTTGCTGAGATTCACCCATTGAAAGAGATTTTTTTTTTCTCTCTTGCAGGTGTGTGAATACCCCGCAGGTGTAATTTCTCAGTTGACGAGGGAAATCGACCACGCAGCCTAGGCCCACTTGGATGTCTTATGTTGCTACCATCCTGTGGGTCTTTGGCCGCCGTCGGATCCGAGAAATCCCTCATCGGTAAAAAGCCCCCTTTTTCTACCCAATGTCCATATAATTATATGGGATTAATTATTCTTGTATCCTTTGATATGATTCATTAGCCGACATCTCTTATTTGATTGAGTATAGTCCCACAATTCTGCCCCACGGCGATTTCAAACTGCATTCCTACTAGTAGCTATGATGTCATATATCCGAGTCAAAAGTGATTTGTCTTCCTAGCGATAGCACGCAAATATTTAGGGTGATACTGCCAGTGCATAGTTAGATATATTTAAAGATGCATACAAGAGGACTCACCGCCGATGAAACGCTTCTAGAAATTTTGTTGGCATTTCCTTCGAGAACATTGATTGGGATACTACTCAAATTTAAGTTCTAACGGAGATATCCAGCAAAAGCTTCTACTAGTAAACACCGGGTCTTGACGTGATAGTAGATATTCAAGCTAAACTGACCTAGGTAGCTAGTAGTCCAGATTGAACTTGAATTTATTTGACCCTGGAGCAACTTGGAAGGTGAACTTGAACCTGGGCCTGTACCAATAAACCCTCATTTGGTCACATTTCTCGCTTGGGGTCCTTAGCAGTTCTACTAGCAGTATTAAATCAACAATATCTACTCAGGGTCATCATGGTTTCAAAGTGGAATTCCGAGGTGGAAACTTCACAGTTTATGTAATAAATTCAACCACCGTTGTTAAAAGGATTATTCCTGGTTACATCATGGATCCATACTACCCCAGATCAATCGACTCCTTCCCAAGTTACAGACACAACATAGAGCCTATTCGATGTCTTGTGTCATTCAAGTTCTCAACAAAAAGACCCTTCTTGTAATACATGGGTGGTATAGATCCCATTCTGCTCGGACTCGGAGGTGCCAACCTTGGAATTTAATCCCGACGTCTTTCGCCGAAAGACGACCTGCCGGTCGGCAGACTAGTATTTTTTGCTTATTTGGCCCGCCTCGAGGTCAGTTTTGGACTGTTCTGCGAGAGAAATATATTCCTCCGTACTTTTCAACTCATGACGAGGATCATTTGTAGGATCATCGTTGCTTTGTCCCTTATCATCTTGGACGAGATGGGCTGAGGCTCCAAATCGGGTTTCGGTGTAGGACTCCGTGCCAACTAGATAAATAGTTAGAGAAGTTCTGCAGGACCAGGACCTCTGCAATGATATTTTCTCAAGATCGCCGTGACGGTGTAACTCACATATTGACCAGTAGACATATTTGCATATTACCGATGCCCAAGTAGTCACTGCAATGAACTGGCCAAATCCCCATGAAGTCCAGTCAATAATGGCCATGTCTGCGCTACTGATCATTAACGCGAAGCATGAGATATAAATCAGAGCAACCAAAAGAAATGCCGCCTCAATGAGAAACGTCATTATGCCCCTCAACACTTTAAACCAAGTTTTTGACCAAAGCTCCTTAAAGGTGGTGACAAGTTGCAATATCCGTGGTCTACCATCGGCGTTTAGGAGCAGAAGCTTCTCAATATGAGGCCAAAAGAACATAATCGCAGTGACCCCATACAGACTCAAGCAAAATGGGCTTATCACTGCAACAAATGCAGTGACTGGAATTATGGTATTTTCAATTTGATCGAGAGTGCAGTATCGTAGTGGGGTGGGTGTTGGCCGCATGATGTGGGAAATGTGCCACGCAGGCTGGTCATGTCGCTCACTTTGGGCTCCCGGAAAACCGAATACAGTGCACACTCGGCGGTAATCATAGTGGCAGTTGAGAGAAAGAAAACCCACCCCGAACACATATTTGATCTTTGGAGCGTCCAGAGACCTAAAACCACTGGCAGGATGCCGGCGGCAGCGCACAGTCCTGCAATCATATGATCGACCCATACAATCACCATATTGGTAGCCGAAAAGATCCCGTTGTGATTTTTAGACAACAGCACAACACTCTGGCACGCAATCATGAAAAAGCATTGTGTCTCTTGTAGCTCGACAAGTATAGATTTCATAACGAAGTTTTGCTTGTCGAAGAAGTTGGCAATCTTTGCGCTATGCCCAGCAGTGATATCGCTGAGCTGGGTCTTGTTTGCTTTCCGGCCCACCCATGATAATTGACGGAGAACCTTGGGTAAAATTCTGAAGAAGCGCAAAAACAGCCAGATCGAAAGGACGAGACCAATCTGGATAAAGTATGATGCGTATACCTATCACATCCATCATTAGTCACATACATTTTGAAATTATTGAGCCACCACTCACCCCGGGGCCTCCAATGTCTGTATTTGCCTGCTTGTTGATATTATCGCAATAGCCGTTGTTGTCAGCGAAGTATGGGTATGGGTCCAAGCCGACGCCAAATTCAAATGAGTCTGTGACTACTTGGGCTGGGCATCCCAACAAGTCTGGATCGGATTTTTCGCAGTATTCGAGAAGACATTGATAAACCGTGTCAGTTAGATTTCCAGTGAGCGATTCGCTGGCTTCTGCACATGCATAGAGATTATCCATGGAGCTAAAGACATAATCTGGGTCCTGGCACAGCGAATCCAGAGTTTTGTTAGCCATTTTGGACAGAAACCTCCAGGGCTGTTCCAAGGTTGGTAAAAGTTTGATGAGTGAGTCACTGACGGACCCAGATGAAGCCAGTACGCTTTAACAGAAACGCAAGAAGACAAAAAGGACAGATAGAAATAGTAAAAGAATCACACCAGTGGTCGCCAATAAGGGGGTACCGGTAATATATACTAATAAGAATCAGCCGCCTTACAAGGCTGAGAGTATCCCTGGGAGCTGAGCGAGTCTCCACAATATCTTCAGTTAAAACTAAACATTGTCCGAAAATGGCTAAAAGGACCCACGCGGTGGAGTGGCCTTTACAAAGTAGCGGTTTCGATTGGTGTATGAATTGCTTTAACCTCAAAAAAGAAAATGAACTAAATACAGCATCAGATAAATCTAGCATATGTACTCCGTACCCCGTACTAGCAATATTCCACCCAAGCACTGAGGTTCATGTTTTTAATGACTGTGGAGAACTTTTCGGCACCCTCCGCATGACAAGCGTCCGACTTCTTCTCCTCCGTAACGCGAATTTTCAGTTTCCTTTGGCTACCAACATCCTCACCAGAATACTCAATGTGAAAAACTGGTTTATTCACAGATGTGAACGCAGCATATGTATCGCACTCGTTGTATTGAGCACATTGCTCGTTGACTGACCATTGCATGTTGTCGATGACATCGCTAATAATGTCACCTCCGTTCTTCAGACCGATTGACATGCCCCGTGAATGCGCCTGATTTGCAAGATACTTCAATAAATTGATTGAGTCATTCGTTGTTAGACCCAGACCATTTTCGTTGTCATACCCATCGATATTATCCGGATCAACGCCGTCGCAACCTTTCTTCTGCGCCATGTCAAGACGGGCCGATAGAATGCGACGTACGTTGCTTGAATTGATATCAAGCCATCGTTCCCCTGGCCAATCATCAAGGCTACTACCAAAGTCGGAAGAAGAAAATTGGTCCGCATCGGAGCGCCATTCTTCATATGTGCCTGCCGAGAAATAGCAAATCACCTTAGTGCCATGTTTATGAATCGCAGATATGGTTTCCGCTGAATTGTCAAATAGATCAATGTCATAAACCTCGGCATTGATAGAAGTGTCTTCGACAGCGTTCTCTAACTGGATTTGCCATTTGACACCGGGTCTAGGCTGCCATATACTCGATCCATCAGACTGGTTGGTATTGATCCCTCCTCGCTTTAATGTACGCAGATGGACTCCTCCCGGGGTCCTTTGATGAATATGGCCGTTGGCGGGGACAGAGAGCCAGACCAGACATATGGTAAATACCACGAAGGTCTGCTTAACGAGGAGCCGACCACTCGACATGATCGCCCTATGGTATAACATCCTCTTTTTTTCGCGAGCGGAATTGGTATTGCAAGGTGCGTCTTGAGATGCCTAGGTATGTAGGAATGGTTTCAATGGATCTCAGGACGTTTATATTCCCCGAGTCGGTGTGAGTAGTAGGATCGGAATCCCTTTTGAACTTGAAGGAGTGATAGACTAGTAGTAGAACTAGTGATAGCAGGAACTTGAAAAGGAGTGACTGTGATCTGGAATTGATCGTGATAGATGATAATAGTTCTTGAAGTTAATAGACCTGGCTCCGATATTTATATAAATGGCTGTACCTGACGGCCCATTGAGAAAATTTCAAAAGGTCCTGCGCACACCGACTGATCCTGAGTCCTTGAATGTTTCATGGCTGAGGCCCAATGTACGTATCTTATTTGACAGCAAGTTTGACACAGGAAGAGGCTTGCATCGAAGGGTAAGATATGGCGTGTTTGGTTTCTGCCGAGACAAAGGGGAAATTGAAATTAACGTGTGGCGATGAATCAGGGTCCTAGGATCGGACATGAAACGGCCGCCAAGAGCGCTTAGGAGCAAGATCGATCCATCTTATTTGCCGCGACTTAGCCCTACTACTAGTCGGGGATTTTCCGTCCAATTGAAATGATCGCTTATTTTTCCGACAGAACGTTCAAAGGAAGCAGGAATATGCATGTAGGTATATGCATTGTCATCACGTCAGGTTGTCGCTTCTTGGGAAGATATGGCCGAGCCCATTTCGCCCCTGCGGGGCTTATGGGGCCAATGGCACATTTGTTTCGCCAGTCACAATTTCATTTTGGAACCGATTAAACCCCATCTATTAAACGCTTCATTGAAAACCTGGCAATATGTATAGAATTTTGGGGTCGTTTAAGCCGTCAAGTTTCAAAATGTGGTTCAGCTGGGTGGGTGGTTTTCAGAAAGCTCAGTCTTGAGTTATGACATTGCATTGGCTTGGTCCGCGTGTCAGGATCGGACCTGTACCCTTAATACCGGGAATATTATTGTGGCGCATAGCCACTGGCGCCAACAGAAATCACCATTCAGCCCTGGGGGCAAGAATCTATACCTACTTAGATACTAGCGTTGCAAGTCTGAGGTGGGAGAGATCTCGGGAAATTTAACATGATGCAAACAGTGAGGCTAGACAACACCAATCTAGTAATTAAATCAAGGCTCTGTAGTTACCAGTCAAGTAGCATACTCCTTGCCATCGAGGTCCAAGAATAAAAACTTGCAACTTAAACGTTGGGCAACTGGGCACACTCGAGTTTTGTCTATAGCTTAGAGGAAGATTGGAAGATTGGCTTGTGAATCGCGATGAGACCATTGACACTGGGTAAAGAAGCGAGGAGAAGGAACCGTGTCAAAGGAATATCCTAGGATATTCTCTTCATGTTTAAGGTATCCCAACTTGAGTAAGGTAAGCCATGTGGCACATAAGCTTATCGGAGGCCGATGCCGGCGATAGCCTTATCTATGCGGGGTATCACGGGGCCTCGGTTTACTATTGACATTACGGTATGGTATTAAACCAATCAGAGACTGAGATTTTCCAGAATTGGGGTAAAAAACAGTAATATTGAAGTATTGCAGAGTAAGCCCCCTCCTTGCGCCCTACCAGCATCAATCACGCCCTACATCCACACCCTACGAGTAGCAAATTAGATAACAGAAATTCACCATCCAATGAGTTGACGTGATACATCTTCAAGCTTTCTACATTGTAACCCTTCATTGGAGCATTTGTTGCTTTAGAAGTGGTTCATGCCTTTCTTGGATGAGTCATGTCGGAAATGACCTGCCGAGTGGAGACCATTTGAGGTGGTCAACTTCAACCACCTTTTTGATCTTCTCTTCCTACTTCTATCTTCCTTTGTTTCCGCCACGGCGCATACACCCCTCCCCCTCCTCCCATTGATTGCTCCGATTCACCTTCGCCGTCGCTCAATTCAATAACATTGAATATTCAATTTCGACTCCTTCTCACCCTTCGCACACTTCCTTCCGCCCCCCGCCGCCGCGTTCGCAATGAGTCCCCCCCGCGCCTTTGGATATTGATATGAGGGGAGACACCGACACCTCATCGCTGCCAGTGCCAAACCCCTTGACCGTCAATGGAGTACCCGCATGGCGCGAGAAAATGGCCCAGATGCCCACCGGAGTTGCGGCAGCTTGCAGCAGTGACATGTTCAAAAGCCCGGTACGACCAACCTGGACAGTTCCAAAGACAGTTCGCACGATGGGGACAAGATTCGGAACGAAGCAGATTATATAGAGATTTGGGCTGACCAATTGCGCTTTTGAACAACAACAGGCTTGTTACACCAAGCCCAAGGCCAAGTGTTTTGAACGTGAGTGATCAATTGCGTCCAGGACGTTCTATAGGAAGTGCACAATGCTGACCCGAATGTCAGACCGGTTCTCCATCGAAGCCAAGTCTCGCAAGGTTCGTGCTTCTTCTCGTGACATACTACAACTGGAAAGAATCATCTCCTGATGTTGTATCTACCAGGCTTCTACATTGAAGACCGCCGCACGTTTCCTGAAAAACCCCGGTATGCGCAGGAAGAAGATCGTTCCTCTTTTAATCGGACGTGGTATTGATTCTTATTCTCATCAGGCATGATTTCCCTCGGAGGTGGTCTTCCCCCCCCCCGAATACTTCCCTTTCGAGCACCTCGACATCAAAGTCCCCCCCCACCGGGGTTCTCCTCGGAGGCAACTAGCAAATCAGGATCTGTGTTGCGAGCAGGAAAGCATGATATCAGAGATGGGTCCAGCCTCTACGGTGTGTCTCCATATATATGTTCAATCCTCTACAGCAGGTACTGATGAATTGAATGTAGATCTGGAGATTGCACTGAACTATGGTCAAGCAACGGGAGCTGCCCAACTCCTCCGATTCGTCACTGAACATACCGAGGTATATCTAATGTGATACATTGATGCATTTATATTCAGTGACTAATCCGCACAGATTATTCACAACCCACCTTATGCCGACTGGCAATGCACTTTGACCGCGGGAAGCACATATGCTTGGGATACATGCCTGCGCCTACTGACCGAGCGTGGTGACTTCGTCCTTATGGAAGAATACACCTTCGCTAGTGCTGCTGAAACCGCCTTTCCTCTGGGACTTAAAGCGCTGGCCGTTCCCATTGACGAGCAAGGACTGATCCCCAATGCTATGGATGATCTGCTCTCGAACTGGGATGAGAAAGCCCGTGGCGCCCGCAAGCCATTTGTGCTCTATACAATCCCGACTGGTCAGAACCCGACCGGAGCCACCCAATCAGCCGAGCGCCGCCAAGCCGTGTACAAGGTTGCGCAGAAGCACGACATCATCATTGTCGAAGATGAGCCTTACTACTTCTTGCAGATGCAGCCATACGTTGGTCAAGACGCCCCATCTCCGCCTCCACCCGCCAGCCACGATGAGTTCATCAAATCCTTGGTCCCATCTTTCCTCAGTTTGGATGTTGATGGCCGTGTTGTCCGCCTGGAGTCATTCTCCAAGGTCGTGGCTCCTGGTACACGTGTTGGATGGATTGTGGCTTCCGACCAAGTCGTCGAGCGTTTCATTCGTAATTTCGAGACTTCCTCGCAAAACCCCAGCGGAATTTCGCAGATGGTGCTCTACAAATTGCTGGACGAACACTGGGGCCACTCTGGTTATCTGGATTGGCTTATCAATTTGCGCATGGAGTACACTCATCGCCGCGACGCACTCCTTCATTCTTGCGAGAAATACCTGCCACGGGAGATCGCGCACTGGGCACCCCCCGCCGCAGGAATGTTTGTAAGTATTGACTACAATAGAAACCCCCCTTAAACATAGCTGACGCTTCTCTCAGCACTGGATCGAAATTGATTGGCACAAGCACCCCGGTATCGCTGCCGGAAAGACACGCGATGCCATTGAAGAGGAAATCTTCCTTTCTGCGGTGGACCACCAGGTTCTGCTGTCCCGAGGCAGTTGGTTCAAGGCCGACAGGGCTGTTATTGAGGAGAAGATGTTCTTCCGTGCCACATACGCTGCCGCGTCTTCGGAAAAGATTGACGAGGCGATCTCGCGATTTGCGGACTGCCTGCGGGACCAGTTCAAGCTGTAGACATGTCATCCTGTTATGATTCAGTTCTATCAGATGGCTGGCTTGAATTGGAATTACCCGAATCCAATGCTTTGGAGTCTCACTGACTGTTGTTAGATGCAAGATATCCCCGGATATACTTAATTTCGGAAACAGGTTTTCATTTACATCTTTTCACTAGACGCATAATTCATGCTTTCGGATCCTGCGATAGAACAGTAGTACCAGAAATAATATGAACACTGGTATCTTGCAATCCCACATTAATAGTACCAGTACCCACCTGTGTAGTACGTAGGCGGATAGTTAGTTACCGGTACTAGTACTACTGGTACTCCGAGTCTATTCCATCACACATTGAACCTGAACTTGAATCTTGGAATTTTTCACAAACTCCCGACACGTGGTACCTAGTAGTAGTATGATATTATTCTATTGAGTTCTATGTATTTTATTGACAACCTTGGAATCTTATTAACATATCGACAGGATGCATCGGTAATTTTTAATGAGCAAGTTCCTGGCGTCAAGTTAGTTCTCAGTCAATCCACATAGAAAGCCGCGTGAAAGCAGGACTCAACTTACACTGGCCATTTTGCTCCTTGCCCGGATTTTCGGCCCGTAAAATGCCAGGACCCAAGGGACAAGCGTAAGTACAGCACCCTGTTGAGAAAATTAGCGACCGAAGTGGAAAATTGCAGCAAGTGAAGACCTACAATTGCACCGAGAAGACTTGAGGCCTCGGGAAATCCCAGATTGGTAAACATAGCAGTTGTCACCAATGGGAAAACACCACCAAGCAAATTCCGGCCTGCCGGGTAACAAACACGTTAGCAAATCCAGAAAGTCCTTGAGAAGGAACCATAAAACAAGACTTACAGCATGACTGCGCTGCAATTGCAGAGCTCGCGTATCGGTGATAAACATCTGCTAGGTAGTTGAAGGTAGCTAAATAGATAGAAAAGATACCCATAGTCGCACAGCCCACAGCCATCGAGGGTACAATCCAATGGACAGATGGAAACGATGACCACCCGAACCAGAACAGGCCAATGGGCAACAAGATTGATTCCACGCAGACGAAATAAAGGCGGCCTTCGGCAGAGGAAGAGAGCTTTCCGAATCGTGCCGCGATCTTTTCTTGCGATATACTTATGATTGTGATCAGAACAACACCGACACACATAGCTGGGCATAGATATTAGTGCCAGATCCTGTCTCTAAAAGCCAACTTGGAGGTTGTTATTACTTACCGGTGAAGACAGCTCCTGTCTGCTCAACGTTAAATCCATGGTTCGTGCGGAACACCAAAGGAACGGAGCTGAATTGAAGATACAATGTGGCCCAGCTGAAAGAGACCCAGACAGAGAAAAAGAAAACGACAGGCTCTGTGACAAGCATGTCTTGAAGAGGTATCAGCATCAGCTCGGTGGAGCAGGATTTGGGGAAATGAAAGAACTCACGAAGCGGCCGATAGACGGAGATCTGAATCATGGTAGCCAGAGAATCACGCTGCTCGTCGCTCTTGACTTTCCATCGAATGCGCTTCACTGACTTCTCCGTTGAGTCGTCACTGGAAATGAAAACGCCGTGGTGGCCGGCCTTCTCCAACTGTTCATAATAGGTATTGAGAGCTTTCGCCTTTCGGCTCAGCAGAACACTGCCGCGGGTCTCTTTGAAGAAGAAGAATATGATAACAACAAAGACTGCCGAAACCATGGCGTGTGAGTAGTAAATCCAACGCCAGGAGGTATGCGTAACCACAGCGCCCGCTAGTAGGGGCGCAAGGCCGGTGCCGAATAGTGCAGAGCCTGAAAAGAGGGCCATCGGAGTGTTTCGGTCCTCTGCGTGGTAGATATCACTGATGACACCACCCACCATAGTGGAGAATGTCGCTAGGGGATGGTTTAGCACTGGGTCTCACTCTCAGAATCAGGAGGGAATAGCAATACGTACAGCCACCCACGCCCTGGAAGAAACGAGCGATCAGCAAGCCGGCAAAGATGTGAGTTCCTCCGCATGCCAGCAAGCAGGCTGTGAGAGACTAGTGATTAGCATGAAAGATCATAAATTGGGGGAAAGGGGAGAAGATCGAAGCAACATACCAACAAACAAGACTCCACTGGCAATGAAGATAGGGCGTCGACCATTAATTTCTGAAAAGGGGGCGAGAATCATAGGAGCCAGGGCGAAGCCAACACAAAATAGAGTGATGCTGAGGTTGTAGACAACAGGACTGATACCCCATTCTTTGCATAGTTCATCTGATGCTGGGCTAACCTCACCAGCCGAATATCCAGCCAGAGCCGTCACAGCGCAAGAAATATACGTCATAAGCGACTTGCGCCATCGCGGCCATAAGAACGGCGATGTGTATTTTTCCAGATTTGGTGGTTCGGGCGCGGCAGATTGGCCTGGTCCTGGTGGCAAAGAGATGCATGGTGTGGGTAACGGCGTGTCTAGTTCCAGATACAACGATTCGATCTCCTGGGAGTCGGCGATGGAAGGACTGATGCTGCGTTTCTCCATGGTGACCAAACCGACTTTGGGGGCGAGAAAATGTCGGTATCATGCACAATTTGACTGCTGGGATGTAAGGGTTATTTCAAGTTGAATATGAAAGTGTACACCGTATCGGGCAGCGCGAAGGGCGCAAGACTAGGACTCTCTGGTTTATGTACTATCTCTCTCGTTGGAAGAAAATCCAGAATTGGAGAAAGCATCTCCACCGGGAAATGGGTCAGGATTTATGGGTCACAATTGGGGATCTCTCAGGGATATGAGAATTGGCTTAACCATTTGCGCGAAATGGTTCAAGTTATGGCTGCACATTGGGAGCCATTCAAGTTGACAAGCACATGTACGAACCCCGCTCGTACGAATGAACAGGTTGGCGTAGTATGCTCGGACATATGGGCGAGAATTCACAATACTCTGTACAATCATTAATAATCCACAATGGCAAACTCGGCATCTCGGCCGGTTTCGAAAACGGAGAATGTGGGGATCGGACCCCCATCTCCCCCCATTCTCTCCAATCTCCAATTCGGAGAAGTCGAGAACAAGCAAAACCATGAAAGAGAGCCCACAAGGTGGATTATGATCGACGCTATGTACTGTTATCTAATATCTATAACCATATAAAATTCTCATGGACTCAGAGACTCGTGGCTTTCGTCGATACCTAAGTATAACTACATAACTAGTTAGTACATAGTACTACTAGTTGTGTACTACTACTCTGTGCATCTCGGTGAGTTCACCGGAGTTTACCTTCACCTCCCCGGTTGGATGTCAAATAATCTGGAGGTTGGAGAAATGCTGACTCACTACTACCTAGGTAGTAATTAGTAGATACCTACCAAGTACCCGTGGACCATATACTTCGTGAATCAATTAGTTCAACTGGGAGCCCTAAAGATTATATGATTATCCTTGGGCTTGGCAAGGGACAGGTGATGAGAATGGCTGGATTGATTGAATATATGAGCGCATTCTATTACCGAGATCTATTCTTTTCTCGAATGCACACTAACACAGTCTTGAGCTTCCCACACATGCCGATAGGAAGCCGTTACATCGCGAACACTCTATTGCTTGCCGTCAGAGAACGACACTACGGCCCATTTTCCGCTCCAGGCCCATTTGCGGGCATCGGCACCACCACCATTGGGCTGTTGACGAAGCTTCTCGTCCTCGCCAGCAGGTAGACCGACCACAACATCGGCTTTGCAGGTCCGGAATGCCAGTACACAAATTCCTGACTGTGGACCCATTGGTCCAATGGCAGTTGTGAATGGGGTCGTGGGGTCCCATTGAGCCTAGATAAAGGTCAGTATCGAGAAAGGAAGAAAGAACGGTCGCGCTTACATCGTTCGTGAGTTTGCGGTAGTTCAAATCGCCCTTGAAAAGTACGAGCTCGCTTTCTTTTAGGTCTTCGAAAAGCTCGGGGGCCACGTGAGGCATCCGCCAGTAGCAACCCTGGGTGGTCCAGAATGAGTGTGGGCGGATAATCAGTTTACCATCTTGGTGGAATTGGCTCCATTGTTCAAAAAGGAACTGGACATCAGCAACCTCCTTCTCTGCAAGGGGTGGGTAGGTTTTGCCGGAATCATCGGCGGCAGTGTAGAACGCCTGCGGGTCCGCCATCGAGTTCAGCAGATCGGAAAAGTCCTTGGGTGTAACGTCCGACACAAACCAAGGGAGACGCTTCGGGTGTAGGACAATCGTAGTTGCCAACCCAGCGGACAGCAAGTACCCGGCCAGAATCAAGTCAACGAATAGCTCAAACCCAGAGTTATCGAGTACGATATCCACTCGTCGCTCGCCATCCTTCTTCTCGCGACGGGCTTTCTGCATGGTTTCGAATGCCGCGTCGAGGTCATTGACGATGATGTTTTTCTGCGAAGCCTTCCGTGCCTCCGATCCCTGCAGCTTCTGGATATCTTCGTAAGTGAGGGAGGTGAGGAGCGAAAGATCGGTGGCATTTCCCCACAGGCAAATCTCGCACATCTCGGAGAAGAGCAGCCGCTCGGCTTGCTCCACCTCCTCGGGAGATTTACCCTCCGATGAGACACCAGACTCCGCGTCCTGTGCAAGCTCACGGTACCGAGTAGCCAGTTCCAAGACAGCTGGGCGTGAAGATTTGAAGGTGGACATCTTCTGGCGAGCGAAGACATCGTATCCCTTCCAGTGCTTGGAGAGGGCAAAGAATGTTTCCATACGGCGGTCTGCAAATGAGATATCAGCCTCGGTACGTGTTTATCCAGTTGTCAGAGGGCCTCGTCGTACAAAGGTAGCATTCAGCATAGAGCCACGCCACGTCATGCCATTTGGGGTTGCCTCGCTCGGCCAGTTCCTTGTTGTAGCTCGCAATATCGGCCTCGCCATCGTCTTCCAGGGGTCTAATCACATATATGATAAGCGAAAAGCCCAACAGGGAGGGGCGAAGACTGCAGAATACTTACGTCAACGGCCGATTATGTTGCAACTCATATTTCATCTTGGCCAATTGCTCGATGATGCTTTTGCCATCCTTGGCCTTTTCGTCATCAGTAACTGTTCCAACAGTCCGATGAAGATCATCGATTGCACCTGTCTGGTAACTTCGTTAGTAATTGGGTCGCGTATTCTTGTGTAGGGTTCAGGGTACGCACGAGAATGACTGGCCATCGGTCGCTGGCAGAGACCGAGGCGAAGCTCGACGGGTCTGACGTGAGGAACTGGGCTAATACGGGTCAGCTGGTCATATCTGGGACAGATGAAGATTAATGGCTCACGCGTCTTGGGATCGAATTCCATCTTGCCGATTGGATGCGTGTAGAAGACAAAGCTGCCCAGCTGGTCAACTTCGAATTGAATTGCGGGGAGCTTCGCGGGGCAGCGAGGGCGGTCTGGAAATGCCCCGCTGTGTATTTGCGCGGAAACGGGGACAACAGCAATGATAAATGATAATTGAGGATAGAGGATAGATGATGGAAGTATAGATCAAGATGGAGCATGAATCTTTCACTAGGGTAAATCACAAAAGATGCTAGATAAAAAGCACGGCGGCAGAGATTTGTTCACTCGAGTCTACACTATCGAAACGTATATGGACGTTTGCGGTGACCGGAGTACAACAGGCCGTCTCAGGCACGACAAGTGATCTTCGACAGCTAGGATTGAATTGACAGGCCGAGACGAACCAAAGCCAACCGATCAAATGCAGCGCTCCGAAGGACGCCAGCTAAGGCGCTCCTGGGAAACACCATGGTAGTATGACGATGGCGATGGCAACCCAAAAGGTCAACAGCAAAGGCTGGCGGAGCTATCCAATGGAGATAGCTTGTTTAATTTCATACGCGGACAGTACGTATCGCAGAAATCGTATGCTGCCTTGCAGCTACGTCCAGTGTATGTGGGCGGGCTGATAGAGCGGTGGTTTGCTTCGGAGTGGTCTTCCTGCAACTTGCTGCACTTCGGCTATCCAATTCTCGATAACCAGGGCAGACGATAAAACTTGGTGTGGTGAGATATTCCTTCTGGCCACGGTAAATGGGATTAGTTGCTCAAGTTAAGTGTCAAGCCGATCAAACACACGTAGGCGGCGATGCTCAACGCCGTCAAAATGAGAACTGCATTGCCGCTGGTGCGGAACTTATGACGGTGAATCCCATCTTCCCCAAGTTCAGCAAAGAACTGGCGATTTCCCTGGGAGCGACGGAAGAGTCCGATGATGAGAACGCCGGTACCGTAGATTGCAAACAGGGCACCAATACTGTAGAACTCGGCAGTGAAGATCTTGAGCACAACAAGAGCGAAAGAGAATTGGGAGAGAGCTGTCCGGACGTAAGCTCCTTCGAAGGTACGCTGGGCAGCACGCACTTCGACAATCTCATCTGAAGTCAGGACGGCCGATCGGGCACGGTGCATGCGCAGGTGGTATCGGTCTGCGGCACGTCGCTGGGGTGGGTGTTAGAATGACCGGTGACGGGAAAGGGGATGGAAATGGAAAGACGATAGATGGGGAAGAGACAAACCTCGAACATTGTCAAGATATCATTATCATGAACAGAGCAGAGTAGAAGTGAACAGCAACAACAGCAGCAACCCTTGGGAATATGTTAGGGTAGCAGGTAATTGTGGAGTTGCGGAGTTGCGGATGACGAGATAGGAAAGAGGCAAGTCTTGGCGTTGGGGTCCGGCAGATCTTTCATCCGATGAACATGTGACAATGTCAATGCTTGTTGCCTGAATGCCTTAATACCTGAGTGCCTTAATGCCTGAGTGCCTCGCGACTCCTTCTACCTGTTACTCGACACAAACACAGTATGATACACTGTCTAGATTATGAATGATCCGCATCCACCTACCTTACAAGGTATCTCGGTAATCCAAATACCCTTATATTGTTATCTCTGAAGACGAACTGCTAACCCTCTACGTAGTGCGGTCGTTGCCATTCCAAAAAGGTAGCGATATATGATCTTAGCAACCAGAGTTATACAGTGCAACCCAAATAACCATCCTCTAGGTTCGCTGCAATCGAGTCATTCCACGATGCGATAACTGTGAGAAGGCCGGAGATGAATGTGTATACACATCTCGGAAGTCCCGAATCAAGAAACCACAGTATTATCTGCCCATGAAAGGGAGTTCCTATTCAACCACCAATGGACTAATCAAAATTTCCAGGAATCTTCCAGTCAAAGCAAATCCGCTTTGGGACATTCTCCGCCGTCTCAACCGCCTCGAAAAATATTGCTCTCTGCCGAGTGCCTCAGCTGCTTCGGACGCCTCTCAGACCACACCCGTAAACGATGATTCGCTACAGATAGTCCCTCCGGCGATTCAAAATCTTATCAAATGTATCAAAGATGAAGATACTCGATACTTCCTCGTTTTGAATCTTTTCTGTCGCCTGAGACAAATTCATTCGACCTTTTTCAGCAGTCGAGCTATCAGTGCGATCACCTCTGCCATATCAGAGATCGAATTCCTGCAGAATACACCAAGTCTTGAGCTGCTGGAGGACCCAGTTATCCAAAAAGATCTAGTGAAAAGGCTGATCGAAAGTAAGTATCCTCCGAATAACAGCTGTCCACACTCTGACCATTTTCAGACTACTATGGCCGTTACCAATTCGAAGGCTTCAAATACCCTCTCGAGAAAGATTTCTTGGCTGCAATTCCTGACTTGATCGATAACCCTCACATCGAGCTAGACTATACGTCCCAAATTATCTACTACTCCATCATACTCCGAGGCATCATGCTTGACCCAGAATCCCTCCCAGGAAGAGGCAACATAATCCAGGCTCTCTATTCGAAGTGCGTTGCATTAAGCGATGCATGGATAGAGAATATCCACGATACCCCTACCGACCTATTAGCGGCTTCTCTCATGGTAAGCACACTATGTATCCACTAGTTCTCTATGCCCAGAGAGCCTTTCTATTCAATCTATATGGCTAACAGACCTCCAGATATCAATAGCCCTCGAAGGCTGTAACATAGACCTAGCCTGGCAAGCCTTTGGTCAATCGTGCAGAATTTCAAAGACCCTTGGCTACTTCTCGGTAGACGAATCTTCCAATGAAGAGAGCAATCAGCAGTCCGTCCCAAACGGCACAATCCCGTCAGAAGCCGAAGTCGAGCGAAACCGGAAACGCTTTGGATTTTGGCACATTCTTCGCACAGACTGTCTTTTCCGCATGTCTTTCGGCAAGCCGACTTTTATACCTGCAGGATCGTGGAAGGTCAATTTCCCCGATCCGACAATCAATGGCGTGGACGATGGAAAGTCACATTTCATACAGATTCACTTCTTTTCTTCAATGCGGCTTGCTCTTATCGTGATGAGGTATCTCGATTGGATCGAGGGGGGGTGCTCGACAAAATTCAACCTCACATGATACTATCATCGATGGTTATATCGACGAGGTGCAGTCTATTTTGTCGGATTGGGATACGGTATGTTATGTCCTTCGTCGGTGCCCTCACTGCATGACGGAACCCACAAGATCTATGCTAATAGCAAGGAAGGAGAATCTTCTTCAGATGGCAACCGATCATAGCGATATCTGGCTTTGTGTCGATGTCCTTTTCAACAGCTATACAATGCTTATCGTGCTGTATCAATCGAAAAAGTCCGAGCAGGGTGGTAGTCTACCATATCCAGCCATTTATCTGGCCAGGAAATCAGTAAAGACCTTCCAGTCACTACTAGAGTCCTCATCGTATTGGGGAATCAGGTATGCCGACCCTCCCCATCCACGACCTCGTTGCGCATATTACTAAACCTCGCCTGTAGTCTTCTCCTACTGCATCATTTCCTCCCCTTCTTCGTCATTTGCTTGGAAATCCTTGGAAATCCTACATGCGAAAGCCTTGTTGAAAATATCATGCTGGTGAGCTGGGTCTGCGACCATGTCGAAGTTATCGTTCAGGGAAGAGCCGTGCTAAAGCCGATTGCGATTGTCATGAGAGCCTTGGTGAATGCTTGCAATCAAACGAAAGTAGACTCGGGCTTTCTTGCAGCATCAGTCGTTGCTAGTTCTACTGTAACTCGAACTTGAACCTGAACCTGAACCTGAAATAATGGGAATAGCCTGTATCAGAAGATAGCTACCTAGGTAGGTGTCGCCCAGGTGATGGCAATATATATACCAAATGCTCCCAAAGAGGGCGACACGTGACCGTGACGCACACACATCCGCGGAGTCGGAACTTCATCACATCTCATCACTTCCAACTCTTGTTCTCCTCCGCCTCTTTATCACCACTGCCTCAACCTACCTATTTCAAGGTACTTCATCTCGGGACACCAAATCCGACCCCCACGTTGCGGTCTGCATCAGTCAGAGGAGGGCTTTACTTATTAGGTAGTCAATCTCGACTCGTGGGAAATTGACCCCCCACACGTCTCCACCAATCCCCCACCAATGACGCCTCCGAGAATTCTAATTCCAATGCCAATGCCAATTACAATTGCCCCCGGCTATCGAATTTGCCCAACGGAGCAGACACCGGGCCCTTCCCCACACTCCGCACGGCGGGTTCGCCGAAAGGCCCTTCTTCAACGCTCGCCCTGCCCTGCTTTATCTTTTCCTGCTCACTCATCCCGTCGTGTTGGTAGAAGCCCAGCGACAGGTTCCCACAACAATGGCCAAGGTCTATGATGCCGCAGAGGGTACGTTCATGCCGGTTGAATTGTCCACTCTCTCCGAGGACACACGAATGCCTTGCTGCTCATCTCCCCCGCATCGCTCAAGCTGCTAACAAAAGACCATCATAGTTGCCAAACACAACACTCGCGAAAGCTGTTGGGTAATTCTATACGGCAAGGTCTACGATGTGCGTCCGCTCCTTCCTTCCGTCCCTCTCCTTATAAGCAAGCCGAATGCTGACAATCGCGAGTATTAGGTCACCGATTTCTTGTCCAGCCACCCTGGCGGTGCGAAAATCATCCTGAAGCTCTCCGGCACCGACGCGACAGAGGAATATGACCCCATTCACCCCCCGGGAATCCTGGAGGACGAGCTGAAGCCCGAAGCTTGCCTCGGAACTGTCGATACCAGCACCATAGCCAAGTCAGAACCCGTCGCAGAGGCAGCGGAGCCAGCACAAGGTCCTCCGCCCGTGGAGACTCTTCTCAATCTAGATGAGATCGAAGAGGTGGCTACGAAACAAGTGACCCAAAAGGCCTGGGCTTATTATTCGTCTGCTTCGGACGATAAGTTCTCCAAACACTTCAACAACAAAATCTACCAGTCCATTCTTCTCCGTCCACGGGTCTTTGTCGATTGCACCCGCTGTGAATTGGATACTACTATCCTCGGCCACAAGGTCGGATTGCCCTTCTTCATTGCCCCCGCCGCCATGGCGCGTCTGGGACACCCTGCTGGTGAGGCGGGCATGGCTGAGGCGTGCCGCAGCTTCGGCGCAATGCAAATTATATCAAACAATGCTTCCATGACCCCTGAGCAAATCGTGAAGGATGCCGCACCCGATCAGGTCTTTGGCTGGCAGCTCTATGTTCAAACCGACCGCAAGAAGAGCGAGGCTATGTTGGCCCGCATTAACAAGCTCAAGGCAATCAAGTTCATCGTCCTCACACTTGACGCACCGGTTCCAGGAAAGCGAGAGGATGACGAGCGAAACAGTTTAGTCGGTGCAGCTGCTCCAGTTTCGAGCGGCGTGAAAGCGGCTGAACGTACATCAGATGACACCCCCGATGTTTCGGGAGGTTCTGGAGGTGTCGGCCAACAACTGTTCGCGGGTACTGATCCCTCCTTGCGCTGGCATGAAACATTGCCATGGCTCGCTCAACAAACCAACCTGCCTATCGTCTTGAAGGGGCTTCAGACACACGAGGATGCATACATTGCCTCATTACATACTCCACAAATCAAGGGAATCATACTTTCCAACCACGGTGGCCGAGCTTTGGATACTGCACCGCCTGCTGTACACACCTTGCTTGAAATCCGAAAATACTGCCCCGAAGTTCTTGACAAATTGGAGGTGTACGTGGATGGTGGTATCCGCCGTGGTACCGATATCGTCAAGGCCCTTTGCCTGGGCGCTAAAGCAGTTGGTCTTGGCCGGGCTGCTCTTTGGGGCCTCGCAGCCGGTGGCGTTGATGGTGTTCGTCGGACTTTGCAAAGTGAGTAAACAACAAATTTCATTGATTAGAGCGCATTTTGCTAATCTTTTATCGTGCTACAGTTTTGGCAGACGAAAGCAAAACCTGTATGCGACTACTTGGTGTCGAAAACGTCGATGAGCTTGGTCTTCAACATGTACGCTGCCCACACTCTTTTTATTCTAAATATGCATTGGCTGACTTTCTCTTCTCTTGTTAGATCAATACGCGGATGGCCGAACATCAAATCTACGACGGTCCATCGAGTCTGGATTCTTTGCGGCAATCGTTCAAAGCGAAATTGTAATGACTGCTTTTCTTGTGGGTCTTTTGAGACAGTATATATCCTTGCATTTTGTACATTTACGCTTTCTATCATCTATTTATGCGACTTGTTCGCCAACAAAGTGGCCTCCCAACGTAAACGATTTCTTTGTACCACAGGGCTTCTATGCAGGATAGCTAAGTGAATTTCGCGCATGCCTCTTGAAGTGCCGGCTTTTGACTCGCAAGAACGTTGGGATCTTTGGTCTCAGGTCCAGGATCCATCGTATTCTCATGACAAGGCGGGGTTGTGCAATTCATAGCTCCGACGAGACTCGCTAGGCTATGAAACCGCCTCGCTTGTATCTGTGAAACACATTAAGCCCCCCCCCCAAATTGGGGCTCCGGTAGACGGGAAGGGTTTGCCTTGGACAGCGTGGGCGCGAGATAAAGGAGAGGGAGGGAGAGTGTAAAATCCCGTGCAGGAGGGGGATATTACCCTCATGCTGTGAAATATTCGTAGGTCGAAAAGTCGGAGTGGGTTTCCTCCTTACTGGCCCGGCGAAAGCTACGCCTAGTAGCTTTCTTGAACTCGGAAGGAGAAGACCAAGCTACATCCCATGTTTTCGCATCGCCGAGGTTGCTCGAGGATTTGAGGACGCCAAATCGGAAATCAAGGGGATCTGTAGACGGGTCATTTGATACGGATGGCAGTCGCATGTAATACCGAACGGAATCTGGAATCTCCTCCTTGACATGACTGATCAGAAGCAGAGCCTGCTGATCTGATAGACCATGGTGTCGCACATGCTCAGAAGGCCGCCCGGATTGACCATTTTCCAGGAAGTTCAAACACTTATCGCGCTGTGAGGCCGTTAAGCCGGAAAAGGGCTCGTCGAGGATGACAATATCGGGCTTGTGAATGAGAGCGCGGAGAAACAGCACGATGCGCTGTTGTGCGGTGGTGAGTTGACGGAAAAGCACCTGGTCGGCGTACTCGACGTCAAAATCATCAGGTATATAAGGAGCAGGATTGTCTTGACCCTTCGTCGTTAATTTGGGGAAAAGCTCCGAATCTGCGATCTTGGGAGGCTTGGACTGTGCCGAGGCTGCATTGGGATCCAACTCAGCCTTGAACTCCCGCAACGCCGCGGACACGTCTAGATCGCGCTCGTGATCAAGTTTGGGCCGGGCGAGGAAGGTCTCGGCAAAGGAAGATTCTAGGGCAGCACGGATTGATAATTGGCGGGGAAAGAAGGCGTGGATTTCAGGCGAGGAATGTCCCAGTCGGGATTGCAGCTCGAATATAGAAATTCCCGGCTGGCCATTCTCGGGCAGTCGAGAGCGGCCAAGGATTTTGATAGGCTGCGAGTATGTTTGGGGATGATCGGAGGTGATCAATGACAGAAGGGTCGTTTTACCAGATCCGTTGGGACCGAGGATAGCCCAGCGCTGGCCACGTCGGACACGCCAGTGAAGACCCTCTTTGGGCTGCTTCTCGATATTCTGCTTCCAGTTACCAAGAACGACCTTGTCGCCGTATTGAACCCGGACCCCATCCATTTCAATCAGGGCGTCGCCCCCAATTGGTGTCTCGCGCTGTTTGATCCGGTTTGAGGCCTTGTGGTTGGCAGTGAAGTCCCGAAGGAGCTCCTGGTCAAGAAGGCCTGCCTTAAGGTTCTTTTGAGCACGAAGTTTGATGGCTTTCTCTTCGGGGTTTGCGGATTGACCCTTCGCCTGGGAGGGGTTCGCGAGGCCGCGCCAGGTCTGCAAAACTTGGTTGATCTCAGGCCGAGTCCCTTGTGCCAGGATTTGGTGAGTGTTGCCAACCAACATCATATGTGTAATCCAATCCGGCACTGTGTCTTGTGGGCGCAGAGCCAGGATGAGGCGCGGCGAACACTTGTCAGCTAAGCGAAGGAGTAGCCCAGAGATGCTTCGTACTGTGGCCGGGTCCAGTCCCACTAGAAACAGGTTAGCTTCCGTCCAAGGATGATATTTGAATAATTAGATGACATACTGAAGGGCTCATCCAGCAATAAAAGCTCCGGCTTCTTCAGTAGGGCCTTTGCTATGCGTGCTCGTCGAGTTTGACCATTGCTGAGATTCGCGACAGGCATGTCGAGCAACGCATCGAGGTGCAAATCCGCAATGACCTCCTCCAACAACTTCTCATCCCGGACAGTTCCATTTTCTTCACCTTCCATGGGATTCAGAGAGGTCTTGCCCCGCAGGAACTGCTCGACCGTCCAGTCGGTCTCCTCGCGAAGACTTTCATATCGGGCACTTAAATATGCACCACGGGTACCCCCAATGGCCCCGGATCCCTCGCCACTGAAACCAATATATTGTATAGCATTACCGACTATGCGTAATTGCGGATCCTTTGCGAGAACCTCATCGGTGCGCAGGTAGGGGTATGAGCGGGCGGTCGGTGGAATGGAGATATGTAGGCCTCGGAGGATGTCAAGTAAGTCGGTGCGGCCGGATGGACCAACAATGGCCCAATGCTGAAGAGTGTCTTCCGGAGAGGATCTTTTCGCAGGGAGATTGAAGTTTAGATTGGGGAATAGCGGTGGATTGATTGGAGTATCTCGTTCACTCTCGGTCGGGTATTGGCGGTAAAAAGTACCATCTTGGATGCGCACAAGGGGTACCGAGGATACAGACCGTGCAGCTAGGCGGATGGGACCTCGAGGCCGTACCCGGAGAGTCGTACGTAGGCTGGGCAGCAGCATTGTGAGAATGCAAGATGGTCCCAGGCTTGAATTTGACCAAGTGAAGTTGCAATTGAACCTCGTCATCGTTGAAGATGGTCTCGCTGGGTCAGGTGACTGCGGCTTCGGAGTTGAGCCCGACCTCCCCGAAGTATACAAATTTGTATACACATGAGATAGTTATATTGCGGGGTTATCTCTTTGAGTTATGGTGCAAATCAAGAGCTTTGATAATAATTGTGTATCTATGTAATCAAATACTGAGTGCTAAGGTCTAGTGCTGGCGAGAGGGTGGTCACGGGGGAAATATGTAGGTGGATGAGAAACTATCTGACCTAAAAGGACCTAGGTAGTAGATAGGTAGTCGGTGAACTGACTAGATCTGCCTAGATGTGCACCAGTCCAAACGCTCCGGCTCTGCGTATGCCATGGCAAACGCTCTGACGTGCGTCCCCGGCCTCGGCGGCGGCCGAGGGATGTTCTCACATGTAGGCTAACCCATGAAGCCCGGGATCAGTGTTATACATGTGCGACCCCTTTGCCCAGGAACTATGTGATTCCCTTCGAAATTCACTCCAGTATATACCATACACGCTTATAATTTCACCTCGGCTGCACATGTTGGTCTAAATATCATATTGCGATTGCGCCGATACCAAATAAACCGTCACCAATCCCAGTCAGAACCACAATTAGATCAGTCGAGGGTCATCCAGAATATGAGCATGCCCTGAGTGACATCGGATGATGAGTTTGTCCTACCAAATAATGCTGCATCGTAAAATACAGAATGTATGATGGACGGTATAAAAAAGACACCCTGCGGAAGGAAGGCAGCTTTGCTGATACTATCTACCACAATGTCATCGCTCGCTGGGTCGGCATCTTCCCATGAGTATATCCTCCGCGAAGGCTATACCAAGATATTTGAGGCGCATACTGTCTTGTTGACGGGCAGTACCGGGTCACTCGGAGGATGCTTGTTATACAAACTGGCCCTACAGTTGCCCACGCGAAAGATATTTGCCCTGATCCGAGGAGAACCAGCGCAGGCAATTGAAAAATGGACTAAGTCAATGCCCGACCAAGTACGGGCTATCGTAGCCTCGGGGAAATTGGAATTTGTCGTTGGTGATATGCGGAAGGCAGACTTTGGCCTCAAGAGTGAGGTGCTCAAGGATTTGCGTGAGCAGGTCACCCTGGTCATTCATACAGCAGCCAAAATCAGTCTCGAGGCAAGTCTAGTTGATGCTTTTGAGAACAACTGTCTTCCGGCACTGGAAATGGCTCGCATCGCTTCACGCTTCCGTCGGCTAAAACTTCTCATTCAAATTTCAACAGCTTATGCCAACAGCTTCTTGCCCGATGGGCCTGTGTTAGAACGCCCCTATACTGCCTCAAATCACGATGGAGATGATGATCCCGAGGAAGAGTTGGCATCGATCTTGACATTGAATCAGTCCCCCATTTCAAATCAATTCTCCTCACCCTACGCGCAGGCCAAATATATTATGGAAAGACTTCTCCCGCGTCGGTTCCCCTTGCTGCCCATCTTGTTAGTACGACCGACCATCTTCGGCCAGGCACTACGAGATCCGTTTCCTTTGTATGGACTAGAGAATTCGACCCCGATGAACAAGTTCTTCCAGTATTTCTTGGCCGACCGTGGAGCCACGCAGGTATGGCATGCAGCAGCAGGATACACGACCGGGGCCAATATCATCGATGAGATCCCAGTGGATTTTGTCGCCAACGCATGTCTGATACATGCCGCTGTGCGTACAACAGGTATCGTACAGGTAGGGGCACAGCTGTATGAGCACTTTACTTTTGACGCATTCTTGGAGATGGCCGTCGACAACGCGCCGCCTGCTATTCGCCGCGATCTTCCTCGGGTGGTCTTTACCGAGGACTTATTGGCACCACAGTGCTTCCTGGCGGAGTTGGTGCAGGTAGCTTCACGGAACTGGCTGTTTGATTGTGGCCGGTCTTACTGGTTGAAGCAGCTCAGAGGTCCGTTGAGTCTTCAGCAATGTAAGCCACAGGTGGACGAGGTCAATCGCCGGCGTCTGCAGCAGATTTATAGTCGGCTAATGGAAAAGGAAAAGGCACGACTGTAGGGTGAGAATGGTACTACTAGTAGTAGTTACTAGTAGTGGAGTTGTATGTAGTTGAGAATTCAACCTTGTAGCCCTAGGTAGTGCTCAAACTGATTTTGTCATAGAGAAACACATGATCATCATTAGAGCACAGAAGATGAGTTGGATATCTTCAAATGAAAATGGAAAGAAATAACCAGGGTGGCGATAATTTACTTTGGAGGCTCTATTCATCGTTCATCTATATGCTAGTATAACAGTAGGCGCAGACTGTGGGTAGTAAATGACTGCATGTCGCCGGCATACAATTCGAATGATCCTGGACCACGTTAAAAGATTCGCCGAAAGGAACCCTAATATTTTCCCGATTTCATCAATTTCGGGCCTGTACGAATGAATCATGACGATTGGCATTTATCTGGCGGTATACCCACCATCAACAGGCAAACAGACTCCTGTGATCCAGCTGGCATCGTCACTTGCCAAGACAACAGCCATTTTCGCAATATCATCAGGGAATCCCGGACCCTTCAGTGGGTGTCGCCGATTGAGATCGTCCCAAGGGGTACAATTATTGGTAGTTTCCTTGAAGATGGCGGTTTGAGTATCTAGTAGTATAAACTATGTTAGTACAGATACCTAGAAATCTAGCCAACTCGAATGCTGTAGCTCAAAAACACCAGCAGCTTACATCCAGGGCAGAGTGCGTTAGAATAAATTCTCTTTGGAGCATAGTCCAAGGCAATTTGTCTCGTGAGCTGACTAACAGCTCCTTTTGATGCGCAGTATGAGGCTTTGAAAAGTTGAGATTTCAAGATTAGTTTTCCAAGGTTGATTTTGGCGACATATACTATTATTAGAAGCATCCATAGATGGTGAACTTACGGTTCTCTGGCCCAGCAATAATGCCCATTATTGAGGAAATATTGATAATCCATCCTCGGTCACCAGATGAGTGCGGCTCCTGAGCTAGCATCTGTGCAAGGGCATATTTACAGCCAAGAAACACAGATTTGGCATTCACTCGCATTGTCAAGTCCCATGTTGCTTCATCAGTTAGATGTAGAACAGCTGGAGTGCGTGCCTCGACACTGATTCCCGCATTATTCACAAGGCTATAGATCGGTTAGCTGGAATGTAAGTGACAAGATGGCCAGGAAAAATGTACGCACATATCAAGTCTTCCATACTCCTGAACTGTTGAATGTATGAGGTTCTTCATTTGTGTTGCATCACTAACGTCGGTCCGGACAAAAATTGCACTTCCCCCATTTTGGATAATCAAGGCATGTGTCGTGATGGTTGCTTCCTCTTGAGATCGTGCTGTCGCTGTTAAGTCGGCACAGACTAATTTGGCACCTTCTTGGGCGTACCGTATAGCGATAGCTCGACCTAGACCAGAAGACGCGCCGGTTATAATGGCAACCTTATTCTGCAGACGGAGTGATTCCGTCATTTCGATTGACTTCAGAAGTTTCCAGGGTTGAACCCTTTGAAGTTGGTAAAACTGAATCGATGGAATTGGCGGAGCGATCGCGGCCAGAACTTCAATCTATAAGTAAATAAAATGAAGGGGAGGAACCGAGAGTGAATTGCCGAGCGAAAATTTCTTGCGCTGAGTGATTTAAATGTACTAAAAAACTTCCAAACGCTTTAATTTCGGGTCATGAGCATTGGATGGAGAAGATGTATGGGTGGAGTGCTCCAGAGATGCATGAAAGAGGGTCTTCTCTTTCATTCTCTCGCAATTTCCTTTTGAGGTATGCGAGAAAGGGCTTCTACTCCATATTTTGCAACAGGAAATTGAGCCGAGGTGGGGCTTTTCAATGAAAATTCCAATCAAAGTTGACTGTTTGACCATTCCCAAGTTTCTCCGCTCGGGAACATCGCCATTTTAGGCGCCCCACTTTTCGTGTCGCTGATCAGTTTGCAGGCCATCGGATCATCTTTGTATAAAAACAAGCGCAGAAAATTCAACGACATACTCCTCGAGTTAGCAGGTTACTGTTGTCAAAATATTACTCAATTTCTATCAATCACGTCCGTTACATCGGTTTCAAGCTGTTTAGAGATGCCGCCCACTCTCTACGTCATTCGCCATGGTCAAGGTGAACATAATGTCAACGTAATTGAGTCCATTTATACCCTAAAGCTTTAAATTCGTACTCCTAACACACTCTCTAGGACCAGAGTCATCTAAAGGACCCTTTGCTTACCGATACTGGCAAAGCCCAATGCAAAAGTCTCCAAGAACATTTCCCATTTCTGCAAGATGTTCAAGCCATCGTTGTCTCTCCTCTCAGACGCACCATACAGACTGCAGCCTTTGTATTCGCACCAGAGTTAGAAAAGCGCCAATTGCCTATCATTTTAGCTCCCGATGCGCAAGAAATCAGTCACTTGGCGTGTGACCTTGGATACGATGCCGATGTTATCAAATCACATGCACCAAATCTAATTGCCAAGGCCGTGCCTTCGTACAATGCCATTAACTTGGATGCAACCCTCGTGGATGAGTCGTGGAACTTAAAGGTAAGTCTAATCTTGCAATGATACTTTGGTAACAATTTTCTAACCCTTGGAAAAAAAAACTGGTTCATAGAAAGGGATAAATGCGCCTACCCTCAGTGCCGTTCGTAGTAGAGCTTCTCGGCTACGGAACTGGATCTACAATCGCCCAGAAAAGCATATCGCACTTGTCACTCATGGTGGCTTCTTGCATTACCTCACAGAGGACTGGAACGGTTATGAGAAAGCTAATGGTATAGTGAAAAATTGACATTCTCACCACTGGAGGGTTGCTAACTTTGAATGCATTTACAGGGACTGGTTACCGAAATTGTGAATATCGAAAGCTAGTGTTTACAGAATGTTCAAATGGGGAGAATTCGCATCTCCAGGAATATGGAAGCATGTTGGGGAAGCAAGAGAGACCGGTTCGTCTTTATTCGAGCGGTTTCGATGAGATAGAGCAAGCCGAAAATGCTTCTGCTTAGATGAAGCCACCTGCATCAATGCAAGCGGCTTAGCCTAGAAAATATCGATTATAGCCAAAAGGAAAGTGAGAAACTTTGAATTCTGCATGAGATTTATATCAGAATTTTGGACTGCATTCAAACTTTGTCTTCGTACCAGTGTTATTGTGATGATATTGGTGGTAAGAAGGGGACAAAAGTCTCCTTGCTCCAAGGCTATTATAGTGTGCCCTGGATGTAAATTGTGAGAAAGAAGAGCCAAGGAGGAGACATGTGCGTAATAAGCTTGAAAATAGTAATTTTGTTTAGATTCTACCATGTTGCGATCTTTGATTTCACCTCACCTTGGAACCTCGAAGGTATTTCATAGTTTTTGAATATCGTTTTGCCGATCCAATGTTTACCTAACCGAAATTTGGACCCCAACAGCTAAGTATTTCAACACCAACTCCGTTATCGAAATACAACATGCCAAAAGCACTTAATTTTTACTCGACCCCCAAGATAAAGCCGAAAGGATTTCACATAAAATTATCCGACCTTGGCTCAAGCGTATCTCTTCAGGCTCTGGTACCAAATGCCTTATCATAACCAACAAGAGTCACTCGGTATTTTGCATTGCCGTTGAATACTTTCTCAACTGCAACTTTGCATCCGTTCTCACTAATGTCGATTGTTTCAACCCAACTGATATTGTCAGTTCCTCGACATATGGCCTACTAGTAATAAAAAAGGGAAGAATATGCTGACCTCTTAATGTTCAGCTTTGCAGCTAGCTCGAGCATCTCCTGAATTTCTCCTCGACTTCCAATATGACTGGCAGCAATTGAGCATCCGGTGCCCATCATGTCCTGCGTTCTCAGAGGCGGAAATGCCTTGTCGGAAATCCCAACAGTGTGGAATATATCGTTTATAGCCAAGACGCTGAAATAAGCAGACATGTCAAAGCGATCTGTCGCGTCGGTTGTGTTGAGGATGAAATCGAAAGTGTTCTTCCAAGGAACGTTCCACAGCTTCTCCCTCGTGCTGATAAAGCCTTTGGCACCAAGAGCTTTTGCATCCGCCTCTTTATTTGGAGAGTGTGAAATGGCATAGACATCGGCTCCCAGAGCCGCGGCGAACAAAATTCCAAAATGGCCAAGGCCACCGCTAGTTAAAGAATTAGCCAACCTTTCCATTTTCACTTTAAGTGAGATTTGAATTGCTCACATTCCGACCACTCCAACCGTTTTTCCGGGGCCAATCTTAGCACGCGAAAGGGGGCTGTATGATGTAATACCAGCGCAAAGCATTGGCGCCGCAATACTTGACTCCAAATTATCAGGAATTGCGAAAACGAAGTACTCATGGGCGCGAATATGACTAGCGTATCCACCATATGCCATTGACCCGTCAGGGTAGTAGCAATTATAGGTATCTTGAAGTTATTAGCAAGAAATTGATCATTGTTTCATTTTCTTGATTGGATGATAACTTACCGACTTGGTGGGGGCAATAGTTCTCATTGCCTGACCTGCACACCTTGCATTCAAGGCAGGCCCAAACCTGGGCACCAACGCCAACACGATCACCAATTTTGACAGTGGTGGTATTCTGGCCAACAGTAACTACTCTGCCAATGACTTCGTGCCCTACACACACAGGCAATCTTGCTTGGCCCCAACCACCTGTAAGGGTGTGCACATCACTTCCACACACCCCGCAAGCTTCAATGGCAATCTCAACATCCCGTTCTGCAAGAGATTTGGGCCTGAACTGTAGCGAGTATGAGCAGCTACTTAAATTGAAGAAAAAATTGCAAGAACTAGGGATAATGTACCTCTTCTTTCTGAAAATCACTCCATTTCTCGTGGGAGTGAACCATAAATCCCTCAAAGGTGTCTGGATAAACCATGTTCAAGTTGACGAGTACCTGAATAATTGAGGTGGGGGTAGTCGCGAAGAGAGGTATGATAGTTTTAAGCTCTAAATCGCCCTCAATCAGCGGAGTTGAATTTGAATTTATGTAGTATTCGATCTACAACCCACCCGTCCTCAAATTCCTGACCTGAACGAAGCAAGGAAGTTTCGGAAATACTACCCAAAGAGAATTACCTGATGTAGAGAAGTAAAGTCTTACTTGGAGTAAATTATTGCTGAAGGTGGAGCGTGGAGATACAGGATTGAGTCATATGTCATCATATCTCGACGCAGCGGTCGGGATCATCACCTCGGAATTTTAACCTAGACCAGAAGGGCCATGGTCAACAAAGTGGAGGTTGAATACAGTTGCTTTGAGGGCCGAGAAAGAGCTTTTTAAGATATTGCGGTATTAAATGAGCTACTATCTCGGGCCAATTTCCAATTCGGGAAGGCTGTAGCATAGCTTATAATAAAGCTCAGCTCATCGCAATTCACTTATAATTGTACAAGATTATCCCATAATCAGCAATCTTTTATTCGATAATTGTCACCAGCGCAATGTCTATTGATAGTGATGTTCTCATTATTGGAGCGGGCCCATCTGGGTTAGGTATGGCTGTCCAACTTGTCCGCAACTTCGGAACGCGGAACTTCGAAGTTATAGAAAAGGCATCTGATATTGGGGGAACTTGGTTTCTTAACTCTTTACCCCGGATGCGGCTGTGATGTTAGCTACCCCTCGACCGCGCGTTCTATACTATCTATTTGTCTGATTGACCGAATGTTTCCTAGGTTCCATCTCACTTTTATTCATATTCGTTTGCACCCAACCATTACTGGTCACGATAATTCGCGTTGCAACCAGAAATTCATCGATATTTTGAATCCGTCGTCGATAAATACGACATTCGCCCCCATGTTCGTTTTCATTCCGCTGTTAAACTGGCCGAATACGAACCTGAGACGGCGACCTGGAGGGTGGTGGTTGAGGACCAGAGAACCGGACGAACATTCCAAAGGCGTTCCAGGTTCCTTGTTTCAGCCGTCGGGGCCCTTTCAACTCCCAAGAGTTGTGATATTCCCGGCGCTGATAACTTCACGGGTCGTCTTTTTCATTCGGCGAGATGGGACCACAGCTTTGACTACAAGGATAAAGAGGTCATATGCGTGGGTGAGTAGACCTTGTTGGTCTCATTATTCCAAAGAAAGAATCCACTAAATAAAATTAGGAAATGGCTGTAGTGCCACGCAGTTCGTACCCGTAATGAGTGCTGGGCCAAGTCGAGTCAAGAAGATCACCCAGTTCTCCCGCCAGGCTCATTGGCTTTCCGAAAGGCCCAATCCTGAATACTCTAGCGGGTTCCAGTTCTTGATGCGCTGGCTTCCGGGTGCTCAGCTTTTATACAGAGTATCTCTCTTTTTGACCCAAGAGAAGGACTTTGCCGGTTTTAAAACGGAAAGGGGGGAATCTTTGCGCAACAATTGGACATCTGTGACGACAGATTATATCCGGAAGAATTCCCCGGCGAAGTATCGCGACTTTTTGGTACCGAAAACTGTCATTGGATGCAAACGCAGAGTGATGGACACAAACTATCTCACCTGTCTCCATCGTGATAACGTCGAGCTTGTCCACGACGATCCTATCGACCATGTAACCGAAAGGGGAATTGTAACGAAGTCGGGTCGTGAGATCTATGCTGATGCAATCGTTCTGGCAAATGGATTTGAGACTCAGAAACCGCTTTTCCCGATGGAAATTCGTGGAGAAAGTGGACAGACAATCTCCGACCATGTGAGTGCATACCTTGAGCCTAAATTTGATGTGGCATTAACCAGTGAGCAGTGGCAAGAATTCGCAGATGGCTCGCCAGAAGCGTACTTTGGTACCTGTCTGTCGGGATTTCCGAATTTCTTCGTATTAATGGGGCCAAACACCCTGTCTGGGCATCTTTCGGTGCTTTACACAACAGAATGTCAGATCAATTTTGTTATACGGGTCATCCGACCGATATTAATGGCGAATATTCGTTCCTGGGTTCCATCGTTGTTCAGATCAAAGGATCCACAATCTGTCGCTGTCACCCCAATTGCAGAGCGAAGAGATTTGGATATGGTCAATGAGCGAGCGAAAAAGTTGGTTTGGGCTACTGGCTGTAGCTCGTGGTTCATTGATTCCAATACTGGGCGAAACACTATAATGTTTCCGGATTGGCAGTTCAAGTTTCATCTTCGCAGTATTTTCATACCGTGGAGAGATCTTGTGTACAGGCAAGCTCCTATGAAATCCCCGAAAGAGGTGGAATTGGGCGTTATTACTCCCTTTCTATTCGCTTCTGTGGGCATAACTGCCCTCGGGGGCTTACTTGGAGCATCTCTTATCGGGGGCTTCGAGTTTCCATCGAAAGTATCTCACTTGCCGGGATTTCTTCGCAGAATCTATTGGCTAGAGAAGTAATCGGACAGAATACAGCCAAAATGCAGCGAATCCCGAGCAACCGTTTACCGACAAAAATCATAACAGGTGACAATGAGTTCCTGGGAGTTTTACTTGGAATTTGGCTAAGAACTATAAAGCCGACCAGTGGAAATCAGATCTGGGCTGATCCCGCTCAACGTGATTACCTGCTTTTCCTTTTGTCCATTCATCTTTTAGCTTGTCAATATGAAACCTGGTTGTCCACCCAATATCTCGTTCAATCCCAGATAGTAATTCAAGAACGGCATTCTGTTCGTTTTCGTCCTGGAATACCTGACCGGCGACAAATAGTGCTTGAACAGAGTTAACTCGGAATGAATCAGTCGACGAATTCGCCAGACTGATACCGCATATTTCGCGTGCATGATAAATAACCTCTGCCAAGGCATGTCGATAAGATCTCAAGCGCGCTGACACTGTTGATCTAAGAGCCGTTGACTCTTGTGGTTCATTCGCCAGTAGCAGTATTTTCGCCTGATGGTAGCTTTGTATTGTCGCCGCGGCAAGTGGCAAGTCAAACCAGATCTGCTCAAAGATAGTGGAGCTCTGACTCAACTCGAGCCCGGGAACGATAGGGCCAGACTTGTGTGTGCGCCCGCTTGGATGGAAAGATGGCGGAAGCGAACCGTGCCACCTTTCGAGGTCAGTCATCAATAGGCTCCATCTTTCCAGTAGATGTTGCTGGGTAAGACCAATAGATAGGCGTTGATCAGGTGGCAATGTACTATCCTCAGCAGACAAAGCATCTCCTGCAGTGAGATGATTTGCAATTTTTCCCAGAATCCACGTGAGTTCATTGCTTTTCTGATCCTCTTCAAACTCAAATCCCAATAGATTTCCACTTTCTATGACATCCAATGGGCTATAGGGTAAAATATCACCATTGAGATCAGTAGCAAGGCCCGCATTCTGCCAGAGGCGTATATCCTTCAAGTTCAAGCGGGTCTGAGATTCGCTTATGACTAAAACCTGATGAGCATTTGAGTTTGTGTATAATAGGACGGCTCAAAACCCACAAGCGCATAACAGGTCCTGCCTCGCAAGGCTCCAAAATATCGGCCCCTTGACAACTGTCTGCGGTATGACAATTGATGGGTGATCTGAAACAAAAAGAGGCAAAGCGCTCAAATGCGCTCTCCATGCCATACCGGGCGCGTCCATTAATTCAAAAGCGCAGAGAATCGCGACGGCAGCTAGCATCTCTTCTTTGTCGGCGGCACTATCCAAGTATGTTTTCGAAGATACAATACTTTTCAGATTGTTGAGAGCCTGGTCATAGTATACTGCCGAGTGATATATCCACATATCTTCATTACCCCAATCATTTAGGGACGCACGACTGGTGGGAGTTCCTAGACCTTCATTGTTTAAACTCGTGATTCGAGAAAGATGCCGTAGGTGCTTTGCGGAGAGAGCACAAACAGCAGACCTCAAAAGGGGCTTCGATGTCGCGAGAACGGGTACTTTTGAGGAAAAGTACGCGGTGGTGTCAAAAAGATCCATCCTTGAGGTCTGTCAGTAGATGTCATACAAAGTGGGCATTGGTCAAATATACCATTGTCCAGGTCCGAGTTTGAAGTGTCGTAGGAGATGAGATGCAATGACTTTTTCAGATCCGGGGAGGTTGCCCTGGTGGTAAGGGGAGAGCTGAGAGGATTGTTCCGGGGAGTTGCTCAATGAAATATAAACAGAAGGTGTTTCGACTGAAGCGTGAGATGGTCTCGCCGGCGTCTCACGATCTACGGGCATGTCATCTCCCGCACCAAGCCCGTGATTACTTTGCAAAATGCCCAATCCTTCATTTGAAACAGCCTTGTCACTTGGTAGTGACCTCGGTATATCTGTATTCAACGGGTCTTCAACGCGAACAAATGTAACTGTCAGGTGTAAGTATGTGTGTACAAATCAACCGCTCGGATACGAACGATCACTTGGAACTTCTACCCAGGTATTGTCATCGATGGGCTGAGAATGTTGTCTGTGCTTCCTGCTGCTCCTGTATTTGCGTTTTTGCACCGAGGATCCAACGTCTTGGCGACGAAAGACAGATTGATTTCCGTAGGCACAGTCACGAGAGGCCTTGAAACAGTTCCCGCATTCTGGTTTGGACTCATCGCATTTCAACTTCCGCCGCTTGCAAGTCAAACTAGTATGTTTGTGAGTTTAGTGCGGGATGGGGTAATAAGGCAGTGAAAGCCAATCGACACACCAGCCGGAATAGGATCGCATGTCCGCTTGGGTAGTGATCAAGATTCAAAAGGACTTATCATTGCCTCGTCAACACCCTGAAGTTCATGGATAGTCCCGGGAAAATATAATCTTGACGAGATCGCTGGTGGAGAAAGACTCAAGAGATGCGATAGTGACAGACTTCGCCTCTTAATCACGTGACACTATAATTGAAGAGTTCTGTCGACTATTATACGGCGTTCTGTTTTTTGTGAGAGAGATTCACCATAATTCTGAAATGCACAATATTCTGCCAAGGAGCAATGGCAATCTCCGTCAATTCAAGCACCAACTGCCAGTGGGGGCGCAGACTCGGACTGTGCGTAGGTAGTGGGGGGGATCGCCGAAAAGAGAAATCGAGCCGAGACCTCGTACATTGACATACCTTTATAGTACCGAGCTGGCACCTGGGCATAGTTATGCCCAGGTTTTAACCCTCAAGGCCATCTACCTAAATACAGGTAATCAAAGAGGAACTATATATCATTATGCAAAATTGAAGGTTCGAGAGTACCTCAAGTACTAGTTAACTACCTAGGTACTAACTAACTAAATAGTACTACTAGTAGTACCTAGGTACCTGTGGGCTACCGCGGGTTTAGCGTAGTCCACTTGTACTAGGTCCGAGTGATAAAAACCATCAATTTTTCCCTCGTCTATAGAAATGTTGAAAGCTCAACAATCTGCATCGTCTTGCTCAGTAACTGAAGATCCAAGAATCCAACCCTTAAGCCGCAGGTAAGCTCTGATACCCAGCCGGACAGTCATTAGGATCGAAGAAGGCAGTGCCCCAAGTACAATCGCCGCTATCGGCAACCTCGGTGCCTTAATTCCAGCATTAGCAACTTCCTCTCAAACCTCCATCACTCTAAGACAAGACAAGGGAAGAGAAGAGGGGAAAAAAGAACATACCACTCGCATCGGTCAATCCGCCCATATACCAATAGACATCACCATACCATTCGGGCCAGGTCAACTCGCCGGGCCGACAGACGAACCAGTCTCCGGCCCTCTGCGGCTGGCAGGCGCGGATATACGCCCAGCCGTCATCGATCTCAATGCTGCTGCTGGGGCCGACAAAGCTAGTGCTGCCGTCTTTCTTGGCAACGTTGACGCTATAGGCTGTGTCTTTGTTGTGCTATAATATCTTGTTAGTCAAGGAAGTGGAGGAAGTTGAACATGGGAGCGGCGGCATACAAAAGTGGTTGCGTGGGCGAATGTGGCAGTAAGAGCAAGGATTCCTGCGGTAGTTGGAATTGTCAAGTACATCATGATATGGCTCAGTTGAAGGAGAATATGAGAGATGAAGAAAAGCTGATAGTAGAAATAAATATGAGCTATGTATCCAGAATGAATGAATTTATATCTCGGCCAGGTCCTACAAGATGCCAGTGGTCTACTAGATCTTACGGCCGTACCTAGGTATACCTGACATTTTTGCAGGTTATTAGGTGGGTCCTAGCTTACGGTCGTAGTAGGCTCAACTAAGGCCGTAAGTGAGGCTGATATTTCCGAGTCAGAATTATATAAACCATGAAGTTAGTAAATTAGTGAACTGGTGAATTGGTCTGATGAATCGTTGGGAGGCTACTTGACTGTTCAGACTAGTGGGTTTTAGACTATATAGTAGCCGAGTCCGTGGGATTGCATCGGAAACAGCGAACTGAGTATCTATAGAGTCTCCCCACTGTTGCACGTATTGAGAGCGAGCCTCAGCAGCCTCTAGCTGGTAGCCATTGTAGATTTATAAGACTCTCAAAGTTAATTCTTATTTAATCTGAGATGTTTCAAAGCGTGCATCATCCTTTTACAACGTCACTTAGAGACTATGCTACGTAATTGTGATGTATCCACAGAGATCCCGCCAGGCAGTAATTATATTAAAGACTATTGCAATTCCGATGTCCTGACCCTATCTACAGGCTCAGTCTACCGCCAGTTGACAGGAACTCAACCTTGATCAAGATTGGCTAGCCGTTAGAAAACACCAGGGCTGACATCTATAGCGCATTTGATTGAGATGATAAACCAAATCATTCACCCCAGATTCCTCCGTCTGCTTTGCTGTTACAATCACGACAACCGCGCTTTTTACATCTGTAAATCGACCAATTTTTGCCTGACCCGAATTTTTGCCTCGTCTTGCACGTGCACTATTGATGTTCGCCCTATGACGAAAGGAGACACAAGCGAGATTTTCTGAAGAACAGAGAGACACGAACAAATAGGCTCAGCTCTGAGATTCAATTTGCAGTCCCGTTGGGAATAGACAGTGGCAACGCAATGGAAAACCTACAAGACATGGGCTGTCTCATGGGAGAACAAATCCTATACAGAGATTCGTCAGCACAAGCTAACTACTCTCGAGGCTGCCATAGTGATCAAAACTTACTTTGCCAGCTACTACTTCACGTGGCATCATAGTTTGGTCAAGTCGGCTTGGTAGTGGATGGTTTCGATCTATGATAAACCTCCACTAGATAGCTTATGTAGCTTATGGGTGCCCTTCATTCCTCACTGTCTTCGCAGCCTAGATTAATTCAAAGGCCATCCGAAGCTCATTGATTGGATTCGTAAAGGACCGGTGGAGACGTGACTAATCCAAAGTATCCTCTACATCAGCCTGGTTTCACGTGTTCGGATAACTAGATCTACATGCAGTTGGCAGACTTCGGTATCGAACGTGGTCAAGCTGGGGGGTGACACAACAGGTCAATTTAATCACAGTTACATAACCCAGGGGTCATTCCATACCGAAGAGTAGACGATAGATACGAAAGGCGTTCCATATTCTTTGGCCCAGAATGAAAAAGGGATGCTTACGAATGACTGTTCTGCTGGCGACAGATCGGGAGATTGTAACATTGCAGCGGTCATTCTGCTTGCGTCGATATGATGATCGTTATCAATTGTGAGGGTACAAACACAGACGACTCTCCAAGTGCAGCTCGTTCAACATTTCATCCTTGATTTAACGCAGCATTCGGAGGCATTGCATGTTCTTTTCTCAGAGATTCAGTATATGCGAACCTTTTCTCACTGGGCACCATCTAAAACATCGTGTTTCAGCATTCACCATCATGAGCCTGTATGTTATTTCAGTGAGATCAAGCATAATCAAGTTAGAATAATGAGATTGATTTATTCCACGGTCGGTTAAGCGATCTACATCTAGCAGAAATGCCCAACGAGTGTAACTTCGTCTGTCCCTCAAAAATATTTGTTATTGCGACACTCAGTATATCCACCATCCAACCAACAATACAGTTAGATCCGACCTAACTTCCCTATCATGGCCAGCACCCCAAAGACCTCGGTGCTGAGATCGCACGAGGCTCTATTTGCCCAAGCGCTCCCAAGCACCTAGGGAGACTCGAATTCATTTTGCTGTTCACAATATGGTCCTAATAGCACACCAAGCTACCTACACGATCGCCCGAGAGGAACCATCCTTCTTGGATGTAGATGCAGCCTCTGTTTCTCGGCTCGGCCGATAGTCGCTGAACGCAATGCTTAGCCTTCGGTAATCCCATCGACACGAGAAGGCTAAAATGGCGAAGGTAAGCACAGGGACCATGAGGACATCTAGCACCCCGAAGAATATCGCGCTTCCGGTCACCCCGATCCCGTTTCCGCCGTCGGTCAAGCCCCATGCGATGGGGTAAATGATCCAGAAGAGGTTAGTCCAACCCGACAGAATTATGTAGTCTTTATCGATCCCAAGGAGCTGTGCAGCTTTTCGGCTTTCGTTGATTGTGCTCATGGCGAGGATGAGCCAAGAAAAAGTCCCAAATGCGAAGAATCCCCATTTATAAGAGCTGGTTACATACGCTCCCGCTAGATAGGTGACAACCCAACACAGTGAAAGAGCGATGTTACAGATTATTGTGGTCCAGGACACGCCCGAGATCAGGCCCAGTGCCAGAGCCATCGAAGGGAAGGCGACCAGCCAGTAGATATACTTGACCCAAAAGACCTGCCGGGAAATTGCGTTATCAAGCTTGTCAACTTGCCTGACAGCACTCCAACCAAGATCTGAAGCTTGAGCAAAGTAGGTGATGGCGCCAACCAGGAGCACAAAGGTGAAAAGATAGTGAAATACACGCTCACTTTCCTTTGCAGTGAAAGAGATGATAAGACAACCAATCTATCAGATACTGTTAATCAGACTAGAAGACAGAAGTAGACTGGAAGAGCCTCACAAGTGCCAGTGAAAAAATTGCCGTAACTGCCCAGAGCAAGTCGGAAGCATGCACCGCGAGGGCCTCGTAGACCCCAATGGCGGGGTTCACTGTCAAGGCATCGTTTCCACGAGGGAACATATCCATTTTGAATAGCGGTTGATAGATGTTTCCTAGCGAGAGAGCTGAATTTGAACTAGGACAAGGCGACTCATTGAACTCTCTAGCGACCAGGGCACACGTCTCTTATAAAGAGCATCTACGCAGCTCTGCTCCTGGTTCGGGAATAAATATTAAGACCGACAATATCATTGATTTATTGAATCGCTCATTCGGGAGAACAATCTAGGGATCATCTTTCAGCGCGATGGTGAGAGAATGCTTCCACCTGCTTCCTTCAAGAAGCTAGCGCGAATCGAGAGGTGGAGCTCGGAGAAAAGAAGAGAGGCATGATCCGTTTCGCTTCTTGCAGTGTCAGGCGGATTGACCTCATGGATTGGGTTGTAATAGCCTGGGAGAGACATATTTCACCAGCAGCACGTAACTTCGTAGATCATAGACAGGGAAATGAAAGCGAAAGTCGACAAGCCGGCTCGGGGTATCATTTGTTTACGAAATGGGGCAGCCAATTCAGCTTCCCTGAAATGGAATGTTATTATTCTCCGGCTATTTTTCCGAACACCCCCACGAGCCAATAGCCCGGTGTGGGCCCAACACCTCTCTAGGGAACAGTCGGCGACAGGAGCCATAGTCGTAAAAAGTGCACTTCTAACGGAGAGACAAGGCACGTAATCAAAATCAAATCAAGACCAACCGCTATGCAACAGCAAGGGTTTGTCGCCCCCGTGAAAGGAGTTTCCGCAGTAATCCCAATAATGGGCAAAGTAGCTCCGAGCCTCGGCCACAGCTGGATCCTCTGCGTGGCAGTTCATGATGAACGTAGCGAGGTTGCCCTCTGTCCCCAGGCGAAATTGGGTAATCTACCTGGGGAGTTATTAGTTGGAAATACTTTTACAGATGATAGCTGCTTTCAAGCTCTCGATAGTTTTGGTTTTTAAAGCCTTGTACCAGTAAAATGTAGCGAGACAAAATTGTAAACCACTAACTATTTAGGGTATCTCGGGTGTATAGTCAGCAAGAAAACACTGACCCGAGTGCGAAATTTAATGGTATATCTAGATATCGGACATGTTTTGCATTAAAGTCGTGTTCTTTAGGTTAAATAAGCCCAAACCGACATGTTTTTCCCATGTAGTTTACTTTCATCAACCGCTAGTTGGAGTGCTACTATGACTGAACAGCTCAGCGGTCTTCGAGATGCATGAGCGTGGGAGCAAATCAAGGTAGCTCTGCTTAGGGTCGTTGATATTCTTCAGCCCACGAAGAATGCGGAAGAGCTCCTGCAACCGTAGCAAAAAATCTTCGTTTTGTATATCGCTGTATAAGTATTCGGCACAGAGAAATAAAGGCATTGGTGTAAGCGGATGAACCTGGAAGATAAGAGTTAGAACTTTGCCAAGCTTAGGATTTGCTTCTGAGAATACCCTCGAAAATGGCAGCTCCTGTAGGCTGGAAGCTAAGCTGATGATGTATTTGGATGCATCTAATGCCCGAGATTGACATTGGATTGTCTTGGGGCTCTCCTGTAAGGAGCCATTAGCCCCCAAGGTGGTTTCGGCCACAGCTTTACAAAGGTAAATCACGGTCGCCTGACCAAAAATGTTAGCAAATGGAAGGAGGGGATCGTAAGTGTCGATGGGAGCTGGATAGCACTGCGACAAAATCTGAAGTCGACTCGTGAGAATACTATCTAACCACCCGCGTTGCTCTTTCCAATCCATAGCAATGTCCCCATATGCTTTTGAAATTTGGAATTTTTGAGTTTGCAGGAGAATACGACCACATATGGTGGCTAGTACGAGGCACTCGTTGAAGGGAGACCGGAGGTTGAGAGATGAGTCCGACATGGCTTCCGACAGAAACAGCCCTTGTTCGTGGCTTCCATTTTGAAATTCGGCTTCTGGAACAGGCAGTCGAGTGCATATCTTTGAGCACAGACAATGGAGAAGTATTAGCTAAATTTGAATCGCTGCGGGGAATCGAAAACTAGTCCTGGAAAACGGCACTCACAACGTGTTCATTCAGGGTGATCGGCCAGTCGTTACGCATGCTGATGATATGGTCTAGGAAATAAGTCATCCAAAACACTCGGCGCATCTCCTCCGCCTCGATGAAGTCTCTACACAGCGCAGGAGAAGAGTGATGCTTGTCGGTGGGTCTGTCAATCTCATGATATCTCATACCCTGGACCAAGCGAAATGCTCGGCCGACGCTCATCCATGCTTGACGGTGATGCGTCCGTATTGACTCAAATGTAACAACCAGAACCCATGCCTGGGCTAACGTGGTATTGAAACTGCTGTTTTCATTGGCTTCGGGGCTTAGATCCTCCAGCATTTTCTTGGTTTGCTGGTAGAGGGGCTCGGCCAGGTCGCGAGAATGAACGGACATCAGGGATGCTAAAGTCCACATGGCGTACTGAAGACACTTGCGGAATGGTGGGTTGGTGCTTGATTTAGACCACGACAAGTATCTCCTCCGGTGAATAATTGGGATCGACTGATGCACGCGATCCAAGTATAGCTGGTCTCTGAAAAAAAGAAAAAAGTTTAGTCAGCTTCAACTTCCTGTGAATAGTGAATTCGGGAAGCATTCGATACAGTTCAGCTTGCAAAACCTCAGTCAGATGCAAATTTGATGAAGGGAATGTAGAATTGAACGAGAATCCTTGATTCGTTAGCCCCAGATCGTTTAGATGGATCGCTAGATTCGGCTGCAGCCAGTCGGCGTCAGAGACAAACAACCCTTGCTCCGGGCCCGACGAGACAGCTGTCGTCGGCACCCAGGCCTCTGAGGGATGAACCGCATTCCGAACATTTGACAACCTCAGAGATGATCCAAGAGTCTTGTCGTGGCAGTTTCGTGAATCATGCAGCAAATCGGGCTGCTGATCGGGTGAGAAGCTGCTTTCAAGCATGGCCTCGAGCTGCACAATGCGGTTCTTCAGGGCCTTTAGGTGACCCCTCTTGGGGCCCCGAACGCTGCGCTGGGTGGTCTCACAAACAACCTCGGTATCCTGACAAATGCCACATTGAGGTTGCTTGCCATCGCAGCGCAGCTTCCGCCGTCGGCACTCATCACACGCGGCCCCAACAAGCTGTCGACCACGCGCCGCTGGTGGCCTGTTTGAGTCGGTGTTGTCAGCACCTGGAGGCATGGCAGGTGGCAAGAAGGAGTGTCGGTGAATCTGTCGGAAAATCCTTTTTCTTGTGCAAATGACTGCATAGAACAAATGGAAGACACCAGGCCTGAGTTCAAGTGAGCTACCAAATACCGAGATTTCGGCCCAACAATTAATAAGCACTCGGGCCTAGATAACGGTATTCCGCCAATGCCGGCGGCTTTAGTGAAATCCGCTCGTTCTACTCCGTCTTCAGAAAGCACTGCGAAACCTCTTCCGGAGATGGGGTGGGATCCAGCAGATCAGTGCTGTGCATCAAAGTTGCGATGATCGGCAAGGCTAAAAGTGGCAGGTTGCAAACATCCCGACATAGTTTCTCCGAAAAACAAAAACTCCGACTATAAATAGAATGTCCGCGGGATCCAAGGCCGTGATGCGACCGACGGTCATCAGAAGCAGGCCAGTGATGAAGAAATCCAGGTATGTAATTTGCAATCATTTACCATCAAGTTGGAATCACAGACTCGGAGAACTGGTAGCGCAACGACTCAAGATCTCATATATCTTTCGCCGTCGCTTGAGCACCTGGGCAGCTCCCCATTTTAAATAAACACCCTGTCAAATTTGATTGCAAGATGACTGTACAACCCGGTGGATTTCTTGCAGGGAAAAGAATTATCGTGGCGGGTGGTGGCTTCGCGAGCCTCGCATTTGTACTCGCCCTCGAACAACTATGGCAGAGCTCAACATTAGGCCATCCAGAAGTCCTGCTGTACGAGCAGGATGGTCGCGATGAGTCTATTCAACGTGAACCCTATACACTATGCATCAATGGAGCCGACCAGAATGATGGGCTAGTGGCCATTCAACAATTGGGACTCTTAGATGAGGTTCGCAAACACTCGACTCTTAACGGCGGTGACATTCGCGTATGGTCTGACAACTGGAAATGGCTATCATCTATCAACCCAACCACACATGGAGACTTACCAGCCGCAACGATGCGGATTACTCGTCAGGATCTCAAGCGGATCCTAGTGGAGAAGGCCAAACATACGAGGACCATCTTCTCATGGGGAGCAACCTGTACATCGGCCGAGCGTCTGTCAAACGGTCGGATTCGCGTCTCAATTACAGAAGCTGGAGATGAGAAGACATCCACGCAATATTGTGATCTTCTCATTGCGGGTGATGGTGCCAATAGTCGTATACGGGCTTCCTTTCGACCTCATGACATGACGACCCAATACGCCGGTGCAACCCAGATCGGCGGCATCTCCTATATCCCCGAGGGGCTTCCCAAGCCCATTGATCAGGACTACGGTCTTCAAATGTCGTCGGGCGCAGGGGTCTGCTGTATCTATAGCCCATTTGATGACAAGACAATCGCATGGGCACTGAGCACAGTAGGACCTGAACGCGACGCGAAAACCCGCTTCACTGCGGAAGAATTTATCGTATTGAAGCAGGAAGTGCTCAAAACTGCATCCATGCTCAAAGAACCCTTTGGGACTGTCATAAATAACACGATACCCAAGACTGCTTTCATCCGACCCGCAAAGGAAAAGCCGGCGTTCGCGCATGATGCTAGTCTGTACGGGGTGATGTTCATCGGCGATGCCAACCATATCCTCAGCCCCTTCGAATTTGTCGGTGCAAATTTGGCGCTCAAGGATGGATGGGACCTGGCAGAACAGATCTGTCACAGCAATTCACTGGATGCGGCGATGGCATCCTTCGACAGGTTGAGCATTCCACGCTTTCAGCATAAGTTCGACTTCTCACACGAGCGAATTAATTTCGGCCACTCTACGGGAAAGAAATGGATATTTTATAAGTATGGAATGGCCGCCCAGCGGGTCCTGAATAAAGTTCATTGAGCTGGCGAGTGGGCGGGACTTCTTGAAAATGCACACAACCGTGACCCTAGTTAAGTTACCACTAAATTAACAATACTATGACCTATTATATGCCGTGCCTCCTTAGAGCTCTTACATGGTTCTTCGGAATATATCTCATCTCAGCTGTCAATATCGTAGCACGCCCTCGTGGGTTGATAATTTTGTCAGTAGACTGGCTCGAAGACGCGTCTTCAAGTGTTCAAAATCCTGTTCTCGGCAGTTGAAGCGCGTCTACCGTTTGTGGCACGAGGTGGTTGATGGGGTTATTTTGGGAGAGGGGTGTCATTTGGAACCGTCGACATAGCTAAGCGGCGTTGAGTCGGCTCGTAGCGACAGCAAACTATATTGAGGCTCGTACTACCTCTAGGTTCGGCGTCCAGTTCTGATCCACCGAAGGCGATTTCCTGCCCAGAATGAAGGATATGTTGCGTCGGTGAGTGTGTAACTTGCAGCATTTCGGTCCGGGGTGCGGTCCACTTCCCACATCGAAAGAGGAAGTGCTCAACAGTCTCTCTAGCCTGTTACCAGTAAGAAACAGTATCGGCATCAATTGAGCATAAACACAATTATTATTTGAAAGCACAAAGTGAAGACTCTTTCCGAAAGCCGAACTAAGTTACTTACCCTTTTTGTACATATTACACTATATCCTAACCTGCTGGATAAATACAGGGAAGTCGGTATTGCAGATGAAAATTTTGGAGAAATCCGTCTTCATTTTCACTCTGCGCTTCTAGAATTTTGATGATTTGGTTCTTGGTGGGACGTGACGCTCTTAGAACCGCGATCTGTTAACTAACGTCCCGCAAATACAACGTGGGACGAGTTGAGTGGGGCCGTGAGTCCGTGACATTCCGAACAAAAAGGGTAATTAGGCGGGGATTGAGGGAAATAGGGCCTGTCGAGAGGGGAGGCATATCTTCTCAATTCCTGCCATGAACACCGAAATAACCTATTGCTAATAATAGGCCTTAGTATCACGTTTTTGTTTGCTCCTTCCTATCCCCGCTCCAATTTGTCACTACAATAACGAGACTGATTGTTTTTCGTCCTCTGTTCCTGTCCAATAGCCCAGAGCGATTCATACAAGTTGCCTCTACTGAGTCGCTGATAAATTCCCAATCTCGCCTTTGCAAGATAGCCTCGAGCTATTTATCATGATAAGTCATAAGGAACGCTCCAAGACAGGTAGACTGCCGCCTTGACCTGTACGAGATACGGATTTTAACCCAGTACAGGCTGCACTGGCTGTCTTCTTCGGAAGATCAAATGTGATGAACGACGCCCCACGTGTCAGCAATGTGTCAAAGCCAACATCAAATGCTTGTGGGATCCAAACTCCCGATTACACGTCCAAAGGTTGCGAAGACGACGCAAAAACACGGCATATACGTCAACAATTTCCAAAATGAGCTACCCCAGTGCTGGGAGTAAAGATAACGGCAATACGCCCGATGCATTCCTCACAGAGCATTTCGAGGTCCAGAGTCCCGGAAAGAGCCTTCCAGAGGCACCAACTTATGATAGAAATGATGGAGCCTTGTTACACGTGGCAAGTCATGACACTGAGAACCGCAAAGGAAATGGTCACGCCTCGCGCGTTGGCCAATGCTCCTTGAACAATGACCTCGGACTTGAAATGCCGACCTTGATTTCGTCTTATATCCCGCCGCTTCCCATGTCATGCGCGAACTCAATTCTACTTTCACGTCAGGATAGACTATATCTAGAGTATTTTCCCAGATCTTCATTGGTGAAAGTTCTAGGGAAGACATATACTTGGAGCAACTTCAGATATATATGCCAGAACAAAGCTTCGGAGGAGGCCAGTGTTATGTATGCGGTCCTGGCGTTGTCCGCTAGCGAAATGAACCAAAGCTTAGAGCTACCTCATGCTCAATACAAGGGCAAGTTCTATTACAGCCTAGCCTTGGAATGCATCGCAGATGCCGTCAATAATCTGACATGCAAATCAAACAATATGGAAGCTATCCTTGGGGCTCTGTTCCTAGTTATCGCTTATGCAAGGAGATTTGGCTCGTCCTTGTCTAACTTACAGACACATAATCAGTGTCTTTTGAATTTTCTGGATATATTTCGTCAACCTTCTGAATATGGCCCAGATCATTCAATTGATTTATCAGCATACCCTTCTTTCACGCCATTTTGCGCCCAGATGTTGTTATGGATTTTGTAGGAGCTTGACCCCATATTCCTGAACTTCAGAGCGACTAACAGCACTTCAGGTATCTCGACTCAAGCTGTATCGGCGCAAATCTTTGTTTCGGTCTGATGGATCACTTTCATAACCTCGGAGAAGATTCACAGCTGTATAGATTATTCAGAATCTCTCGCCATTCATACTTATCTATAAACGGAGAACGATATCCAACCGAGCAGCAGCAAGACGACCTGGAAAATTACTGCCCATTGGAACTTATTCACCAGGACTATATCTTTCGATATCGAATTTTGCAGCTTGTTCAACGATATTCTCGAGGAGAAGACATTGAATCCGAGTTGGAAGATTTATACACTGAAATAAATATAATCCAAAAGGTACCATTTATATTCTGAGTTAAATCTTACGTGCTGTTGAACGAAGTTCCTAACCAAAAAACTAGGCATTCAACGACATGTTTGAACTACAAAAGAATCCACCCAAGGATTTTCGTCGTAGCCGGGCTTTTATAACTCTCTGTGAGGGCTTAGCAGGTTACCATTGTAATATTCTTCTTATTCACCGCCTCTTTCGGCATCGTACTTTTTCCATCGATAGTCACGAACAGACCCTATCGGATCTTTTTGGCATTTGCTATACCATTCATGAGTGGTATCCCGATGATCCGACTTTGGGATTTGCCTGGTATCTACTCATTGCCGGTTTGGAGACAAAAGACAGGATCCACCGAGACTGGGCATATCATCGGTTGAAAGACTTAGGCACAAGGTGGAATACATGTAAATGGGCAGCAGACATTCTTTGGTTGATGCATGAATCAGAGGGTACATGTAATATTGGGCTGGACAACTCCGATAATTTCTTGAGATTGATTCAACTGGATTGCTAAATGAAGAATATTCATTCACACCTTGCATTCTTCCAGTCTGCCACTGCAGCCTCATATTTTCTGTCGTCTGACAAAAGATCCCAAGCAGATAGAGCTAGGCATTTCCCAACCGTAAGACATATTTGGAAAGCGACATCAGTTCCTGCAGCTTCGGTGAAGGACCAATGATGGGTGACAACCCCTTTTTCCTTGACTGGGATACAAAACATTGCATGGATTGCGGGGAGTGCGTAGCTCACGTCGCCTATTATCGCATCAGTATATGACTACCAGTCATAAAAATAAATTATCAAACTACACGATAATACAAAAAAAGAATCAACACTTACCAAAGTCTGTTGAAGCTTGAATATATTCCGGGTCTGCTTTGAGGACATTCTGAGAATAACGAGCCATATGGTCTTGGTACAGTCCGCAAAGTGTATCGTTAAGGAGAAGGTCTGAATAAGCGGACTCACTAGATATCGGTCAGACTAGCCTCAGCTGTCAAATGATGGAATGATGGAAAAGGTACCCACTCTTTTAGATCCAATTGACATCCAGTGGCCAAGGCTCCAGCATGCAGACACGAGCAAAGCCGTTCTGTCAACTTCCGTAAGTCATCCATTTTTGGAGACCGACACTGCCAGGAAACAGCTGTTTGGCCCGCAATTATGTTGGTTCTCTTTGGAGCATCTATGATAGCACAATGAACACGTTGGGCTGGATGCATCTGCTGACGCATTAGGGAAACATTGTTGTATCCAGCAACAACTGCGTCCAGTGCATTGACGCCATCCCACGGATTGGCAGCAGGATGAGCAGTTCGCCCTTTGTACTCCGCGAGCTTTGAATGTTTTGCAACAAGACGAGCACCGGCTGCTCCAACAGAACCGTGCTTATCATGGTAGTAATGATGAGGCATTGGGTGGCTTTCAGGCCTCAGTATCTGAAAAATCAAAATAATAAATGAGGAAGCACTCACGACATTAATGCTGCATCCGCCCCGTCAAAAGCACCAGCCTTAAGGAGATCGAGCTTGCCACCACCGTGTTCCTCAGCAGGTGTACCAAGAATTTTGATTCTTCCAGGCTGGCCCGTCGCCTTTAAGACCGAGGCCAGAGCAAGGAAAGCCGTCATGCTTGCTACTCCGATGAGATTATGCCCACACGCATGACCGATGTCAGGTAAAGCGTCGTACTCGGCACAGAAAATCATCAGACGACCACGAGATCCGAAGCTAGCTTCGAATGACGTGTCTAGGCCGTGGGCATGGCGAGTCACTTGGAATCCGTTCTCTTCGAGGATTGCGCACAATGTATCGTGTGCGATAACTTCTTCGTAAGCAAGCTCGGGATTTTCCCAAATCTGTCAGATTTAGTTTGACTCTCATTTGTGTTTAGGAACAAGATTACCTTTCTGTTTACCTCCCCAAGCCTCTTGCTGGACTTTTCGACGAAGGCATCAATGCTCGACTTAATTTCCTCTGGACCTGGCATTTTCTTCTTTCTTTCAAGCAAAAATTATGATCTCTCAGTATAGGAAATTATTTCTGGGAGATCCTTGACCAGGGCATTAAATACTTATTCCTTTCCACCGGGAATTCCATTGCTATCAGTCAAAACAGGACAAGATCCCACTACCCAATGCCGATTGGATGATGAGCCGTGACATCTAACCCAATCACGATGCGCCTATTTGAGGAGCCCCAGTCATGCCAGCCAATCGGCATCACGAAAATCTTAAGCGAACCCCTCACTACGACCTTAGATCCCTGGTCAAGAGTCCTGATCACCTCAGCCAATCGGCACAAGGCAAGTTCAAGAAAGCCCTGCTGAATCTAAATTATCGAACAGAACAATTGATACTCAGACAATGAAGTTGGTACCCCGCCTTCTAGAGCCAATATGAGAACGAACTTTGGCTTGCAGAGCAGCAGAATTAGCTTCGGTCCAGCTGGGCATCGTTTTGATTAGAGGAATGAGCGCAGAAGAGGGGCTATGCGAGCATTGTTATAAAGCGACCGGGACTCTGAATCAAAAGAGAAATACCCAAAGACGCTAAATTCTTCCACAATACTTTTTCCGCTTGAAATCAATCCTGGCATTAGGAGGAAAATGGCGAAGACAGACAAACCAGAGCAAAAGCCCCATGGCTCGGATATTCAAGTCGCAGACATTTTGGAGCTGCAGCCTACACAAGAGGAAAATTCGAAACTCCTACGAAAGCTTGACCTTAGACTGATGCCAGTCATGTGTGCATGTTATATGCTGCAACTGCTGGACAAGTTGACGCTGAATTTCTCCTCGCAACTCGGCTTGATACAGGACCTGAACCTCCACGGATCGCAATACAGTTGGACCTCCTCTATCTTCTACTTCGGATACCTTTTCTGGACGTGGCCGAGCTCTTGGCTTGTTGTCAGACTACCTTTGGGCAAATACATTGCTGTAACCGCCCTTTTATGGGGTGCTATCGTTATGTGTCATGGAGCTTGCAACAGTTTTAGGGGATTTATGACAGTTAGGTTTTTACTTGGAGCCGCAGAAGCTGCCGTCGCACCGGGATTCGCTCTCATTGTGGCCATGTTCTATCGGCGTGATGAACAGCCACTGCGTCAAGGGCTTTGGTTTGCTGGGAATTGTATTGCGAATATCATTGGTGGCCTTGTCAGTTATGGTATAGAGCATATTCACTCTCCTCTGGCCAACTGGAGGGTACTTTTTCTTGTACTTGGAGCTGTTACAGCTGCTTACTCAGTTTTGCTCTGGACCTTTCTCCCGGACTCACCGACGAAAGCACGATTCCTCAACACCAGGGAGAAAAAGTTGGCCGTTCTTCGGACGCTGGAAGATACTTCGAGCGCAATGGACGAGAACGACTTCCAGATGTATCAAGTCTTAGAGTCTTTGAAAGACCCACAAGCCTGGTTGTTAGTAATGTATACCTTCTCTGTCAATATCTGCAATGGGGGAATCACTACAGTGAGTTGAGACACCTTACCTAATACCTGAATGTTCCTTTAATGACATAAATTTAGTTCAACAGTCTGCTTATTAATGGTTTTGGCTTTGGTTCATTCCAAACCTTACTGCTGCAAATTCCTATTGGCGGCTGTCAACTCGCTGTATTGGTAGTCATGTCGATAATGGCTTCGATGTTCAAAACATCTCGCTTGCTCTTGATGGCTTGTGCTTGCGCCCTATCCTTGATTGGTATGGTCCTAATCTACGCTCTAGATCATACCAATGCATATGGTCGACTAGGCGGAACATATTTGGCTGCTGTCTTCGCTTCAAATACTCCAATGTCATTGAGCCTTATTGCGTCCAATGTTGGAGGCTTCACAAAAAAGTCTACTGTTAATGCCATGCTGTTCTTTGCGTACAGTGCTGGGAATATCGTTGGACCGCAATTATATCTGAGCTCACAGGCCCCAGTTTTTATTGTAAGATTGCCATCTTCTCTACCAATAATACAGCTTTGCTGACGAAAATTACAAGACCGGTGTGAGCTCCACTATTGCAGGATTCTGCCTAGGAATACTGTTTCTGGGGATCTTGTTTACGTATTATGTGCTCGAGAATCAGAAACGCTCCAGACACAGTGACACCGACTCTGAAGTATTTACTGAAGAAGAGAGACCAGAGACATTTATCAACAAGACCGACAAGGAAAACCCGAGGTTTCGCTATCTGGTGTAAAGTATGGCTTGTACGATTGGATTTGACGGGGAAGAATTTGCAATCAAATTTGATTGGACCGATCAGTTGGACGAGGAGGGGTACTTATAGCCTCCACTCCATGGGTTTTCTACTTCGAAAAAAACGCAATAGATACAAAACTTCTCATGAACCTTTTACTTGTTGGTAGTAATTTTTATGATATTTCTCTTACCATATCCCGCTATGGTTGCTAACTTTTTAGACCATTGACTGGCTTGTGTGATGGCTAGGCTTGATGTTTTAGGTGCTGTCGTACCGTTCTCATAAGGACGGTCAACACAGTTACCGTTGGTCTCCGACATCTCCCAAGCTCAGACCGGTTTCCTGTCTCCCCGCAATTTGCGGCTACTGTGACTCGGTGGTTATGCTAGACAGCGGACCTGGACAGGAGGGTACGCCAGTTAATGATGTAATGTCGGCCGGGCGAGATCGATTGTGATGAAAGCGTCACTAAAATTTAAGCCGCTATTCTGTCTATTACAGCTTCAGTGCATTGCTTTCTCGGCCTAGTCCTGTACCGAGGGTTACGAAAAGATGGATCACGATGGCAAGCCATCGAATAGACAGTCGAGACTCGACTTCAATCGCTTCCGCACAAGAGCAGTCGGTATGCACATTGCTAGTAACTACCTCAGTAAAGCCCTGGAGTCAACCATAATAACTATCATTGCCTACCTAGGTAGGTATAATACCAATGATACTACTCGAACAGAGCAATCCTGTATTGACTATGAGTACTACTAAGGTACTATTATTAATTTCTGTATATCTACCTCAAGTTTCATACGCACTGAAATTCTTACAGACTGTGAAATCACTATAGTTCAGTCAGAATCTAACAGCGATACCTGTAAATTTAAGCCCCTAAAATGGCGGAGTCCATCCTTTAGAACTACTACTTTTTGTAACGACTAGGTCGTCACCATTGTCGTGGATGCCTTACGTGTGTGGCATCCACTTAGGCATCCACTGGCTACATTGTATCTGGCTTTCATCTCCGCTTCCTTCTTCCTGGAGCTATTACTTTTGTCGAACCGCTACTATATTCCTTTGCCTGATTCGCTACGTCGTATCTTGATCCCTGTAAGTATCTAAGCATCCTCGCACTCTGAAATACACCTATTACAGGGCTAATTCTAAGCGCAGAATACACAAGAAGCGCATACTAAGCACGGCTCTGTGAAAATTGTTATATCCTCAAGTTGTGAGTTCTTGATACGACTTTATTTTCCCTGCTCTGATCTAGAATATCCGCACTAAGCTCGTTCAACCTCTAGGGTATCGACTTTGGCCTCGGTCCGATTTGCACCGTGCCACTTTTCCGGAGCAAATAGCCTTCAAACTTCCCATTCATGGCTTTATTTCAATTCGTGTTGTACGGGCTTGACCTCATGAGTGATTGGATGCAATTCCGACGCAGCCACCTCAAGTAAGTTACTCTCACCGGGAATGTTCTGGGTATAGCGAGAGTTGAACTTTAGCACGTGCTTGATAGCATTGAAATTCTTCACACTCAAAGATATAGGCTCAGAACTGATATACCAGGCCACATTTTCAGTGCACGGCGGCGTGGTAAGAGAGCCAGAGTACTGGTAGATAGGGTTGCTTTCGAGGTGCCCGGCGAGATGACCGAAGCTTAAGCGAAAAACTCTAACAGAGGTGCCAGGAGAGGCGATCCTATGAACTCGGGACAATATATTTTCGAAAAGAGCATCTCCCGATCCAGCCTCGATCAATTCAAATACAAAGCCAACGACAGCGACGCGGCCCGCTGATAATATCATGTCAGTCAAATCGTCTAGCACCAGAAAGTATCGATGATAGTCAACGAAAAACGAAATATCGCGATGGGATGCTTACCAGGGTCTTTGAAGACAAAGTGGACTTCCAGGGGATAGTACTCTTCATTAATACGATGCTCACTAGGGGTATGAAAGTGAAATTGTTTTAGAGCGTAACGACCGGTCGGGGTGAATAGTCGCCCTTGAGATAGAGCAACCTCAACAGTAGAGCCCAAGTTCTCAAAGTGGGCGGTGTCGATTGGTGGAATTTGCATCCCGATACCTCCAGCTCCAATATGTATGTTGGAGTCAATGTTTATTGGCGATTGGTATCGACCTGATGCACAGAGCGCGTTATGTTTCATGTCCAAGCCATACCAATTCAATGGACCACCAAGACAAGTATAGTTAAAATTGGGGCCATGAACCAGACTGACACTGCTTAATTCATCATCAAAATCATCAATGTACGATGCCGTAGCCGTTATAAGTAGAGAAAAGACACAATGAAAGATTCTCATCATGTTTGTGTTCGGTAGTCGTGGTTATTGATAGAATCTTTCTTAGAATATCCGAAACTGCAGCAGGGAACCAGGTTATTATATCCAGTTACGATCACGCTTATGAAATAATGATCATCGATTGACTGAACTATCCCAATGCACGCATAATGTGCATCAGATAGATCTACATGCACTATTGAGGGAAGCAAGGGAGAAGGGATTAGTAGAGGCTTGAACTACAGTGACCTGAAAAAACTTGTGTAACCTGGGATGTAAGGTTTGAACATGTTACACGGCTGAGGCTAGGGCTTTCTATGGTTACACCTCACGTTTAGCTGAGATTTAGAGCTTTTCTCTACCGCACAATTTTCAGATAAAGTCACATCATTAATACTAAGGAGTTCCTAATGAGTATTGCCATTCTTAGAGCGAATATCTAAGGATGATAGGCAACATGTGCCCTGTCTTGTGCTACAGATGATCCCCCACCATATTGTAATACATTTATTGTAAAGACTTAGGATGAATAGGATTAGACCTGTGCAGACCCATGAGCATGCCCAAATCGCCCTAACCCGCCCATAAGTAGGGCAAAAAGATTTAGGCCATATTTGACTATATTATGGCTGTATTGACCCTATAGAAATTCTACACTAAACTTTTGGCTATATTAATGACTAGGTTTACTAGGATAGGTAGAATTAAATATAGTCAAATTATGAAAGACTATGGATAATTTAGAGTACCTATGACCTGCTATCAGTAAGAAAAAAAAAACACTGACACGGGTACCAACTAGTATCTATAAGATACTATTACTAACATAGAGTAGATAAACTATAAAAGAGTCCTACTAAGGATAGAGGTTATGCTCTACCTGATAAAAGTAGGAAATAGATCTATAAATCTTCCTCTTAAGCTTCTCTATCTTTATAAAGTTGTAATAATATTTTTTATAAGTCTTCTTTTGTAGTTTCTTAATATAGAACTATTTACTAAGCTCTTTATTAAAGAGTATATTTAATTCCTTATATATAGTAGAATTGATCTATTATTTTTAGCTAACTAGGTACTATACTACTGAGGAAGGAGACTTAAAGTAGATATTGAAAGATAGGAATGCTCGCTGGCTGTCTGTCAAGCAGACGGGTCGATCATAAGAGGAAAAAACCACCACACTCACAGAGTGCAGGAGAGTAGCAGACAAAACGTGGCGTTATAGAGGGACGATAGAGCGAATAACAGAACCTTTCATAGGTAGTATAACGATATAGCAACCTTAGCAACCTAAGTAGAATATTTTATAAGGGGGAACATGTGTTATTCTGATTAATACTATCAAATAAATACTACTTATTCTTGTAAAATAAAACGATAGTTTTGTTACTAAGGCCTCAATCACATAACTCTAGGATACTGATGTTAAGACTAGAAATCCCTACTATATACTACTCTCTCTGAAAATTGGCTGTCCCTTGGTTGTAATGGTTACTAAGTTGTCAGGCTAGAGACCTGTGACTAGGCAAGGGTATCAGATGGTAGAGGTCAGATCAGACAGTTGATACACAGACTGATTCTTGAAGAGATCAAGAATTCTGAATAATTGTGGGATCTTAAGTACACTAGGGTTCGAGTGGATCTCGATATACAGGTAGCTCGAAGGGGATTCAAGTGCGGATCGACGTCGAACGTCTGGGGTGCTGTATACTCGAATCCCGTGACAAGTTATGTATCGCATACCTTCCTGAATAGGTAGGTCACGGGCTTCGGGCTTCCTTCCTTAGCGGCCCGGCCCGGGCTTTGGCAAGGTCTATCGATACCGCAACCTCAGTAGCCTCAGTAGGACATTTCATAGGGTGGAACATGTATGATTGTTATTGATGCTATGGAACGAACGCTACTTATTCTCCCGAAACTAAATGGCAGCCTTGTTGCTAAGGCACCAGTCACCTGACTCCGATGTTGAGATCGAAATCCCTATTACACTACTTATAATACAAAGCAATCCCCCGTTTCGTGAGGCAATTATATACGAATCAGATATAAATCCGATCCGATACTACCACATTATCCCCCTTCCTGAACGGAGAATAGTTCTGTATCGATAGGTGTTCATCCCTTTATCTGATGCTGACGAAGGAGGTTTCAGTATTGATTCTGTTCCCGCTTTCATATCACATGACCCTAGATCATGTGATCGGCAACCGATATCATTTTCCCGTGACAGCGTGCGCGGGCCGTTTTGGGAATTACGTTAGTTAATGGTTACATTTCAATGCCTCAGGCAGACAACGTGATTTATCAGGATATGCACATTACTAGTTAGCCCTGGAGTTATTCAGAATAACCATCATTGCCTACCTAGGTAGGTATAATAACAATAATACGACTCAAATAGAGCAATCCTAAATTGGCTATGAGTACTACTAAGGTACTAGTACTAACTACTCATACAGCCGACTCCGGCTACTCTCCAATTCCTTACATTTACTACTACTACTAGTCCTCCGTACATTTACATTTATTCTACCTTTATCTCCTCTCAATTCATACTTTCTGGGTACAGTATATTTCTCTTGTATCTCGACTACACACTAGGAGGTACCTAGGTAATTACCTGTTTGCTACAGCACAATATGTCCTCTATTCCTATCCTCCGCCCTCGACTGCCTCGGCTTCTTCAACTGCGCTCCGTCCGCTTCTCCTCCGCATCTCCGCATCTACCAGCATCATCGGTCGCCGCCTCATTCCTCTCACGCTTTCAATCCTTGGGCCCTCAATCCCGCTCTCAAATTCTCGATGCCAACCAGCTGAACCTTCTCACTCTCACCTTGAATCGTCCCTCGCTATTCCCCACCACCCCCGCCCTCGCTGCCTCATCTCACACCCCCGTCCCACCAGGTTACCACCTCGTCTACTTCACACCCGACTTTTTGGAAACCGACCTCGGTGCCGATGGAACTGATGCCTCCTACAATCCGGAATCACCCTTCACCCGCCGCATGTGGGCTGGGGGTGAAGTGACCTGGCCCCACGATACCCAGGGCAAACCCAACCCACTACGCGTGGGTCAGCAAGTGACCGAGACAACGCGTGTCTTGAGCGCTGAGGCCAAAGTCGTCAAGAAGACTGGCGAGGATATGGTCGTCGTGGGTGTTGAGAAGGAGTTTTCCAATGAGAATGGCATCTCTGTCATCGACCGCAGGTATGTGTTTGGTCCCCCGAGTGGCCCTGACATTGCAGCCCCAACTAACGCGTCCTTCTCCCTACTGCAGAAATTGGGTCTTTCGCAAGGCCTTGCCTACGCCATCAATCTCGTCAGCACCGGGAAAATCATCATCCCTACCCCCGAGCACCTCCCATCTGACCACCCCGAGTCATACCTCATCAGCCATCCTCACCGAAGGCAACACACATACACGCACTCTCCTCCAAACACCCGTCACGCTCTTCCGTTTCTCCGCCCTCACATTTAATCCACACAAGATCCACTATTCTCTTCCCTGGGCGCGAGAGGTTGAAGGCCACAAGGATATCGTCGTGCACGGTCCGTTGAATCTGATCTCCATCCTGGATCTATGGCGCGACATTCGAGGCAAGACACAGGCAGCTGAAGAGGCACCCCTGCTAGTTCCTCAGCGCATCTCATACCGGGCTACTAGCCCACTCTATGCCGGTGATGAGTACCGTGTGGTGCTGGAGGAAGGGGATAAGGGCGTGTCGCATGTGCAGATCGTGGGGCCCGGGAATGCCGTGGCGATGAAAGCGGAGATTCACGCCTGAACAGAAACATCTCCTCAGGCGAAGGGTGGGAAAGGTGTTCCAGGGCCGCGTCTGTTTCAGGTGCACAATGGCGTCGATACTATATGAATAGCCCGAGGCAGTGCTTCAGCTGAACAAAAGAAAGCTTATCAAACTCACGGCCTCTAGAAAAGTCAGAGTACAGGGATCGCGGTCTAAGTGATTTCTCTGCGACCTCCAACCTGTGCTCCGTCACACGTATATCCCCTTCACTACCTAGGTATCTAGAACGGACCAATGCTTAAAATATACAGAGCTACTACTCAACATCAAGTAACATCTCCAACGGCTTGAGTACGCGCAAAATACGGGTGACGATAAAAACGCTGTCAATGTGCATTGCTCGCATCCGAACGAATTTGGTGACACAAAAGGTGCTTTGTCACAGATGAGTCGCTGTTTTAAGACGTCGGCTCTTGCACAGACTTGTAGATCTCGGAAAACAAGATCTTCACTGATAGAAACCCTTGATGATGGAAACCGGCCGTACATATGTCGACAATCGGAGGGGTGTGGAGGGGTGTACTGAAATCTACTGGAGCATTAAAGGACGCGGCGAAGAATTCAATCTCGGTAGCATCTTGGTAGAATCTTGGTAGCATCTTGGGGAGGATATTGCAGGGCGCTGGGTTGATCAATTCTGGTTCCGGCCGCCTTACGCATATGTACACTGCCTAGTGGCGTTGGCAAACGAGAGGGTGGATGATAGCACCTGCGAGGAAATTGAGGTGTGATTGAGAGTGCATGCAATGACGTGGCATCTCAAGAAGTCAAGCTGACGGTTATTGAGAGGAGGGCCACTCAGAGGGATCCAGAGGAGTATGGAGGCGATTAATCATTCAAAGGTACCCTCGACGGGTTGTAGCAGTTGTCGGAAATATCCTTGCTGATCAGTTGCTCAAAGCTTTGGGGACAGGCAGAAGTGTCTGGCCGGTCTCAATGAATGGGTGCGTCCAGGTTAGCCCATAACTTGTACGTGCAAAAGGCGTGGAGACTCGGAGGAGACGCAGGTGTGTATATTGCTTCGAGTTGTGTGCAGGCGACCAAAGGACGGAAGTTCTTCAGCAACTGTTGGGTATTATTTGAGAAATATTGCGGAAAGGAAGGCACCGTCACCAATATCACGAGAAATTTTGAATTCCACGGCTGTCCAAGATTGTGGGGTGACTCAAGCGGGGAAGTTTCATTATGCGGGGTACAAACAGTAAACTATAGCTAGTTAACTTCTAGTTAAGGTTTGGATGTGTACGTAGTACTCTCTCGGGAGTCGGGATGTGGACCACTTATCATTCAACACTCCCCTCTCCAGACATCCGATGCTCCGCCATCCAAGGACTACAAATACAGATACCACTGCAGAATGTTGAACCTATGACTGATACAAACAACTCAACTTCTCAGCAAGTCACGAACTATGTATATCGTTTGGAAAGAAGAGGCAGATGCTGCCACCTACGAAGATGCCCGCGTCGGCCGTGTCTTCAATCACCGCCGACCAGACCGATTCCCACTGGCAGTTGTCAAGGCTTCTTCTGAAGAGGATATTATTGCTGCCGTCAAACTGGCCAAAGAGCGAAATTGTCGCGTGGCTGTGCGGTCTGGAGGCCATTCCTGGGCAGCTTGGAGTGTTCGCGAGAACTCTATCCTGATTGATCTGGGGGACTACAAAGAAATCGAGGTGGATACGGAGAATCATATCGCGCGTGTTTCAACTAGCATGACAGGTCGTGAAGTGAACGGCGAGCTGAACAAACATGGACTCATGTTTCCTGGAGGCCATTGCCCAGACGTCGGCCTTGGGGGATTCTTACTCCAGGGCGGAATGGGGTGGAATTGCAAGGTGAGAGAGCCTTGATTACATCGAAGCCACCTACATGTTTGTACTAACAGACTTCAGAACTGGGGCTGGGCTTGCGAAAAGGTCCAGGGACTCGATGTGGTCACTGCGGATGGCGACTTGCTTCACTGTAATGCCTCTGAAAACTCAGATCTATATTGGGCAGCCCGTGGGGCCGGTCCAGGTAAGTGATGAATGCCAGATAGAATTCGGGGACGACTTGGACGGTGACTGACGTAGAAGCCAGGATTCCCCGGTGTTGTGACCAAGTTCCATCTCAATTTGATCCCGTACCCAGGGAAGGGCTTTCGATCATCGGGCTATCTGTATCCAATCAGTCATTATCACGAAGTTTTCAAATGGATCATCTCTATTTCTCCTTCTTTCGATAGTGACACGGAGATTGTGGCAGTCGCACAATACCCCGAGGGGCAAGATGAGCTTTCGCTCTTCATTCTATTTGTCACCATGAAGCATAGCCCCGAAGAAGCAGAAAGAGCACTAAGACCGGCTCAAGAAACCAGACCAGCTGGGACAACTAGCGAGTGGTTCTGTATGGAAGACAGCCTTGATAACCAATACAACAACCAAGCTAGAGCAAACCCGGAGAAACACCGCTACTGCACCGACAATGCCTACATCGACAACGATGCGGACGTCCCAAGTGTTTTGGAGGAGGCGTTCACGACGCTTCCACATCGCAAGGCTTTCGCGTTGTGGTATGCGATGAACCCCTGCAGCCGAAGAGAACTGCCAGACATGGCCCTGAGCATGCAATCTGACCACTATTTCGCGTTATATACGGTGTGGGAGGACGAGTCCGACGACAATCGCTGCCGTGCATGGGTGAAGAATGTGATGGAGAAGGTTGAGCGTCATTCAGTAGGCGCCTACTTGGGAGACTCAGACTTCCAAGTTCGACGAACAAAGTTCTGGGCCGACGATAACGCTAAGCGATTGATGGATATTCGCCGCAAGCGGGATCCCCAGGGCAGAATATGCGGGTATCTAGATCACGAGGACATGTCGGGAGTAAATGGCTTGGCCAATGTTCATGAGTGGAAGTTGTGATGCTAATAAGAGGTAAGTGCCCAAGTCAGAGCTCAATTGAATTTAAGTATCATTTTCGGCCGGGTAGGGATTTCAGGGTATTTCAGTTCGCATAGACGACTCAGGTGTTTGTTTACAATTTTTGTGTTGGTCGAAAATAGATTTGGGAGCAGAAGTATGAATGCGAGATCAGTGTATCATTTCTTGTCATTGTTTTTCTTCGTGAATTCGGTGCTCAAAACTGTTCTGTATGCGATTCTTCGGATGTAGGTGTTTGCAGCCCAATCATTCGAGGTATTCCTCATTGACTCTACGTATAGAAGGTAAAATATTGTAGTAAAGAAATCGCAATCATGCCTTGATACCAATCACAGCCAGGTTGCGAGGACTAATGGAGTAGTCGAAAACCGGCTCTACCCAGCATTCCTTGACCGAATCGTGTTCGCGTAAAAACTGCCATCGGTCTGTCACAATAATAGCCTCGACGACTTGTGCACTGAAAGCCATAAGACTCCATACCATGCTCAGGTTTTTCCGGGCATACTGATATTCTTTTTCGTAGCGATCAAGCTCATCATCGGTCATGGTGCAAATGTGCTCCTGAATCTTCGTACCATGATGAGGATCGCGGCTCAGCCGAACGGTAGCAGTTCGTACGTACGCAGTAAATGACGTGAAAGCCGACTTGCGCAAAGATCCAAGAATGAGCGGTGGGGGCCTATCGATGGGCTCGCCGGCATCATTGTAAAGATCCTTAGGGATACCGGGTTGGGGCACAACACCTCTGTCGACGAGTACACGCTGGAACAGAGCGCGGAAGAAATGGCGGGTAAAGAATCCTTCACTTTCTTCGCGACCCCAGTTGTAGGGCGCTTGGACGGCCATCATTCGAGCGGTTATATTGAGCTTCATTCCAGTAGTGCCTTCACTTTCATATGTTTCGAAGCGCTGAGACATAGGGAATCCGTGTGGATCATACGAATTTCCAGTTTGGTTTAATCGTGGATGGAGGGAGCGGAGAATTGGAAGTGTATTAGTTGCAGGCCCCAGTCGCTCGGTCATGAGGTTGTAACAGCAACCGATCATGGCAACAGCCACAACTGATGGGTTTAGGACCAGGGATCGTACACCGTGATGTAACAGATTACCGCATGAATGGAGAGAGACAACCATAACACGAGCGTCGCTCGGTTGTTCTTCGTCCACGTTGACCGTGATTGAAGTTTCATTCGAGTCTTGTGTTTGATTGGGAGTCGACACCTGGGATGGGTGCACCACATGGTTGATTATCGGTTCCAGGTATCCATCGGAGATGTCATGTTCAATATAACTGAGCTTGCCGCGGGTGTCGACTTCAGCCTCCTCGAGCTTTTGTTGCTGCGACTGCTTTTTCGATGAAGAAGCTCGCAATTCGTTGGGACCCAAATCCATTTCGCCCAACATTTTGAATGTAGTTATTTCTTCTTTTTCCACAGCAGTATCCGGCGCGGAAAGTGTATCGATTGAAGGTTGTGGCAGTTCTGGATGTGGCGGTGATGTTGGGGTCTCGCCAGAATCTGCAACCTCCGGTTTGCCATCGCAGTCGTTGCAAGAAGTCTTGCGCTTATGCACAAATACCTTTTTTTCTTTCTTTTTCGCTAGCATAGCGTGGACATCCATTCCCTGGGCGCCACTGATGTTGTGATGATGTCTTTCAATTGCAATAATGTGCTTGTGGTAAGGCGAGCTAGCTAGCGTCCGACCTAAATAGTTCTGGCCAGATCCAAAATCGACAATATGGGATATAGGCTCACCCCGACGCTCATTCACCACATCCGACAGCGAAGCGACGTGACGGGAGAAGAATTCAACTTCATGGAGTTTCTTTTTGTTCATACCAACGGTAGTCTTATATGGAAGCGGAGTTCTCATGGAAGGCGGTGGTACATCGAACTCTCGCCGCAGACTCAGCCGGCGAATATTGTGAATGTAGTCTAGCAGACTTTGAGGAGGACGCGCGCCACCGTTCCAGGTTTGATCATCATCATTCTCGTCATCTTGAGGGCCCCGCAGTGGTTCAATGTTCTCATGCAAAAGAAGATGGAGAACTTCATGAACATCGTGATACTCGAAAAACTCCCTCCACTCAGCCGGAAGCACAGTCGAATAGAGGTCAGGTTTTCGCGTCAGAAAGTCGAGGATATGCACTCCACCACAGAGGTTCATAAATAGAATAGACGATGTCGCAAAGTTCAGCAACTCCTTGACGTACGACTCCGGGTCTTTCCACTCTTCGGCGAGCGGGAGAGGGCGAGAATTAGCCATGTAACTTCAGTATCCAGACAATCTCTTGATCTTAATCATAATATTTCTGGGGGATTTGGACTGCAATTGAACGTCGCGGGGAGTTCGAAATTCGGAGTTGATCAAAAAAAAAAAGTGGCGTCCTTATCGTTGCTGAGTCATTCTTATCTTGATAATGACGCCTGAATTCCAAGGCCACAATCTAATAACTATTACAGTACGAAATGGGTAACTACAAGTCCTAAAAAGACGAGGCAATGATTACTTGAATGGATTTTGGTATCCAGGCCAGGTCAATCTAGCACTTGAAAGTTTATCGCGGGGTAAACTGGAACTACTAATACGTTTGGCCCCGTTTATCTTGAGGCCTACCTAATGGTAAGTAGCACCTATTGTACTACTCTACTTTAAGTTGACCATTCCAAGGCCCATTTCGGTCATTTCAGACGACCATCAATGGATCTCATCCCTCGGCCATTTTGGCTCCATTTTTATACTAGTAGACTCTAGGGGGGCGTTGAGAACCTCGGTCCTTTCCGACAGCATGGTCTCGGCCAGGTATAATCCGGGTATCTACTACTTAGGTACTAGTACTTGAACTTCACAAAACGCCTTGAATGTGAATTTTGAGTGATCATAGATACTACTAGTATCCTGACGCTTAGAAAACCGAGATTTTAAGTAGCCCTTGGGTATTCATCGAGAGTTTCTGCTGGCTGGCTAATCTTCCGACTCTTGGCGGTAGAAACCCGCAACAAGGAAAGCCAATTCAAGAGCTTGCTTTTCGTTAAGACGAGGGTCGCAGAACGTTGTGTACCGCTCCCCAAGTCCATCCTCAGTAAGCCCAGCAGCACCACCCACGCATTCGGTCACTGCTTCTCCAGTCAATTCGAGATGCATACCACCCAAGAATGACCCAGCCGCCCGGTGAATCTCCAACGCCTGTCGCAGTTCCTCTAAGATATCCGTGAAATGACGGGTCTTGACACCGGAAGGTGTGGCTTGTGTGTTTCCATGCATGGGATCGCATTGCCAGACGGGGATATGGCCGGACGCCTGGACGGCCGCAATGTGACCTGGGAGGAAGTCGGCAATTTTCTTCGCGCCGTATCGTGAGATGAGAGTGACTTTTCCAACTTCCTTGGTTGGGTTTACCACGTCGAGCAAGCGGACTAGCTCATCACCCTGCATGCTTGGACCAACCTTGATGCCGATCGGGTTGGCAATTCCACGGAAGAATTCCACATGGGCGCCATCAAGCTGTCGTGTGCGATCACCAATCCAAATGAAGTGGCCAGAGGTAGCGTAGAAACCACTTCCCATCTCCCCAGTTGTTTCAGTGCTGGCGTGAGCTGGGTGCCGAAGCAATCGTGTCAAACTCTGCTCGTATTCCAAGGACAGTCCCTCGTGGCTGGTGTAGATATCAGCGGTCTCGACACCTCGGTCTTTATCAATACCAACCGTCTTCATGAATTTGAGCGCATCTTTGACTGCTTTGACAATCTGGGCGTATTGCTCTCTGATCGCGGGGGTGATGACATGACCAAGACCCCAGTCGAGTGGGGAGTGTAGGTCAGCGAGACCTGAGGAAAGAGATGCACGTAGGTAATTCAGAGTAGCGGCGGAGTGGAAGTATGCCGATACCAGACGTGATGGATCTGGACGCCGGGACTCCTGGTCGGCCGCAAAGCCATTGATATTGTCGCCGCGGAATGAGGGCATCTCTACCCCGCCAATAACTTCTGTTGGGCTGGAACGCGGTCTAGGTACAATGATCAGCAAAAGTAGGAATGGTTAGAGGTTAGAAAGGCAAAGCTTACTTGGCAAATTGACCTGCAATACGGGCAATTCGAATGACAGGTTTGTTGGCTCCTGAGTAGAAGGTGAGTATATTGATCAGAGGTCGCGAGATGGGACGCATTCCAAGGTTCTCCTACCCCAGATAAGGATCAAACTCATTTGCAACAACAGCTTGACTTTGGCCTCGATCATATCTTGATTGCAGTAGTCAAAGAGTTCGGCACAGTCACCTGGTGAATTTATTTAGATGAGAAATCATTCATAGGTGATAGTTTATACAACATACCTCCTTGGAGAACAAATGCCTTCCCCAGAGCCACATTTCTAAGACTGTTCTTGAGGTTGTTGATCTAAGTTGAGATTAGCGATGGAACAAGTTCATTGTGCTTAGACGTATTGGTGCAAAAATACCTCTTGAGTAGTAACAAGCGGCGGGAGCTTGTGGAGCTTGTCCAAAGCATCTTTTACACCTTGCGCATCCTTGTAGACCACATCCTGCTTGATGGGTTTCGTAGTCCACGCTGTAGAGATAGAATATTATGAATTGAGTCGACCAACACAATACTGGCAAAGAACATACAATTGGGGCTCCAGTTAGCCATAGTGTGATGCTGACACTCGTGCTGACGCTGATAGTGGGGTGTGTGGGGTAGGGCAAAACACAAAGAGATGGAAATAGTCAGGCAGTGGAATGGAATGGGAGAGGCTGGCAAACAGGATGACTTAGAATTGCCTCTGAGACCGTGAAGACAGTTGAATTCCAATCACACAAAGGATTAAATAAAGCGATTCGAGAGGTTGCAGTACAAACAGATGCAAAAAAAACTCAAAAGACAAAACGAACAAAAAGAACCGCGCTTATTCACGGCGATGAGTCATGTCGACACCTGATCATGCAGGCCTTATAGAAATAAGACATTCAGGCCATCGATTCATCTATTGTAAAACAGACCGAGTCGAGCTGAGATTACAACTCCCTCGTAAAATCACATTCCAGGAATATAGTGTTCTCCACAGGTGTATCGTAGTAAGGGGTTGTCTCGACGAATCCATGTTTCTGATACAACCGCCGCGCTGTGAGCATATCGGGCAATGTGTCTAGGCGAATTCCTCGGTATCCCAGGGCTTTCGCTTGATCGATGATAGCTTCCACTAGCTTATCACCAAGTCGAAGACCGCGTGCTTTGGGGAGAACATAAAGTCGCTTCATTTCACACCAACCGTCCGAGCTACGACGAAGCGCGACGCACCCAATGGCCACTGCGGACACGCCTGATTCGATATCATTGGAAGTAGCGCCGTCATGGAAATTCGATACAATCGAGGTAAATGCGATGAGAAGTGCGCCTCCTTCAGTGGTGGCGTATTTGCCGGGAATTGCGTCGAGCTCCTCTTCAAAGGATTGGAATGTCAGATCGATCCCAAGTGATGCCGCGTAGCCCGAGAACAGCTCACGAATGACTTGGACATCCCTCGGAAACTGTGCATGGTTGATGCGGATGGCCATGGTATCAGAAAAGGGAGCCCGATGAGAATGATGAAACAAGCTCTGCGATCGCGATGACTCGTTGGTTCCCGCAGGAAAATAATAAGAGAGGGCGGAATTTCTCCACATCGGCGTTGCTGTCAAATGCCGATAAGTGGATCTACTGTACGAACTCGCAAAGAAGGCGGATAAGGTGGACTACGACAGAAGACTACTGCGTTAAAGCCAGCTTCTTCTCTGTCTTGTATATTCAACAAAAAAATTATTCACTATTTTTTGATCCCATGTAGAGGCACATAACGTCAATTTGAAGGTTGTAAATTTGAATATCAAAACTTGCCCCCTACCCAGTTCTTCTTCGCCCACTCTTCCGCTGTCTCGGCTTTTATACCCCGTTGCTGATTCCATGTACCCGTCAACTCCCACGCAACACCGTGGCCCTGCCCAAATACCGCCTGGTACTTGAGCATTGCGTTGTGAGGGTCAGAGGCCAACGCAGCCTGCATTTTCTCCATGGTCAACACATTTCTGGCGATGGGTTTTCCAGTGACTCTTTCAATGAGCTGGGCAAGTTGTTCATAACTGATGGTATCCCCTCCAATGAAGATAGGCTCATTTTTGAATGAATCCTCAATTCCCAGCACAATTTCTGCCGTGACCAGTCCAATATCTTGCGCGGTCGTGATAGTGACTTGATTCTCCAAGCCTCCTAATGCGTTGACACAGGCGTTCTCAAGGTCGACTACCCCGAAAGAAGGATCAAAAAGAAAACTCGTGAACATTCCTGTGGAAACAATTGCCCATCGAGTCTTGGCCTGCGACCGTAAAAGATCACGCACATCGAGTTGCTCGTCGAAGAGGTCCTGAGGGGATCCTCGTCCAATGACATCGTAATCCACCCCAAACTGCCATGGGATAAACCGTGGTGTTTCGGCAGCGAGAGCGGCACGAGTAATCTTGAGTTGGACACCGGTGCCTGAGACGAAGCCCATGCATCCGATCACGATTTCATAATTTGCAAATATCGATGCGAGTGTTCGTTCAGAATTCTCAACAATATCCCCAGGGACGATATCTATGCCTAGCCCCTGGAGCGTGGTCTTTTCCTTTTGTTTGGATGGACTGGAAGAGTCGATGGTGCCAGGCCGCATCAAAACCGCGATTGTGGCGGGGCGGCGAGGATGCGCAACCAAAGCACGCAGCACTTGGGAACCCAACTCCCCAGCACCGATGACGAGGATCTTTTGAGATACCGTCATGTCGATTTATTAATTGATGAATTGAAGAAAGGAGGAATGCAGGTCATAAAAGCCATTTGCCTACTCTATCATTCTACTAGTAGCAAGATGTGTGACGCAGAAGCCAAAAGCAATTCGTCGTCTCTGAGCAGGGAAAATAGAAGTGTTCACCCCGCATGCCCTCTGCGAGAATCATTCCACCTCAGGCTATTCCGTCAAGTCCCGAGTTATCGGGCTAGACCGGAGAACCCTGCTTTCCGAAAATAGCGACTGGGGTGTCTATCTGAAGAGCAAGTGGAGCTTCAACCCGGGGGGGACTTTGCTGAAGTATCTATGATTTTTAGAGTATGCGTGTTTCATGAGAAGGTTTCAAGGGCCATTCAACGCCAAAAGCCCCATATCAGGAAAGGATATGTTCCTTCTAGACTAGATTGGTCCCCGCCAACTCTATCGCGAACAACCATATTTCGTGCGCAATGGCAACATTTCGTACCCACGAGCCGAAAGGCGCAAAACAAAGGTAAGTTTCACCGGATGAGCAATGCCCACTAAGCCGAGGGCAATCCAGGACTCCCGCATTTTGAGTTTCATATGAAACGAATGACAATCTCACTGAACATATCAGCCTGGCCGATGTAACGTAGCTGAGTAGTGCGCATCCTACTGGTCTGTTTATTGTGCAGCTTCCTTATGTCATTATTTCTTCCGGATTGGATTATTCATACTCACCACTTGAACAACCACCAAAGAGCGGTCTTGACCAAGCTTGCGAGTGATAAAAATTGGGTTGGTCGTGCGAAATCGACTAGTGGATTGGAACCCTGGAGGGCTGAATAAATGAGTATCCCAGCCACTCCATTCAGTGCAGGAGCCAGCAAATGATCATCGTCAGTGAGGCGGAGCTCAGTAAACCGCAAGAGCGGTCCACTTCTGCTGCCCCAGGCGTGCATTAGTTGGCAGCTAGAGCCGCGTGGGGGCGAGAGAATGTCCCTTTTGTGACATGACGAGCGTCGAATTTACTGAATCTGGCAGGGTGATCAGCACGCTGTGATATTCCCAATTAGCCTTGCTGTTAGCCAAGAGAACTGAATTGAACTAGTTGGAAAATTTTGTCGGTCTTTCAGCCCCATGGGGCTCTGCTCTGCGTGTATATTAAGCTACTAATCGGATCGCATGGCACGGGATGTGCCTGGGAAGTTTCGTTCGCTACAATATGCGCCCCGGACAGGAGTCAGATATGGCTAGCGAGCCATTTATCTCCAGTGCTGAGAGTTCGCGTTCTCCAAACAATGAAGACCAGACAGAAAATAAAGCGAAAAATACACCAGCGACTCGACTTCATCGATCCGCGTTTGTTGCTGTTGGGCTTGTTGCTCTGTACGCGGCGCTAGTGCTCTTCTCCTGGATTGTGATATGCAAGCTCACATATCGACCCATAACCGCGAACCATTATGGGGTCTGGATATCGAAGAAGAAAGTTGACGGTTATGGGTGGACGAAGGCAGAAACGATGTTGGCGAGATACAAGCAAAATGAGAGATGGTATCAAGCGGCTCGGGTCGCCCAGGCGATTGCCGGTGTCTTGACTATCCCGCTCACGTCTGCAGTGTGCTCAAGTGCTGCCGTGGTATATCTTCAATACTCCCGCGATGGGCGACCTCCCACCCTGAGTCTTCGAAAGATGATGACGCTAGCCGACCGAGGTTGGACTGACATTGCGACCTATTGCCGGCTATTAAGAGGCAAGTACCCTCGATACGGCAGTACCTTTCTCATCTGGGCGGTGTTATTGCACATCCTCGGTGCCCTCATATCTCCACTACAACAGCTATTCCTCTCTACGGAGAGTATCAAAATACCAACATTTCCAACTGAAGTCGATTTCCTTCTTGATATTCCAGACAAGTTTGAGGATGTGAACAATGGAGCGGGCGACCCTACAGTCAATATCCTTCGTGAATACCTCACCTCTTGGTCTGGCAATGACAAACCTTCCCAGCTGTGGGCCGAAGATTCCAACTGTACGCGATTCGGAGATATAACGACGCCCGCGAGACAAATGTGTTCCGACGGAATTCCACCCTTGGGAAAGATCTCGATGTTGACTAACCCATTCATCGCTCAGCTGTCAAGGGAGTATAACACTGGTTTGATCCAACAGTTTCTTCCTCGTTTCAACGCGTCCACACGTTACGAAAATATTTCGTCTGAGGAATTTCCAACGAATTGCGACAAAATACCAGGGGCTTTGTCTATCTACCAAAGCAACACTCCTACTAGTATCCGGAATGATACCTCTGAAGACTTATCTTGGGCTCTCCACGCCTGTATGCCTACCGATGTGCGAATAACACCATGGAAAAATACACGTGCTCGGCAAGACTTTACCGAAGTCCTCTTCCTGAATATATCTCTTTCCAGAGACCTCAGCGATTACCTCGGTGAAAGCCGCCGGTCATTTATAGCTTCTCAATATATCCGTGTGACAGTGAACACAACTGCTGGATACTTCGAGTTACCCAACTACATGAACGGAGAGAGAAGCGGGGCCCCTCCTTCGAGGGGACCCAACCGAACACTGCGGAAACTCTTGCTACAGACAAGGAATTACAAGCAATGATATTTAGTATGACCAGAGAGCCGTTCCTTTCTCCCCTCACATGCATGTCCAACCCGGAAAAAATATGCTAACAGGTCCGCACGCTTCAGTAATCACGAGGCACCCGACACAAAAAAGAAGCGGGGCAACGACACAATGCCGGGAATCGAGGAAATCCAACTTACCTGGAACAAAGGGCCACTCCTTACAACTGCACTTGCCCTGTTCGGACCCAATTCTTGGTTGGATCTTGTGAACCGATATGCAAACCTATATGAGCACAGGAACCTTTCAACCAAAGTGGCCCAGGGGCTTTGCATTGACCTTTCTCCTTTCGGCAGACTACTCAGCCAGAACAGTCTCGGTTCATTCGACATGCTCTCGAGAATTGGCGAGGAACCATGTATCCATCCTCAGCCTCAGCCTATTGGTGGTGAAATGCCGGGTTTCTATAACACTGTAGAAGCTGGGCAGTGGTTGCATAACCTTCGACTGGGGCATATCACGGATCTGGCAGGCTTGGGTGATCATGGTTATCTGGTCATGGAGGACATGTTTAACATCGCAGCCTATTTGTCATACATGGCATGGATGACGGATACCACAAGTGCAGCGAATTCCTTGATCATTTCATACGATATGGGATCAGATTCGCAAAAGCCGTCTATTTCACTTGCAGGAATCATTGTCGTGTCAATCTTAATTGGCATTTATCTGATGGCAATTTTAGCAACCGCAATATACGCTTCATGGTTCCCACGCTGGACAGGATCGCTCGACTCCTTTAGCTTATTGAGATTGGGCAGCTCTATCAGTGAGAAGGTTCCTCTCAAAGTATCTGTGGATGATGACAGGGTAAAAGCCTTGGATGAGTTGCCCGGCTGGATTGGATCTCACGTCCACGATGGAGAAACTAGGTCCAAGGAGATTAGTGGTATTTCACTTGGAGGTTCAAGCCCATTGACGCTGAAGTCGAGGTACGAGGCATATAGGCTCCCATTACGACGAAAGCCATGATAATCATGAACATGCATTGAATGAAATTGGGAAACCTTTGCAGGAAATACAAACCAAATAACATCTCTCTTTAATACGATCATTTTCAAACTCAGTCATACTAGTACTTCTATACCCACAAATGAGGTCTCGAACCTGACCTCTGCCTCCAGTGGCTACCCTCAATACCCGCAATACCCTCAAATCACCTCAACAGTGTAAATATACAAGGAAGATATGGCCTCTCGCCACATTCGCCACATCCAGCATGAGTGTATCTCAACGTATAGAAGTGTCACTTTTGACCATTCGACTCCACGGATCGGTGCTCTGTGATAAAATCTAGAGGCTCTTTTACACAGGCTTCACTGAATTGAGTTGAAAGATGGCCAGAGTTGATGAAAAGGTCAAGTTGACTCAGTAGATGTAAAGCCATGGTCTGATTGGGTGGATTCATTCCTTGGTATTTCAATGAGTAAGCAGGATCAGGTGATTTTCTGTTCTGCCGGGCGGTGGGTGATATTGTCTTGGCTTTACTTCTGCCTGAGGCCGCCACTAAGAGGACTGACCTCCGTGGCTGCCTCTGGATGTACACACACTCGAACTTCCATCTCGATTCCAATTCCAGGTGGAACCCAGAACAAAGCAAAAAGCTCGGAACTCCTGCCTCAATCAAATTGACAATGGATCCCACAGATATTTCCGGCTCGGCCCTGACCTGCCTTTGCATGCGGAACCTGTTATTTGGGATGAGGCAACGAGGTCTGACGCAAGCAGGGAAAGCTGGGCCCGAGCATCAGCAGCGCAGGCGAGACCAAGGGGGAGATCGGGCTGGAATTGCCCCAATTTGCCCCTGTGCTAAGAATATTCCACAATCTTTTGGATCCACTTGCCCCAGGCTGAGAGCGTCCCGGCTCCACTCACATGCACCGCGTGATGTAATCCAGCTTCGCCCAACATTTTTCGATCTTCCATTAAACTGGCGGTGACCCAGCGTAGGTATTGGTTTTCATTTCTCATCTTACACTCCCTTTTCTCCCCCACTCTATCCCTGGAATTGACCATTGACCATGGCACCTCTCAAACTCAACTCTCAGAACCTCTCCCAGATCGCTACCGCCGGCGAATCCCAAGTCAAGGTCCCGACCTATGCACGCGGTGGCGCTGTCAAGGAGGGAATCGTCCATATTGGTGTCGGTGGCTTCCACCGAGCTCATCTGGCCGTCTATGTCGATAAGCTCATGCAAAACCATGGGGTGAATGACTATGCCATCTGTGGTGTCGGCTTGCAGCCCTTCGACGTGACGATGCGTGACGTTTTGCAAGCACAGGACGGTCTGTATACCGTCATCGAGCGCTCAGCTAAGGGGAGCTTCGCCAACGTTGTCGGCAGCATCAATTCATTCCTCTTTGCCCCGGATGATCGTGAGGCTGTTATTGCCAAGATGGCGCACCCTGATACCCATATTGTCTCTCTCACCATCACTGAGAGCGGCTATTACTATAACGAAAACACCCACCAGCTGCAAAGTGAGCACCCCGATATCCAATTCGATCTCGACCCGGCCAATGCGAGTAGCCCACGTACCACCTTCGGCTTCCTCTACGCTGCCCTAGCCCGCCGCCACCAACAGGGTCTTAACCCCTTCACTGTTATGTCCTGTGATAATATGCAGAAGAATGGTTCTATCACTCGCCACATGCTTGAGTCGTTCGCCCGCCTGCGAAACCCAGAGCTTGCTAAGTGGATCTCCGAACAAGGCCACTTCCCCAACGCCATGGTTGACCGCATCACACCTCAGACCGCGCCCGCAGACAAGACTGCTCTCGCAGATAACTTTGGTATCGAGGACTCATGGCCTGTTGTTACCGAACCATTCATGCAGTGGGTGATCGAGGACCGGTTCTCCGATGGCCGCCCGCCATTTGAGAAGGTTGGTGTTCAGGTTGTGAGCAACGTCCACGATGTTGAACAGTTCGAAAAGCACAAGCTACGTCTCCTGAATGGCAGTCACTCTGCGATCGGATATCCCGGACAGCTGGCGGGCTTTAAGTATGTTCACGAGGTTATGGAGCATCCGGTATTCCGCAAGTTTGTCTGGCAGATGATGCAAGAGGAGTCGAAGCCTAACCTGCCCGATATCCCCGGCGTCAATATCGACGAGTATTGCCAGACTTTGATGGAGCGATTCTCTAACCCTACCATCATGGATCAACTCCCTCGTGTCTGTCTGAACGCCTCTGGCAAGATCCCACAGTTTATTATGCCCTCCATTGCCGAGGCAATTTGGGTCACTGGCCCCTTCCGCCGTCTGTGCTTCGTCGCGGCCGCTTGGTTCCATTATATCAAGGGAGTTGATGACAACGGCAACAGCTTCAAGGTTGAAGATCCCATGATCGAGGAGCTCCAGGCTAAGGCCCATGCCGGAGGCACAGACCCAGCTGCGATTCTCAGCATCAAGAACCTGTTCGGTGATGATCTTCGCAGTGATAAGCGCTTCATGCAGCAGATCACCATTGCGCTGGAGGAGATTTCCCGGGATGGTATTCTGAAGACCCTGCCCAAGTACGTTGACTGATTGGCGCGACCAGAGCTATAATCTGGAAAACAAAAGTATATCTATGATTGCAAGCGATTTTTTACGATTTTTCTATATGGATCATGAGGTTGTGAGATTACAAGATGTCTTTACTCGGACACGGGATTGGCTATAGATACTGGTAGATGAATGATAGATAACCCCTAATTCTTATTTCATCACACATTTTGTTTTGTTCTCAAATCGTTCGACATTGAGACATGCCATCGTATCCTATTCTACTATTCATACATTGTTCTGCCAGTAATTTCTGTTAAAGTGGGGGGGTATATCCGCGCGTCAATTTTATCTTACAGAACTCACTAATAGACAACCATGCATTCGAAGAACAGTCATGGCTAGCCGCTTTAAACACTCGATCCACAGATGTAAATGCTAAATGCTCACTGCACGACCTCGATGTCGAAGCGCAAGTTCGAAAATCCTCCAAACCGTGCTAGCCATGTAACGATAGGTTGGATTCGTCGGTGGCCTCTTCCAAACGCCCCAAGAGGAGATAAGCGACCCTCTTCCCGAGTCTTGTACCCAACACGCGTCATATTCCGGGGTGCCGATATGCCAGGACTGTGCGATGTCATTCGGCCATGTGAGACCAGTGTTGGCTTCGGTATACCGCTGGTGTTTGATGAAGTGGAGGGTCTCCTTATTCTTGACACAAGTCAGAAAGAATACCTTAGCCAATCGAGATCAAAGTTGCTTTCGTAGAGAGCTTTGATAATCTCCGAGATGTATGGCGCGTCGCAGTTTTTGTATCTCTTGATTTGATCAAGGGTCATAATATTGGGGTCGGTATGTCCAATCTAGGTAAATTCATGGCGCATGATATGAAAGGACCCGAAGTTTTTCTCCTTGGTCGATGAGCGAGGCACTTCGAGAGGTTCAAGTTCCATCCAATGCAGCGTTAAACCAATTTCGAGACTGTCAGGTTGAGACTTGCAGGTTGGGGTCAGCTAGCCATCGTCTGCGCTTCGCTCCCTCTGCTTGCATCTTGTCATATTTTAGAGGATATGCCTCTGCTGCGAGTTGGGGTTCGGGGTTCTGGTTTGAATGAGTTGGTGCGCCATCTGTTCCATGCCAGGATTGTGGACTGTCGTTTCCTTTCACTTCAAGTTGATGGGGAGGGTCTGAGTCTCCTCGTAAGCGTACTACTAATACTAGCTTTCCTGGGTATTGTGAAACAGTAAAGTTTGAGTAATCGCAGGATGATAGGGCTAGCGGGGGGCGGGGGACTAGGAAGGGAGACCAAAGGTCATGATACTAACACCACCTGGGCATTCCGGACACCTTGCCAATACTAACCACTACTAGTATATTTATATCAATATCGTAATCTAAAAGAATTCTAAAATAAGATAATCTTCTGCGGTACTGCATCTTCACCATATTATCTTAAAAGATAGAGAGTCTACATCAGAACATACTCTGGATAATTCATTATGTATATATCTTCTCTATCAACAAAAATTACTAGTACAACTTAAAGTCAATAAAGACACGTCAGTAGAGATCAAACATCAACAAAGGTCACCTAGGCACCTGGACATATATCAATAAAGATCATGTGTTCAAAAAAATCAAACTTCAATCTCCGACTCGGAAATTCCAAGGTTGAAGGTCAGTACTACTTATATTTTTGTTTCATATTTCCAGCAGTTACTAGCTCAATTTTCGAAAATGTCCCGACTCGGAGGTCCAAGCTCTGATTAGAAATTGAAGTATAATCATAAGATCCGAGGTTTAACCGTGAGTCTCTACTGTAAATAGTCTGGGGTACCTGAACCACGGAGTTGGGTCACACTTTCCACACTTTGTAAACTCGTGACTTCATTTTAGCCGGGAGGGCGGACCGAACTGCCGTGTCCGGCTAAACCTCGGGCGCTTCTCCGTGCCTCATCGAGCGCGACTCCACCAACAGCGGATTGCGTCCTTTGACATGCTCATCTTATACGGCAGCATTGAACGCTGCTCATGTACGCTACACGAAGCGGGGAGTACCGGCCCAGGCGAGTAGCCCAGGTGAGTACTTAAATATCAATCCCGCTCTGCTGTCTCCCTCATTCAGCAGCATCCCACCGCAATCCTTTCATCTCCCGCAGCGAGTGTATCGCAACTCTAGCGCAATTTAATCCTAGCCTTAGTCGAAGAGAAACTTGAAAAAAGTATCATTGACTTGTGGCGGCCTCCCATCGTTTCGAAAACTTGAAGAAACGACTACACAGTCGACCCCACCCACCATGGCCCGCATTGACGTCGAACAAGCTATCGAGGAGCTCACCCTCGGCGAGAAGGTCGCTCTGACAGCTGGTTAGTCTTGAATCTCCTAATTTCTTCTCTTCATCTTCTGTCCAATTCACGCATCCCCATAGCTCCCATAGCTATGGTGGTGAAAGCCCGTTATCGAGACGTGGTCCTCGCACTCCATGTCGATCCAAGGCTAACTCTCAACAGGCCGTGATTTTTGGCATACGGTTCCTATTCCACGATTGAATATTCCATCACTGCGGATGTCAGATGGCCCCAATGGTGTTCGAGGCACTCGGTTCTTCAATGGCATCCCCGCCGCCTGCTTTCCGTGCGCGACCGCCCTAGGAGCGACCTGGGACGCCGAGCTACTATCGGAAGTCGGCAAGTTGATGGGTGAAGAGGCTATCGCCAAGGGCACACACATTGTGCTTGGCCCTACAATCAACATCCAGCGATCCCCGCTAGGTGGACGCGGCTTCGAGTCGTTCTCCGAAGACGGTGTTCTTTCTGGCACCCTGGCGGGGCATATGTGCAAGGGCATGCAGGAGAAAGGTGTGGCAGCAACATTGAAGCACTTTGTCTGCAACGACCAAGAGCACGAGAGAATGGCCGTCAATAGCATTGTCACTGAACGAGCTCTCCGCGAAATCTACCTGTTTCCCTTCCAGGTTGCCATGCGCATTTGCCGCTCCGCTTGTATTATGACTGCATACAACAAGGTCAATGGTACCCATGTCAGCGAGAACAAAACTCTTATCGACGACATTCTCCGTAAGGAATGGGGGTGGGATGGACTTGTGATGAGTGATTGGTTCGTTTGACTTGATTCCCATTGCCAATGAGCAACGAATGCTAACCTCGATTTCAGGTTCGGCACATATAGCACATCCGACGCTATCAACGCCGGTCTTGACATTGAAATGCCTGGCAAGACACGTTGGCGTGGCGAGGCTCTCGCTCACGCTGTCTCATCCAACAAGGTCGCCCAGTTTAAGCTAGATGAGCGTGTGCGTAATATCCTGAACCTGGTGAACTGGGTTGAGCCCCTCGGCATACCAGAAGGTGCTCAAGAAAAGGCATTGAATCGTCCCGAGGACCAGGCTCTCATGCGCCGTGCAGCCGCGGAGTCGGTCGTTCTTTTGAAGAATGAGAATGACGTCCTGCCATTGAAGAAGGATCGTTCCGTTCTGGTCATCGGACCCAATGCTCGTATTGCCTCCTATTGTGGTGGAGGCTCCGCCTCACTTGCCCCATATTATCTTGTGACGCCCTTCGAAGGAGTGTCTGCCAAGAGCACCGGCGAAGTGACGTTCACCCACGGCGCCTATTCGCACAAAGAATTACCCTTGCTGGGCCCTCTTCTTAAGACTGAGGATGGTCAAGCTGGCTTCACCTTCAAGGTATACAACGAGCCTCAAAACGCAGGAACGAACCGAGAAGTCGTCGATGAGCTACATCTTACTTCTTCGATTGGGTTCCTTATGGACTATGTCAACCCTAAGATCAAATCCATGACATATTATGTCGATATGGAAGGATTGTTTACCCCAGAGGCCGATGGTCTGTATGACTTCGGCGTAACTGTCGTGGGAACTGGCCGACTTCTTGTGGATGGCGAGGTTGTGGTAGACAACACCAAAAACCAGGAGCAAGGATCTGCTTTCTTTGGAACCGGCACTGTTGAAGTCCGTGGCTCCAAGGAACTCAAGGCCGGCCAAACATACAAGGTTGTCTTTGAGTTTGGTACCGCCCCAACCTCCGACCTCGATACCCGCGGAATCGTCGCATTTGGACCTGGTGGTTTCCGCTTCGGTGCCACTCGCCGTATCAGCGAGGAGGAAATGATCACCGCTGCTGTCGAGGAAGCTGCAAAGGCTGACCAGGTAGTCATCTTCGCCGGCCTCACTAGCGAATGGGAGACCGAGGGATATGACCGTGACCATATGGATCTGCCTCCCGGCAGCGATGAACTGATCAGCCGTGTACTGGCAGTCAAGCCCAATGCTGTTGTCGTTATCCAGTCTGGTACCCCCGTGACAATGCCATGGGTGAATGAGGCTCGTGCTGTTGCGCAAGCTTGGTTTGGAGGTAACGAGTGCGGAAATGGCATCGCGGATGTACTCTATGGCGACGTTAACCCTTCAGCCAAGTTGCCCATTACATTCCCTCGTCGTCTTCAAGATAACCCTTCATATGTTAATTTCCGGTCTGAACGCGGCCGCGTTCTTTACGGCGAGGATGTCTACGTGGGTTACCGATTCTTTGAGAAGAGTGCCGTGGAACCCGCATTCCCCTTCGGCCACGGTCTATCATACACGACGTTCTCACGATCCGATTTGCGAGTGGACACGGTGCCCGAGCAAACTCAATACAAGGAGTCTGGCGAGCCAATCACATCATCCGTTACCGTCACCAACACTGGTTCTATTGCGGGAGCCGAAATCGTTCAGCTCTGGGTTGTCCCGCCCAAGACAGACGTTAACCGACCTGTCCGTGAGCTCAAGGCATTCCAGAAGGTATTCCTGCAGCCCGGTGAGTCCAAGACAGTGCAACTATCGGTTGAGAAGAAGATCGCTTCCAGCTGGTGGGACGAGACCCGTGAGCAGTGGATCTCCGAAAAGGGCCGCTACGAAGTACTGGTGACTGGCACAGGCTCGGAGGAGCTTCGAGGGGAGTTCGATGTTGGAAAGACACGGTTCTGGCTGGGACTGTGAGGTACCCCTCAAGAATAATAAGGTTGAGACGATAAGGAACGACAATGAGTGAGGAATATAGCCACCTAACTAAGTAGCTTCAAGTTGTATCTAGGTATGCATCGGACTTCCAATGTTACTATGAAATTTACGATCAAGACTGAAATTGAATCCCACTGAGCTTTACAAATAAACATCGAGTTCATTTTGTCAGTAGCCGTAGTTTCATGCGGTCAATTCCTGGCCTTTGTCATCTCGGTACCAGGTATACCTCGGTATTTCATAAATTACTACGCTTCCTTTTCTGTCTGCTTTGAAAGCCAATTAGGTATGCCCTGATGGGTGCTTTTCGTGGCATGTCCTTTAACTGGGCGGTGTTTCTGTCGCTTATTTGCATGATGTGACCGAAGCCTGCATGCCCCGCAGTTTGAAAGAGGGGAAAGAGGGATAACTCCTAGCATCTCTGGATTTTGACTGATCACTACCAATCATTATGTGATGAGACCCGACGAGATTATGCAACATCTCATGCATAAGAGGGGCTCGCACCCAACAACCATGCATTGCACTTTATGTATCGTGCTCCGCAATCATATCCTCTTGGGTTCATATCTTTGCCCATCTCCCAATTTGAAATATCATCCGCCGTGCTTATTTTGTCTTGCGATTCTCCCATACCTTGACTACATCAAGGATTGAAATACTCAACTATGGGCTTGACAACCGAAGATATGAAGAATACGGCGGGAGTTCTCGTTGTCGTAGGAAGTGGGGGAGTAGGACTCGCCATTGCTCGCCGCATGGGAAGTGGGCACCATATTGTACTCGCAGACTTTTCAGAAAAGCAGCTGGAGTTGTCGGCGCAGGCGCTTCGGGAAGAGGGACAAGTCGTGGACACAGTTCGAACAGATGTCGCTAGCATGGAATCTGTCCAGAATCTTGTGCAGCATGTGACAAAATTTGGTCCGATCCGTGCCATCGCTCATACTGCGGGCTTGTCGCCGGTACAAGCCTCAGCAGATCAAATCTACCAAGTTGACCTGCTTGGGGCAGCACAGGTTATAGAGGAGGAATTTTATCCCCATGTGACACATGGTACAGCGATGGTCGTTATTGCTAGTATTGCTGGACACGGAAAGCATAGTGCGATCTCACCAGAGCTCGAGAAACATCTGGCTATCGCACCATCAAGTGAACTTCTCCTGCGCCCAGAATTCGATACTAGCACACACAACTCAGATGACCCCATAAAGGATTATTTGGGCCGAATGAAAGCATATTCAGTCTCGAAGAGAGCTAACATTGTGCGTGTTCAAGCTGCCGCAAGCGCATGGGGTATCAAAGGAGCACGGATCAACTCGGTGAGCCCAGGGGCAATAGCGACCGCAATAGGTCGGCAGGAGATAGACGGTCCCATTGGGGGATCAGCTATTAAAGAAGCCATTGCCAGAATCCCTGCAAAGAGAATTGGAAGCCCAATCGAGATTGCCAATGTAGTCGCGTTTCTGTCGTCTCCCGAATCAAGCTTCATTACCGGCAACGATATCATAGTCGATGGCGGATGGGTCTCATCAGATAAATGGGCAGACGCGACTTCAATTGCCGAGAGATAGTTCGTTGCAAGGCTGCAAGTTTCACATCTCTTTTCAAGTTGTCGGTAAACTGTTCGACTCCATCATCTCCTGAGTTTGCCTTTGAGTATATCAATTGTAAATATAATCATTCATGCTTCCACCGGTTTCAGCGTCGGATTGATGCAGGATTCCCTAAAGTCTGGGTGGTCCAAGCCGCACAACTTGAAACTAGCAGACCCAGATGATGATATAGCTCACTAGATTCGAATATACACGTTCAGGCGATTTCGTAGGGGGCACCGAAGTTGAAATCGCCGAATGGGACCGAATTCGACTGTTCGAATCTATTCAAGAGAGAGTGTCACCAGGCAGCGGGTCCTCCAAAGGTCCAATCCAGCCCTGATAAGGGAATTGTACCCATTTCGCTGTCAAGCTCATATTGCGACTGCATACCAAGTGCACCTGGGTGGAGGTATTGGCCTCCCAAGCCACAAGGAATGCTGCCAAGGCCAACTGGCATTGCCATCTGCAATCCGTCCAAGTTCATTCCGGGAATATCATCTGTTTCTTGAGCTGGTGCAGTCTGTGCTGTAGTAGATTTCTCAATCTCTCTTTCTCTGATGATAGAAATAATAGCGGGTACTTCCATCTCTTTTTTCTTCGGATTCGATGCGGACACCCGCTGCTCCCATGCTGAAAGAGCGATTTTGGTGAATAGATCAAAGATTGGGCCCTCACGCGCCTCCGGAACATTCACGCGTACTTCAAAATGATCACTCAGAACCTGCCAAGCGTTATCTGCTTGGCTGCAACAGGGACGTTTATTTAGGTCCTGTAGGACATGAACATAGGCCGGGAACGGGAAATAGAAACCAAGGAGCCAGCGATACCCCTTCGTTAAAGGGGAGCTCATGATCTTGGCATCAGATTCGAGCACCATCAACGCATGCCGCATCATGATGTCCCGCTGAGCCTCTGTCTGAGACTCTGGAGAGTCAGAGTATCTCCAGTAATGCTCAAGCATATGGCTTTTCGCCAGTTGGATTCGAGCCATGCATAGCGTCATCAAATGGAGAGGATTTTCTGGATCACAAAATTTGAGATATCTATCTTCAATCAGTCTCTCAAGAGCGACCATACTCCAATTGTCAGGAACGAGGCCCCTTTGAGCTCCCTTGGCCACAGATTTCAATTGGGGATTGGTGAAGTCAAGATGGAATTCAGCGTGACGAATGAAATCCCCTAGCACGCATCGGACCACCACGAAGATGGCATCACTTGTCGGGCTTTGAGCTGACGGTGGATTCTTCATTTCAGGACGAAGGTCAGCATCGTTGACGTTAAGAGGGACTTGACAGTCCCAAATAGGATCCAATGCAATCGTTTTAGACTCGCTCAGCTCGCCGATACGGCTATCGATGAGTTTCATAGCCCACCAAAGCCTGCGGTGCATCTCAGCCTCAAAGGGTGGGTAGTCTATTACAGTGGAATTGCTATGGATTCCTAGCCGATTTGCAATACGCATCGCAACTCCAAACATGGATGAAAGTGACCGAGGATCCGTACTGGGTCCGACTGAAAGCTACCAAGTATCAGTACTGGTTGACAAATATCCGCGTGGAAGAGCAAAAGGACGTACCAGAAAGAGATAAAAAGCAGTCAAGCATTCACGGTCATTTGTACGAAGATACTCAGAATTGAGCAGTGCCTGCTGACAAGCAAATTGAAACCTTGACAGCAGCTCTTCCTTAGAGGAGCTGAAGCTGGCCTGGCACTCTTCCGTGGTAAGGCTCATCACCGAGATGGCATAGATACTGAACATCAGTGCTTCAAGAGCCGGGGTCACATTCTTGAGATTGCTAGCTGCCTCGATGATGCGGCCTTGTAGTGTCGGGGTGTGCGTGACCTTGAGTAGGGGGTCGACATTTGTTAAATACATCTGCCAGAGTTGGAAAATCTGAACGGGGTCTGGGTGAAGGGTTGACAGTCCAACAGGCGTGTATCGTAGGCCGAAGAGTAAATGGTCATTATTGACAAAGACTTGGTCCATGGCTCGCCTAATTCCAGCCTGGCTCACTGCATCATGGATTGGCTCGCCGTTATGATCCGATGATTGTGATTTCTTTGGCGCTTAGCATAATGGGACAAATCAAGAAAAGAGTAACATAGACATACCCATTGCTGCCTGAGGACATGCCATAGGTTTCTGGCGAGGGAAATGATCAGTTAGTGTCTTTTTAGAGCAGCCTGTAAAGTCATCGCTATCCTACATACTTCCCATCGTTAGCCTCTTTCGGCGTGGCTGAGGTTGAGCCATGCTCCTCCTCCTCCTCCTCCTCATTCTCGGAATTGTCGTCACTCTCGGCACTATCAACAGGAGCAGAATTCAGGGACACTGTATCTGTTGCTCCTGTACTCTTAAAAGATTCGAACTGGATATGATTCTTCCGGAGTAGCGTTTCATACTTGTGAATCCGGTCTAGTAAGTCTCGCTCCGGGAATCGACGGCTTCGGCGCCTTGGAGTGACCGTCGCCGGAGTGCATTCCTTTCCGAACCGAAGACAGTTCGCGCAAGGGAATTTTCGGTCGCATTTGACCTTACGCTGTTGACAGAGTACACATGCGAGTGGTCGCACTCTTTGAGACCGCGCTCGGGTGCTGGATGAGCCCGATGAAATGGGCGGAACTTGTGACATGTCGACGCCGAGGGCGAGGCCACTGTAACTCACTGGCAACCGTCAATCGCGCTAAGTCAAATCGGTACTTCTAGATTCTCAACTTGTTGTTATTGGAGGAAGAAGCAAAGTAGAATGAAAAGGAAAAGGAAAAAGACAACTTTCGGACGATGCTAAACCCGAGGACGGCTGATGTCATGTGATCTTGGGGATTTCCAAAGTCCGATCGGCCACGAGGAAGGCGCGACTGATGGAAAAGTGAACAACGTGGGAAGGTGCGAAGGAAGACTCTCTTTGACTGTGGGAACCTTGGAAGACAACAGAACAACAGGATACCTAGGTAGTGTTTGCTCATATGTTCTGTTGTGCAGGCTCTGTTAGTCCATACTCCTATATCTTGGTCCTTCTAGCTTAGATTTATTCTAGGATCATTTTATTTCTATTTATTCTCCTTTTTGTGCTAGAGGCTACAGCTATAAACATTGTCCGAAAAGTATGGATGGATAATAGGATTTTAATTAGAGCTGAACGCTAATGGTATACAACACCTTTCCTAAATAGCCAGAGGGGGTGTCCACTTTCCAAGGCTCCTATAAAAAGGGCCCCAGAAGGCACATGGGAAAAGCCATAAGACAAGATCTCTTACAACTTCCCGACTTCTACCCTTCCAAGGTTCAGCCTCCTCTCTCTCTCTCTCTCTCTCTCTCTCTCCATTTTCATCGCTTGACTACCCTGCACCTCCATTCACACTACTTGAAAATGCCATCAACATCATTCTCACCGAGCATCGCCATTATTGGGGCCGGCCCTGCTGGCTTAACACTCGCTCTACTACTTCGTGCCCGTGGTATTAAATCAACCATCTTTGAACTTCGCCAGAAGCCCACCGAGGAAGAGCTTGCAAAGCCATCCGGGTCTTTGGACCTTCACGAGGAATCTGGTCTCGCTGCCATAAGAGAATGCGGACTCTGGGATGAGTTCATCCGATTGACGGGGGACTGTAGCGAGGCCCAGAAGGTTGCCGATAAAGATGGTATCATTTTGCATGAGGATCAAGGAGAGTTGAGTGATCGTCCAGAGATATCCCGTCATGCATTGATCAAGCTGCTTGCCTCTCATCTACCCGAGGCTTCTATTAAGTGGCTGCATAGATTGAAGTCCGTGACCCAGTTTCAAACTACTAGTACCACCAGCCCCAGGGTTCAACTCGACTTTGGTGTCCATGGAATACATTTCGTCGACTTGGTTGTTGGGGCCGACGGAGCTTGGTCCCAGGTTCGGAGTATGTTGACTGCGGTGAGACCGAACTACGTGGGTACTCAAAACATCACACTCACGATCCGGCAATTGACGCTGAAATATCCTCATCTCGATGCTCTGATCGGCCGTGGGAGCTTCTCCGCCTTGGGTCTTCGTCATGGAGTCATGTCCCAGCGTGGACCCCTAGACTCGGCGAGGATCTATGTCTTCTTGACGACCCCCGATGAACAGGCGGCCTTCACCTTGGGTCTTGCTAATAAGTCAGCATCGGCAGCAAAGAAAATACTCCTGACGAATGACGCTTTGCTCGGGGACTGGGGAGAAACAATGAAAGACTTGGTGGCTCTTGCCTGTGACGAGGAAACAATGGATAATCCGGATGCTGTCGTTGACATTCGCCCTCTCTACACTCTTCCGATTGGTATATCGTGGGAACATAATCCAAGTGCAACTCTTGTTGGTGATGCGGCGCATCTAATGTGCCCGTGGGCCGGGGAGGGTGTCAACCTGGCGATGTGGGACTCACTCAGCTTGGCCCACGTGATTTCCAACGCGGTTCAGTCAACAGAACAAACTGGTGCATCATTTAGCTCTCGACTCGGCCCACTTTTGAAGGAATTCGAGCAGACGCAGGCATCTCGTGCCAAAGAAAAGGCAGAAGAAACTGACCGTAACGGGAAGATGTTATTCTCGGAGGATGGAGCTCAGGCATTCGCGAAATTCTTCCAATCCGTGTATGGAAGTGTACCAGAAACAGCAGAAGCTCACCACGAGAGGGGCGGAGAGACGGAGCGATATCGATAAGATGCAAAACAGTTCTCCCTCTGGTACCAGAAATCGAAGTAGCTCGTCGCCTACAGTATGTGGACCCTATCGCCATTCATCAATGCCCCCCCCCAAGGATCGAGCTGAGAAACCAAAACAGTCCCCAGGAACGTCCTAAGAACGCCCGCAGTGAGAGCGGTAAGGCATCATCCCGAAATGAACCCGCTCAAACCGCAACACCCTCTCGAATTACTCACGTGCAGAATGGCCATAAAATGTCGACTGCCAAAGGTTTAGACAGCGAGGGAAATCCCGTGGCGAGCAGCAATCCGAAGCTCAAGTCGGCCTTTGATGTGGCCAATATAGGCCACTGGCCAGATTTTGACTGGCGCAAGGTCAACGGTAGGCCTCATTATCGTGTCGTGACTAACCACTACGCTTTCCCTGCCAGTTGTGGACAGCGCTTCGGCGAGGCAGCTCCACCAGGCCAGGACTCTGTGAGATGCAAAGAGGGACGTGGCGCTTTTGCGACGTGTAGAATTGCATATTTGCCTCAAGTATCACACATCAATGGTGGTGTAATGCGGTCCAAGACGTTATTCGGTGGTGGATGTATGGGATGTGGCCTCAGTGGTATTGGACAAGAATGCTGTCTGCGGCAGCCCCCTGAACCGCAGTGGGTACGGGATTATTTCATGGAGAGAGTTCCGAGTCTTTACGAGTCAGAGAGCAGTCCAGTTGCTTTCCAGATTGGTCCCCTGCTCGTTTCTTTCTTCGCTTTTGACTTCGCTGAGTTGACTCTGTCCCATATGAGCTTGTCGAATCCTTTTACTACTCTTCTCCCATTCTCTTTGTTGAATTGAAAATCTACTTTTCTACTTGCATTTATCGCCTTGTTATCTTACTGATAGATCAATTATGTTTACCATCCTCACGCTATTCAAGTTTTAACCTTAGAACCATGTTTTATTCCGGTAATCCATCTAATCTATCTCTGAATTCAAACTAGTATCAACCTCTGCTATCTCCAACACTTTCCCATGCGGAATTTCCATCGATACCGGTATTTCTTTCGACAGTCCATATCTCAATGATAGACTAAGCATGGAATTCACTGACGGGTCCTCTGCGAGATACCAAGTTTTTCTCCACGCCTCACTGATGTAAGTTGCCATTTCAATGCCGAACATGGACATGAAGGAGCAGAATTGTAGACACCAGAAGAAATTGTCCCGGCTTCGAAGATGAATGTAGATTTTGAGCATATGAGGCATGGAAACCAAGACTGCGACCATACCCCAGAGCTCCACATGGCCTTGTAGGAAATATGGAATCGAGCGACAGAATTGGTCGGCGTAGAAACCGGCGGAAACAAAGTCTCCATGCGTGGTAGGGTCTACGGAGAAGGCCTTTCGAGTGTGTGAGAGGACAAGAACCTCGGCCTGGTAGATTAATGAGTGATTGATGGCCAAGGCCATCCAGTAGAACATGTGTATCCTTGCGTTGTCAAGCGAGACGAAGGAGTATGCAGCGCCGAATAGATCGTCAGTAGGTGGCAAAAAGGACTGATGGGATTCCTGATCAACGAACGGCACTCCTCCGATGCGGGTGAGGCTCGCTCCGTACCAGTCCACGGCTTTTTCTTTGAGCGTGCGACACCTTTGTAGTAATTCCTGGCACCGGTTTTGGTCGGAGTGATCAGTTTGTTCAACATCGGTGACGAGGCATCCAAGTTCCACAAATATTTCAAAAAGCCCATCGATAGGGTGGCCGGTCTTGGACTCTATTAAATATTCGAATTCCTCTCTAGTGAAATCCACTGCAGTGATTGCATAGATCTACGGTCAATGTTAGTCTGGATAACTGTGACAGATTTTCCGGGTACGATGAGAATTTCGTACGACAGCCTGCTTTTGCTGATGATAGATAGCACGCATCAGCGAAGACGTCGGGGGGGTCTTTATGAGCGCCACGTAAGAGAAAATTGTTTTGTTTCATGGCAGGAGCCCAATTGTCGCAGCCATGCGGATAGTGGTGGCCCTGGAAGAGGCGTCAGTCAGGACTCGGATCACTCAACCGGGTCATCGCTGAGGGGAAAAGAAACCAATCACCTCCAGAATTTTTAGAATAACCATAGCTCGGATATAATCCTCATTATAAGGATCCTGAATCATTAATTTGGAAATATGTTGAATCGTGGCGCGGTGCAGCTGGACACCATAGCGAGCCATGTGATAATCACGATTGAGCCGACCAAGTGATAGACAAGACATGGCGCTAAGAGCCTTCTCGGAAATCAGAAATTTATCATTTTTACCTCCAGGCCTCTCTAGCATCGAAGAAGAGTTGAGAAAGAAGTATTGAACTTGCTCAAGGTCCGCCGTGCCTCGAATATTGGTTGGGAAGTACGCGCCAAGTAAGAAAGAGTAGAGCTGAGACCGCATCACCGGCCCATTCTGTACAACCGGCGTGAGTTCAGGCGACTGTGCCTGCCTCGAAGATGGAGCAAGTACAACCTCTCGGGTTTGTTGCCGTGTAATGTTGGACTGGTGAATGAATATGCGGGATTTCGCGTACCCCGGACAAGGGATGCCACGCTTGATACACCGATCGCATTCTGGGCGTGCGGCATCACACTACTCGAGTTAGCAGAGGAAGGACCACGTGGTCTCGGAGAGTAGAAGAATACTGGCACACTGACTTTTATCTTGCGTTTTTTACAATTTGAGCAGGCTGTTGACCTCCATGGAATACCACCCATCTGCCCCGCGTCGATTGGTCGCGTCTAGAAATTCGGGGACTGCTGGAGGAAGTGCCAAAAGTGGAGAACGAATCCTGCAAAGTGAAGCGGAGGTAATATGGACGGGTTTATCTCAGAGGCCGATTAGACTCACGGAGTAAGCACCAGCAATAGCAAAGACCGTGTGGAGTGTGGTTTAGTGGAGGAGGGGGGGGCGATTGCGTGGGCCGATCAAACCCCCCCACTGTCGATTACTCATCGGTCAGCAGTACGAAGGACTTGGCTATCACTGGGAATTGTCGCTTGGATAGGTGAGGTGCTATCATAAATTAAGCTCTTTATTTCTGTTGACTGCCCAGGCGCAGATGAACCCCCAAGGAACCTTGAAAATATCAACCCATGTCGGAGTTCCCGGGTCGTAGGGGTATCTGGCATATCTGGCAGATATTGGGGACAATCAGGAGAATTAGCCAAGAACATGATGAAAAAGAGACCTTGAGGGCCTCTATGAAGAGGTCTGATAAATAGTAAAAGCCATCCTGATACATGGGCGGTTTCACAGCATATCTACTCCGTCGATGAAGAAGCGTCAGGCAGCACCCAATGTACACGCGAAACAAGATCGTCAGGCCAATTTTTGAGTTTATCCCACTTAAATCCCCCCCAAACAACCTTTGTATCGCAACTCAACATGGTCCTCTAAATTGATTCTCGGAGACGCTATTTGACGAGAGACTTGCTATCGCGGTTCCTGCTCGACAAAGCTAGTGTTTGGAACGGGTCAGATAAAAAAACAAATAAAATCGAAAAAAAGGTATGCTCGCTTTATTTTGCTCCACATCTGACGAGGAAGCAAGAGCCCCAAATTAAAGACGCGACCGTCGAGACGTTGGCTCCCCTGTACCATGTGGACCTGGGAACTGCTTTGCTGCGCATGACGCATTTTGTTCCCAGGTCGTTATGCGATGAGACGATTGATTGCATGTGGGATCAGCAAGGCTGATCTTGTCACTCAGGGGTTATCTATAAGTATGGAAGTGAAGCGCAAACTATGGGAATTTTTTTACCGTGAAACAAAACAAGTCCCTCTTAACTGTTCCTGTTCCTGGAAGAACTAACCAGTATACACTGTCTAACCGTTGACATGCCTCCTACGGCGACCGCAGCCTCCCCATCATCTACAGCCACCTGCCTCCATATCGAACCTGGTAAAAATGGCTATCTTCCTCCTGAGGCATGCGGCGCTATTCTTTTATACAAACCTTCACTTGTACCCGCCGCTTTGTTTTTCATCTTATTCGGTCTCACGACATTGATCCATTTCGTCCAAGTATGCGTTCATAGAAAATTATATGCGCTAGTGATTGTCATGGGATCGGGATGGGAATTCATCGCGATGGCTTGTCGTTCAATGGAAACACAACACCAGAATATCTCTAAATACTATGTCTATTTTATGGTATTCTTCTTGGTCGCGCCGATCTGTGAGTGAGACCCCACTGTCGGATTTAAAAGTTGAACACGGTTTCGCAGAAAAAAAGGCTAACTTATTATCAACTAGGGATCAATGCATTCCTTTACATGACCCTCGGTCGCATGGTCCAGTTCTTCGTTCCCGAGCAAACATTGATCAGAATATCGGCGCGACGCTTCGGGCTTATCTTTGTGTGCCTAGATATCCTTGCATTTGTCGTCCAGCTAATCGGAGTTGGTATTCTCGTCCAAACGGATGCTGCTACCGATGTGGTTCTGCGCGGAGTACACATCTACATGGCTGGAATCGCAGTCCAAGAGATATTCATCGTATGTTTCATTGGTTTGACAATTCACCTGCATCGCAGACTCCTGGAAATAGAGAGAACTGGTGTCCAGGTGGGCAAGATGGCCAACCTTGCCTTCAACTGGAGGTGGCTCTTTTACACAATGTACTTTGCACTTATAATGATAACGGTAAGTATTTCGCGCCCTTGATCGCGGTTAACCTTGGAAAGTCGACCTTCTCATACTGAATCGTCATTTTTCAACTAGATTCGTATCGCCTTCCGACTGGCCGAATATTCAAAGGGCACCAGCGCCGAAGAGCCCACCAACACACACGAGTGGTACCAATACGTATTCGACGCGCTACCCATGTTCCTCGCTGTTTTTATCTTCACCATATTTCATCCGGGTCGAATTCTCCAGGGCCCTGATTCTGGTTTCCGACACGCGAAAAAGGTCGCCAAGATGGAAAAGAAACAGCGGAAGTTCCAAAAGGAGAATCCATACCCAATGGCCAGTGATGATGTTGCTTTAGCGCCCTATCCAGGGCACCACCAGCAGCAGGTTTATGCCCAACCGTCTCCCCTTCTTCCGCATAGCCCACCTCGATCATACTTCGGGTGATGGATACGTTCTGAGCTATTGCTTTCAAGTCCTGTCAAGACATTTATGAATTATTACACGTTATCAGTGCCATAATTATATATGGTACTTAGATAGGGCCCATATGGTTTGAAGTCACCCAGCGTCTTGTTGTCGGGTCTCCTCAAGAGTCCACAGCGTTCCGATATTGGCCTCGGATTGAATTATTACTTGGGCGTTTGAGGGACGAAATATGAATCATTTCAGGATCCGGTTTTGATATTGCCCAGGTGTGATTGAGAAAACTAGTATATTTATTTTTCCAATGCATTTATGGATTTTACCACAATTAGTTATTTCGTATCTTGACCGTTATGTTAGTAGCTACATACCTGCTAGTAGGCACTTTGAACGGGCGAATATTTGGTAGATTGACCTCGGGAGGAAATTGCTCTGGCTGTCGTATACTAATCAGCATGAATTTATCCACACAACTTTTCAGCCTTGCTAGAACCAAGGTATCCTCTACTAAGGCCTGGTGCTGACGGCGTTTCGCGTATTTAAACTCGAATGGGGCTAAGCCGACTTGGCACGCCAGCGAACGAAGAGGCTGAGATGAGATCATCAGCTGAGGCAGTTAAACTCCTTCTCCATTCCTAAAATTCAGATATCGTCGCGTCTATCAATATGGCCAGTGATCCCAAAGCTGAAGGATTCGAAATCACCGAAACTATCGTTGTTGCTGCCGCCCGTGGTCGACTCGATCTTGTCGCAGTGCTCCTCGAGCGCGGAGAAGATCCAAACACTGTGAACGATATCGGAACCTCAGCCCTCCATAGTGCGGCAAAAAGAAATTACTGGGATATCGCCCGCCTTCTCCTCGAACATCATGCAATTCCTGGGATTCAGGATGGCAACAACGAAACCCCACTCCAATTCGCCGTACGGGCAGGCCACAAGCAGATCGTAACCTTGCTTCTTGAATGTGACCCGTCGATAGGTGATAATAAAGACGCGGCGAAACAAAGGGAACTACATATCAATCTACGTATTGCCGCATTACTGGGACATACGGAAATTGCCAAGCTTCTTCTAGATCAAAAAGCTCCTACTCTTTCCGAGGCGAACTACGAAACAGCACTGCATCTGGCTGCCAAAAAGGGCCACCACGACGTATGCGACCTTCTCTTGAAGCATGATTTGAATATGGATCGATCTCTATGGAGTCGAATGACAGGGCCCAGCCTAGCCTTTGATACAAAAGACTCCAAGGGAAACACACCCTTTTCATATGCGGTCCAGAATGGGTTCGAGAAAACCGTCGCCGTATTTTTACACATCTACCCGAAGCTAGGCCAGGACTGTGATCGAGAGAGAGAGCCACTATTCCATAAGGCAATCACATTGGGAAACATTGAGGTCGCTCAAGTTTTCTTAAAACATGGCACGGATGTTGAAATGAAAGGCCGGAATGGAAATCGGGCCCTTCATCGAGCAATTCAGGCCATGGGTTTTAACGGAAGGTCGGTGGAAGCAACGAAAGAAATGATTCGATTTCTAATTGAGAGTGGTGCTTCGGCCAATTCCAGAAACGCTGATGGCTTGACCCCTGATTGTATGACTAATGATCCTAAGATTCGGACTTTATTGCGGAACTATATGAAAACGCAATCGAAGAGTGATTCAATGAAGATAGCATCAAAAGCATTAGCCCCACCACCTGAGTACAAATCATGAATGGGATTTGGAATATGAGATCGATGATACTAGGGTCAAGCTGAGAGCCAGTGCTTCTGACAATGTTGCGCATAGGGGGGGCAGAGAGAGATCCATATACTCAGGCCAATGGGATTTGTTGCATTTGATCAAATTTATCTGGGTATAAACAATGCCATGCATCTATTGATGTATAACTTTTAAGAAGAAAACTAGTACTAGTAATGGGCCTAACGACAATCCAATCAAACTCCCCAGACTGCTGGCGGTTCCAGTTTCCGCATTCGGATGTGGAGCCCTAAGCCCTCAACCCCGCCACCCTGAGCCACCACTGAGGGGCCCCGCAAATTTCATTCATCTGTCTGCAAGTTGGAAGGTGTTGAAGTTGAATGTGAGGATTGCTTAGCCTATTTGTAAGAAGGAGTAGTACCCATGAAATCATCTTGGAAGGGCCCGATCCGGAAGCATCGTGATAGACTAATTACTAGGTGCTAGGAACATGAATACTGTATAAACTAGCCCCAGCTGACCGACGAGATGCGAGTTAATCAAGGGGGACAGAGATACTGGTATTTCAACCCCGAGGCTTTCAAATCTTTGATGCTGGTAGAACTTGAATGGAAACAAGGGTCTAGAGCCAGAGATGGTAATCCCCGTAAGTGATGGATGAGGTAATGCGAAGCATCAAGTGGAGCGGTGGATAAACAACCCCAACTTGAACATCAACCATCAACCAGCAATTGAAATAGGCAGGTTGAGCCATCCACTGCAGGCGACTCCATGCGACCGTGTGGGACAAGATGGCTCTGATACTTAATACCAAATTTCCAACCAAAATGCTTTTTCCTATTCAAACTCCCCCCTCGAATACAACTTGAAGATGGCCCCTTCACTCCTCGTTGACCAAACCATCCCTAGCGCAGTCACGCCCAAGGCGTTGTCTCAAACAACTCTCAAGCCCTCACATCCCAACCCTTCACTACAGGTGACAGCTGACCACAAGTTGAAAGTAGTCGAGGCACCAGTCAACGCGCCCGGCCATGGTGAGGTCCTAGTACATATTAAGGCGACTGGAATTTGCGGATCCGACATTCATTTCTGGAAGACTGGTCGGATCGGATCATTGGTTTTTGAAGGAGATTGTATTATCGGCCACGAGGCCTCGGGAATCGTCCTGCAATGTGGTGAGGGTGTGAGCCATCTGAAAGCCGGTAAGTCTGATCCGATATTGTGTGCGCGAGAGAGATACGGTGTACTGATAGACTTATGACCAGGCGATCGAGTCGCAGTGGAACCTGGCGTGCCTTGCGAACACTGCTTCCTGTGCGACGAAGGTCGCTACAACCTATGCGAGGATGTCCAGTTCGCCGGTGTCTATCCTTATGCCGGTACAATTCAGCGATACAAGGTACACCCAGCCAAGTGGCTGCACAAGCTCCCCGACAACGTCACGTTTGCCGAGGGGGCCCTTCTTGAGCCCCTCTCTGTCGTGATGCACGGTGTCAAGACTGCCGGTTTGAGCCTTGGTCGTGGTGTTGTCGTCTGCGGTGCCGGTCCCATCGGTTTGATCGCGCTGGCCGCGGCTAGAGCCTCTGGAGCTCATCCCATCGTTGTCACTGATCTCGAGCCTTCACGTCTGGCATTCGCCAAGGGCTTTGTCCCTTCGTGTATCACCTATCAGGTGGACCGGACTAAGGATGCCGAGGGAAATGCACAGGCGATTCGGGCTTTGTTCGGCGACAGCGAGTACGTTGCTCCGGAGACAATTCTGGAGTGTACAGGTGTAGAGAGCAGCGTGTGTACTGCTGCATACACCTGTCGTCGTGGTGGTACCGTCATGGTGATCGGTGTTGGAAAGGCCATCATGAACAACCTCCCTTTCATGCACATTTCTCTGGCAGAGGTAAGCGAGCATTCGGAAAATCCCTTCTTAATGACCAACGACTAACTAGCTACTTCTTATCTAGATCGATCTACGATTCATCAACCGTTACCGCGACACTTGGCCCCCGGCCATCCAGTGCCTGAGTGGTGGCATCCTCGACTTGAAGAGACTGGTCTCTCACGTTTTCCCGCTCGAAAAGGCAGAGGATGCATTGCATCTCTGCGCCGATACACGAAACGGAAGTATCAAGGTATTGGTTGTGGATGAGGAAGAGGCCTCATTATGCGCTTAACCGGTTGGGATTACACAGAATGATTATGACAGACATTTCCCACTAGAATTGGTAGACATGAATGAAGATTATATTAATACAGTTGTTTGCCCGGTATTCGCTTCTCAGTAAGGTCGAGTCGAATGACAGTAAATGGCGCCGACGGGGACGGGGTCTTTGCTCGAGTGGTCGCCGGGGCTGAGGACGGTGTTGCGGCCGGTGCATCCAACGCCTCTGTACAGAGGTTAGCGAGGTTGGAATGAATTGAAAAGGACAGAGCGAGGTTAAACTCACGTGAAGATACGGCAGTATTTTTTGATAGACACGGTAAATACTTCTCTGTTGCCTGGTTAAACTCGGTTCTCATAGACTATTGCTCGGCTTGATGGGTGGACTCACTCCTCGTCGATATCGTCGTAGCAGTCGTCTAGAGGTGCTTTGATTCCTCGACTTCCAGCTGCGGTCTCGATTCCAACCTATTCTGCGCGCTTAGTTACTAGATTCCGCGCTTATTGTGAACAATTCACATATACCGTGGTGTGTGTCGCCTCTTTGGCGGCGTATGCGGAGAGCAGCAAGAAGCTAAGGACAGAGAGTTGCTTGAGGCCGTACATGATGTCGGTGTGAGTGTTTGAATGTACCGATCGGAGTTGGTCGGAGGAAACAACATGCAAGCAAAGAAATAATTAGCGAAAGTAGTCGTGTTTGTTGGCTAGGAGGCGTGCCTGCGACATCCCTTGCTCGATGGTATTTGCAGGAGTAGTTTCACGCCCTGCCAAGGGGATCGGAATGTAGTAGACTCTAGAAGCTGTAAATGTGAGCATCATGGAAGGAAGAAGAGAATATCGACTTATTGTGGGTGTATAGAAGTGTGAACATGTTTGTACAAGTGGAAGAAGAAGAAGAAGTAGAAGGAAGTCACGCTTTCCCCACAATTTCGCCTTCTCCGCACAACTTCAACTTCAACTCCAACTTCAACTTCAACTCTTCCTCCCTCCACACCTCAATGTACCAATGCTCCCAACAAAGCGACGGCGACTTGACGCCCAATTCTCCGACATGGAAGCCGTCTCTCCTCCCCTGCATATCCTGTGAACCCTGAATGGCGACATGCCCCCGTTTACACTCCCTCCGACACAACCGAGCAAGCCTTCGCATCTCCACTAGCCAGCTGGACCGATGGCTTCTCGCACGATCCGGGATTTCTCGCCTCTCAGGAAGAGCTGCGTTGTATGCTCTTTACGATCGCACAGTCTGCCGCGCCGACACGAGCGGCTAGTCCAGCTGATGTTGAGCACAGCCGAGATGTCGAGGAGCCGTCGCGAAGAGAGCGCGCCGCCATGCGACCGGCCCTATCGAATTCCCGGCGGATTGAATATTTGAAGAATTATGTTGGACAGGTAGCTCCTTGGGTAATTTGCAATCCTACTATGACCTATGGCATGGCTCTCAGATGAGATGAAACAGGTGAAGACCGCGATGGCTAATCTTTGCAATTTCTTGTCTTTCTCAGCTTGACATGTTCGACTCGCAATGCACATTTCGCGTGCAAATCCCCGCTCTCGCTCGTACATTTCCCGCCCTTCTCAATGCCATCTTAGCGATATCGGCCCGGCAGATGGAACGGAAGAAGGGCATTCAGGACTCCTTCGACAGCATTGAGTTGTACCAGGAAGCAATTCGCCTGTTGAGCCCGTTGCTGCAGAATCCGGATCCGAAGGTCGTCGCCGCGTGTGTTCTTCTCTGTTGCCTGGAAATGATGTCAGCCCGCGCTCAGGATTGGCGCCGTCATCTAGAGGGCTGTACGGCTCTTTTTGATGCCTTTGGAATCAACGGCTTCAGCAGTGGACTACTCCAGGCTATTTTCTGGTGCTATGTGCGAATGGGTATGATTGCTCAGATTTTCAATTATTCTTTTATTTGCCTTTTGTCCCTCGCTGACTCGTATAGATCTATGCGGTGCACTCATTTCAGACGGTACGCAGAGCACGCTCTTACGACCCAGCAAATGGTTGGCACCCGATTGCCATGAGGATGATGCCGCCCAGCTATTCCAGGCTGCCCAGTCTCCTGATATGCATGCAAATTACGCCGTTTATCTCTGCGCAAAGACTTGTGAATTGGTTTCCGACCGGACCCAGTTCGTTGAGTTGGGTGTGCAGAACGATTGTACCGGCGAGACCTTCAACCGCCGTTGGTTGAGACTGTGGGAAGATCTGCAGCAATGGGTTGAGAATAGACCACCGGAGCTGTTGCCGGTCCAGACGACCCAGACAAAGCCATTTCCCCACATACTCTTCCTACATTGGGCTGCCATTTCGTCAAATCAACTCTACCACACGGCTTGCATTCTGCTTCTAAACAGCATGTCCAAGTCCATAAAACTGCGTCCTGCAGCCACCGTTTCACCCCTGTGGCATGCGCGCCGGATCTGCGGCATATCACTTGCAAATCCACACCAGGGATGTTTGAACAATGCCATCCAGCCTCTCTGGATCGCCGGTCGCTTGTTCAGCCATGTTTCGGAACATGGTATCATCATCGATATTATTCGCAAGATCGAAGCCGAGACTGGATGGGGTGCCTGCTGGAGAATTCGTGATCTCGAGTTGGCTTGGGGATATCAACTGTTCCGCCGCGAGAAAATCACAGCGCAACAGCAGTCCCCGGTCGCAATTGGCTGATTGAGTTTCGATCGAGATTTAATCTCAGTAGAAAGTATCTCAACTTCATTACGACTCCAGAAACCCCCACTCCCCCTGGAGGCTGTGCAGGAAGTTACTTGCATCCCATCCAGTGACTCTTCGAATGCGCTCAAAGCCACGCAAAATTTCTTGTTGCTGCGACTCGTGAGTCATCCGACGAGCCGCTGTGAGAAATGAAGCTAGAAGAACTGGATCCCAACACTCCCGACGCTCATTGTTTACAGCCATACTGCAAATTCGTTGGGCATGCCAAAGGGGTGACATGGTCGTTGGATGATAACCGGTTGTCGGCGCGGTGCGTGGCCGATTATGCAGCAATAACAGCATGGCTGTATGATATAGCTGATTGCTAAATACCCCCGAACCATGAGCAAAGAGAACGACCGGGAACCCCTGACCCATCCCGGTGGCCTGGTCTTCGAGTTCGATCTCTATCATGGCTTGAAATCCTTGCGGTCGTTCTTGATACCATTGTTCGAGCTCCTCCATGAGATCCATCCACACGCGCAGCGGAGGATTCTGCGGCGATGGATCATCATTGTGCATGAATTGCACTGCTTTTGCACACAGCCAAAGTGGGCGATTGGCGAAGCAGAAAACATGTTCAAACGGGTCAGTTCCCAGGTCTCTACTTGTCAAGTACGGCAATGTTGGAAGTAGGGGAACCTGGATATCGGTATCGGTGGCCAGAGCAGCTGCGAGGTCTAAAACAATAGCAATCTTAGAACTTCAATCTTTGCAGAATATAAACCGAGGGTAATAACTTACCAAGTCGAACAAACAACCAGTAAATGGCCGAATTGAGATCACGGCGTATGGTCTGTGGCCCCAGAGAATCCAATAGCTCCCGGTCACAAACCCTCCGAGGAGACCATGTTGCCTGGAAATTCAATATGCAATTCTTGGATTCATCTATCGCACGGAGGAATGCCAATGTCGTGATGTCTAATTGCGTCTCCGGAGTCGCAGGAGCTCCTGGGGTTTTGTCTGTGATGACCAAAGACGAGAGTGGTCGTAGCAAATTCATCGACGCCTCCGATAGTGCTAGGACGGAATACCAGACCGGCTGGGAGACCATTGCTAGCTGCAAGCCTTGAATCCCGAATAATTGGCCGAGGTCACAGATGTCAAGCTAATTCGATCGCATTTGTCAGAGGGGGCTTTGTTTTCATTCTGGGGGTTGTCAAATTACTTACCCACGGTGCAACCTCATAACGGTAATGGCGAAGCAGCTCCAATGTATGAGTAGATGAGATTGCAAGAGTTGCAGACGTTGCATTGGCAACGCGACCTGGGGAAAATCCCATGGGGAAATCCAAATTTCGAGCTGGAGTCATTGCTTGAGTGATGGATGGTTCTTTAATTGGCGGGGAGATCGCAAACTCGGAAAAGGTCATGCTTGGTGCCATTGCCTCTTGGGTGCTCGTGCTTGTGCCCAATGCCAGTAAACCAGCGACCGCGGACTCATCATTGTCGTTGAACATGGTTGTTGGGACCTGCGTGAGCGATATACCTTGAGAGGAAGGACCATGCGCCTCCCACTGTGGTAGCTCCACATCGAGTGACTCTGCGTGTGTTTCGGAGATCGAGCGATGGGGTTCTCGTTTTCGTTCACGATGCATTTGTGGATCTTCCTCTGGTGATGATGACCGCTCTTTTGACGACTCTGCAGAATCCTCTTCCTTCTGGGGCTCTTCGTTGATGAACTACGCCTCGGTCAGCTTAACTCAACTCTGCTCGGACCGTGATGTAGTTCTATGCGCCTCGAGGCACCCACCTGGATAGTCTCATATGTAGCAGAGGCAGTGCCAACCTCGGATGACTCAACGGTATGCGCATTTTTGGTGAGAAAGGTCAATTGTGGGCCGTACTGACAATTGAATCCTCGGTCGGTACAATTCCGGCATTTGGGCTTGCCTTCGTCGCCTGCGCCGCGAGTTAGCCTCCCTCATAAGACTTAATCTTAAATCTAATTCTGATGCTTATATTGATACTGACATTTTCGCCGGCGGATGCGACAGCGCATGCACCCCGTCCGACATCTGGTAAGCCGCCGCGTTTGCTTGGGAACCTCCGGCATGGCTGGGGGGGAGTTGAAGATGCGGAGAAATAATCGAACGAAAGAGGAAAGTCTACGCACCGGTCACGTGGGGTCTATCAACTACGGGGAACTGCATTTACAATCACAACACTCATTCACACTCTTCCATTGGAAATCCCTATCAGTAACGATATACATTGAAGCTGGAAAGTGGAAACTATCTAGTTTGTTTATCCCTCCACTCATCCACAATCCCCGCATATCCTGACGGCTGATACACCCCAGTGAGTTCTCTCCACCTCCCTCCACCCAGTCGATGGGCATTTAGTCCGAGGTCTTTCATTAGGACATCATTATAGTGGATCGCATCAACTTGCAGGCCACTGCCAGTAACCGCTCCAAGTGCCACATCGTCCGCAATGGATTCCTCCATTCGATCTCTTGAAAAAAGGTTCGGATGAAGATACTCAAGTGAACGAGATCTGGAATCATCAAGTCCACCAGTCAGAAAAGCCGCAACCCAGAGTGCCTGAACCTCTGCAACCACTGCGATTGTCGATGTGAGAATGACCCCAAGAACTGCAAAGGATCGATCGCCCTCGGCCACCAATTCCGGTGCCACCATCCGGCGGAAGAGGCGAAATGGAACGACTTGAATTTCCTCGATCTCCGGTGGGCGATTGCAGGTCTCCAGGGGACTTCCATTGCGAGTCAGGATCTTCGTGATTTTTTTCTTTGATATTTTGTCTAGTTGCTGCCAGTGGTGCATGCGCTTTGCGAACCCCGAGTCAGCCCGACCCACCGTCTGATGGTCAACCTCTTCCTTCTCATGGTATATTTCCATTTCAGGCGGGCAATCTAAAATATCCGATATCCCAAGTTGGAGTCTCAATGAGCGTGGCTCAAATGTGATAGGTACAATAGGCTTGTACCCTGTGGCATGGACGACCAGATCGACATGTTCAAGGCGGACACCGTCCGCCAATGTGAGACTCACTCCATCGCCCCGTTCGTTTCCATTTCCATTTGCATTTCCCGAGGCAAAAATACTCTGTACAGTAGACCGATATATTTTCACATGAGGCTGTCGAATCGTTTCCCATAGATTGGCCTGGTTGGCGATCCCGATGGTTGAGTTGCATGATACGACACTAGGAAAGTCAGTCAATCCTTTCAAATAACATACTTTGATGGTGCAAAGTCGTACCTGTGACTCGGTCGAAGCATTTTCGACTTCGAATCCTTACTATACTGCGCAGTCTCTTCCAACTCGCGATCCACGGAGCCCCAGAACCACCGTATGAACCAACGACCTAATGGGTTGCCGTGAAGGATTCGTACCAACCACGATCCTTCTAGGTGCACGTTCCAGATATATCCCCCTTTCGGCGTCTGAAGGACGATGCGCTTTGGGATCTCTGAACAAAATGGGTCGAAATAATGCAGGAGTCGACTGCTTGCTGCCTTGTCGCTGGGGACGACTTTCCCTGTAGGTAGAGCGGACATCGGCGGTGCCATCCACGAAGGCCCCGTGCCCTTCTCGCGAATGATCCAATTTATCTGCACTGGATCCTGAGGTGTTACATCGAGATGCGCCATTGGGTCATGTTGATGTAGCGTGGCGAAAAAGTGTACCAGGTCGAATGAGGATTTTGCACCGCCATGGATCACGACCGAGCGAAGTTGTCGATTTCTCAGCTCATGTCGGGACGTGTTTTTCTCTCCATTTCTAGGATCTGGCAATGGACGATATCCCAAATTCCGACGTGCCCAGTGTCCAATATCCTTGGCGTGGATGACTGAGTTTGTCTTCTTGCTCTCTGGAGATGATTCAACTTGTGGAAAGCTGGGCACTGAAGTGAGCCCCGTGGCGAGTATCAGTTTGTCGCAGATGATTCTGATATTACGGTTGTTATCCGATGCGATACAGATGTCGAGCTGCCATTCTCTGCCTTCCAAGCGTCGGACGCCATCGACCTGTTTGCGATATCAGCTAGTGCTCAAACGGAGTGAAGGCTGTCAATGATTACCCTCCAGTTCAACCTAATGTGTTCTTTTAATTTCCACTTCTCGGACCATGCATGGAGATATCGATTTATCTTCCATCCTGCAATAAACTGCTGCCCAGGTCCATCTTCATCCGGTGGAACGACGTCCGCGAGCGAGAGATCACTGAATTCATATAATCCGTATGAATTCTGACTGAGGAGATTGGGATAGAGTCGCTCTTCAGCCCAGGTTCCTCCGATATCTGATGCAGAATCGATCACCAATAGAGAGCATCCCTTGCTACGTTCGCCGATATGTGCCGTATCAGTGAAACATCTTGGGATATCCGTATTAGGCTCGGTTGCATCCTTCAACCCTCCAACATGGTCGTATACGCCGTTGATCTGAAGGTAAGTCTTTGCCGCGATGAGGCCATACAGCCCTGGAAGTGTAAGCGTTCGAAAATTGAAAATGATACGCATTCGAAATTCTGCTTACCTGCGCCGACGATTACTACTCGCTCCATGGCACTCGCTAAGGGTTGAAGAGAAGCTGCGAAGTATTGGCATTTCAACAAATTTATTCCTAATTTTCCAAGTCAATTTCAACAAAATATGACAAAGAAAATGGCAAGAGAAGCGATGGTGAATGCGAACTGTTGAAAGAACAACAATCGCATCTCCTGATATTGTTCTGGTGGGGCCGCGCAACAACCACCTTAACACCCACCTTGGGTAAGGTCAACTTCATTTCCATTCGTCAATCAATCCTCCACGAATAATGAGAATGATAATAAATATTATTATTATTGATTTATGATTATGCTCGACACTATGCATATTTCCAAGATGGCAGAAGTTTCCCTCCAACCTTGTCTGGCTCGTCCCGATTCTCATTGCATCGTCGAAGTATATTCTTGATAGCTCCCTGTGCAAGGCCGACGATCTCCCTTTCTTTATCCTTGCCTCCAATCTTGAGTATGCCATCCTCAACTAGAATCTCCCCATTCACCATCGTTATATCGACATCCCGCCCGGTACATCCATGAACGACCGTGGTGAGAGGGCTAACTCCACACCCAATCAAGTCGCTACTCCAGGGTGCTGCACCAAGTCCACCTCGACCATAAGGATCAATGACCACAAGATCTGCCTTCTTTCCCGTCTCAAGGCTTCCGATCTCTTCCTCAAGGCCAAGCGCTCGTGCCCCATTTATGGTCGCCATCTCCAAGGCAACCTCGGCCGGGATCAAGCCCGCGTCATGATTCACCCCTTTATGAAGGATTCCAGCTAAGTGCATCTCCTGTATCATATCATAATGATTGGAGCACGGTGCACCATCTGTCCCCAGGGCGACATTCACAGGTGATGTGTGGGAAAGCATGGATGGGATTGGAGCCACGCCCGAGGCCAACTTGAGATTCGATGTTGGGTTATGAGCCACCGAGGTCTGCGTGCTTGCAAGCAGTGGGATATCAATCTCTGGATCCAGATTCACCATATGAGCCAAAACCAGAGAATGAGACTTCTGGTCGCCATCATCCGATCCGGTCGCGGGTTGTGGGCAAAGTTTTGCATCGCGGACAAATTCCATCGCACTGCAGCCATAGGCTTCGTGGTAAATAGTCCTATCCTTGGGGGCCTCGGAACAATGCATAGTCACCGAGATTCCGTTTTCAGAGCAAGTCTCGCCCAACTCAAGATATTTCTCAATCGACGTGCCTCGCGGTGTACCAGCTGCCGCCCAAACATGAATCCTGCCATCTTGGCTGCGATGGTGTTTCTTATGAGCATTCAGAAGTTCCGGGATAGACATCGCTAGTAGGTCTTGATCGCGAGGATCGGAAATCGATAATTGGCGATTGGTTTCGGTGAATTTGACCAGCTTACCCTGTGATTTGCAACAACTGCTTCAGCGACCGGCACACTTAAAATAGAAAGGGACAGACTCAGAGAAACATACCAGACACCCTCGTATTCCCATCTCGCTCACAGCAGTACATACCTGATCGAAGCCGGCACGATATGTCAACATGGGATCAAGAAAGCAAGTGGTCCCTGTCTTCAACATCTCCGCCGTCGTCAATCGTGTCGCATGATATCCATCATCATCAGCGAACACAGCCTCCAGCGGCCAAATTGCATCACATAACCAATTATGTAATGGAAGATCCTCGGCCAGTCCACGAAGTAAGGATTGTACTAAGTGAGCGTGGGAATTGATCAGCCCGGGAATGATTATTTTGCCTTGACAGTCAATCTGTTGTGTCTGAGTTGGTAGTTCGATCGGATATTTCCCCTGCCCGATTTCCGTTATCCTGTCAATATCCACGCGGATATATCCTTGTTGAATGATTTCGCGGCGCTGGTTCACCGTGATGATCGTCGCATTGTAAAATAGCGTGCAGCGTGGAGGCGCAGAATTGTTTGTGGCCATTTTTTTTAAGACGGAAGACTCCGAGAGACGTGGAAAGCAAAGATTTGGCGAGGAATATTTGACTGAGAATGATTTGCACTGGTGATCGGATGTAATTATAACTCCGCGCTGTTTGCGATCCTCGGCCGAGGCCAAGCCGCTTCGCATCTTATCAACAAAAATCCCCGATTGTTATCGATTACATTCAGGAAAGGCTGATATGACGAAGAGATACGACGATCGGTGATCTTCATCTTCATCAATGCATGGAAATGGTATATATTGGAAAGCATCGACGTCGGACACTCGCTGTCTTGCTTACAGTACGAGCAAGTTATCAACCACAATTGGAAGGGACTTGACAACCTTTGATGACGATCATGGATGCAAGTCGGAGATCCCCGGAAAAGGATGACCTAGGAATTCCGGTCACTTCTTGTTTCAATTCAGATTACAGGGAATCTCAGATCATCGAAATCGCGCCAGTCGCCGAAACCCGATGGCAATATCTTCGTCGATACTTCACAACTTCAGAAGGATGGATCGGAAACTATGTACGACACCTACACATCTGTCCTCGTCGAGATATGAATTAACAATTTCATTCAAAGGACTATCTATATCTCATCACACCGAACATCTGGCCGCTAAACAAGCGATACAAGAACCATGAAGCACCATTCTATGGACTCAACGATGAGGTACCAATTCTCCTCACCATCATATTGGGCCTGCAGCACGCCTTGACCATGATTGGGTCTGTGGTATCTCCCCCTTTGGCAATCGCAAGCGGAGCATTTAATCTGGACGCAGATCAGAGCCAGTATCTTGTTTCTGCGGCGTTCATTACAACCGGGATAGCAACGGCTCTTCAAGTCACCCGGGTGCATTTGTTTAATACCCCATTTTATATTGGCACTGGGTTACTCTCTGTTGTGGGTCCCACATTCGACATTTTGGCAATTGCTTTCAGCTACACGGACATGCGGTATACAAATGGAACTTGTCCTACGTCATCCGATGGATCTAGACTGCCATGCCCTGATGCGTGGGGCGCGATGTTGGGGACCATGCTATGCACAGTCTGGATTCAAATTCTGATATCCTTCGTTCCGCCGAAGATTCTCAATAGAATTTTTCCCAAAGTTGTCACTGGATCGCTTCTCCTGCTTGTTGGAGTTTATCTAATTTCCAGTGGAACGAAGAGTTGGGGAGGCGGCTCAAATTGCGATGGAGGATCAGGAATTTATGCGTTATGTCCCGACATTGGAGCCCCAAAGCCACTCCCTTGGTAATTTATACCTTCCTGTTCGCTTTGCTCCAGTATTTCCACCTAACACTTCGTCTAGGGGTCATCCCAAGCTCATTGGACTAGGATTCAGTGTCTTCGTCACGATCATCTTCGTGGAGATTTTCGGATCACCACTTATGCGTTCTGCATCAGTTGTTTTTGGTCTAGCAGTTGGGTGTGCTATATCCGGAGCGACTGGATATTGGTCGCGAGAAAACATTGATGCAGCCCCGGTCGTAACGTTCCTTTGGGTACATACCTTCAAGCTCTCGGTGGATGGAGCATTAGTACTGCCTCTTTTGATCATGTTTGTATGCGAGGCTGTTAGCTGCATGCCGGATATTTTGGCTACCGCGGAAATATCGGGTCTCGACGTTGATGGGGTTGAATTCAACAGCAGAATCCAAGGTGGAATCCTCTGCGACGGTATTGGCAGTTTGATCAGTGCTTGTGGTACTGGATTACCCATGGTCGCCCAGGCCGGTAACAACGGAGTCATATCTTTGACTGGGTGTGCGGTACGTATTTGATATCCTTTTTATCGATCAGGGTCGCTGATTTTGGTCATGTCTTTCCAGAGTAGAAGAGCTGGCTGGTGCGCTGCGGCCTTTTTGATCCTCATGGGTATATTCGGGAAATTCGGCGCTGTGTTTGGATCTATGCCCCCATCTGTGCTCGGAGGCATGCAAGTCTTCTTGTATAGCACGATTGTAGTAGCGGGCATCAAGGTGCTAAGTTTGATTGAGTTTACTAGACGCAATCGCTTCATCTTGACCACCGCCCTCGGGATTGCCTTCATGGATATTGTGGCCCCGACTTGGTTCAACAAGGTCTTAGCCTACAACGGTCCCAATGTGAAGCTTCAGGGGTTTGAACAAGGAATCAATCTTGTGGTGGAAACTCCTTTTATTATTGCTGCTGTCATTGGAGTGGTGCTAAATTTGGTACTCCCTTACGATGGAAACAAGAAATTGGCTGTGATCGAAGGACACGAGAGACGGGTCACACTTCCTAGCTAGGGATTCTTTTGTTTCTATTAATCAAGACAAGACATTATATGAATTTATTTGATGAGATTGGCTGTCTCCTGACTAAAGAATCGCCACCACCTGGGCAGTCTACCTAGAATATTCACGGGGACGGTCCGTGGACGGGCCGTGTGAGCAACCCGGTCCGGCTCCGTCTGCGTGGCTACTGATATTTACAAACGTATAAACCTTTATATCTGCACCGTTTATATCACATCTCACGGTTTCATTCAATTTCATACTTCTTTTTCACTTCTCAATGGCTAAGTCAGAGCGCATTGTTATCGTTGGTGCCGGAGCCTTTGGCCTCAGTACGGCCCTGAGATTGAAGGAAGAGGGGTACACATCTGTCACGGTACTTGATCGCTCTATGCCACCCGTTCCAGATGGATCAAGCAACGACATTTCTCGTATCATCCGATTTGATTACGGAGACGCTATCTATGCCAACATAGCAAAGGAAGCATTCGAACTCTGGAAGACCCCCGAGTATTCGGACGCATTCTATCAGACTCCATGCCTCTGGGTATGTCAAGATGGCACACCAGAACAGCCTGTGCAGCCCAAAGCCAAAGAATATAGCGACAAGACGAAGCGTGTTTTGAGTGAAATGGGCCAAGAATGGCACGCGGTCAAAAGCGTAGAGGAGGCCAAGGAAACGTTCCCCAAACTCACCGGCCGCCTTGCAAATCCCGGGTTTGATGGCTTCTACAACAATGCCGCCGGATGGGCTGATGCAGGCAAAGCTATCAGCCGACTGGCGTCTCGCTGTATCTCGGTGGGTGTTTCCTTCATCGCAGGTCCAAATGGCCAGGTCATCGACTTCGAGAAGGACCAGGATGGAAACATTAAATCCGCCATGACTGCAGACGGTAACAAATTTGCCGGAGATAAATTCATCGTGGCTACTGGTGCTTGGACTGCCAGTTTAGTGCCTGCTTGGAATTCCATGCTGGCTGCCGGCCAGCTTGTTGGCTACTTGAAATTAACACCGGAAGAGGTCATTCAACTGAAGGACTTGCCCATCTATTTTAACTTTTCAACTGGCTTTTTTTGCTTTCCTCCACACGAGGCGACTGGCTACTTGAAGGTCGCGGTCCACGGATTGGGCTATACACGCAACAACAACTCCGCGAATGTATCCTCGCCGCCTACGAATCCTGTCGCTTCTCGCGCCAACTATGTTCCCGAGGAAGGCTTGAAGAGAATGCAAGCTGGTTTGCAAGACCTTTTCCCACATCTGGCATCAAGGGGATTTGAGCGAACTGGAATTTGCTGGTATAATGACACACCCACCGGTGATTTCATCTTCGACTTCCATCCCGACCACAAAAACCTCTTCATCGCTACCGGTGGCAGTGGACAGTAAGTCAAGCTTGCAACTTCGACTGGATTACCTCAAGACATATAGCCATACGGCTAACACATTATCCAGTGCCTTCAAGTTTCTTCCCGTCATCGGAAAATACATCAGCGCGGCTATGCAGCGTAGCCTGCCAAGCGAACTACTCAAAAAGTGGAAATTCCCCACCGAATTTCGCGAGGGTTTCAGAGATGAAGTATTTGCAGGAGATGGTAGCCGTGGCGGACCTGCAAGACGAGAATTGACTGCGAAGGAGCGAGCGACCTTCGACTCTGCACTCAACTTGTCCTCTCGACAAAGCAAAATCTAAAACAAACACCTTTTCTCATCTATCCTGAAGAAAACTTCCGCCACCGGATAAAATTCACGAATCCTTGTCCCAGGATGCATCGAATCTCATTGCCAATTTTGATGCGGATGTGGCCCTGACTTGAACCAGATAGGAAGAAAGATATGGCGATAGCACTAGATAAAATCCATAGATGTCGAATTTTATAATTCACAGATGCTCTGTCATCAGGTCCCCAAAGATCATCCAATCCGGGATATCTGGCACTCCGGATCCCATGGTATGATTGCCAGTTTGATTAGAGAATGGCCATTCAGGGCCTGGAATTTCATGTGTCGATTCCGACACCTCTCCACCAAGTAGAGCTGGTTTGTGAGCTGGGTTTGGAGACTCGACTTCGTGATCTTCCAGATCCTCGTCCGTCAAAGATCTAGAAATTTCGTTGTCATCTGTTGCGACTTCATTGCTGGTGGGAGATTTCATTCCTGATATCTCCGATGTCTGACTGAAGCCAAGTGATGTAAGGTCAAGTATGTCCCACATCAACGACTCATCCTGGGCAGACATCCGAGGGAGATTAGATGGAGTTGCCATGTTTGACAAGGTTCCGGAAAATCCATCTTGGTTGTAAAAAAGTGACCCATAGTCTTGATGGCGGGCGGCCAATTCATTCAATCGATTAACCTCAAGTTCCAACATTAGCTTTTATCTGTTTTGTATGATTGCGGTTCACCAACCAATATTCTCATGCTATCCCACTCAGCAGACATTTCAGTCATAAACGCAACGAGATCTCGATATTCGTTGTTCAAAAGAAGCGCAATTTTCGGGTTCTTGTTACCCGTATGCTCCAGCTGAATTGTCGCAGCAATCGCAGCTAGATATCCAAAGAACGGGTCATATAATCGGAGATCTACTTCGTTCATCTCCCTTATGAACCTCGAGATCCATCGCGAGTGAATCAAAGAGGTCTCGAAAGACTTTTGTAGAAATGTTGCCGATAGGTTTCCGGGCATGTGCCGTAGCTTTATCATGGTCACGAAGGGGTGGTGAAGTAGGCAAGGAATTGAGTGGAACAAAAATTGCACAGATAGCCAGGTCAAGAGGTATGACCGAGATTGTGGCTCATCGCGGGCTCGTCGTTTGAAATCAACATTCATATAGCGATGGGTGTCTGCAAACTGGGTCTCAAACTGCATCCATTCTGATTCCAGTATCGCCAGAGCGGATCCACTTTGCCATGGTGGGAGGGAGGACGTTGACATAGACTCAAACACCCACTCTGTGGCTTTGCCCCAAAGCGAATAGAGGCGAAGTAAACATGCCATGATTCCCTGATCAACTCTATGACCTTGCTTGATGGACTTTTCGTGAAGAGACCCACGAGATCTTGTTCTTTCTCCTTCTCGGGATGGAAAGTCAAGTGTAAAGCGAGTGTCGGAAAGACACAATGAATAATTTCGCGAGGCATTATAGGTGCGATCAAGCATGAAATATGCCCAAGTAATTCTCCTCCTTGATTCCACCTCAGTCTGGCTCAGGGCTAAGAGGTTCTTGTCCTGGTTCATTCCCAGGGTCTGTATCACGCGGAGTCCAAGTGCAACTGATGAACATCCTCTGTGAGAATTTCCATCGGCCAAGTCCAGCTGGGCCATGAGGAAATTTCCTTGAAGAAATGAAAGTCCAGTTCTACCATGTTGATGGTGAGAGGATAGGATTTCCCAGGCGCGTTCAGCACAGTGCTTTCCTGTTGAAATATCGTACCCAAAAAGCCCAGGTGAATTGACGGAGAGGCGAAGTGTAAGAGCCACGAGTGGGAATGCAATTTCTGGCGGTAGGTTGCTCGCATTCTGTAAAAGCCATCTTTTCGGGAACACACAATAAGGCTGATCATGGAGGTGGTTCATGTAAACATCCACCTCGGATTGAATCAATGAGGGTGCCAATTTGTCACTAATGCATGTTGTTTAACTTCATCTATTGGAATATGTAAGAATCGTCATAACGGGCATACCTTGGAGATGCGCCAGGTCGAGCGACTGATTGATCAATCGGGCCAGTAATCGTCGCACTGGGATTGGATTGAATACTTTCCCCAATGGGCGCAAGATATTCACTCAGACTCGGAGGTTTGATCGGTATATTACTCTGAGGTAAGCGGTCACTGAACAGAAGCGTCAAGGTCGCATGATTAGCAATGACACTAAGCGATTCCCCATTCTTACTATGGGCAGAGTCTTACTGAAGCATAGAACTGATTTCTTCGAGCCTTTGTTCAATTTGCCGAAGACGTCGCGTATCATGCGTATCTGAGACATTGTTCTAGCAGAGGAATAATATTGGTCAATGATTATGGCTGGATATAGAGAGCTTAGGAAAACTTGAAGGTTGGTACCTCTTGGGGCTCATCGGCATCAATGTCCAATCCAGCGCTGCTAGATTCCTTCCGAACTCGAGTTCGACTGATTGCCGCTTGGGCCCCATATTCGCAGCGCTGCCCTAGTCGCTGGCACAACGAACAGACCGGCTTTTCGCCGGGACAGCGAGCCTTTTTCCGACTATGCGTCTGTGATCAGTGTCCGAGCTTGCGCATGAAGTGTGAGGATGCAACTTACCGGCAGGGCCCACATGCTTGACGCGTGCGCTTTAAGGAAACCTTGTGGATCGCGTAGTTATCATTCGTGGTGCTCATTATACGCGATCGTGGAAAGTGTTAGCCGACCCCGTGGGGAGCAGCGTGAAAATTCTATCGAGCAAACGCGACCCGCCAACCACAGGTCAGCAAAATCAAAAGGATAGCAGCCACCAGATAAACAAAAAGAAAAACTTTAGGTGGCTAAATGGAAACTATGATGGCATCGGATGGGAAAGTTCCGGTCAATTTACCAGTTTCACCCTGCATGAGGTCAGAATGCCGGGCGGAGCTTGCTCGATCCGCGGGGATTGGCGGCTCCAGCGGCTCCATGCGGGGTTCAATGGCATCTTTTGGCCAGGGAATTTTGTAAAAACATCATTGATAAGACACACATATGCTTTAGATGATTTGCGTGGCAAACAATTATCATTGAGTGTAGAAAGACCTATCAACACTCCTTGATAAACCAAGTCATGTTCAAAATCACCCTGGACAGTCCCATGAGGCCCCCTCGAACATCAGAGAAGATAAGAAATTCAACCAAGTGGACAGTGATGCCCGATACGGACATTCTTCCCCGCATTCCACCAGTCATTTCGACGCAATTCTAAACATGTTATCAGCTCATCGGCAGCCCTGCCCGCCACCGCCGGGAATCGGACGACGATCCGAGCGGAGTTTTCTCCCCCATCTTCGATAGACATGGGACGGGTCTCAGATGAGATGAGTTACCGTTTAAGCCTGCAACTTGCTGCAAGTGACTAGACGGATATACAAAGAAAACCCCTTACCTCAATCACCCCCCTGATTCCACTTTTGTTTTCCAGCATCTAGACCGATCCATCCTGCCAATTCCATGGTACTAACTGCAGATGGAAAGCTTTCTTGTCGTGTAAAACATACTATTTCTGGCTCTAGTACGCCACGCGTCTACAATGCCTTTAGATAGAAGGGGGCGGGTATCAGGATATCTCAACAGGCCTGCCATCCGGCCAAATCACCAAAAAAAATAGAGCTCATGCATGATTCAGAAAACAGATAGACCCAATTGTCGGATAATTGCAAATTGCAGAAACTTTGTGAGGTGCTGGAATTGATTTATCGAAACGGCTCATGTGATCGGAATTCTAGGATGGCGCGTGACCTCAATATAGCGCACTTTGAGCGGGGTCAGTCACGAAGCGGCGCCACAATTTCTTTCACTCGACTTACTCTTCAATTTTGCTGTCAAATGCTTCCACCGCTTCTTAATATATGCTCGTCTTTACTTCTCGGTCAAGTCTGTGGACCAAAAATAGCCTCCATGCAAGCATAAATGCCCAAGTCATACTTTGAACTCTTGAGAAGAATGAAATAATTTCCAATGGCTACCTCCCGGTAATATTTGCTAGAGACTTATTTCAGACTCCATCTAAGCAATCAATCCCTCGACAAAAGAATAAATTAACCTCAAAATAGATTGCGATAAACTTGAGCTCCGGCTCATCAATCTTTGTTGAAAGGCATAGTAGTTTTATGAGGCAGGATATCCCATTTATCGGCGTACATCTAGAGCAGCCAGCCCTGTGTGACCCTAGTAAGTTCAGAGCATGTTTATTGTATTTATTCGGTGTCTATGTAACCCAATGCCATGAAATCGTGTTAAGCCTCCGAGTCAGAATCGATCGATTTGCAACCTTGGAACTTGAAAAACAAAGTTTCTTTTCTTCCCGGAAGAATCTATTTATATTTATTTTTCTGTTCAATTCCAAATTTGATGCTCCTCTAGCAGTCGTGATGGTACTGTGCTGCGTATAGCCTATCTCTACTAGTACGGTGGGTACGCCCGCGATAAGTTTTGTCGCGAAAGGCAAGCGGGTGAAGTTACAATGAAATGCACTCCAACATAGTCGAATCCGCTTCATAGGATTAATTTGGGTGAGCATGATGCTCTGGATTTGCTGGAAACCGCTTTCAATGTCCCAGTCAAAACGAGTTGGCATTGTCGATCAAACGTAGACATCAAGAATCATGACCGGGACTTCTAGTTGGAGCCATAGGAGACAACTAGTCATCGCATCATACTGAGCTGGCTTCCCCTCTATGCCTTTGAATATATTGTGTACGTATCAACAGGGACGGTGTTATGAGCCGAGTCGGACCGGAGTGGCGTTGGCGACAGCCGGCTGGTTCGAACCGTTCACCGTGCCAATTGGGCCTTGCTGAATGGTATTTTCTCCACAGTCCCTGATAAGATGGGGCGGGGCCTTACCAAAATGGTCTATCCCGGTCCTGTGACCGGCACAGAGCAGTCAACCCCGGATTATATCGCGGATTGTCTGGTGAGCTTTTGTGACGTCTATGATGGGGACCATGAGATTAATGGCAAATGTATAGAGGGGCTATAGAGGGGAGCGGATAATATAAAACAAAGTCAACTCCCACTCGAGTCCATTAATTCATCGCACTAGTTGGCACCGAAAGCTGGCGAAGACAACCCCACAACCTGAAGTATTTAAAAAATCACCGAAAAATAATTCGACGACTCATCTCCAAAATACCTTAAATATGTCGACAAATTTAAAGAGCTACTTGGGACTCACCGAAACATCTGGCGATACGGTGCCCTTGACAGCTTTACCTGCATCATGGTACACTTCTCCCGATATGTTCGAACTAGAACGCCGAGCCATATTTTCACGCAAATGGCTTTTGACCACACACATGCTACGTCTTTGTAATACCGGCGATTGGCTCAGATACGATATTGCTGGGTTTGGCTTTATTCTTGTCCGTGATCGGGAGGGCAACATCAATGCTTTCCACAACGTTTGCCGTCATCGTGCGTTCCCTGTGGTAACTGAAGGCGAGGGAACTTCACGAATTTTCTCCTGCAAGTATCATGGATGGTCTTACGGGTTGAATGGCAAGCTCGCTAAAGCACCTGGCTATCAAGACCTCGAGGGCTTTGACAAGAGCAAGAACAGCCTCTTGCCTATTCATGTTCACATCGACGTCAATGGCTTCATTTGGGTCAACCTGGATAGCAAGGACACCCCGGAACTATCCTGGGAAGAAGAGTTCCAAGGAGTTGACTTGCAGAGTCAATTCCAAGATCTTAATGTTGAGGATTACAGCTTCGACCATGCCTGGGAAAGGGAGGGCGAGTTCAATTGGAAGACATTGGCCAACGATTACAATGAGGGCTACGACACGAAGACATCCCATCCTGATATCCCTTCTCTTTCAGTTCTCAGCCATTATAGCTTTGATGCCAATGACGGCAGTATCACCCATAGCACCGATCGGGCGCCAGAACGAAGCTCCGCAGGTCAGAACCTAACTAGTAGCTACTACTTCCCCAATACCTCCATGGTCGCTTCTCCACATTTCTTCTTCCTGCGTCGATTTGTGCCCGTTTCCGCAACGAGCAGCATTGAGCGTTATGAAGTCTATCGAAGCAAGTCTGCCAGCGACGAAGAGTTCGAGTTGGTCAAGCAATTATACAAAAACCTCAAGGGCGAGGTACACCCGACAACAGACAAGGGCCCATTATACTTCCAGAGTGTGGTCCGAGAGATTGTGATCAACTTCCACAAGCGCGAGGAAGAGCTCGGTCAAGCAATCTGGCCTTCTCGACAGGTTCTGCCAGCTACGGCTACGACCAGTCAAGAAGATATCGATTTCTGCGCCAAACTTACCACCCAAACCCCCGCAAACGCTGACTGTGGAGCATCGGGTGGATGCTGCGGAGGGGTGGCATGTGCGAGCGGGAATGAGGCTCTCGCCTATTAGTTTTTTTTTCTCCTCGTGAGGGCGTTTGAGCGTGTGATAGCAGTCTCCAGAGCTGTGACATTTGGTTCCTGCATTGAAATGACGAGTTCATTTTCATTCATGATATTTGCTATCTCGACTAGTAGAAACTTTGAATATATTGATTGACTACCCGAGTCAGGTTTGGTTCTACCAGGTTCTACCACATGCATGGAGGTCTAAGATTATCTATCTAGGTACTGGTAGCTAGTATTCAGCGCGTACTAGTACCGTGTAGCGCCCGGGTGTTCGATAATTTGAACTATTTCATGTCGGATAAAGTCCTTGGTAACCAAAAAAAGATCAACCCCAAACTTGAACTCGGAGACAGCCCCACTACCACGGAGTAATCCAGTCAGGCTAAGATTGGTATTAGGACCGCCCCGGCGTTAACCAGGGAGGGCGGACCCCCAGCCCCCTTGGCCACTGAGAACGGGGCCCTTTTGCTTATCATCTTTTTGACTCGACCCTAGGGAGGGTCGTCTCTAAACCATCCCACTCCACTTGGCCCTAACTCCCTCCAATTCCGAGATAACGAACTTCCAACGCGCACGATGTGATTCGAGGAACCTTATTCTTATCGACGTTAACCTTTTCATCCCTAGCAGGTGCGAACACATGATACACGACCGGAGAGAAACCTATTGGATAACAGAGAGTCCTATGGCAGGGATCTGCGACCGGGATGATCGCCTCGAGGGGTGAGAGAGATGAGTGTAGGATAAATTTGCCCTTTTCAGCGGGGGGGTGCGAGTCACATCGCAAACCTAGTGTCAGTACACGGACCGTCCTGGTCCTGGCAACCTTGGCTGGCCCTGGGGGCCCACAGGTCTAAGCCAAGTCTAGCGGCCCAAAACTAGGCCTCTGCATGATCTTGCAAGTGCTGGCATATACTCCAATGGCTACGGGGTAATTGTTGGCTGGTTTGGTCCCCGCGGCACTTCCCCGCTCTTACTTATCATAAACCCGTCATCCTCTTTATCCTTTCTCTTTAACCTAACCACCCCCCATTGTTCCTTTCGTACTTTTATCCTTACGTTGCCTTGGAATGGCACTTCCGTTGATCGGTTAGCCGTGTGTTCATTTGACATACTTTGTGCTACCCCCAAAACTGCATCCTTCGGTCGAAAACGGTTTCGCCAACAGCCCTCTCCCCCGCACGGAGTCATATAATGCCGCGTGAAACAAATCGTGGAAGATTGCGATCGCACGAGGCTTGCCTAAATTGCCGGTATAGTTGTATGCGCTTTATGGAATATCTTCTTTGTATTAATGTATGCTGAACAGGAGAAAAAAGACCCGATGCCCCGCTGAGAAACCCGCTTGCTCTAGCTGTGTTCGGTTGAACCAGCCCTGTCTGTATACAACCGTGTCCAGGGGCTCACGAAGTGGCCCATCGGTATGTATCCTACCCATCAAAGACATTTCAATGAATACTTATTGTCAGTGAAGGCCGATCGTCTCGCATACTTGGAGGAGAAGGTCAATCTTATCTTGAACGGAAACAGGTAAGATACGGACCGTGACGGACCGCCTTGTGCGGTGACCTCTCTTCATACTGACCCTTCCCCTCTCTATATAGGCCCCCACAAGACCAAAGTAACAGCGGTCCCAATGACATTCCAGACACTGCATATTCAGGCGCGTCGTACCCATCCTCGGGCGAGCCCGGCAACAACTTCAGCGACCCCTTCCTCCTTGGGGTCGGACTCGACGACTCCAAGCTACATGCCTCCTCTCGCCTATCACAGGCCATCGGTCTTTATTTTCAATACTGCCACAGACAACCGATTTGGTGTTTCGATCGTGAAGAAGTCAAGGACCCTAGCCATGTTTCCGAGGAACTTGCTTGCAGCATCATAACATTAACTTCGCGATTCTCACAAGAGCGTGATGAGTTAATTCATTATGGCGACAGTGCCCGAACATTGGTCATGTTGCGTATCGCAAATGGAACTGTCGAACTGGAAACCATCGAAAGCTTGTGTTTGTTATCGTACTCATCCTTTTTAGGTAAGCTGCGCTGCTGATCGAATTCTTACTTTTCAAGAACTAACAAGTTATAGATGGAAACATACAACTTGGAAGATTCCATCTCGGTCTTGCTCTTCAATTGTGCCGGTCCTCGATGCTTGATCTTGACACTGCATACGGAATTGAATGTCCATCCGCCGAGCGAAAGAAGAGATTATTTTGGAGTCTCCAAGCACTGGAGCAATCATATGGTCAAATTAATGGAATTCTGAGTATTCCCTCGGAGGTATTACGCTCGTTCTATGTTTCAACGGGTGACGACTCGGAGCAGCACACAGCAAGGAAACTTGATCCAAAGCCTCCCCCATTACCTCATGATGAAATCGGGTGCTCTGGTCCCGATGCTACTGGCATCTGGAGCCTTGCCCTGCATTTTGGGTGGGTATGGAGCAGGGTTAGAACATACCTCTATGACTGCGCACAGAGCAAGCTGAGAGAACCATGGCGACATGATTCTATGTACGCGATGGTTCTCTCAGACCTAACGGAACTTGAAAACAAGCTTTCTCTATGCCATCGATACGACTCGGTTAAATTCTACGAGCGGAGATCTGATGAACTCCGGCATAATCGAGAATATTGGGGACCCTGGCTGAAACTCCAATTTACATATCATTCCATATTGACCGTTCTGAATCACCCTTTCCTCTATATTGTGGCGTCTCAATACAACCATAATTTGACGATCCCTAATACCTTTTGGCGCCGCTCGTCAGAGGTTGTCCTTCTCCACGCAACATGGATTGTTCGCATGATCGACATGATTTCTGAAAAGAAGATGCGTCTAATTGATCCTTTCTTCGGGCATGCGGCTGCCATAGCGGCTACCGTGCATCTCTACTACTGCTGTGCTGCTGACCCAAGGCTCAAATTTAAATCAAAAACCGATTTCGCTAAATGCAGGAGATTTTTGAAGAGCTTCGTCCCTTTCTCTCCTGCATGTGAGATTCTTGTGTGTTCCTTGCGCCATTGATACTCTCTGTCACCGTACTGACCTTGATCTTTTCTAGGATCGAACACTTGACAAAATGACGCATATAGCCTCTGGGTCAGAAAAGGTCGACTTTGACTGGGAACCATCAACGATACACCTTAGTATCCCCTTGATGTGGGAGGTTCTACAGGTCAATTTGACACCGAGTTCGCTAGACATGTCCACTGCCGGCTTGTTGCATCCGTCGCTCACGCCTGCAGTTTTCCCCGAGGATGTGGAAAATCCTACCTCAACCCTCGAAATTATTGTGGCGATGTCGCCTGATATCACTGTGAATACCGCTGATGGTGGATCTGCAGCACACATGCCACCCAATATGCCCCATTTGGCGTCGGCACCAGCATCACCAACCAGCTCAGCCATGGGAGACAAATTGGTTGCTCCTGCAGACAGTCTCATGAGCAATACACCTTGGCTCTGGGCGGATCCTTCGCAGTTTGTGGATATGGAGAATCTAGGATATGCCGAGTCGGAATCAACCCTCGGCAATGCTGATGGTTTTTCGACTTGGTGGGACTTTGGCAACTTATAAGAGTATCATATTCATTTATTTCTATTCCCACTTGACAAGGATCACGGCCTCAAGACAAGTCCCAACAAACCGTGCCTTGCGAGGGCGCTCAGCCCCTTGGCTCTCCATGGCTGTTTTCCCGCCATGGATGCCCCGAATTCCCCCATGCCTATATACCATACCTAACGACTAGTGCCCTCGGTTACCCTTATGCGAAAAGCCCATCGATTAGCCCTACATCTGCGACTGACCCTATGCTGCCGCAACTGTCTTCAACTTCTCCTGCAACGCGGCAAAGTTCCTCTTCATCGCACTCTCGGTAAACTGAGCCCCGGTTACCATTGGATATTTCTTCAGCGGTCCTTGAATCAGGGCATCCCTGCAAGGCTGGTTGAAGTATGCAATGCTATACCGATCCCCAAAATAGTCGCCGGGCTCACACGGTGCCTTTACGCGGTGAAATGTCGACTTGAACCGGTCGTCTGACCAGGACATGAGTAAGTCACCAATATTGCACACGATCTCCCCGGTCTTTGCCTCCACTTTGGTCCATTCATCCCCAATCCCGAATTCGGTTACCACCTCGCGCCCAGGACAAATCTCCAGTCCACTCTGTCCTTCTTTTTGGAAGAGTAGCGTCAAAAAGTCCCAATCTGCATGTGCCCCCGCGCGATGATACTCCTTGCCATTCGGATCCTCCGGCAATGCGAAGTAATGAAGTAGTCGCATAGTGGTTTGGGAGTCTGCTCGTGTGATGTCGTGAGATTTGACAAAAAAGTCTTCGGGAAAGCCCAGTCCGCGTGCAAAGCACCGCATGAGACACTCCGAAATTGCCTGCACCCGATGCATGAAAGACAGAGCAGTAGTTTGAAACTCTGGTAGATGCTCGTCTGCAACCCATAGCCCCTTCATGTTGTCCCCGAATTGCAGTTGGTATGACTCTTTGCTGTCTGGTTTACCGGTCGAAGGTCGAACTTGTGAGTTTTTCTCCCATCCAACGTTGTTTGAATTCCACGGAACGGTCGTTTTCGCGGGATCGGGTAAATCGAAGAAGCTCTTAGATGTCGTGAAAATGGCATCGATGTCTTCTTTCGATAGGCCATGGTCAACCAGTGTGAAGAAGCCGACATTTTCGGCGGCATCGATTAATTGTTTCGTGATTTGATCAATTCGAGTCTCAAAGTCTGCCAGAGATATCTGGGGTATCGGGCGATCGACGTATTGTGTCTGGGCCATGGTGCCTGCTGTTGTTGACTCTTGGACAGGTTGTGCTTAGTCTATCGTTCGATGGTTCGGAGTAGAATTCTTTAGTCGGAATTAAATAGAGGAGGATTGTGCAACGATGCTCAAGAGAATTTCGTACCGCCAAATGGCTTAGGTTTCGATGATACTTATCTTGAAAGCTCGGCCGAGCCTTCGGTCGAGACCCCGGCCGAGCTTCTCGCAGGGCGTTGCTGCGAGTCTCGGGGTTCGCCGAACTCGCGAACGAGAAAAGCAAGAATTAGATCATGATTATTTATTTAATTCGTGTATGCAGATCCTATATTTCCATATGGTCGCGGGGTCTTCATTTATGTCTAAAGTCTTCGTAGTCCAGTGGTTCATCCGCCAGTGCTCAACGCCCGCCATTTGGAATGCTGCAAAGGGATGTGTCTATCCATTTCACTTTTCTCCCTATTGTTTTGCCGCTATTTCCTCAATTGTTGTTTTTTGTAGCATGCCATCATATTTCTCTTCAATCTTAGAGTCTTCATTGGTATAATGACTACCACTCGTCGGTGTCTGTTTTACCGCTGCGATCAGCTAAAGACTACAATATAGCCCACAACAAGTAAATATACTGGGTACCCATGCTTGAGTCTAATTAACTAACTACAAAACAACGGGTCAGATGAATTTATTCAATATTAATGCACACACGTTCTCTCGCCTGCTGCGGTGATGGACGGTCCAGTGGTCAAGACACGATAAGGTGGCTGTGTAATGCCGTAAAACTAACTGGCCGCTCATCTCCGCAGATAAGAGGTGCTAGTCTACGATGGAGGCTAGTTAACTGTTACAACATTCGCACCTGGACAACTCCGTGGCACACATGAGTTCCGGTATTCAACGCAAGCGACTAGCTTGCGTCGAGTGTACTCGTCGCAAAATAAAATGCGACAAGACCGTACCGTGTCGCAACTGTACCCGAAAGGGCACACGATGCTCTCGTGCTCAGGCGCGGGATTTACCGAGCCTGGAACTGGCTCGGCCGGGCGTGTCTGCTGAGCCTTGCCTACTCGCCCAGTCAAGCTCCGAGGCATCTAATATTATCCAAGGGCTGAGATCCAAGATTGATTGTCTGGAGGCCGAACTCAGAGAGGCTAACGAAGCCGCTGCGCACACACGAACACCAACGCCGTCGTGCCATTTCAGTAGCACAACATACTCTCCAACATATTCTCCAGTATATCATCCAATAGCTGGATCTGTATCAGACTCTAGCAAGGCAACTTCCATTCAAACACCAAATGAAGTTGAAGATGCAGCAACAATCCTCGAGTTTCTCGCCTGGGGCCGTCGCAAGGACCCTTCATACCAAGATGAAATTGCAAAAAGAAACGAGTTGCCTCATTCGCCCGGTGATCTCCCCGTTGAGGATGATTGGAATGGCCTGCATATTTCAGGTATCTCCATGATGAGTTTCTGCGAGCTATTACTGCCGATTAAACAGAAAGTCCACAAGCTGGTCACTTATCACTGCGAGTGTTTGTTGTGGTATCATGGAGCATTCCATGCGACAACATTTCTTCAAGAGCTAGAAGATTTCTATGCTCGGGCAGGTGGACGTATTGATGGATCTGGTGTTGATCTACAATGGATGTCACTGCTCTTCGCAGTACTCACTGGATCAATAGCCAGTGCTCCCATAGCCACCACTCAAGCTTGGGGATTCCGTGATCAGGAGAAGAGAGCTCTATCCCATCGATGGCTCAAGGCTTCTGTTGCTTGTCTCCATCAAGCAAATTATATGGCGTATCACTCTCTTTATAGTGTTCAGGCCATCGCGACGCTAACCATATCTGCTCACATGCTTGGGAAATCTAATAGCTTCTCGGTACTTCTGGCCGCTGCTATAAGAATTGCACAAGGCCTTGGGCTGCATCAGCTCGATGCGGATCACGAACCAAATTCATGTGACCAATTGAACAGGGAAATCGGCCGTCGTATATGGTGCCAGCTCTGCATTCAGGACTGGTTCTCCATCCCATTCACTGAAAGTTATCTCATTCACCGACAGTGCTTTAATACCGAGAGACCTGGAAATTGCGACGACGATCTGACTCCCATTCCAGAGAATCGACCAACTGTTACAGGCTACTCTCGTCTCTTTTATAACATCGCATTTCTGATGCCTGGCCTCTACGATGATTTCACTGCTTCCAATACTTTGTATACGCGATATGAAGAGGTTCTGAAGTATGATCGGCGATTACGCACTCTAGCTACTCAACATCTTCCTCTCTACTTACAAAATGTGCCTTTGGACCCTTCTTGGCCAGTCTATGTTCCATGGGCGAGACGAAGCTTGGCCATCAGTTCTGCTCACAAGGTGATCATGATTCATCGAAAATTCTTGAGCCTGAGCTTTGTAAATCCAATGTTTGACTTCACTCGAAAGACTTGCGTTGCTGCTTCCCGCACGATCATTAAGGAACAAAAGGAGGCCACACTTGAGAATGGGCCAGTTCTGTGGATACATCAGGCATTCAGCGTAACTGCGAGTGTAAGTTCTGAGTTGAAAATCCTGGCCATTGATAACTTTGAATTGAAAACCTTGGAACTAAGCATTTTTGCAGATCATCCTATGTCTAGATATGTTTCATCGACCCACGTCTGACAGCCAATCATCACAAAATCGACAATTTGTGGAAGATGGAATTGCAATTCTTTCTCACTGCGACTCGGACATGATTGCTCGTCGTGGTGTACCTTTGATTAAAGCGATGCTTCAGGCCGAGGAGAGGCGGTATCAATCACCTAACTCGCACGAACCACAAGTTTTGCAAAACGCAGGCTCGGGGTTGGACATTGCGTCCATAATTCAAACATTCTATAAACAAGTCCGGGGTAGTCTATCTGGAGATTCACCCAATGATCCCCCGGCGGAATCCAGCACCAGGACATTGGGGTGTGGCAATTGGCCGGACATGATGAGCCATGAGGTGACTGGGGTACCAAGTGCCGACATTTTGATGCCCTTCGGGGCGGACTATGCAGAGGGACTTGACGACATTTTGAGCCTTGCAACTAATTGTCTGAATTGAATTTCAAGTTTGATTGAACTTATATTCTAGTAAATTGCGCATCGCAACAAGCCAAGGGTATATATAAGGAAGTTAATTAAATGACATAGTATGTATTCGGGCTTGCCCATGCCCGACTCAACATCAGACCGCAAGTCGTAAATTCCAAAATGGCGATTCCACTGCCTAGGTGAGCACAAGTAAATAAGAGCTTTGACTTGTTTACTCAGTCTTGCGGACCTGGGTGATAGGCGCTTGGTAAATCCGGCGGCCATGGACGAAATATTGCACACAGGCAAAGATAACAACAACTCCAAATACCAAAATCGACCAGTTCATATTGACTGGAGTCGGGTTGGCTGCAGTTGGGAAGAATGTGAATGTAATGGCAAAAATGAGATATGCGACCGAGAAAACATTGATGGCCATTCCAAATTTCCCCAGGGAAAACCTCGCGTGTGGGATACCACCTGGAAGCATACGGGCGCGGATGAAAGCGCCAATTGACAGAATGTAAGTCGTAAAGAGGGCCGCAATCATCACCGATGCGACGGCGTTGAACGCAGCAGTCGATCCAATATTGATCAGACATAGCAGCACGGTAATCATAGTTGAAACCAATACAGACGTAACGGGAATGTGCAAACTCTTGTTCACATGCGCAAGAGCACCAGAGAACGGCAGGGCATTGTCGCGAGCGAATGCAAAGGTCTGGCGAGACGCGGTAGCAAGAATACTGATGGCACTGCAGACTTCCATAACGAGAATAATCGCAGCGACGCCATTTGCGGCAGCTGTTGAGCCAGTGGCATGCTGAACAGCAGGGAGAAAGGAAAAGCCGCTAGCAGGAGAAATGACATCCTGGATGTTGCCCATGTTATAAAGAAGAGTGACAAGCATAATGAAACCCAATCCACCGTTGATGAGGGCAGTCGAGACCATGCACCAGGGCACAACGAAGGCGGCATTTTGAACCTCCTCGGCCATGTGAGTAGCAGCATCAGGACCCGTCCATGAGAAGAGAGGAGTGAGCTGTCCGACGAGACAAGCAAGTCCCATACTCGACCAGCCTCCAAAGTTGGAAAATTCCTCCCAGACCGCATAGTCGGGGGCCTTTCCGGGGCCCATTGCCCACAGAGGAACCAGAACCGCAAGGAATCCTCCAAGGTGAAGAAATAGGATGACCGTTTCAAGAGGAGCCAGCAATTGAGCGCCGAGTGTATTGATCAATGTTCCGACGGCCGCGATCGCGATTGTAAGGAGAGTTCCGTGCCAGCGTTCGAAGCCGTAGATGTATCCCGAGTCGTCGGAGTAGTTGAAGACAAGTAATCCCTGAATTAAAGTGCCACAAAGAAAGCAGATACTGGCAAAAGCAGCCTGCCATCCCAGCACGGATAGCCATCCTAAGATCGATAAGGTTAGTTAGGTATCCTAGGATAGAAGATAGCCCTGACACCCTTCAATATAGAGAACTTGAAGAGCGGCAGAGCAGAGGTTTGGCCGGAGCGTTCTTACCAGTGAGATAGCTCAGAAATCGCTGAAATCTCGGGGCTGCAAATTCACTGACCCAATGGTATTGTCCACCGGAAGTCGGCGAACTGGTGAATAGTTAGAATGGTCGGTTCAGGCGTATGGCCTGTCGAATGATGGCAATTTCCCTGCGATACGTACATTGAAGCAATCTCCGCCATGGAGATCACAGAGGCGAAGAATCCCACAAAAGACGCAATATAGACATAGACCATGCCGGCGCGGCCTCCATCTGTAAGGCCGTAGGTACTCGTGCTATGCAGGGTGTGTCAGTCGGTAAGGGGTCTTTGGGACCCAGTCGGATCGAACGAGAGCTCACAGTAGAATCGACTCCCAACTCGCCATTAAAGTCGTAGTGAATCCCAGGATGGAGTAAAACTTGAAGTTTCGCTATTGCCAGTCAGTAAGAATCCTTCAACTATCATATTGCGGTGCTCCCCCGCATCCCAATCGCCCGCTTCCACTGACCTTCAACTGTTGGGATTTGCCCAGTCGCTCCATATCGCGATCATCCTGTAGGCTTTGATCCAAGCCGACCTCATGGCTGGCGATCTCCTTGTCTACACTCGACATGACTGTTATGCGTGGGAATGTAGAAACTCTGCGATTGCAGATGCAAAAGAGATGGCAAAAAAAATCGCAGATCCGTGGGGAGACGACGGCCCAGGGGGGTTCATCTCCCTCTGGGCGCAAAACCAATCATGACGAGTTAAAAACATCCGGTGGAGTAAAGAGGAGTCCGCGAAGTCTATTTGATTATCGGCACAAAATGAGTGGTTCTTGGATCCCTCTTAATCCACCAGCTTTGACTCTCGACTTTCTTGAGGGTATCCTTGGATCTGCGTCCTGCTGTTCTAGCGCCTACTAGTAATGCGACGACGCCTGCATTTGGTGACACTAGCGCGCGCCATGACACCAAACGAGTCAAGTTGCTTGACCTTGAAACCAGGTTTGCATAGGAATGTGGATCGCGGACCTTCCGAATCAAGCTCCTTGTACAAAGAGAGACCGTCCTCCGTACTCCGTAGAAGGATCTTTTTTCCTGCATGCTTCCAGAAGATTAAAGGCATATGATTCGACAACGTACGTGGTCCGGGGGTCATTTTATCTTGGACTGCATAGTGGCATGCACATTTTGACCTTAAAGTCAAGCCTTAGAGACACCTCTGCCGTCATCTCCGAGTCTTTCATTTCTCATTAACCACCCGACCGCGAAGACTCGGAGCGTGTTTTATGCATCTAAACTCGGATCGGTCGAGCCATGCCTACAGTAGGTCTTGAGATCACACTTTGGTGGCGCCGCTAAGGGGTACATATATACGGAGTACCTAGGGTATCCTCGGCCCAAACACGCTATGATCGGCGGTCTTGTGTACACATCGCCGAGCTCTGGGCAACAGTGCCCAGAAACATTCTCCCAGACGAGCGTGATTTTCTTTGATCTTGAGAGGCGGCACGAACCGTTGAGCGACTCCACGATCCTACCTGAAACTCCATAGTAGGTCTCGTTGGATAATCAGGCCCTGAAAGGCGTGGGTCTTGCGGAGGGTCTGTGTAGCGGCTGGTTCGCGACAGTTCGCTCTAGCCGACGGGAATGCGAATGCGAAGTCGGTTAAGACATCTCCACCTCGATCGTTGCTGGTGGAGCCAGAGATGCCCGCGACTCAACTTTTAAAACGCCAAGTGGCGCAACACCTCAAAAATGAGCAAGGTTCTTAGATTAATTAAGTGGTCGACCGTGATTCGAAATTTCCACTTCGTATCCTCCAGTGTTACAAAAGTTTCGCGATAAATCCAAACATTAAAAGGAGGTGTTCCTGCTACGCAAAGAAGCTGTCAATCGTTAGAGATTCTTCCTCGACGTTGTCTATTCGTTTCCATACTTGGGCAGATGCTTTTCACTTTGCTCGCACTTTTAGGACGCGAATCAATTACTACTACATTATTCCACCCACCTCCCTCCTATTGTTCCACTCACGAACAGATTTGAAGGTCCTGAAGTACTTAGGCTCAGGCTGGTATCCAGAAAGTTCAACTTGAAGTTCCAACTTGAAGATTTATGACCACCTCCAGGGCTGGGCACCTTAAATGAGCACCCACTGGCATGTGCTAACTAACTATATATCACTCAAAGATATAACGACCACGGGTGTTTCATGACCGAGCGGGCCGCCCAGGCGAGCAGGCCACCCTAAAAATACATACTAGTAGTAAATAGGATAAATTACAATCTTATATCTCAATAATCTCTTCTATCTGGAAGACTAAATTGAGATCAGACACCTAGGTACACTGAATAATATTTCTAGCTGATCTGTAGAATTTCAAATCCATTGGAAAAATATTTTTAACAGACCTCCGAGTCGGGAGATATATCTAGGTACTAGGCTATCTCCAAGTCAGTGTTCCAGGTAAATTACCCAGGTATTCTATATAGAGAGTAGAATATATATAAGCCCTCAATTAGGTACAATTAAAATTGTTTACTTTGTTGTTCAGATATCCAAAGTTGCAATTTGTTATATTTACTGCATTTCATGAGGTGGCCCGCTTGGTCATGAAACAAGTTGTAGCTAGTCAGGTCACAGTGCTACTAACTACTACCTGTTAGTAGTAGTAGAAGTAGTTAGTGGAGATGGACACACCTGGGCATTTGGGCCCTCCGGGGCTGGGGATTGAGCGCCAATAGAACGTGACAAATAAACTTTGAATTTCTCGCTGTTACTGCCCAGGTGCATACGGCCTACCTAGGTACGGAGTAGATGCCCAATAGTTCAGCCCAGGGGCGTTTATAATCATAAGCTTGATGATCCTAAGCAGTGCAAAGCCATCTGATACTACTAGTAAGCTTCATGCTATGGGCTTTCAGAGCCGAAAAAGGCCTCGGTAACGGTTTTGTGGCGGTCGCAGCGATTTACTAAGGGAACATGGGGTCAAAAGTATGATTGCAGTGAGGATATTTAATTTTCGTGGTCACATGCGACTACTAATTCGTAGTGAATGGTAGACCAGGCCTCGTTCAGAGAATCTGGTGCGCTTCAAAGTTTCCAGTGTAGGTTCGAGTTCCCCATGCTAGTCCTGAGATACGCTACTACAGTAGATTTTTGTCCTCATTAAAGTGCTCTTTAGTTTATAACCTTGGAATTCAATGTAGATGGCAGAACTCACCGGGCCTTCGTTTATCACGTAAATAACCGACATTGGGGGAGGGCTTGTTCAAGCTTTCGCGGCCTCGCTATTGGAGGAAGATGAACATTTTATATTCGGATTCTAAGGTTTCCCGACCTTGGGATTCCGCATTTTATGCTCATCTTAATGAATTTATACAGCGAAAATGTATCCTAGGAACGGAGATTCGGTGCTCCGACCGGTTGAGACTATCAGAATAGTGGAGGGATTATTTTTTATTATGGCATGGCCCTATACTTCTTTTAGTGCCAGCGGTGGCTATTCATCCTAAAAGTGCGGTATTTGTAGCACCGAGGTTGAAATGCATAATCTGTGTTGATGGTAAATTTCCACAGCGTGAGGTCGAAAACAAGAATGGATCATCTAGTCAGGTAGGGAGTCTTGGCAAAGATGGATTTCGTATTGAATGATATGACTAATTTGAGATTTACTGTACATACATACTCTATAGCTACGTGAGGCCTCAGCAAATCTTAGGGCGGAAAATACGGAATAGTTTTTGACACCTAATCTTAGTTCTCACAATTTTGTTACTGGTTCTCTTACCTAGATACTGGTAGTTCTGCTGCATATTACTCAATTCCAGCGAGCTGACGAATATACCTTATGCTCATACCAGGATTCGTCTATAAGATCCTGTCTTCCTCTAGCTTACTTTGGCTCTCGAGGCCGAGTCGGAGCAAAACCGGAGTAAAAGCCCGAAGATAAGATTTGTGCAGCGACCAGACACAGCCCGGACTCCACTTCTTCAACGGGTAATGGATTCGGCACTCGTAATGACCTCCACTTTGAGTGTCTGTAAGGCTCCAAGGGTCTTCGTCGGTCGTCAGACACTTAGCTAAACCTCCACTTTATACTCCGTAATTAATCCGCATTTGACATCTTTAAGTAAGGATATCGATATAGATATATAGGATAATATCTCAAAATGTCGACGAAAGCCCCGTGAAAGACTTGTTCCGGGCTATGGAGCCCACTCTCGCCAATGATTGGCAGATTTGAGTTTCAAAACCCACGGATATCGGCACTCACCACAGACAGAATAGTGGGATCTACCATCATAGCCATTGCGCGTGGGTTACTGCAATTAAATGGCCCACTGACGTTCGGCTGGGCGCCACAATATGCCAGCTGCGCCCATAGACGCGTGGGCTGGTGGCCCGTTCCTCGCGAATCTTGAGGAGAAACCAAGGACTATGGGGCTTCACCCACAATTCTAGCAGAAATTCAAGACTCTGAATGGCTGTATGCCATGTGGGTGTTTGCACGTCCAAGACATTGAAGCTCAATGGTCCAGATTTTCCCGCCGCGTTCACAAAAACACGCAAGACGACAGGGAATTTAGACCCACCAAATGGCTTGGCATATAGGGGATTTGATGATGCCATATCGAATCAGCTTGTGTTGCTCTAGGAAGTTATCCACGTTGCGATGAGGCCATGAATCACTTGCGGGGTGCAGCAAGGAGGTCGTCTTTTCTTGATGACATCGTCCTTGGTTCTCGGCAGGGGACGCATAATCCCTTTATAGAGACACCTTAAGACTGGGTCATGGCCCGCTCCGCTCCTCCCTACTTCTTTACTCGTACTCGTTTGGTTGTTGTTCACGCCTACATTGCCCCTGACACACCCCTTTCCCGGAACGCAATGCGCCAATGTCCATGCGGGAATCATCCGCCTTCGCCCTTCTGAGTCTCTGGCTTAGTCGGGGCGATCGATTCCGCAAAATTTCCTTCCGTCGTTGGATTCCTGCCCTGGTGGTAGCTACCAGCGCGCTGGCCCTTTTTTGGACATATGCCGTGCCACAACTCGCAAGATTTCGATTCCGCGCTGGATTAAGCCGGTATGATATGGGATGGTACGGCTTTGGGCCGACAAGGAATTACGTCTCCTTCGGCGAAGAATCCCCGATAATCGAGATCAGTCCCGCCGGCGCACAATGCGATCCGAGATATACTTTCTTGGCTCCGCGAGGCGATTCCGTTGTCCATCCCGGCCCGATGATCTTAGATGCCGCGGGCGAGCTTATATGGACGAAGCCTAACTGGGGCACAACTCAAGATTTTAAAGTTCAACGATATAAAGGTCAGGATTATTTGACTTATTGGCAAGGAGATGAGGAAGATGGCCACGGTCGTGGGTCATGGTATATGGTATGAAAATAATAATTGATATAGCAGCATCCAGCTATTGGTATTGACAAACAGATCGCTAACATCACCTTCCTATTGGCAGCTGGACTCAACATACACAATTCGCCATATAGTATCGCCCTCTGGAATAATTGAGGGTGATCTACACGACTTCCAAATCACATCCAACAACACGGCTCTTATAACAGCATACGAGCCTATTCCGTATGATCTGACATCCGTCGGTGGACCCGAATTCGGATGGCTATATGACGGTATCATCCAGGAGATCAACCTTGAAACAGGAGAGCTTCTCTTCCAGTGGCGCTCATCCAGCTTCTATCCCCCGGAGAGTAGTTACGAGCCAATGGGTGGAAAGGGACACGAACGGACTCTGGGTTATGATTACTTTCATATGAACAGCGTCGACAAAGATGACCGCGGACGCTATTTGATATCTGCAAGACACACTCACACGGTCACCTGTGTAGATGGAACAACCGGTGAGGTGCTTTGGTCACTAGGAGGAAAGGATAATGAATTTTTCGATGAATCAGATGGCGCTGCAACCCAATTCGCGTGGCAACACGATGCTCGCTGGCAAAGCCCCAATACCTTGACATTATTCAACAACGGAGCCAACGCAGCATCCGACAGCTCCTCCATCAGCCACGGCGTTCTACTGAAACTTGATATCCCTGCAAGGAAAGCGAAGGTTTTGACAAGTTACGACCACCCGCAAGAACTCATGGTGGTGTCCCAAGGAAATTTACAGGTACTTGATAACGGAAACGTTCTTGTTGGGTGGGGCCACAGCGCTGCCTTCACCGAGTTCTCGCCAAATGGCACAATGTTATGCGATGTTCATTTCGGCGCATCGGCCTACTTCACATTTGGCCGGATTGTTTCCTATCGCTCCTTCAAGAACAACTGGATCGGGCTGCCTGATACCATTCCTGACGCTGCAGTGACAAGAGAAAGCGTTTTTGTAAGTTGGAATGGCGCAACCGAGGTTGCAACCTGGCGATTCCAAGCCTGGGATGGTGCAGACCTGAATAATATGACATTCGGCACGATCAAAGATGTTGAGCGCACTGGATTCGAGACAGAAATCTCTTTTACTCCGGACTTGAAGTCATATTTTCGAGTTGTCGCACTCAGCTCTGAAGGCGCAGTCCTCGGAATAACCGAAGTTTTGCAACGTGGTACTGCACCCATGGAAGACACTTTCACTTTGGATCATTCCTGGCGTGTTGCAATTGTGCTACTTTTTGTCCTTTGCTGTCTGACATTTGGTTTATATTTTGCCATTTCAAGGGTTCTGCGATACCAAAGATCTCAGAGGGATATGTCATATCGACCTCTATCACATAAGGATGAGAATGAGGATGACCCTGAGAATGGCTTAGGTCAACTGCCAATATAGAGTGGGCGCTGGCGTCCTTGATACCCATGAGATTTACAATGCGGTCACAACTTGAGCTTCAGAGTCATGGCTTGTAAATAAAGCTTTACATTCGTTTGAAATTTCAACCTTTCTGAATTGCCTAGGTATTGAGCACTGTATACTACTAGTTGGTGGTTGTCAAGTAGTAGCACGATACCGGCAATTATTCACTCTGCCTTGCGTCCTCACTATCAGGTTGACATCCCTCGAAATTTCGACGCTTGCAATCCCGCAAATCCATCGTTTACCTAACCCCTAAGCTGTGGCTCATTCGACGTTGGGGTATTTTTCTCAAACAAAGTCAAGTAGTGTAAAAAAGAACCATTCGTTCCTTTTCCAACTTGACAGAAGCTCAGAACCATGAAAGTATCCATGCGAACGAGGCCGCATCGGAAGAAGCCGATCTCAGTGCCTAATTCATGCCTGAGGCAAATATGCGGCTTCGAGATTTTCACAGAAATGCTCAATGCTACGGAACACTTTCCCACATGAAATCGGATTCGTGCATGTGTGACCCTAAGTTCGGCTACCCCCGGGATTGAATTTTCACTTTCCGGAGTGATCCTGGCATACGCAGGCCAAGGTGACAAGTGCTCCATGTTGTTCCAAGCCTTTAACTAAACCGCCGAATCGACGAGTCCAATAGTTGCCCTGTCGCACTTGGTGGATCCTTCTTGCCAAGGGGGGCCGGGTGACCATCGGGGAGCCAATCCTTTCCCCCACCACCCGCCCCCGCCAGGAACGCCCAAAGGAGACCCGTGGCGCTTCTCGGCGTGCTCGGCGTGCTGTGTGCCTATCCCAGGCACAGCCAAGCCGCACTCCAGCCGAGGCGGGTTTTGCCAATATCTAAGCCACCATCCTTCGATGTCCCTTCGCTTGACTTTCTCCATTCAATCACTAATCTCCAGTTGTTTTTGGGGGCGGGATTCTATATGCCGCATTTGAACTTGTTGGAGTCATAGTCTGGGGGTCAAAGGTTGGGGCGAGCGGGGATCAGTGCGCTATGCTTATCGGCGTACGGACTCGGAGTACACCTACACCTACGCCATTGAGATTGCTGTCGGCTAAACTTATTTTCTTGATGCGGGTTGCGAGTTGATTTTTGACTACTCCGTACGGAGTAAATCCTTAAATATCGGTAGATGGGGCGTAGCGATCTCCAGGCTGCAGCTACCTGGTGGAGCATTGTTCTGTCGCTTGTTTGCACTTGCGCTCAAATATTCCGTATAGGTATCTTCATTTCTAAGAAATCGGCTAGCTCTACCCGCAAACTCTTGTGTTCAGTCAAGAATTGCCTTCCGCAAATACGGCGAACTTTGCCGGCTTGTGTTATTCACGGCCCGTTTATTCCAACCGAAGCCCAGATCTTGGCCTGCCTCGCCAAGCGGTATAGCGGGATTGGCATGCATTTCTGTCCACTCATCTCAATTCTGAAATTACGCCTCTGCTACCATCTTCGGGCGCTAACTAAGGAATGACGTTTTTTTTTTCTCGCTGTATGTGTTGAATGTGGGTATCCCGCCAAGCCTGCAGTCTTGCCAGTGACTCTGAGTTTGCTATCTTCTTGGCCGTGTAGTATCGTAAGATCGGGGCTCTTTGAGCCTTTTGGCTAGTACCCTAATCCCGCGTGGGGGCAGAATATGGTAAAATGATAAATCTCGACCTCTTCCCTGATTCCAGAATATATACCATTCGCTCTTCAACTAACAGCAATTAGTATTAGATTAAGCCACATCCATGATAAGAACTCTCGCAAATCCCAGCAACGCCCGTTCACGTTGATGTACTAGTTATGCTAGTAATATTGAAATCCATGGTGCCCAGGTGTATGGGGAATTAAACGTAAAATGCACCGGGTAATGGTCACCTTTATAAGTAGTAGACTGTATCGTCATAGTGGTTAGAGGTCATCTTGGATGGGAGTTTATATGGTCTTTTCTTCCCACAATGTTCCCTTGGCGCAGAGTACGGGTTTATGGGATCCATTCAAATCATACTACTTGCTAAACCATACACCTGACAGTACATAGTTAGTGTACCGATTCGGCTCCGAATCTCGCTGCCTCTTCTCACAACGGGGTTGGAGGACTGGCTTGACGCAACAAGATAAGTGAGCGAGATTGCCCCCATCCACATGCAAGCCGTCTTTTGTGCCCCAAAGGATGCGGGTGTTATTGGTCGAAACATTTCTAAGTGTCGCGGCAAATGATGTGTGCCTAGATTGGAGTAGGAAACTTGGCGAGGATTTTTGACGTCATGTTCGGGCGACAAGACCTTGGCGGCTTCAAGTAAGCATACTGTGGCTGAGAACAAGTGTGGATGGCTTTGATTGTATTTGTTACATGTGCAAGAGTAGAATCTAATTGTGCCTCGTGACTAGTTATATCGCCGCGCAAAGTAGAGAATAAGATGGGATATTTTGCGGCTCCCTGGGAAGTATCACATAACATGTTATGTTGAGAATTTTGGAAGGATAACGCATACTGGTAGAGATGGGAATTTATGGATGAACATGTCCACGCGAATTTCAGTATAAGATTCGAGGTCCGCGCGAAAGAGATAAAACCACTGGCCAGGTGGATCGGGAGGCCCTACCACGTAGAGACGAGTACCATAGGATAGAAAGACCGAAATTTATCCATTTCTCTATATGCTGAACCAATAACTATTCAATCCGCACGTGAAATTAGTTTCAGATTCGCCATGCAATCCGCCAAGTGCCAAGGGCCCCCGCCGAACGCCAAGAAAAAGGGTTCCCCCGTCTGGAGAGCCTTCGCTGAACTTTCCAACTTGAGGTCTGGCCAAGATTTAAGTGGGTGTCGGATGTTCAATTGTAGTATAGCTTGAATACGACCTGAAAGAAGCCCCATGGGGCCTATGGGGGCGCTTCCTATAAGACCGCACGAATTTCTGCCCGGACGCTCTCTGTTTTCCTGACTACTTTCTCTTAAGCTCGCCCTACCACTTTTCTTCCCAGCTTTGACGGTCTGACTTTGCGTCTACCATCAAAATGTGGACGACTACCAGCGGCTTGAGTGGCCGGCCACTTCGGCTGAGCATCACATTCGCCGCTGTCGTTGGTTTCTCGCTCTTCGGCTACAACCAGGGCATGATGGCCGGTATCCTCAGTGGCACAGAGTTCACTGCCAACTTTCCTATCCTCGCAATGCCCGATAACCCGACCGCATCCCAAAAACACTACATCGATGTCATTCGCGGCGCCGTCACATCCTGCTACGAGCTTGGATGCTTCTTCGGCGCTTTGTTCTCCATGTTTTACGGCGACAGACTCGGTCGGACTCGCTTGATTTGTATGGGTGCCAGTATCCTGATCTTGGGTGCCTTGATCACAACACTCTGCTTCACTGGAAAATGGGAAGTTGGTCAGTTCGTTATCGGCCGTGTTGTGTCAGGTATCGGAAATGGCTTAAACACGGCAACAATCCCGGTCTGGCAATCGGAATGCTCTGGTGCTCACAACCGTGGCTTCCTGGTTTGCTTCGAAGGCGCGATGATTGCTGGTGGTACTTTTATTGCATACTGGGTGGTCTTCGGTCTCTCATATGTTCCGGAATCTGTTCAGTGGCGATTCCCCGTGGCGCTTCAAATCTTCTTTGCGCTGATTGTGGCCGCCGGTGCCTTGATGCTCCCAGATTCTCCATCATGGTTCGTTAAGAGAGGACTTGATAAGGAAGCCTGTGAAGTTCTCGGTAAACTCAAGGGGACTTCCCCTGATTCTGATGAAGTCCTTCGCGACTTCAATTTCCTCAAACAAGATGTGGAATCGGCGAAGAACAGCCAGTCAAACTGGAAGGCAGTCTTTACATTCGGCAAAACCCAGGAGTTCCAGCGTATGATGATTGGTTGCTCTGGTCAGTTCTTCCAGCAGTTTACTGGCTGTAATGCTGCTATCTACTACTCTACCCTCCTCTTTGAAGAGCATCTTCATATGGAGAAGGAACTTTCCTTGATCATGGGTGGTGTTTTTGCAACCGTTTATGCTCTCGCAACTATTCCGTCCTTTTTCATGATTGAAAAGGTCGGCCGTCGGAATCTCTACTTAATTGGATTCATGGGCCAAGGATTGAGCTTTGTTATTACCTTTGCCTGCTTGATTAAAGAATCTGAGCAAAACTCCAAGGGCGCTGCGGTCGGAATTTTCCTCTTCATCGTGTTCTTTGCGTTTACTCTCCTACCACTACCATGGATTTACCCTCCCGAGATCAACCCTCTCCGTACCCGCACTATCGGTGCATCGGCGTCGACATGCACCAATTGGATTTGCAATTTTGCCGTGGTGATGTTCACTCCACTATTCGCTGGTCAGAGCCCATGGGGAGTGTATCTCTTCTTCGCTCTGTTCAACTTTTTGGGTGTGATTTTTGGATTCTTCTTTTATGTCGAGACAGCTGGCCGTGAGCTGGAGGAGATTGACATCGTTTATGCCAAAGCCCATGTCGAAGGGAAGATGCCATGGAAAGTTGCCAAAGACTTGCCCAAGCTTAGCTTTGAAGAGATCACTCAACAGTCTCGCGCGCTTGGCTTGGATACCAACGATCATGGCGTGCATGAGAAGAACGAGCTTGGCCTCACCAGTGCTAGTGATAGTGACCAGAAGACCGAGGAGCTCCAAGAGAGGCAGTGATCTGACACTGCGATCGAGCGTACTGAGGTGGTCATGAATCATAGGTAATTAAAACACATTGTTTTCAATTCCTGTCATTCATCTCATTCTTGGTTCATCCTCTGGTCGATGCGGTGATGTTCCAAGGTTTTGAGATCGACCCGATGAGCCATGTCTGGTCAATCCACTCTGTAGTTAAGAGTAAGATACGATTAATTCAAAGTCTCATTATATAGAAGTCTTTTCAACTCCAGGGATGGGCGAACTATAATTCGATAATTAATGTGGCATTTCTCATTCTCAGTGGTCCGCCTTCCTATCAAGGTTCATTAAATTTTGTAGTATTCGAACTTCTTTTTGCTTTCCCTCAATTTCTTTTCCCGTACAACAGGACATAGGCCAATTAATTAGTGCAGCCGCTCGGGAAGAAGTGGCTTGTATTTCCGTCAACCCATAACATTGCGCATGTGAATATTCAATTGTCTCTATCCTTCGCTGTTTTAATTTTGATCACAAATATCATAACAGTGTTTGGCTCTTTTCTTGATTCAATTTGATTTATCTTCGAGTCGTTACGGCAGATGAACTTGAATGAGTGGAATATTTGGAAGACATTCTGTGAGCCGAAAAGTTCCTATTTGCCATCTACTCAAAGATGTATTATGCTTCGGTGATCAAAGAATAGTGTGATTAGAAGGGTAAATTTACACGAGAAAGCGAAATACGGAACTCTGTTTTAGCTAGGAACATGCGAAGAATGTTCATTCATAATGGGCAGTCCTCGGGTCCCTCTCTCCGCCGAATTTCGAGTCGGACTTTGGGATCAACAGCCGCGTAAACGCCAGATTGCACCGGACTAGACGAATAACCCGACTCCAACCGAAAATCGTACTTGAACAAGATATGGACCAAGCACAACTTCAACTCAGTAGTGGCGAAAAAACCGACCGGGGCATATATGCCTACCACCACCAAACACATTATGCCCCTGGCTTGATTGGACGAATTGACTTGACTTATCCCCTGCATGGCGTCGCTTCATGAACCGATACCCATCGAACACCTCGGGATTTTCATGTATATTTGGGTTCCACATGTCACTTGAATCGACCATGATGTGGGAACCTTTGGGTAATATTGTCCCGTTCGGGAGGGATGTCTCGCGAATGACCTTGCGCTCCAGTCCCACTGCGGCTCAATATTAGCGTGAATTTGGGGAAACTATCTTCATGGTGAAACTAACCAGATATAGGAATCTGCCGTTGCGATTCTTTCATCACGCTATCGAGTAGCTCCATCTTTGCCAGCGCGGCTAGTCCTAGGTCGTGATCCGCCAAAGCCTTTTTTATTTCCTGTCGAAGTGGCTCCAAAAGCTCGGAATGCCTTGCAATATCGATGAGGATTTGCCTGAAGATCTCGCTAGTAGTGAAAAGTGCTGCCATAGCCAAAGCGAGCTGGATATCGCCGGCTGAGTGATTGTTCTCAGAGATTTGCATAGTCCAGTCAACAACATCGTTGTACTGAGGTACTGCTGCGCCTTGAGCCTCGGCGGCCTTTGCTTCTTGTATCCTCCTTTGAACCACATTCTCCATGACGTTGCAAGCTTGACGACGAAGGTCACGGCACGCTGAAGCATGAGGCAAAACCCATTGTACAATTGGTCGTAATGGTACCTTCCAACCACTAAGCTCACCCGCGGCAGCGAAAAACTCACGCACATAGCTCTGGACTATATTCTGCCACTCGGGATCCGTGGCCTTTTCTGGGCCAACGAAAATGGAGGCCGCTGCCCGCGAAATAATCCCAGTTGTATCATTCTCCCAATCAAGGAAATGCCACGCCTTGCTATCACTCCAGTAATACTGCAAAGCTGGCCCGATATGCTGATTGATGATGGGCATTATCTCCTCGTTTTGAGATAGTTTTGTCCGCAACAGGTTGATCAGTATTCTGTCGGAGCAATGGAGTGTATATTGAGCCTCGAATCCGGGAAAATGAGCAAAGAACTGCTCTCGGACAAGTTCTTGGTGATCGAGGTCTCTGTTCGTCTTTACCCAATCACTCAGAGCAGACGGCAGCACGATTTTCATACCGCCAGGTGCAAGTATCGCGATGGGACCGCGGTTTTCGACGAGTCCTTCAACGATTAACTTTTTAGCATTCTTGTCATATGCAGAATATGCTTTTTGACGAAAGTAATCCCCGGGGTAATTGTTCACGATTGGAAAAATTGGACGATCCTTTTTCAAAAAATGATACAAGGCCGCGATGATTACAACGAACGTCCAGACAAACCCGTTGGAAAAGAACTCGAGTAGCATTGCAATAGAATATGCTTAGAACTGTCGAAAGATGAGGAGAATTAGAAATTTGAAGATTCGCCATAGAGACGGTTAGGTACGGCTCGGCTTTTGAATGAGCACCAAGTTCCAACGTTATTCTACTCATCCGTAATCACTCATCGGCTGTCACCATGAGTCATCCTATCGGAAGTCACCAAAATTCCCGTGCCCCACTTGCCGAAAATACACTATGCTGTTCCCGTGGGGACGCCCACTTACCCCCAGAAGCTTTTATTTAAGGAAGAGACCAATATAGTAAGAGGTTTTCCTCATCCATGGATTTAGATAATAATTTTATAATAATTACTAGATGTATTGAGGCTGCCAACTCGGAGGTGAAACAAGTCATTTCTCGGTTCATACCCAAAAAGACCCCTGATCCTCATCTAGCTAATCTAATCTAGGAAATAAGCTCTAGATTCGAAGGTGGATTGATAATGATAGCTTGGCTCGTTCTCGTTGGATCAAAAATTTAAGATGTTGGGATGGGAAAAAAAGAGCAAGGAAGTACTTGCAGCATATCTGAAATGATTAGGGTAGCGCTTTGTGTGAGCAGAGCTTGATCTTCACACTCACTCTCGTGCGTCCCAGTCCCAGTCCCAGTCCCGGTCTCAGATGATCTCTCCCCTTCTTCGTCTCTTCGTTTTTTTCTTCACCCCCTTCCACCATCTTCGCCGATAACTCAATTTCTGGTTCAACCTCAAATTCCTGCCCGTCAAACAGACTAATTCTCTCATTTCACGTTTGAACTCTACCGAGATCGCATACAGGCGCGCTCCCAGCACGTCTCATCCAATAATTTTGATTCCCTCACCATGAAACACCACCCAGACCGCGCCTGGGCCTCCTATCCACGATGACTAGTGCGGAAAATAACATTCTGCCTCCGCGGGAAGCTTTGAAAGAAACCAAACTTGAAACCGCAAGTGGCGAAACGAACGAACACGATGGCGAACGCGATGCCAGTGCTGATACGGGGAGTGACCAAGAGAAGGCGAGCTCCAGAGCATTTATTCCGAACGAGGGCAAAGGAAAGGGACAGCTCTCCATCATTGATTCTCATTCTGCTTTGGAAAATGTTCAGAACGCAGAAGAAGAGCAGTGTGGTCTTCCTGAATTTACCAATCCACAAGGGCTCCGGGCCTATCTCGTAGAAGATCCCCAACACTACGAATATTTGTTTCGAAAGCAGAAGTGCGCCCGAGATGCACTCGAACAGACTCACGATGTCAATACTAGGCTCCGGGGGCAAGAAGCAGCCGATCAATCTGCACCTTCCTCCCTCCGGACGGAGCTTGAAATATTGCGGAATAGGCTAAAGGTGATCGAAATGGAGCAAGATCAAGGGCAATCAGCCACCGAAGCTTCTGGGTGCGGACACAAAGAGCTTCGTATAACCCAATCAGCTACTACTACTCCCTCTGATACTACAATTGATCACACACAGATGACCAGCCCATTGTTAGAGCCGCCCGTTCAGAATCGCCGAGCCTACAAAATACCCGACCCCTCGATGCTTACTGGTGGCAATCCTTTCAAGTTTGATGGTTGGCGTATCGCAATAGAGCGGAAGCTGAAGGCTAATGCGCACCAATTCCCCTCTGCTACCTTCCGTAAAGCTTACATTATCAGTCAGCTGAAGAGAAAAGCATACGAACAACTTATCCCACGCCTCCTTCCGGGAAGCAAGAACAGTTTCGAGGACGGCGTTGACATCCTGGACCATCTTGAGAGTATCTATGTTGACCCGAATCGTCGCTGGAATGCTAGAGATAGCTTCAACAGGCCTTACATGGGCGATCATGAGAAGTTTGCCACCTTCCTAGCAACCTTTTTTCGACTCGCCGATGAGGCTGACATATCATGCGTGGACCGAGTGGACCTTCTGTGGCAGAAGGTCAATGTTGAGCTTCAGTACGAACTCATTCTCATGGTTGATCTACCAGGTGTTACGTTCAGCCGGTTTGTAAAATTTGCTCACCGTATGGCCAGGTTCATGGATATTATGGCGGTTGGCCGGGATGAGTGAAAGGCTATTGAATCTACCATTCCATAAAGTTGAACATCGCTGCTCTGGCCGTCTCCTTGAATTTATGATACATGAGGTCTTAAGATATCTGATAAGTCTGAGAAGTAGTATGATTCTTTGGGTCCACCAAATACCGTATGAACTCTGACCTTACTATGCTCTGACTTGCAACACGCAGGCTGCTGATGAGGCACAATTTGCAATTACAATCCCAAACTGGTAGTATTTCTTTGCTGGGAATTTACTGGCGGTTGTCTCCAGTACTAGGACTAGCGTTCCCACATCACGTCACGTCATTTTACTCCACTCTGTTTCTATGATAAGAGAAATAGATTTAATACAAATAATGAAATATTAAAAAAAAAAAAACAAATGGTACCAAGTCATGATCATATTACAAATGCAAAGTTCTGATTTCATCGCGATCTTTATCCTCGGCAGTGTTTTTGCCGACGAGACGACAGCCGAAACACCCAAGCGGAACGGAGGGAACAGCGAGAAATTGAGAAATCCGGCCATTATGAGTGGTCAGATTAGAATGACTAATCCAGTTTGGCGTGAGGGGAAATTTGCCTATCTTCACGTGACTATGTATTCCGCAAAGGGAAGGGGGGTACTTTGACTAATTTAGTATTAGTTTTAGTGATACTACGGAGTTGAGTGCTCTGTATTTTTTTTCAAACTCTCTTTTATTTTCACCCCCAAGATATACTCTGCCCCGGGGAACGCAGAGTCGACTGCCAACTCGCCATGCCGCCCAGTGAGACTTCCCCGCTGCTTCAGAGCAACGGGCCTGCTTCTACCGGGGCTATTCCCACCCGCGATGTCGATGCCGATGCCGAGTCTGGCGACCATCCAATTGCTTCGGGGGAGCTGACGAAAGCGCCATTCCCCGATGCGCAGAAACAGCTGAAGTATATTATCCCGGCAATCTCAATTGGTGTATGATCATGCATTTCTACCCTGGCTCTCGTTGCTACTTTACATAAGTACATCCCGGCTGATCCTCTACAGATTTTCCTCTCCGCCGCCGACCAAACAATCATCATGGCCAGTTATGGTCAAATCGGTAGCGATCTGAAATCCCTCAATCTAACCAGTTGGATCGCCACGTCCTACTTCTTAACATTGACCTCCTTCCAACCGCTGTACGGCAAATTGAGCGATATCTTTGGTCGCAAAGCGTGTCTCCTCTCGGCATATGCCATTTTTGGATTGGGATGTCTCTTTTGTGGATTGGCACGCAATATCAATGAGCTGATTGCTGCCCGGGTAGGTTTAACTATTGCCATTTCTGATAAAGGATTACTCAACTGACGGTACCACAATCAGGTCTTTCAAGGTATCGGAGGCGGTGGAATGACGACTGTGGTCAGCATTCTGATGAGTGATATCGTTCCCCTGCGTGATCGGGGCCTTTGGCAAGGCATCATCAACATCATATATGCTACTGGTTCGGGAACTGGGGCGCCTCTAGGTGGTATTTTGGCTGACTATATCGGTTGGCGTTGGTAAGATCTCTACTACTTCAAATTTGACTCTCCGTGTAGCCTCTCTAACTCGACTGTAGGGCCTTTTTGGCACAATTCCCCATGTGTATTCTCGCCCTCATCGCCGTGTCACTGATGCTCAAGCTCCCAGCTCGCGAGAATACTCACTGGAAAGTCAAACTTCGTCGCATTGATTTCCTTGGTGCCTTGGTTCTCGTCGGGGCTGTGCTCGGATTCCTGCTGGGTCTAGATCGCGGTAGCAATGTGTCGTGGAGTATGCCTATAACGATAATCTCGCTTTCCATCTCCGTCGTCCTATTTGGACTTTTCATCCTGGTCGAGATCTATCTCGCCGCAGAACCTTTCGCCCCAGGCCATATCATATTCAACCGTACCTTTTTCGCCCTGTACTGTTGCAACTTCTTCAGCTTCGGCGGCTGGCTTGCCGCACTCTTCTATATTCCTCTCTATTTTCAAGCAGTGGATGGAGTCAGCGCCACAGTCGCGGGACTACGACTTCTGCCCAGTATCCTGTCCGGGGTGACTGGCTCACTCCTCGCCGGAATCATCATGCGGCGCACCGGCAAATACTTCTGGCTGACCATAGTGGGCTACTCCTCTTTAACCGTCGGATGCTTCACGATTTACCTCTTCTCCGGGGGCGTCACTGAGAGTACGGTTCCTATGATTTTGGGAATGGTCTTTTCGGCGTTTGGAAATGGCATTGGTGTCACCACCACCTTGATTGGGTTAAGTAAGTATCCACTGGCACATGATTCCTCCTTTTTATATCAAGTTTCTTACCGAGATTTTTAGTTTCCAACGCGACATTTGAGGACCAAGCTGTAGTCACAGCCTGCTCTTACCTCTTCCGTTCTCTTGGATCGGTAATTGGTTTGTCACTGTCTTCGACAGTAGTTCAGCAACTTCTTCGGGAGCGACTGGCACTCAGGCTGAAGGATAGCAAAGATATCGATTCTATCGTCAACGGAGTCCGAGAAAGTCTCGACTTTATCAAGAAGCTCGACCCAGATGTCGCCCAGATTGTGCGCAGCTGCTACGGCTGGTCGACTAACAAAGGCTTCGGCTTTATGGTGATCGTCGTATTCTTTGCGCTCTTCAGTGCTTGTTTCGTGCGCGAGGCCAAGTTGAGCCGTTGATCAGAATATGAAAAGCCCGCCGAAAATCATGATTAATGATAGTTTGACTAGATCTTTCAAGGTTTCCAACTTTCAATTGTTATTTTTGTTGCATATATACATGGTCCAGCAAGAGGGGACTTTGCTTGAAGATCTTGAAGTTGACAAAGACTCGGACATACTACTAGTACTTCAGGCTGAATCCATGGGGAAAACAAATTTAGATTGAATTGAAAGGAAAAATAGTACATGATTACCTGTCATATTACTACCTTGGAAGGTTTGATACCAACTTGAAAAGCAGTACTAGTTACTACTACAAGTACCAGTTACTAGTTAGTAGGTAGTAGGAAGTATGAGCCTAGGCGAGCGGTGGGAGGTATGCTTGGGCGCTTAGGCCTACTTTTACTCCCTAACTGGGTAGGTACTGGTGGTAATCGCTATGGTGATTGTATACAATGATTACTAGACTAGGTAGCGATAACTCAAGTAAGTGTAAGTAATCATTACTAGATAGTGATAGCTATAGCTATAGTAATTAATAGAGTGATCCGTTCGGAACGGTGATCTTTTGAAATTGGATCGAAATTACCTTTTCTGCTGGTTAAATTCTGGATTCCTAATTCCGACACTCTCTGGCCCCTCTCGTCCGCCATACCCTAGGTAAGTATGAATCAGTGAAAATACTTCCAAGTTCATGGATTATAGTTGTGCAGTGTAATAGGTAGTTGCTGTGCTGTCCGAGAAAAGCGGTGAACTTAAAATGACCTCCGCCTGGAACTCCCGTCATCTCCAATTCCAAGTCTCATCTGCACTCAACCTTTCAAGTTCCAAACCACCTACTTTTCCGAAGCCTTCAATCCATTCACATTTGAGCTCGGGTTTGATCTGTCCAGCTTGATGATGACCCTTCGATCGCCGTGACCGACCCCTCCACAGCTTCACCAGCTCAAACCTCCGCCATGTCCGAGTCACACTCCGGGCCGGTGTCATTGGCGCGATACCGTCCTATCCTGTACCTTTTTACCGGCGTAGCAGCTGCCTATGCTCTGCTATACATACATAACAATGTTGTCTCGCCACAGTCATCAGAAGCCTCACTCCGCCGTCGCAACGCCGTCCGCCGCACTCGTCGATCCGAAGCCGAAGAACTGTCAGAAACCCCGTCTTACCGTGCGATAACCCACCTCGAGCAATTAGAGCGTCAGAATGGCGTCTACGGAACATTTCGCATCGAGACAGAAGATGGACGCCGAGTGGAAAGTGGTCTTCTGCCGTCGTTGCTGGCAACACGCGACCAGCTAATGGAGGAGGTGGGTGTTCCTCCAGCTCATGCGGAGCGCATGCGTGAAATGATGGAGGACACCTTCCTCGAATCTTTTTTGGCTTTGGATTTTCCTGCCTCACACACCCTCCCGGAGGACACTCCTGAACGAAACTACTTAACAGAACAGCTTCAACGTCGGGGAATCTCAAGGGCTGGAATTGAAAGAGCGCTCATCCGCTTCAATGGCGATGAGAATTACGGCGATCAGTTGCGCCAACGCAGACAAAACGGCGAGCGTGTCACCCTCTCAACCTCGACTTTCCCTGACGTGGCTGCACCATCCGAAAATCCCGAGGCTGCAGAAGCACCAGCCGATGACCAGAGTGTCTTTTCGTGGCGCGACGGCAATAATGACGCATCACCTACCCGTGAAGGCCAGAATCTGCTCAACTTATTATACCATATTGCGGAGGATCAGGCGCGCAGAGATGGCTACATTCATCGTGGTGTGACCTGCAACAGTTGCGGTGCCATGCCCATTCAGGGTATCCGGTATCGATGTGCGAACTGCATTGATTACGATCTCTGTGAGACATGTGAGGCAATGCAGGTGCATATCAAAACCCATCTCTTCTACAAAGTCCGGATCCCAGCTCCGTTCCTAGGAAATCCTCGCCAGTCCCAGCCAGTCTGGTACCCTGGCAAGCCCGCCATGCTACCTCGGAGCCTCCCGCGACCACTTGCTAAGCGCTTGATGAGAGAAACCAGCTTCGAGAACACTGAGCTAGATGCACTTTGGGATCAATTCCGCTGTCTTGCAAACTATGAATGGGCTGACGATCCGAATAAGCTCTATATGGCGATCGATCGCAAGACCTTCGATCGATGCTTTGTACCCAACACGTCTATTCGACCCCCTCCTCCAAGTCTCATTTATGACCGCATGTTTGCCTTCTATGATACTAACAATGACAACCTGATCGGATTCGAAGAATTCCTGAAGGGTCTGGCTAGCCTCAATAACAAAAGCAACGAAGAAAGACTACGCCGTGTGTTCCGCGGATATGATATCGACGGAGATGGCTACATCGAGAGGAAGGATTTCCTTCGCGTCTTCCGGGCCTACTATGCACTCAGTCGCGAGCTCACTCGCGATATGGTTGCCGGAATGGAAGACGATTTTCTGGAAGGAGGAGCGCGCGATGTTGTCCTCGGCAGCCAGCCGATCAGCTCTGCATTCCCGGGCAACATCCCATCAGGCGAAGCCTCGCGTATTGGCGAAGGCAAGCGACCTAACCTGGAAGGCGACATGGAGCTGGTAGATCATGGAGGCATCTTGCGACAGGATGGTAATGATGTAGGCGACCGCCACTTGGTTATTGGTGATTCAGCCGTGAGAGATCAATTTGGTCGGACAAGACCGATGTTCCCATCAACTCTACGTCTCCCAGCAACAGTTTCAGATTCTCATCGGCCCAACCCGGCCCCACCCGGAGAGGAGGAAGATGGCGACAATAATGAGGACGATGATGTTGACGACGACGACGACGATGACGAAGAGGAGGAGGAGGAAGATGACGATGATGACGACGATGGTACCGAGTCCGACGCATCTGGCTCATCGGCAGGTAGTGGTGGCTGGCCGCCAGCCGAGCACCTCCTCGAAGACGACATTATTCACGCCCTCGGAACGTATGTGCCCCCCCAGGAAATTACCGACCCGATCGATAGAGCCCGAGTGGTGACAACGATTTACCGCAGGATGCGTGACGACGATAGAAGACGGCTTGACGAAGCCCGGCGAAATGGCATTGACGAACGTTGGCGACGAAGAGCCTTCTACACCGATGAAGAGGATGGTGCTACCATTCCCGATGGCTACCAGAAAGACCCGAATTTTGACGACCTCTCCGATGATAACGATTCCGGGGATGTTTCTCGAGAAGTGTCACGCCCACCTTCCCCACGCTCGCGATCCTCTTCCAAGGTCCGGTTCCAGGATGACATTACAGATGATTATGATATTCGATCTAACCCTTCAACCTCCTCCCGGAGTATCCCAGTCGGTGAGCGATGGGGCGGCTTTGAGATCCCAGAGGTTGAAAAGGATGTCGGCAAAGAAATTCTTTACCAAGTTACCCAACAAGGCTTCAACGAACTCCTTGATATTTTGTTTAAGCAAAAGGAGGACCTCTTGATGGAAGTCTGGCGTACCCGTACAGACCGCAAAGTCTGGTCGCATGAGATCGATCTCATGCAGCATACTGGACCACCACCAGAGCCTCTCAAGGAACAAGACAGAATGCCCAGGGACGAAGAAGAGCTCGAGGAAATGACTAAAGATCAACCTCTTGACGATCTTCTCGAGAGTGCTGGATACTCAGTGGTACAAAGCCCTGCTTTGGAACCTACCAACCCTGTTCTTGCCCCTCCTCTGCCCGACTCTATGTCACAAGATGACGATGTCCGACCCGTGCACCTTTCCAATCCCGAAGACGACGACAGACTTGGGGACCACTCTTTCGATCAAATGGACGATGAAGACGTGACGGACAGCAGTTCACTCGCTTCCTACGAACTGGAAGAACAAATCTTGAACACAGGGGCAATCTCCTTCGAAGAAGAATCCTCAGACGAAGAACCGGAGTCCTTCACCGTGGAATCTGACAACTATGACCCCACACTCCCGCAATTCCGCCCTGATGTTGACGACAGCGCATGCTATGCATCCCCTCGCAGCACAGCAGCCTCCGATCTCCCAGATCGCCTCCGCCTCGAACCAAACGGCACAACCTCCCTTCCAGCCCCTCCATCCCCACAAGCTTCCCCACAAGCAGAAGCAGTCGCGCCAAAACTCCCTCCCTCCCCAATGCAACCTTTACCACCACCATCAAAATCCATCCAACACGCAGCAGCGCAGGAGAATATCACACCCAGGCGCCCCTCCAATCGTACCCTTATCCGATGGGCCTATCTGAATCAGGTTGAGCGAGATGCGAAAGAGCGCGGTGGAAGCGGAGCAAGACTCGATTTCGATGAATTCTCGCGCCGTATGGCTGCAGACAAGGGACGCCGGTTGGCCTTTGTCGCCAGTTGGATCGAAATGGCGAGTTTCTAGGCATATACTATCTCCCCCATGGTTGTTACTTTACCCCCACCTGTACATTAGATTAGATATCCAGTTGCAAGTATCGAATTACTATCGTGTTATGGTCTCACTCTCGTTCTGTTGGAACTCGCGGCGTAAATTGGAAATGGCCTCTAATACGTCACAATCTTCATCTTTGAAAGTACGCTAATGTCGAATTTTTTGAACCAGATTTTAGCTCAACGCTGCATTGACCGCAGAAATCACACGAAGGTCGTGAAGGGTCCCCGCCAGCCAGTGGGGGTGTCGTCATCCGAGACAGTGTCTTTTTTATACCAAATTCTCGGGAGTTTATCCACATCGTACGTCAACGATTCACTCCAATGCCCATCGCGTCGATCTTTGTGGTGGCCAAACAAGTCAACAATGGCATCTCCGACAAGATTCTTCCAGTTTAAGCAGCTGTGGTCCCTATGATCTGGGTTCATCCGGTCGAGCGGATCCATACCAATCTCTGTCGCCATGGTATAACACAGCACAAGGGTCTTCCAGCAGTACTTTAGATACTGCCCGAGCGCCTCTCGGTTCATAGGATGTAGCGGATCATGCGGTGGATCGAGCTTACCCTTCGGTGATTTGTAGTCGGCGAATTTCATAATTTCCAGTGCCAACTCAGCTGGAAGACCCATCGAACATAAGATCGACCGGACTTCATCCACCTCCGAGAACGAAGGTGCATACCAAAGACCCCCTGGTCTCCACACTCGCAGAAATTCGCGAATTGGTACCCTTCCGTAAGGCCCTGCTAGGTTGTCCTTCTTCCAACGGTCAAGCCAACCATATTTTCTAAGACATTCTCGTTTCGCTTTGTTGAACTCTTCATCGAGCAACCAATGTTCGCCTTTTCCGGTATTCTCTTCCGCGCGTTCACACGATTGCATGCCAAAGAACTGGAGGTGAGGGTATGTCCTCAGGTCCCAGCTTCTTGCACCGGATTCAATAAGTGTCTTCTGATAGAATTTGGCATTGCGATAGTCTTTTTCTTCGGTTCGGCCAGATGCAGGATCCCAAGTCTCGGGAAAGCAGTATGCGATGTTGAGGCAGATGTAGACCGAGAGCATTTGTCGACACATCTTTTCCCATCCAAGATTAATGGGCTTCCTAAGGTTAGTTGGATATTCATGGCAAAGAATCAAAATCTTGACAAGGGAAGAAAAGGCTTACGCCTTCAAAGTAGGTTCCGAGACGCCAGAACTTCAGATGATTACCCGGATGGGCACAGACACGCAATATTGGTTCCATCTCCCCGTATAGAAGTAGCGTCAACACGAAACGTAGATTCAAGATCGCCTCTTTGTTCGAGTCATCACCACTATACCTCCAATCAATCTCAACATGGGGGTCTTGAAGAAAGGCCGACATGACTCTTTCTTCTTGCGGGATGGGTACACATTTACATTCATCGTACACGCTCGTCCATCTGGGTCCTCTCACAACTTCAACTTTTTTGCATGTACCTGAAGGACATGTTTCGGTTTTGGGCCAGTTGGAGCGCCATCGACGAACCGTGGGTGATATCTTGCGAACAATAGCATCATCGAGTATCACATCCGATGGCTCGGGAATATCGTAGTGTTTCGGATACTTCTTTCGTTCACAGGCCGAATGCTCGTCAAGAGTCTCCACAAAAGCACTAACAAAATGTGTCAAATCCTTCGCCTGATTCGGTTTCATGCGCGGGTACAGATTTGTGGCGAAATTGTTCCAGGGCGTCGGGGCCTTCCACTCTAAATTCGAAGCGAGCAGGCCCCATGGAATATTGTGCGCTTGATGTGCCATGGGGTATGTCCCTGCTAAATTCAGACTGTGTCTTGTAATGGGCTTGCGCCTATGGGGAAGACTGCTTAAATGAATCGCAACAACGATGGGGCTTTGATGAAGCCTTTGCACGGAATTTGATGGCCCCCAATTTTGGGGCGGCTTGCGGGGTGGCGCGCTTTGCTTATTCGGGCGAGGCTGCGCTCTGCTTTTCAAGGCCAACCCAACCTGTTTACAATCTTACAATCACTTCCAAGGACTATGAAAAACAAAATCGAGAAATGAATTTAACGGTATGTGCCAGTGGTGACCGACCTGAGGGCATATAAACAACTTGAACTACAATCTCAAGGGTTCATCGTAATATTCGAGTCGGTTTTCAATATTTCACATTGCCCTCGCTAGATATCCGTTGATTATGAGTCAGAACTTCTGACTCATGGATGGATGACTCATTAACTACCTTAAAGGAAGCTTCAAGTTGAACCTTAGAATAATACTTGGTAGGTACCAGTAGTGAAACTTAGTAGATTCACCCCGAAGCTGTCAAGAATTCCCAGAATAGACCTTGGGCATGGGATGACGCGACATCCCGCAGCTCTCAGTTCTTCTGTTATAATTCCTTGCCTCACTGATTGAACAGCGAATCTCATCAGTTCCCTTTCGGCAAGACCGTGCACATCTCCGAACTCATGGTCTATTTCCTCAAGCGTTTTTTCTTTCGTCTCTGGAACCAATAGCAGTGCCCAGACCCCAGCCAAAAAGCACATTACCGTGAAGAAGATGTAAGTTTTATAACCCTGTGTTTCCATCATCGGAGGTGTACCCAACTCCATAACAAAATTGGAGAGCCAGTTGACACAGGTGGCCAAGGCGACGGCTTTGGATCGAGATGCTGTGGTGAAAACCTCTGAAGGGAGTGCCCAGCCCAAGGGTGCGTACGAAGCACCGAAGACGATAATGAATAGGAAGGCGAATGCAACGCAGGCCCAGCCAGCTCCCGTATGATTCAGCCAATCATGAGAATATAATCCGCTCAGGATTGCAATGACCATATAGCAAATGGCGCACCCAAATGCACCCAAAATGGCAAGAGGACGGCGGCCAACTCGGCCAATCGTTACAATGCAAACAGATACGCCGACAAGTTACAGGGCATTGAAGACGCTAGATAAAATCAACGACATTTCATCTGTTTGCCCCAACGATGGGAAGAAGGTAGGCGCGTAGTAAATGAATGCGTTAACCCCGGAGAATGCTGGAAAAAGCACACACCAACTGCAACAGAAGTCCGGCACCAATTCTTTTTTTCTTAAGCAAATCCAACCAGCTGTGCAACTCTAGCTTCCAGCCTTTAACTCCAGGCTGGGTCTGCTCTACCACAAGGCGTTGAAAAACGACTTCGGAGAGGATTCCACTATATTCAGCCTGCACGCGTGCATCCGTAGTTGGGAGGCCTCGAAGCCTTGACAGGCTAGCCATGCATTCTTCAGAACGATCCACGAGAGCAAGCCAGCGTGGGGAATATGAGAAGAAGTTTATACAGACGCCCAGTATGGTAGAAGATACCATCTGTAGTCCAAGGGAGAGGGAACGAGATATTGCCTTCTAAAAACCGAGTTCCGAAGGTGATCCAATACGCTATCATGACACCGGCGATAATAGAAACGGACTCCAGAACCAGCAATGTACCACGAAGGTTCGGCGGGGACATCTCCGAAATATATAGAGGTGCTGTCTAAAGATGGAAATCAGCAAGATGCCGCGGGACTTTGAGGTCATGGAGAAAAGGAAATAAAGCCACTAGCAGGAACAAAGCATATTTACCATAGTCAGAGTTCCGACGCCGACAAAAACGATTGCTCTCCAAGCGACCAGCGTCCCAAATTTGGGGCAGCCGTTTGAATGATCGCACCGAGATCAAAGATAATCGCAACAGTCAATGCCCATTCCCTGGAAACATTGTCTGCAAGATAAGGCATGAGGATTCATGTCATGAATCCCGTGCCAAAGGAATTTCTGGCCTGGGGGTAGTGTGCATGGAACTGGTCCATTACATTGATGATTGAAATGAAACCTTGATCGTATCTGTTGAGGACGGGTGCCTAAGCACCCGTGCCTGCCTTAGATAGCTTCGTCTCTCTCTCTCCTCTTCATATCATCACCTGTTTCGTGCATCTGCTTCCTTCTCATTAGTGTGCCGTCGACAGTATCCGAGTGAGAAACCGCCCAGCGATGCCAGAAAGGCGGCTCCGAAGACATATCCAGATGAAAAAATATCTCGCATTCCGTCTGGACCGTATGCACCAGCGAAATGGCCGAGTGCCTCACGTGCTTCGAATGTGCTTGTGGCAGTCACTTCTGCATGCTCTGAAGATGATTCAGCCAGAAGTTTCTCGGTCGTTTTGTCTATTTCATTCGCCATGATACTATTTCAAAAAGGAACTGAAGAAGAACTTGAAACAAAAAATGTGATTGGGTACTGTAGTCACAAATTCTATAGTAAAGGGTAAGCACAGAGGCAACAGGGGAACAAATTCACCTGTACACTGAGTTCTTATTTTCAAGGTTCCAAAGTTTATTGAATATGCTTTCATGGGGATGGCGGGTCCGGGGTTTGGGACTAAGCTAAGTTGGGGCTTTTCATTGGCTCAGATCAGAGACAGAGGCCCGTGGCCGTCAATTTTGGGAGAGAATGCCGATATAACATGTCCCATGCGTCGGAAACACATAGCAGAAGTGATAATTGGACCTCGAGAATAGGATGAAGAGACAGAATGTAACGGAGACGGCATGGGTTGCTGGACTAGGCAATGCCATCTTTTTGGAATGAATTGAAGAAGAACAAATGCGCCGACGAATTTTGTCGTGAGGAAGAATTACTGAATATGGAAAGCTCCGCCGACACTAAAAAACACCGCTATTACGACGACGATATCCCAGCCGACTATGTGCAATCCAATTGGTCCCCATGCGCGTTATTCCTTGCATGGCGCCTGCCAACTAGGCAATTCGATGTCTACCGTATTCAACATCGGCGATGATCTCTACAGATGGATCTTCTTCGTCTCCACATCGCGACACTCACACGAGGTATTGGATTATGAGGGTCTATGACTACTCACGATGCGGGGAAACTTGCGGTTACAGTTGATGGCAAAGTCTAGAGATTCGTTCTCGAGGGAGCCTTGGAGGAAGTTGATAGATAAATAAGTCTCTCCGAGCTCTCAAGCCCTGGAGGTGCAGAAAAATAATTTACCTCTTGACTCGACATCTAAACTTTGCACGGCACATTTCAAAATTTTCCAAGGGCAAAGAGGACCGCCACTTCTACTCAATAGAAAGTTATTCCCATAAAAACCAAAACATTGAACCATGTCGTACGGCGATCGACGTGTGAAGTTTGCGCTTTTCGGTCTCGGCCGTTTGGGAGTGCTTCGAGCTCGCATCCTCGCTTTTCAACAGCCTCGAATCGAACTCGTCGCTGTTTGTGATACCAAACCAGGCACTGGCAAATGGGCTGCAGAGAACTTGCCCCCAAATGTAAAGTATTTTTCGGACTCTCAGGAGTGCTTGAAGAACAGTGGAGCTGAAGCTGTTCTCATCTGTACCGCAACTGCTACACATGCGCCTTTGATTCTGCAAGCCCTTGATCTTAACCTGAACGTCATGTGTGAGAAGCCCGTCTCTGTGGACATTGCTACTACCAAAGCAGTCGTCGAGAAGTCGGCTTCTAGGCCTGACCTCAAATTTCTCATTCCATTCACTCGCAGATGTAAGTATTCCCAGACATCAAACTCCAAATGTACCAAATACTGACCCTGTCCAGATGACAAGTCGTACCGCCAGGCCAAGGCCCTAATTGATAAAGGAACCTTGGGTGAAATTCACGCCGTTGAGACAACTGGTATCGACCAAGCAGACCCAAATGGTATGCCGATAACGTCCCAGTCCAGAGTTCCTGGTATGCTACATGAATTGATAGACTGAAATTTTTCTTTAGCCTTCTTCGTGGCTTTCTCTGAGATGTCTGGTGGAATCTTCCTTGATTTCGGCATCCACACTGTAAGTACTAATTTTTGACTACCTACCCATCTGCCGATTCATTAACACGGATCTAGGTTGATGCCGGGCGATACCTGTTGGATGTCAAGTCAGGTCTCTCCAACCCCAAGAAGCAAGTCAACAGAGTCATCGCCTTTGGCCAAAACGCGGTATATGGGGACTTGGCCAAGTACGGCGATGCTGATAACGCCTGGGGTCTGGTGGAGTATGCCAACGGCAAGATCTTCAAGACTTACCTCGGTCGTACGCTCACCAGCGGCTTCGAAGATACCACGCGATTGTGTGGCACCAAGGGACATTCGATTATCAGTTCGAACTCGAATGTTGAGATTCGCGACCATCTCGGTATTCGCTCAGAATCCGTTCCCGATGCATTCACTCTCTTTGATGAGACCTTCTTGACCGACCTTGCTGAATTTGCCGACGCGGTACTTGATAACAAGCAGATGACCTGTGTACCTGAGGATGCCTTTGAGGCGGGTAAGATCTGTGCTGCTCTGCAATATTCATTCCGCAAGGGTGTGCCCGTATACTTCGATGACAATGGCCTCCCTATCATGGACTAGATATGAATCATTTAGATTTTTTACTTTGGTACGAGATAGAAAAAATGCCAGTACGAGTTCGTGTTTCAGTTTCCAACTTCAACATAAATTCAGTGGTTGCTACTAGTACAGCAGAAGTGCTGTACTACCTAGTACTAGTGATATCCTCAATTTGGTTCTCAACCCTTACTACTCGAGTACTAGTATACTTCAAGCTACCAGTAGCTACTGAGGTTCTGAAGATTCCCGCTGAATCAATAGTTAAGCTTGTATCTGATCTAGGTATTTCTTGTGACAGTAATTTTTCATGAACATGGTGCTCTACGGGTACAAAACGCTATTTTGTACTGTTGGAGCATTAAATTATATCTCCATCCATGGATGCCCCATAGTCTAATAGCCCTAAATCAAATCAGTTGACTAATGCTAGAATTTTCATCGATAAAAACGCATTCATCGCAATTTAGATGGCTGCCTTTTCTGTTCGCTATCATAGTTCTCTATGTAATACTACAGCGATAATACTAATCAAGATATCACCACCGATAGGGAATTCCATTCTGTCAATATTTGCGTTACTGGACTGCTCTCCCATAAAATTTGCTATCTAGGTAGCGCCATTCTATAGGGATGCAAGCCGTGATCGTATCGCCGCCACTTCTGCTTCAACTTCCGGAAAGACTTACTTGGACGGGTCAGTGTCTGTCATCATCGCAGTTTCTAGTTTTAGAGAACGGTCAGCTTTTCTCCGAGTCCCACCACCCATTAGATGGCCCGTGCCGATGTAAATGGATACCTTCATCCAGCCTGTTGAGGCAATATCGAGCGAACCTCGGCGAGGGGGTATCCTGCCGCTAGGAATGCCCCAAAAAAGCAGTCTGAGCAATCAAAATGAGGCAGAGCTTACAGAAAAGCCATCGTGCGGGGTGCGGGGATGACATACATACCTTGTGATATGAGGATAGACTCAATATAGTTGGAATGCGGCGATGGTTGCCTAATACAGTAGTTTTTGAAATGATCATTTTTAACAACTTTCAATTACTACTAGTACTAGTATGTGAGCTTTGAATAGCTCGAGGATAGATATATAGATCATTCAATTTTTCTTTTCATTGAATTGACTATACCGGGATCTCTGGAACATTCGCATTCTCTTGAGATCAGTTCATAAACATTGCCAAAGCGGCACCATCTTCAGCATATTACTCATCAAAGCAATCGAAAATGGCACCTTATGTTCAAGAATTAAGTGGAACCGATGTGCTCTCTCAAGCTCCCCTCCATTTTAAGAGCGCGATGTTGAACCATGACCAGATCATAAAGCCTGTCGCGGATGATTTCATGTACGACTTCAAGTACAACCACCCTCTCCCTACCACGGATATGTTAGGGGTTAAAATCCCCACCGATTGTGATTCTCGGAAAGAGGCCGAGGGAATCGTCGCCCGTCTCTCTAAAGCCACATCGGAGGAGGACGCGCAATCATTTGCTGAACTGTTTCTCGATTCTGGTAAGACCTTTCTAAAAATCGAAACGTTGAACTTTAGTTGACCTCACCCATCTCGGACGTACAGGCGTTTGGCGTGATAAGCTCTCATTCACCTGGGACTTCCGTACTTTCAACTTCAAAGATACCATCCTCAAAGCCGCTGCCGATCTTTTGTCTCAAACCAAGGCTAGAAATTTCGAGTTTCTCGACCCTGCACCCTCGGTGTCTCATCCTTACCCCGATTTCTCGCAACTACAATTCGTTGTGTCTTTCGAGACCGAGATCGTTCTCGCTTCTGCCGTTATCAATGCGGTCCTCACTCAGGATGGTTGGAAAATTTACACCATGCACACTGTTGCCGAAACACTCAAACAATTCCCTGAACAGGCTGCGCCAGATGGACATATGACCGGCATCACCAGCTGGGAGAGTCAGAGATCCGAGGCCATCAACACAGTTGACCCAGAGGTATTGATCGTCGGTGGTGGACAAAAGTAAGAGTCCATGAAGTTAAAATCTATGGTGTCACGCTTACTTACTGTCTTAGTGGCCTTGCTATGGCGGCACGCCTCAAAGTTCTCGGTATGGACAGCTTGATTATCGAGCGCAGCGACGAAATCGGAGATGTCTGGAAGAAGCGTTACGAGTATCTCTCATTGCACTTCCCACACTGGCCAGACAACTTGCCATATTTCAAATACCCTCAGCATTGGCCCACTTACACCCCAGCTCAGAAGCAGGGTCTCTATATGAAGTGGTATGCATCTGCCCTGGAGCTCAATGTCTGGACCAAATCAGAGGTTGTGAAAGCCGACCAAGATAACGAGGGCAAATGGACAGTTATGATCAGCAAGGAGGGCAAAGAGACACGCACACTACGCCCCAAGCAGCTTATCATGGCCACATCACTATGCGGTGTCCCTTCTATGCCGGCTGTTCCTGGCATGTCTGACTTCCGAGGCGAGATCCGACACTCCAGTGCGCACAAGAGTTCGCGTGACTTCGTCGGAAAGAAGGTCTGCGTCGTCGGTACCTCATCCTCGGGATTCGATACAGCATACGAGTGCGCTCGTCTGGGAATCGATGTCACTCTTCTCCAGCGATCACCGACTTACGTTATGTCATTGACCCATTCCGTCCCCCGCATGCTTGGAATTTACGCACCCGACAAGAATGGAAATCTCCCAGACACTGAAGCCATGGATCGAATCAACTTCTCTACGCCAGTTGGACCTAGTGAGGAACTGGCAAAACGCACCGCGAAGACCCTTGAGGAACTTGACAGGCCCCTGTTGGAAGGTCTCAATGCTCGTGGTCTGCGAACATGGCGTGGCCAGCGCGATACTGGCAATTCTACCCTTGGTCAGACGCGGAATGGTGGATTCTATTTCGATGCTGGTGCCTGCGAAGAAATCATCAACGGCAATATCAAAGTGGAGCCTGGTTTTATTCAGGAGTTCACTGAAGATAAAGTCATCCTGAATGGCGGACGCGAGAAGGAATTCGACCTTGTTGTCTTTGCTACCGGGTTTTCCAACACGATCGACTCCATTCGCGCCACTCTCGGTGAGAAAATTGCCAGAAAGTGCGGACCTATTTGGGGTATCGATGAAGAAGGCGAGTTTAAGACAGTCTACAAGGAGACGGGAGTGCCCAACATGTGGATTATGGTTGGTTTCCTTCCAATGACCCGGTATGCCTCTAAGTTACTGGCTTTGCGGCTCAAGGCCCTCAAGGAAGGCATTTCCCCTCCACCTTACAAGATTTAAACGATATAGAAAAAAGACTTTTTGATCATTAAGCGTTGAAATAATCCGAGTTGCACCGTAAAAGGTCAGGGTTTGGTCTTCCTTGCGGATTTTATGCCTACCACTAGTACAACATGATTGATTCAACCCACAATTAAGTCAAGTGTCTTTGGAATACTTTAACCCCTAAATGAGAGCCAAAATCTCGACTCGGCTTGCATAATGCGAGCAATGATCCCCCCCTTCTGAACCACTGAGGCGATATTACGGCGCAAGCCAGACTCATCAAACCTTTTTCTAAAGATTTCATCAAGCGAGATAATAATTACCCATACCAGGGTCATTATGAAAATTTTTAAGCTCTCTAATCTAATTTGTTCTCTTATTACTAGATTCAATATGCCCTCAATCGCTGGTAGAATCTAGATTATGTCCTGGTCTAAATGAGAAGAATTCGGAATCGATAACGATTTTATCTTGTTTGCAAATCACATTTACAAATCTATAAAAGGAAAGAGCTTGCTAGCTAGTTTTATAGTTTAAATACAAGTCAAGACCATTCAAATTCTACTGCTTGTACCAGTCCTCGAAGCCGAGGTCCCATCCGAAAAGAGGCGTATTGATACGCTTTGCCTTTCCTTGCGCAGCCAAGCCATTCAAAGCATACATGTCCTCGCTAGAGAGAGCGATGATCTGGCTATTACTCACAATCCGGCTTTCCTTAATAGACTTTGGCAGTACGACAATGCCCCTGTTGACATGATAGCTGATCAGGACCGTGGCGGCGGAGATATCGTTCTTCTTGGCGATTTCCTGGATTACGGGCTCAGACATGAGGGGAGCACCTAGAAGTCACCATATTAGCTGATGTTGCCCTCACAGAGGCTTGGGATGATTTCCAACAGAGACATACCTTCAGAGCCAAGTGGTGAGTAGGCTTCGAGGAGGATTCCATGCTTATCGCACCAGTCCTTCAAAGCGTGCTGAGGAAGGAAAGGGTGTAGCTCGACTTGGTTGACAGCAGGGACAACAGTCCACTTCTTTTTGAGCTCTTCCAGATAAGGAATTGACCAGTTTGCCACCCCAATTGCCTTCACCTTGCCAGCCTTGTATACCTCCTCCATCTGGCGCCAGGTTTCATTCTGGTCCCAGGAGCGGTCGACAGATCGTGTTCCATCGGGATTTACTGGTAGAAGTGCGCTTGATTTGTTCTGTTTGTGCTGGTCAGACTCGTCAATTGGCTGATATAAAGCATCATGGTCACTTACAGGAACAAGTCGGACTGGCCAGTGGATGAGCTAGTATTTTTGTTAGCCTTGCCACATCTGCCGGACCAAGGAAGGATTGATTTACGTAGAGATCCAGATAATCCGTGCCCAAGGCCTCGAGTGTCTTTTGAAGACCTTCTGCAACATTGTTCTGATGAGTATTCCACAGCTTGCTGGTAATGAAAATGTTTTCGCGAGGAACACCGCTGTCCTTGATGCCTTGACCGACTTCATGTTCGTTTCCTAGTGATCCGGTTAGCCGGGGCCTAATTGCATTCTTTTCCCTGATCGAACGCACCGTAGATCCTGCAATCAGATTGTTAGTACTGTTCTGTCGAGAATAGATAGGAATACTTACAGTGCTGCGTCAATGTGACTGTATCCGTTCTTGAGTGCGAATGAGACTGCTTGACGGACCTGGCCAGGTTCAGATCTCCAGGTTCCTAAGTTCCATGTCAGCAAAGACGCCCCTAGCTCTCAAATTTACCACAGCTTTGATCGTACCCAGTCCAACGGCGGGGATCTGAGTGCCATTGTTGAGCTTGAAATGAGTCGAGGGTGCCATGTTGATCGCAGAGGAAGATGATGGTAGTTAACCAAAATATAGGAGCGTGTCAGTTGATGATACTTTCAAAAGAAATCTCACGGAACCAGAGAAACCCATTGCACGGGGTCCCTTCTATATTTGACCTCGACATTGTCCTCAACCGGGCCGAGTGAACCCAAACATCATCGCATGGAGTACTACCTGCTCCGCGCGAGATCGGACAAAGTCCGGGGCCCCCTTCAGGGGAATTTATCCCGATTATGACCCAGCAAATGTCGGCCGGTCCCCTCTAACACTCATCCGATATTGATTTTACGTGACAGGGTAAAGAATGGGCGATTTGCTTCCAAATTAGTCACTCCAATTTCTACCTGTTCGCAGCACAATGCGGCGTAGCCTTCCGAATAGGGTAATATTCTATAATGAGGGGTGGTCGCCAAGACGCGGGGAGGCAAATACAGAGCCAACTTGAAGGCTCATGGCATAAATATAGTATATCTTGGCCGAGGCAGTATATTCTTCCTTCGAGATCCTGAATTATACTTTTGGAGCACAGAGCTACTTTCTAGGTATGACGCATAGAAAAACTTGAAGTTTGAAGTTACATTCTCGGTTATACCCCCCCCGTTTAGACATATTCATAAACAAGAAAAAACTGCTATCTGTGTTGTCTATTCACACCCTTTCTCCCATTTTGCCCGCGTTTGTGCTTGTATCTGCGCGGGCGTCAGGCGTGCCAAATTAGGCTGATCCATTGATGCGCCGGCTTCTCGCAATATTGAGACGATTTCGTCCAGGGCCCGGTTCTTCTCCCCAGGTGTGGGGTATTCAATCGTTTCATCTGCCTTCTGTTTGCGTATGAGCCTGCCCCCCACCGCTTCATGGAGAAGCGTGTTGCCTTTTTTGTTGATGACATTCACATCAGCGCCCCGACTGACTAGTAAACGAGACGGCTCGATTTGTCGCAGGTTTCTTGCCATCCAGTGAAGGGCCGTCCAGCCATTGGCATCAGCTTTGTTGATATCAACGAACGGGATGAACATCTCAAGCAGATCGGGACTGATTGGGTCGTCATATGACGTACCAGCAGCTAGCTTGTGTAGCGTGGTTTGACCTTTCTTGTCACAGGCCGTCCTGTCGGCACCATGCGCGAGGAGAAGCTTGACCAATGGCATAGTGTAAATTTCACGAACAGAATTGCACGTTTCGTGGTGAGATAATACTCTCAAGAGAGCAGTTGCACCTGATTTATCTTGTGCGTTGACAGTGCTAATAGTTGGGTTGAGGCGGAGGAGAGCTTTCATAAGGGCCAACTCTCCGGCATGTATGACATTTCCATATGTGAGGAAGTTAAAGACTGCTCCATCAGAGCTCTGCGCATTGATCGTGTCTGGATTAGATTCCAGTAATAAGTTGACAAGTTTGAGCCCCGTCGACATTGTTTCCTCGTCCGACGGTCTTCTGAACGTGTCACTGAGATTAAGCAAAGCCCAGTGAAGAGGAAGTCGTCCTCTACTGTCAGATGCAGATACCGCCCGAGCAAATTCATCAGCACCATAGCGTTCGAGCAAAGTCTGGACGAAAGCTAGGTTCCAGGATCCGCTAGCTATGTGGAGCGCGGTCACATTCTCAATATTGCCTTCCCATGTATCATACCATGTTTGTTTTGCATGAAGATCAGCTCCTTCGGCAATGATTCGAGATGCTAGTTTGTAGCTCCCCATAGCTGCTGCTGCCCCCAGCACCGTAGTTCGTTCATTTGGAAGGTGTTCATCCGTTGCATGGACTGAAGCGCCTCTATCCAGCAGACTGTATACAAAATCTTCAATAGTACTCTGGCTAACAAGTGTGGAAGTCTCGGAAACGAATTCTCATGATTACAGTCAAAACAGAACCAGTATTTCGAGAGCTAACTCTCAGGAAACGCTTCTTGAAATAAGCTGCATCATAGGAGTTGGGTTTCACTGAGAAATTTTATTGGGAATTTTCTGCTATAATAATATTCAAAATTTAAACCAATCATGATGGCATAAAGGGTTCGGACCCTCCCCAGAAATAGCTAGATCTAATTGACTTGATTTCGTCGAGGATCTGGAATCCTGATATCTTTTATGCACGGCTTGTGCCTATGCAGCCCCCGCCTACGCAGCAAGGTACTAGTAATGAGAGGCTTCATAAGTCATAGCAGAATCGATAGAGTATTTTAAAGTCAGGGTACCTTGGACCTTGGAAGATCAAGTCCGAAACTTTATTGGCTACATCTAATACACCTTGAAGCCAGCTCCATTCACACGTGGAAAAAAAATAATCTCGTAGTTGATTGAAATACCTCACTCGCCGACGAATCCAAACCGCCTACTCCAGATTAATACAGAATGATAAAATTGTTGAATGCATATCTCGTGTCATCTCATCTCATCTCATCTCATGTCTCGTTTCCCGTCGCTGTTGAAATTCAAGAAACCCTATACAAGCCACCACTGGCACATCAATCATCACTTCATTTCAGGCACACGTTTATGCCTCTCCCCAGATCTCGTCGGCGATTTGCCGCACTAGACTGAGCTTCTTCTTCTCATCATCCAGGCTGAGAGGATATCCGCTCTCGTGGGTGCTGAAACCACACTGGGGGCTAACACAGACACGCTTCAGGGCCTCTTCGCGCGTCTCACCACTACCCGAAGCAACAAAATCAGCAGCCTTGTAGATGCGCTCCTTCATCGCCTCCTTATCCTCCAATTCGCGAAGCTTAGTGCTAATCACACCGACAACAACATTCTTGTCCTTGGGGAGAAACTGGAGAGGCTCGAAGCCACCAGCCCGCTCAGTGTCGTACTCGAGGTAGAATGTGTTGACGTTAAGGTTCTCGAACAGCTTCTTCGCAATGATATCATAAGAGCCCTCCGAGAAATGGCGACCACCGATGAAGTTGCCTCGGCACAGGTGAATACCCGTGTGCATGTCGGCAGGGATCTTGGCGAGACAGTCATTGTACAGCTGGACATAAGCGTCGAACAAGTCATCGACAGATCCAGTGTTGTCCTTGTCATCAGCCCAGCCCTGACGGAAGTCCTTGGAGCAGAAGTATGCCATTCCGGGGTCGTCGAACTGGACATTTCGCAGGCCGGCCTTGTACAGCGCGTCCAGCTCGGCCTGGTAAACCTCCGCGACGCCCTTGAAGTACTCTGCGTCGTTGGCGTAGGCCTCGGGGGTATAGGCCTTTCCTTCCTTGTAGCGCATGTGGAACCACGCCGGGGTGATCATGGTCAACTTAATGTTGCTCCATTCGCTCTCGGGCAGGGACTGTTGGACGAGTTTGAGCTCGTGCAGGTTTGAGAGAGAGTGCTCGGGGTTCCAAGAGAGCTTTGAGCCAGCGATGACCGAGTCACCGGGCATGACCTTGCGGTCTTTTTCAATCAGACTGACGACGTCGGGGTGGTAGAGTCTGAACATTGAAGCGTCGGCATCTTGCAGACGGATGGTTCCTGGGGTCGTCAGTAAAAGGGTTTCTTTGAGAGAGAGCTAATACTGTTCAACATGACATACCCTCGAACTCATCCCACATGAGACCCCAGAAACGAGTGCGGTTGTACTCGCCCGAGGAAACAGCCTTCAAGCCCAGATCGCGCTGCAGCTGAACCACATCCTTGACAGCCTTGGTCTCAACAGCCAACAAGCCAGCCTCTTCTTCGGAAATTCCAGTGTCGCGAATCTTTTCACGGACCTCGAGGAGGTCATCAGGACGCAGCAATGAGCCCATGTGCTCGGCCCGGAAGGGCGGTGCGCTGTGAAGCTTGCCGGCCATATTGGGAAGTATCTGAAGTGGAGATTGGAGGTTAAGGTACGGATTGATCTGATGGGTCAAACAGAGAATTCCACAATAATTGCAAGAGTCCCACTGTTAGGAGAAAAATGGAAACAACTCCAGGATGAAAAGAATGGAACAGAAAGTAGAAGTGGGATGTGGAGAGGCTGAAAATGGAGGTGGGGCTTTAGGGTTCTCCAAGGATTCATGGAAAGCTCATGTGGGGTCATTTCGGCAGTTTGGAGAGCTTGCATATGTACAGAGTAAGTCATTGTCAGACAGCCAAGTCATATAACGCGGGGTAGGGATGATTTCGTCAAAATAGTGGATCGAGACCTTCTGCACGGTGCTTAATTGGGGGTAATCAAAAATACAATAAAACACACTCGCTGGTATTTATGCCAAGTTTAGGGAATACGAGAGGTGTACTCTCGTACTCAGGCCCTATAACAATGCTATAGATTTTCTGGCGGGTGGCAATGTTAAATTCAACAGCCGGCAATATACCTAGTCAGGTTGAAAGAGAGATATATACCTAGGTATGTATATGGAAGAAGAGAGAATTAGCCACCAATATGATCTGATGGCAGGGACTTGAATAGTATTATATAACCAACCGTCCTCCATTAAATGACCAATCGAAATGAACTTGGCCAATTGATCTTTCCATTTGTCAAAAGTATCAGGACCAATGCATAATTCAATAGCAGCGCTGTATAAGCTTCATCCACTCTACTCTCCAAGTTTTGTAAGTAGCGATATCCTATACTTATACTCCATGCCCGCAGCCCCACATACGCGATGGGGCTCTTTGGAGATGCCGAAGGTGCCCCCCCAATTCAATGACATTGTGCAAATTCAAATGCTAGCCCCATGGCGGGAATTATACTGCTTCGAGGCCCGGTCCTTAGAAATGCATGGGAATGCAGGCCATACAATAGTCGAGATCTCAATGTCTCACCCAGCCGCAACTACTTATAGGGCTGCTCCCAATCTGCCTGGGTTGTCTACAGTTCCAGCAATCCAATCATGGCATGGACAGTCGTAAATTTGCTCCCAAGGTATCTAAACTTCCTATGCAAAATATAGCAGTATATTTAATTCCCAGTCTCCATCACAGGCATCGGGACCGGTCCACCCGGTGAATCCGGGAAACGGGCCGTAAGAACCTCAACACCGTCCTCGGTCACCAGCATAGTGTGCTCGAACTGGGCGGACAGCGATCCGTCCTGGGTGGTACTCGTCCAGTCATCGGGCCATGTGCGGTCACGGTGAGTACCGATATTGATCATAGGCTCAATGGTGAAGCACATTCCCGGCTTTGCAGTTCCGACGGCCTTATTCTTGGCGTAGTGAGGAATGTTAGGGGAGCAGTGGAAGAGCTGGTTAATGCCGTGACCACAGTAGGTCTTGACGACGCTGCAGTTGCGTGACTTGGCGTGCTTCTCAATCGCATTTCCGGGGTCACGGAACAGCATGCCGGGCTTGACGAGCTCGATTGACTTCTCCAGACACTCGCGCGAGGTCTCGACCACCCGGACCGCGTCGGGGTTGGCGAGCGCCTTATCTCCGACGTAGTAGGTTTCGTTGATATCACCGTGGAAGCCCTTGTGGTAAAGGGTGACGTCGATGTTGACGATGTCGCCGTCCTCCAGCGGCCGTTGATCAGGAATACCGTGGCAGATGGTCTCGTTGACCGAGGTACAGACCGACTTGGGGAATTGCATGTAGTTGAGGGGGGAAGGGTAGGACTAGAGGGAGAGAATAATGTTAGCGACAACCCTGGTAGCTGCTACTTTCACAGCCTCGGCCGGTGGTCATACATCGCGCTCGACACAGGCCTTGTGGACCACCTCGTCAATATAATCAGTGGTCACTCCAGGCTTCAATGCGCGGCCGGCGATATCCAAAACTTCACGCGCAAGGCGACACACGACGCGCATGCCCTCTTGCTCTTCCTTGTTGAGGATCTTGATGGTGTGACGACCGGCAAGCTTCTGCTCAGATCGCGGGATACCGTCACGAGCATAGTCGGGGTGAGGGATGGTCTTGGGAACGGTGCGTGTGGCGGACAATGGGTATACAGGACGTAGCGAGCCGGCGAATGGGAAGGCGGGGAAGGGATTGAAATGGCCGGTTGCTGGATCAGGTTCAGAAACTACTTTCGGAGTGAAGAGGTTGGCAAGGAAATTACTCTTCTTGTGAATGGACTTGTGCTCGCTCTATGAAACGGCAGGGGTTAGTGGGCAATGGCTTCGACATGGATCTCAATATAGATCCATCTCGGTGGGGGTTGAGCGTACCCAACTCCGCTTGAAGCAATCTTGCGAGCAGAAGAAGCTGTCGGTACCCATTTTCAGGCAGGTGGGACATTGAAGGGTGCCCGCATCGTTAGGGCAGTCTACTCCGGAGCACTTGCGAGCAGTCATGGTGGTTGAGGGGTAAATATAATGATATCGTCAATTTCTCGACGATCGAAGCATCGAAACTGCGGCGAGAAAATCAAAAAGCGGCGACGGGATACGCTAGTCCCATTGTGGACTAGCGTTAGTGGTGGGATGTTTGCTCTGTTTGCTCTTTGTACATTATCACGTGCCAGATTGCCTCATCTGGATGACTCAGCCATGATTATTCAGCAATCCGACATCGCACCACGTGACCAGGGTGATTCCGGCGAGGGTCCCAGACAAATTGAATTTCTCCCCCCCCTTCCTGACGGCGTTTGACTTTTGCTGAAGTGTTGAATCGTTTGTCCTTTGGGCGTATATTTCTGAATTTGGCCCATGGCTTCTCCCCGACAAAAAGTGGTGGTGGTCGGCGCTGGCCCAGTGGGGTCTCTGGCCGCGCTTTATGCGGCATCTCGTGGTGATGAGGTGGAAGTGTATGAACTTCGAGGAGGTACGTTAATCTGGTGCTTGTGAGACGAGGACAATTTCGGAGAAATTGGAGGGTAAAAGTACTGGCATCGGTGGTTGTGTTGCGCAGAGTCAACACTTGAAATTCTCCGGGTGACTCGGACTCGACTTCCCCCTCGTAAAATATATACCCTGAAATTTGCAACATGCACCACCCTTTTCCCTCCGATCCACAAGGTCCTCTGCCATCCATCAATGATGCCATCTGCAATACTCCTCCAAGATCTTCGATCATCTCCGAGTCTCTTTTGACTCTGAACCTTTGATACCATCTCACCACTGCAACTGGGGCCAAGCCAATAATCATGTCCGTCCGTAGATCTCCGCGATCCAACCACCATCCCACTCAACTTCACCAAATCAATCAACTTGGCCATCTCCGAGCGTGGCATCACAGCTCTTCAGGGCTCCAATCGCCCCGGTCTCATCGATGAAGTGCTCCACAAGACCATCCCCATGTATGGCCGCATGATCCACGGCCGAGACAGCGGTGCTCTATGGGAGGCGGCTCAAGCCTATGACGTTCACGGTCGTGTATGCAATCCACCTGCAATTCCCTGCATTTTCCCCCGGGCCTGCATCATGCATATCATCATGATCACCCCTGCAGTTCATGTGTATCACCTTCAAGCTCACACAGCCGGCTAATCTGATTTCACAGGCCATCAATGCTTTGGATCGCAGCGCTCTTAACAATGCCCTGCTCGACGAGCTGGAGCGTACCCCCAATGTCAAGTTATTCTTTAACTATAAGCTGACCGGTGCCGACTTTCACACCAACAAGGCCTGGTTTGAACGCCGCATCCCCGGCGACACTCCTCAGCCCGATAATCTCGGCGTGGCTGGCCGAGTGCCTGAAATCGAGGTATCCTTCGATTATCTGCTCGGAGCTGATGGAGCCCATTCCGCCTCCCGTTTCCATATGATGAAATTTGCCCGCGTCGACTATCAGCAGGAGTATATCGACACGCTCTGGTGTGAATTCCGCATTCCTCCCTCACCAGAGGGAGATTTCCGCATCTCGCCAAATCATCTTCATATCTGGCCCGGCCAGGAGTTTATGTTTATCGCCTTACCGTCCGAGGACAAATCGTTCACCTGCACACTCTTTGCACCTTCTTCGCATTACGTTTCCCTGGAGAACGCAACCGAACAGCTTCACGAATTCTTCGACCTGCACTTCCCCGGCGTGTGCCCCGAGCTGATCACCCCCGAAGATTTGTCTGAGCAGTTCGCTATCAACCCGCATCTCCCGCTGATCAGCATCAAGTGCAACCCACACCACTTTAGCTCCGGCGTGGCGATCATCGGCGACGCCGCACACGCCGTTCTTCCCTTTTACGGCCAGGGTCTGAACGCCGGACTGGAAGACGTCCGCGTTCTCTTCGAACAGCTCGATCAGCACGGAGTCTATGACACGGATCTGAGCGTCTACACCCGTAGCGTGCGCCGCCAAGCAGCCTTCCAAGCATATACCAAACAACGATGCGACGACACTCACGCAATCAACGACCTCTCCAAACAAAACTACCTCGAAATGCGATGGGGCGTCAAATCCCCGCTGTACAAACTGCGCAAGTCTATCGAGGAAACCATCGACCGCCGTCTGCCGTTCTTGGGCTGGAAGACGCAGTATGCTCGTATCAGCTTTAGCAACCAGCGTTACTCGGAGGTAATTGCTGCCGTCCAGCAGCAGAGTCAGGTCCTTGGTCTTGGACTGAGTTCGGCGATTGCTGTGGGAGCTGGAGCTCTCGCGATACTCTTGTGGAAACACCCTCGGCTCGTGTCCCCAGTGTGGCTTTGGCGGACGTCGCTGAATTGGATCCGTTCTGCCTCTCGGCTGCTCTGGAGATGAGGATACCCTAAAAGCATGTATTGTTTTACCTGAGATGTGGTAGTTTTTTTTATCTCTTTGTCTCGAATCCAGCGTCTTTCTGTTGCATAATAGACTTTCAGCCTGCAAAATGAACGTTTGATTCTATATTTCACAATTCATGACAATTTCCACTTTATCTTTTCATTCTTGTTTAGGAGCAAACCCTTTCCATTCACGTCCGTTGCCAGAATTGAGTCACTTCACTTCATTCACTTCAACTGCAACTTTGCACAAACATACAAATGTCCAAGAGTCCTCTCTCTCCTTTTCTACCATCCCATTTCTTCCTCCTCATCTTCCTACTCATCTTCCCCTTCTCTCATTACCTTTCCGACCCCTCTTCCCAACCACAGTAAGACCCTAACACGCCAAGTTCACTTGTCACAATGGACTACCACGCGGTCTACGATCTGACTAGATCAAGCCCCGAGCCCCCAAACCAGCCTCAAACCAATATCGAACCTACCCTTCCCACGCCCTTCAAGATCAATCTGAAGGGCAAGCATGTTCGGACCCCCAACTACAAGTCGATGAAGAGCTATGCCCCAGCGGTTCAAATCCCCAGCACACCTCCCATCTCTCAACTCCACACGCAAGCCACATATCTCCTCCCAACTCCCGCCTCTGACCACACCGACCTCTCGAAGATTGGCCGCTGCGGAATCCTCAACCACCTCCGCCAACTGCGCCGCGCCCCCCTGCGTTCCCGAGTCACCTCTCGCGAAGAAAGTAGACATGGAATATCTCAATGGACAGTCAGGAGCATCGTCTCCAATTGACTTCTTCTCCAGCCTGAACAGCGGCTACGATGGCGACTGTGACGAAGAGGACTGCGACGAAGGGATCGATATCAAGGAACCCGTCGAATACAAACAACCCTCCGAGCAAGAGATGGTCAAAGTACTGAGATCTCTCAAGTCCATCAAAGCGGAAATGCGACGCCACACTTGTCTGCTTCGTCTTATGGCCCGACAGATGTATCGCCGGGTTGGATGGAAGCGTGTTCGAGTTGGCTCTCGAGTTCGCCGTCTCGCCAAACGAATCAGTACTTGAAGCTCTCCATTCGTAGCTGGAAATCTTCAAAGGTTGCTGTCTTGTGGATATGAGTAGAAAATCGAGAAGAGCTTGTCAGAAAGAATGGTTAAGATGGTATTGTCTCATATCTATGAATTTGCTGTTATTAAGTGCAGAGAAGATTCAAATGGGCGGAGTTTAAGTAGCACGATGCACCGAAGTTATCACTGACCGGCTAATGAGGGACGAGAATGGAAATCTACTAGTACAACTCAAAGGAACAGAAGCAGAAAAGTAATGAGAATCATAAATTCAAACCCCCCCCATTAATTTCAACGCCAACAGAGCTGGTATAATGAAGCTATCCCCCAGCCCATGCCATATCTAATCCCAGTATTTGATAACACCCTCCAACCCACCAGTAACAACCTTACTCGTCTCTTGAGGGTGCCAATCCAAGCAAGTAACAGCACCGCCTTCCTTCCCACCAGCCTGAATCTTATGATACATCTTGCCCGTCTTCCAATCCCAGAAGCATGCAAATCCAGCACTATCACCCGAAACAATGAACTGACCATCGGGCGAGATCTTCATATCAATACCGTAGCCCGAAGTGTTGTGCCCACGGAAGCTCTTCTTGCGATTCTGGCGGAACTTATCGGTAGCACCATACACGACAATCTGATTATCGCCAGACTGGAAAGCAACATATTTCCCATTGGGGTGGGGTGTCGCACGCGTGAGGGCAAACATATAAGGCTCGGCAATAAACTTGATCGGAACGGGGATACCGTATTCCCAGGCGCGCAGGGACTTGTCGTCGGATGTAGTGATGAAGCGACGATTGTCGTCGACAAAAGTAATAGTATTGACAGCTGCCAGATGGTGATCGTATTCCTGGACCAGCTCTCCGGACCGCGTATCGAACTGAACAATCTTCTTATCCGACATACCAGCCAGGAATTCGTGCGAGTGTTCAGCGCTCGGATTGAAGCGCACAACGTGCGGTGTCTTGCCCGTAGAAAACCGACCAATGCACTTTCCGTACTCCGTATCCCAGAGCTTGATATTGCGATCGAACGAACCGGTCAAGAAAGTCTTACCAGTAGGGTGGAAATCTGTATCGGTAATCGCCTTATTATGGCCCGAGAAAGTGCGCAGCAATTCACGCTGGTGATAAACATCCCAAATCTTAGCCTTGCCATCCGCAGCCGACGAAAGCAACAAGTGGCCAGAGTTGGGGAAGAAACGAAGGGAAGTGATAGGCTTGGTATGCGACTTCCAAGTATGAACCAATTTCTTGGGAACATAGTTCTTGACACTGCCAACCTCTTTGCGCAAATCGACATCCAGATCCTGGGGTACATGCATATAGGTCCGGCCCTGGTAATCGAACTGCTCGGAGCCGTGAAACTCGCTCGTTTCCGCCTTTGACGTATCGCCCTGGTAGTCGGTAGCTTCCTTGCTCATGGCCGGCATGGGCGCATCGGTAGCCAGAGTCTCGTCCTCCTCGACAAACTCCTCATCACTAGCCAAGACATGATCATCCCCGTCGCCAACCTCATACTGATCAAACTCCTGATCATTCTGATATTTCGCCCAGGGACCCAAGTACGCCCCGTCGCCTTCGACGACACTCGAATCGCCCTTCCGTTGACGCTTCGCGCGCCACAAGGCAGACTTTTCTTTCGTAGGCTTTATCTGCACGACATCACGACCGCCAAACTGCGCGACATTCTCCATATTCCCGACAAACTGATCCGGCTGGGTCGGATTGCGCGTATAGCCCAGACTCTGGAAGGTGCGGTGTTGGGCGGAGAAAGTCGACTCGCTGATGGCGGTCTCCTCGGCGAATCCGGTCGGGACATTCTTGCGCTTGATTCCGTTGCCTGGACCGGCGGGTTTGAAGGGGTTGATGGGGCCTGCGGCTGGTCGTGTCATATCATCGTAGGTGGCATTGTAGGTGAGGGCTTGTGACGAGGTGTTGGCTAGGGTCATTTGCATGTGTGCTTGATCCTGTCGGGTCGTTAGTCTTATCTGGTCATCATGATGGGGAGCTGAGCTCTTTTTCATAGGGAGAAATGAGGGAGGGAGACGTAGGAGACCGGGGGACCAAACCTCTGTATTCACTTCTGGCGCGGCCACGATTTTGGTGGCGGGTGTTGCTGAAGTGGAAGTCTTGGGTACGGAGTCATCGTCGCTTGAATCGTACCCGAGGCCTAATAAAGCTGACATGGTAAAGGTGTGAATGGCAGAACCCCGAGTTGAGGTCTGGGGAGGTTGAATTGGAGTTGGAGTTGGGTGGAATTTTACGTCAGGCGAAGCGGAAGCTTTCAAGGTTGCTCCACTTGAGACTTGGCCATGTCCGCAACTACAACTACAACTACAACAAGTATACTACGAACCATATTCCTTGAATGCTACTACTATTAGAGCTATTAGTGGGATCTAGTTAATTAGCGACTTGTCAATTATTCAAGTTACTGATTGCCTAGGTAGGTACCTAGGTACTCATGCTAAATCCCACCACTTGTTAGTGCTACTGCCTCTACAAATATGCCAGTGGGTATCGTACGCTCTTCATTGCCAAACTGCTTGGAGATATATACAACTCACAGGCTGAAAGACAGGATAGGATTAACAGAGAAATGGCAAAAAGAACTGGAACAAAAGAGCAAGATAACCAGACCAGAAGAGAAAAACATAAACCTCTCCGGCTAGCAACTGCCCTGCAACCTCCACTCCACCACATTAGACAAAAGGAGAGGGGGAAAAAAGAGAAAATATCATCATCCATCTATTACTCCACACAGCGCATGTCGAACCGAACCGAACCGAACCATCGGGGGCTCAATAACCGAAAGGATTCTCCCACATCATCCAGTGTCGCCTACCCACTCCGCCAGAGGCACTGGCCATACCGGTGTATATCACAGGGATGGCTGCTCGGAGTCCCATGGCGGAGTCGTAGTGAACGCGTATCAACCAAGGCACGGACAGTGCATTCAAAACAATAGTTTATATCCTCGGCGAACTGTGACATGACTGTAAAAGATACCACATGCCCTGCCGATATAGGAGGTCCTGGGGGCTAGTTGGCACGACCATTGCGCATCGCATGCTCGGTCTTGGTACGAAGTCAGTTGCCCTCGTCGCGGATGAGAGCCACAATCATGCTGTACAGGTAGAAGAAGAACATCAGGAGGTGGAAGCCCAGCTTGATGAACGATTCCTAGCAGGGGGATGTCCAGTTAGCGATATCCTATGCGGTAGCCTAGCAGCTCGGCAAAAACTCACCTTCTTGTGCACGTTCAGCTTGCGGAAAATCTCGGTCGCATCCAGCAGGTGCTGGTTGTCGTAGATCCTATAGACAGAGGCATTCCATGTTAGCATATCTGATGCGATGGTAGACCAGGGGAGGGAAATGACGCGTGCGAAACATGGTCGGGACGTACTTCTTCGCATTGAAGGCGAGGAGAGGCAAGTTCAGGACGATCGCAAGCCAGTAGCCGTTGATCACAAATAGGAAGGTCAGGAAAGCGTGGACAGCGGCTTCGGGGATGATGTAGGCGTTGAGGCGGTTGCAGAGGTCGATGGGGTTGATGTAGTCACTGTGCGGGGGGAGAATCAGAGATTAGCTGGCATTCCGTGATGAAGCATCCCCAGGCGACTGCCTGAGAGGTACATTGGAGAAATCAATTCGTTGTAGGAGGTACTCACCACTCGAGATCGCTGTACATGATAGTGAAGAACACCTGGAGGAAGAGGTTGACGGCGTTGATCAACACCGACAACAGATAGAGCCACGCTTCACCAGACATGATGGGCAGAGATGGGGTAGTATGCGCTAGCTAGAAGACTGGTAAGCAGAAGTCGCGATGTCGGTGGCGTAGGAGGATGACGGAGGAGGGTCGAAATGCCGCAGAGACGCAGGTGCACACCGGAATTGGAGATGAGATGGTTTTTGTGGGGTCCGCGGCCCAAAAGTCCCCAGGGAAGTCGGCGGAATCACAGAGACCCCCCGACAAGGTGACCAGGAGGGTGAGGGGAAGGGAAATGGCTCGACTCACAAATCAGAAGCTGCGTAATCTGCAGAATAACCCAAGGCGAGTGGGGAATAAGAGAAGCAGGGGAGGTACAGGAGGTGGATAGCTGCGAGGTGTTAGCGAAGTCTGAAGTCTGAACCGGGCGGTGGGCACTAGCGTGGTCTCCCCTCCCCCATTGGAAGTGGAAAGTGGGAATAGAAATGGAGGGGCTGGGGTTGGGGAGGGGAACCTCATCAGACTGGAGATCCACTGGGAGTAAACGTACCTATTGTGGGGAGAGATAATAAATGGAGTGTGTGTTGGAAGCCTTGAAGGGTAGATGTGGTGCAGGGTTGAAGTGAGGTTGGCCTGGACTGCGAAGCACCTGTGACGTCTTCACGTGCTGACCCAACACAGTAGAGTCACGGTATTTATATATACATATGTAGGTATACCCGACTATATTTTTACTACTAGTATTATACAAGGGAGCTACAAGTTACATAGGTTAACATATTAGGAGGTTTACAGAGTACTACCAAGATCTAGTAGATGAACAGATAGAATATGGTCTATGTACAGCACCTCGTCTCAAGAGCAAATTCCCGAATATAGTCAACGAGATACATTCAAAAAAATAAATATCACAGGACAGAGAAAAACAAAGTATCGATGAACACGCAGTCTATTCAACAGACCTAACGCTTCTCGACGAGCAGGAAGTGCATCGCTGCATATGCAATGATAATAAAGGCCCCGGAGAACACGGCCAGACCCGCAACATCGTACCAATAGGCCAAGGTGTCGAATCCAAAGGCACTCAGGATCGATGCACCAGGTACCTCGATGTCGAGACCATATTTGTGATCGATCAGGGTGAGGAAGGTGACCTCGTTGACAATGAGGGCTTCAAATCCATAGTGGAAGATCGAGAGCTAAATCCACGTTAGTTGAAATTCAGAAAGAAGAAAAATAGAGGTAAATAATGGCTTACACTTTGGAGCCACAAAGCAGAGCTAGGGATAGCATCGTGATTCAGAAGCAGACCGGCGAAAAGCAAGCTGAAGAGCATCACCAGACTGCCAACCAGATTGGCCACACCACCGTCGCGGATGATGATACCAATAAACAAACAGATATTAGCGGCCGCCAAGTTGAACAGGACCAAAACCAGCATGAAATGCAGGAACTCCGGCCAGGCAGCGATCAATCCCGTCATCGGATAAATGATCACGCCCATGATAATGGGCGGGATAAGTCGCAGAGGGACAATGTCAAACACAACCTTGGCGGCAAAGTAGGTCACTGGGTGATAGTACCCATTGGCACGTTCCCGGACAAATAAGAGTCGCTCGGATGAGAAGACCGTCAAACTAGTCAGAGTGCTGAAACCAAACAGTGCGAGGATGAAGAAGAATAGACCGAGGCGGTTTTGGAAACCCTTGATATCATCGGTTAGGCCATAGAAGAGGAAGCCTGATAGCACAGCCAAGAGGATGGCGATAGCGTAATGTGTGAGCATCAGCATCGGGTTGCGGTATAGGTTGCGCCATGTGCGTTGAGACAGAATAAGGAATTGCCGCGTCAAGCTGACACGAGCAAAGCCTTTCGGTTGCGATCCTGTCTCGCCAGCGAGATGGGAGTTAGTCGAGCCGTTGGCGGCTTGTGCGCTCCGAACCGCAGCAACAATCTCTTCATGAATCGATCGGGCCACATCCGAGTCAGCATAGCTGGCAACGAGGATGTCAAGATCCGATGTACCAGGAGCCGGTGGCGGAAGTTGGTCGGGGTCATCGAGGATTTGAGGAGGAACTTGGCCCTGTTTCTGGCGGGAAAGTCGCAGCCATTGCTGGGCATCAGAGGCTTCTAGGGTTGCATCTTCTTCATCGGTCTTGGGCGTGGTCGGGCGATCGTCTTTGCGTCGTGAGAACAGCTGGCGTTCCTGCTGCTGCTTCACTGAAATGCGTCGTTTGTGCTTCGGTCTCCGTGTCTGCTCCGCAGCGCTGCTAGAATTGTCTTCGAAACTGACGTTGGACACGCTGGCGACGGACTTGACCGCTCTCAAACTGCTTGAGGCTGTTTTGGGCGGACCTGCCTGCCCATCTAGTCGTTCGCTTTCGTCGATATACACTTCATAGGAACCATTAGAATGCGCACCACTGGCGTGCATGGTAAGATCCACCAGATAGTCGGCAATGTTGAAGCCAGCCGGGCAAGAGTATCCGACTTCGTCGAAATATTGTTGACATGAAGAGAAAAGACCCGAATAGACGGCGCGACCCTCGGCAAGAAGAATCAATCGGTCAAAAAGAGCGACGATGTTCGAGCGAGGTTGGTGAATAGTAAAGATGACAGTGCGGTTGTAGGTCTTAGCCAGAGTGACCAAGCATTCAACCACGTTGAAAGCGTTGAAAGCATCCTAGAGGGGATTTTGTTAGCTACGAGGCTTTCAACAAAATGATGGGGAATGCCATACCAATCCGCTAGTGGGCTCATCCAGAAAGAGAATGCTAGGGCTGGTGACCAGCTCACAAGCAATGCCAACACGGCGCTTCTCACCGCCAGAAATCCCACGGCCGTTGCCCTCTTCCGAGCCGATCATTTGGTCCTTGATGTGGGAAATACCAAGTTGTTTCTCGACTTCCAGGACTTTCTGTTCTTTCGCCGCCCGACTCATATCCCGCGGCAGTCTCAGAAGAGCGCTTGTAAGGATCGTTTCGTGAACAGTCAAGGTCGGTAGCATGGTGTCCTCTTGGTCAACGAATCCAGTCATGGTTTTGAAGTCACCATCGTCGATTTTCTCGCCGTTCACGTAAAAGTTGCCTGAAACGGCACCTCGCTTATTCTTCCGTGCCAGAATATCTAAGAACGAGGTCTTACCAGCTCCCGATGCTCCCATGATTGCAGTGATCTGCCCGGGAGTGCATGCACCCTGGATGCCAGAGAGAATCTCCTTACCGTTGAGGTGATACGACACATTGTCCCAGTAAAGCGCAGCCGGTCGGTGCTCGGCAAGTAGCCTTGCGGTCTCATCATCCGAATCATCGGACAGAGAGAGGCGAGTATAGTTGTGGCGTGCGGCACGGCGAGAAAGATACCAGACGATCAAGATCGCTGCCACAACGAAGAGTGCGCAGCCAGCGATCACGCCTGCAATGAGCGGAGTATTGATTGTCTTGACCGGACGCTCGTAGCCTGGAATGTTCGTCTTGTAAAGGCATTCTCCAGAGTCACAGGATAAGAAAATGCTGGGATCACCAAAGACGCCGCTGATCAGAGTGTTCATTTGGGGCTCCGAGAAGACGCTGCTGCTGCCATCTCGAGTAGCCTTGGTGGAAAAAGTCGCCGGACCCTTGATCAGTTGGGCTAAGAAATCCTTGAGATCGATGGATCCATTCTCGCCACACAGGAACCGGCCGGGGATACATTTGCACTCGACATTCTCACACCGATAGCTAGTCGTGTTGGAATCGACTTCACTCTTCAAGTTCCAGTCACAAGTATCCAGACCACAATAGAAAGACTCAACCTGATCGACCCAGAATTGGAAATTACAGGACTTATCATCGTCTTTGCACGAGAAGGTCACTTGCGGCTTCCGATCACCTAGCTGGTCGAGAATCTTCCGGTTGGTCACATCACACATCTGGAAGTTCTCCTTGGCAGTAACACCTTCTTTGTAGCAAACTCCATCCTTTCCTTCTGGCATCATGGCGTCACAGGCGTTATCGTTTTGGCAGACGTTGCAGTTGATACCACCCCAGCCATCCTTGCACTCGCAAGTATCACCTTCACGGATGGGTCGATTCGTACCATCGGATAGGGCACCACATTCTGGGGCTGCGCAATCATCACCACCGAAGCCCGATGGGCAGGTACATTTGCCGGTGAAGCTGTTGCATGGAGAGAAATGGGTGCAATCGTACTTGTCGAGCTGACAGTTGAAGCATGGAGGGCAGTTTGGGGGCCGATCATCAAGGATAGAGAAGGAGCTAGAGACAAAAGTCGTATCGGAGTAGTTCGAAGCTATCGCCGGGACGGATAAGGTGGTCAAAGCGATCAACGAGAGGAAGGATACGGATGACCGCATCTTGTGTAGGAGTGGCTGGCACCCAATTACCACGGCGGCGACCGGAGGAAGGGAGCGCAGATGAGTCGCCGGAGGAGGCTAGCGATAGTTCGACATCCAAAAGCAGATGATTATGGAGTATTGAGGATGTTGCGACAGGCGAGAGAAGGTGGAGGTAAGATGGAGATGAAGGAGAGGAGAAGGAGTGGAGGTGGAGATAGGCAGAGGTCCAAGGTTCCCCCGATGACGCGGGCGGAGGCGGTGCGGGTTGCTGCAGCTGCCAGGAACAGTTCTTGCTTTAGTGAATGTTGGTACTAACTAGTTAGTAGTAGGTTATTAGGTGTTTATTGGGTGTCTAAGTAGCTACTAGTAGCCACTGGTATCATTTTATTTACTGTGATTCTAGATATTCTCCTACTATTATTGTCCTCCTTCCACTGCTTTTACTCCTACTCTCACTCCTACTCCTACTCCTACTACTCTACACTTTCTGTACTCGCAGCTCCATGCGGGGATTCCACGTGACACGGCATCAACGCCGACAAGCCCAACGCTTCTAGAAGACTTGATTTTTTGACCAACACTCAAAAAGTCAGAGTTGATCACGGCAGGAGCTGCAATTGTTCAAAACGCTCTTGAATAATCAAAATCCATTGGTTTCTTGCATACTTATCCGCCATCATGGTCAAGCTTGAGGATTTTGCCGTTGAGCAGGTATCTCCCCGCATTCCTATTTCTTGCCCCTCCAGTGGCTATTTTCGGCATGCTGAAGGATCATAGTGGATGGACAAGTATGAAACTACGGCCAAGTTTAACACTGCGGAAACCTGTTGTGCCTCAGTCTCGGTTGACGACCTCCGCGCTCTGTCCGAGGATAAGGAGTCAGACCCATTGGGCAAGCTCCAATCCACCAAGCTCACCTACGGCGCCATCCGAGGCTCAGATCAATTGAGAGAAACACTCTCCAATCTCTACTCGGCCAAAACAGCAGCACGTTTACCCAAAGATAATGTTTTGATCACGGCGGGCGCGATCCAAGCCAACTTTCTCGTTCTGTACAGCCTGGTAGGCCCGGGAGATCATGTCATCTGTCACTACCCGACATATCAGCAACTCTATTCAGTGCCTGAGTCGCTCGGCGCGGAAGTTAGTCTTTGGAAGTCCAAAGAGGCCGATGGGTGGCAACTCGACCTCGAGGAGCTGAAAGCGATGATCAAGCCCAACACCAAAATGATCATTATCAAGTAGGTGTTGACCAAACAACGAAAAGACCACTTGTAGTGAATAGAGCTGACCGAATCAACCTCAGCAACCCTCAGAACCCAACCGGAGCCATTATTCCCCATGACACTCTAAAAGGTCTAGTCAATATCGCCCGTGAATCCTCCATCATCATATTCTCTGATGAGGTATATCGCCCTCTCTTCCACAACATCAGTCCCATGGATCCGCAATTCCCGCCATCTCTTCTATCGTTTTGCTATGAACACAGCATTGCAACCGGGTCGGTCTCCAAGGCATACAGCCTTGCGGGGCTTCGAGTGGGATGGATTGCCTCTCGAAGCAGCTCACTGATTGAGAAATGTGCCAATTCCCGTGATTATACCACAATCTCAGTCGGACAGATCGGCGATGCGGTTGCCAGCTTTGCACTCGCCCCCGAATGCATCCACAACCTCCTCAGACGTAACATCGAACTTGCCCGGACCAATCTCGCCATTCTAGAGAAGTTCATCGACTCTCACCGATGGGCGTGTGACTGGACCAAGCCTAAGGCGGGAACGACCGCATTTGTCCGGTTCACGAAGATGGGGAAGCCCATTAATGACGTCGCCTTCTGTGAGACCTTGCAGGAAAAGAGCGGCGTGATGTTTGTGCCGGGTAGTCTTTGCTTTGGCGGAGGTGAGGATTTCCAGGGGTATGTTCGCATTGGATACGCGTGTGAGACAGAGGTACTGGAGAAGGGGTTGGAGGCACTCCGAATCTTCATGGAGGATGAATATGAGAACGTACCATCGATGAAGAAGGTGAAGTCAGCGCAATAGCATGATCCATGGATCGCAAAGGAAAAAAAGCCTATCAACTCAAGTTGGGGGTATACGGATGTTTCGCATTTGAGAGATGTTTAACCCGCCTAGGGGATGTGTAGTACTATTCTCCTTCACACTGGGTAGCTAGAATATAGCTACCCACTGCCCGAGCGGATCCGGCATGAGAGAAATATAGTGTTATATCCAAAGATAGATTTTCCAAATAACCTAGCCTCTCTCGCCTATCTGCAAATCAACGAAATGCATTCCTCATTAGGTAGTAGTAGTACAGTACCTCAGGGTGGCGCGGAGTCCACGGAGCAACACAAGGCCGAGCCTCGGCATCTTCAAGTTTCACCTGCTCCACCAAGTTCCACTCTCTGCCACTCTTTCCAAGCTCCACACTTCCATCATCTCACCCCCAGGGCTGAGCATCTCATCTCCTCATCATTCATTGCCCATTTCCCATTGCTCATTCCGAGTCTCCTCCCTTATTTACTCCTTGACTAGCCATGGTCCCCTTGTCCTCTTAAGCACGACCGATCTGCCATACGCGAAAACAACCCCGCATTGCAACTATGCCTTTGTCTGGTAAGCACATCTGTCCATTGCCAAGGCGACTGTAACCACTCATGGATAACCATTGCTAATCACCTCCGCTGTCTGCTTAGATCTCCCTCTGAAGATCGCCCTACCCGCCGCTGCGGCTGCGGCTGCCTATCTGAATGCACGATGGGCCCTCTCCCACGACATTGGCCTGATCACCTCGGGATTAAAGATGGCCTTGAAAGCCCGCGTCGCCGAACGTGGCGACCGTTTGAACCTCTTCTATAACCTCGAGGCCCAAGCGCTCTCTCCCGCGACCGCAGACAATGACTTCATTGTATACAACGGCCGCACCTGGTCCTTCCGGGAGACCTACCTGATGGCCTTGCGCTACGGAGCCTGGTTCAAGAATGTACGCGGTGTTCGCCAGAAGGATATTGTCGCCATCGACTTCATGAACTCCTCCACCTTCATCTTTATGACCCTAGGTCTATGGAGCATCGGCGCCATCCCCGCTTTCATCAACTACAACTTGACCGGCAAACCCTTGACCCACTCAGTGCGTACCTCGAGTGCAAAGCTCCTGATCGTCGACGAGGAAGTCCGCAACTGTTTCCCGCCAGAGCAGCTGAAAACATTCGCTTCCGAGAGCTTTCGCGATGGGAAAGGCCCGGTCGAAGTCGTCTTCCATACATCTGACATTGAAGCCGAGGTTCTAGCAATGGAGCCAGCACGCGAAGAGGATAAGGTCCGTGGTGGACAGGCGGCCCGCGACATGGCTTTATTGATCTATACAAGTGGAACCACAGGCCTTCCCAAGCCAGCTATCGTGTGCTGGAAAAAGTGCTGGGCAGCCTCCTTGTTCGTAGGCGATTGGATGAAAGTTGGCCCCTCGGATCGTTTCTTCACGGTAAGACTTGACCATCTCTCTAACCCAAAGACTTCTCGCTGACGCAAGCAGTGTATGCCGTTATACCATTCCTCCGCTTACATTATGGGCTTCGTCACCTGTCTGTTTAACGGGGCGACCCTTGTGATTGGTCGCAAGTTCTCCGCGCGTACCTTCATGAAGGAAGCTCGCGAGAACGACGCAACAATCATCCAGTACGTGGGCGAGACGCTTCGTTACATCATGGCTGTACCACCCGAGACCGACGCGACCACTGGGGAAGACTTGGACAAGAAGCATAACATCCGAGTCGCCTTCGGCAACGGTCTACGCCCCGATATCTGGAATCGCTTCAAGGAACGCTTCAACATCCCCACCATTTGTGAATTCTACGCAGCTACTGAGGGCACATCCGGATCTTGGAACCAATCCTCGAACGATTTCTCAGCCGGCGCGATCGGTCGTAATGGTGTACTAGGCAACTTCATTCTTGGCCGTGGATCAGCTATTGTGGACGTCGACCACGAGACCCAGGAGCCGTGGCGCGATCCGAAGACAGGCCTCTGCAAGAAGGTGCCCCGAGGCGATCCTGGCGAGCTGCTCTTCGTCATCGATGCGAACGACCCCAAAGCCAATTTCCAAGGCTATTTCCAGAACAACCAAGCGACCGAGAGCAAGATTATTCGCGATGTCCTGAAGAAGGGCGACGCATACTTTCGCACTGGCGACATGGTGCGTTGGGACAAAGATGGTCGTTGGTTCTTTTCCGACCGACTCGGCGATACATATCGCTGGAAGAGCGAGAATGTGTCTACAAACGAGGTTGGGGAGGTCCTTGGCTCACACGCAGAGGTTCATGAAGCCAACGTGTACGGCGTGACTCTACCTAACCACGATGGTCGTGCTGGATGTGCCGCCATTGTCTTCAACCAGCAGGTGGCCAGCGGTACCTCGGGTCCTGCATTGGAGCCATCTCGAGCCATCCTGGACAGCTTGGCGGCTCACACCCTTCAGAATCTGCCGCGGTTTGCGGCGCCTCTGTTCCTTCGCGTCACGACTGAGATGCAGTCTACTGGTAACAACAAGCAACAGAAACATGTACTACGCAGCGAGGGCATTGATCCCTCGTTGGTCTCGAAGAATGACCGGCTCTACTGGTTGCAGGGAAACACTTATGTTCCTTTTGAGCCGAAGGATTGGGCCCGTTTAACCGGTGGTCAAGTTCGACTGTAACTACAAACCATGTGGAGCTGTTGTATTCTCTGTTCTCATTGTCCTGCCCTGCCCTGCCCTGCCCTGCCCTGCCCCGTACATGATACCCCCACTGTCCTTGAGTGTCCCGATTGAGATAAGCTTGTTTGTTATATTAAGAAGGTTCATATCGATACTACTAGTTAGATGTGAATAAACCGTTCTATTGTCATTTTCCAACTCCGACTCATCTCTTCTGTGGTCTGCTCGTCCAATAGATGACATCACTTCCGGCCTGAGGCCTATCAAGTCCCAAAACGGTAATCGACCAGAAAATAAGATTTGAAAGAATAAGAAACGATGAACAGAATCTCCAAAGACCAAAAGACCAAAGCAAATCAAAACAACCGAAATAAGGCACCTAGAAAGCTTTCAAACCCTTACAAATGCTCGGATCTGAACTAATTTTCGCCAAGGTATTGTTAACTTACCAGCGTGGCTCACTGGTTCGATCCAACACCCTGACCGTGACAACATGACGGCGTCTTCGAGAAAACAGTTTCGAAACCGGCAAAAGCCGTGCACCGGGTTACAGAGGCGTGCGCTTTCCCCCTCCAACGATTCAAACTAGGCTACGTTTGTTAAAGGGCGCCCTCGGGCCTGTAAGAGATGAACCCTCCCCAGAGAGCACCTACGCGCCGGACCTTCATCATTAAAGGCCTAGCCTTCCGAGCCGGAATCTTTTTCTTTTTTCTTTTTGCTCATCTGGCTTTCTTGCGATGTTCTTTTTGATGGGGGTTGATTTGCTTTGACCTGTTTGTTTCGATCTCTCCGTCGGGCGTCTGGTTCGGATATTGTTGATTTACTCCACACCCCCGCACTGTCTCCACATGAGCTTATTTGTTTATGTTCAGAATATCTACCCAGAGTTGATAACTGGAACTTGTGTGTATTTGCTGACGTATATTTAATAATTGCAGCAATAGAAATAACTCTCTGACCCTGAACTCTGATCTGCGTAGAATATAACCTCGAGAGTATCCCATCTTTGAAATCAAGAGTTTCTGATGAAGCATGGTGGGTGATGCTACTATATACAAGGGAGGATGGATGGGGATAGTCGGGGATGGATGAGAGGACGGATTGCAGCCTGAGGACGAAATATGGGGAATGAAGTCATACTCGCAGCACCACCACATGCCAACGATACCCAAGACCAACAGCTAGATACCGCTGTCAGTTATCTTTCAGATCCAGAACATACTCGTCAACCTATGGGCAGTAGGAGCGAAAAAGATCCTGACATATGACGGCATACATGCTCTAATTGCACTTTATTCTTCTTTGCCATAATCAGAGAGCGTTATACAAACAAGCGATCAGAAAGGCCGCCAGCCTTTGAAGTGAGGCCGTAGGTTCTATAACTGCCATAAGGAAATTTTATTGATACTTTGGCGTGATGGGTGTGATGGACGTGAAGCAAAATAAAGCAAGGGAGGGAATCCTCACCCACTGGTTATGAAATGCATGTATTTCTGTGCCACTGCCCGCCTTCTGCAAGCCATCAAAGCTATAGCAGAAATTAGAGAGAATATAAGCATGAAAGAGAGAAAGGCAAAGTATTCAAAGCATCCCGAAACTTTCTGGGCCCTGTACAAGTTTGGACACAAACTATTATTACCTATTTTAGAGAGCTTGAAAACACAAATAATCAGGATTGGGAAGTAGTCACTTAGTTAGTTGGTGCTAGTATGCTAGTTGTAGTAGTACTCAGTAGAGTTGATGAGCATTACATGACCCACTATCTTCAAGTTGCCAGTATCTTCGCAGTATCCTAATTAGCGATATAACTACTCCGCAATCCTACCAAGTAAAGTCAAGCAAATATTTCACGTGGAATAGTATCGGTCTTGGATCTACAATGTTTGATACCTAAAACAATGGAGCTAGGGCACTCTAGCTGATACGTGCTCGTGGGGCTGCAGATCCGCATGAACTCCTCATGAAGCAGGGTTGTGTGGCGCGGCTGAGAAAGCTATTCTCGCTTCCTTAAACCTTGGAATCAGAAGACACACAGATAGTTAATAGCTGACGATCGTATAGACATTCACCGCTAGTTGGCCATGAAACCTCCATCCACATCTGCTTTGGCCTGGCAACGTACTTCGTAGATGAACCTAATTTGACAATAAATCTGTAGCCCAAATATTTGCTCATGCTAAACCTGAAATTATTTCCAGGTGAGTCTGCATTGGACTCCACTTTCTGCACTCGTGCGGAGTAGAAAGTTTACGATGCAGATGTGGTGAGTTCGTTTGCAGAAGGGAAAATTAGATCTATCAGATCGACGATCCCGCGATAATCGAGCCCCACTAATTATTGATGAATGGCAAAACCTATTCATTCTGATTGCTCTAGTATTCCGCTAGAGCTACATGCTGTACAACTCGAGATGCAGATAGCTTCCAAGGCTTACAGATCTTATGCAAGCGACCCCTTTACACGTGCCACCGCGACTCGTGCAACATATGCATCGTGAAGCCATCACACCTGGGCAGGTGCGGGGATTGATCAATTTGGAAATAGTTATAAATTCTCAGTGCCAGTGGTTCTTGATTTCAAACCTTGGAACCATTATCATTTTAACTCAACTTGACTTTTAAAATGGGACTTTATCAGGTTGAGCGAACGCCGCTACGGATTCTCGATTCCGTAGCAGTGAATGACCCCGAGACACTCTACTGTATCCAACCAGTATCGTCCGATATTTCAGAAGGATGGGTGAATATTGATTTTGAGAAACTTGTCAATGCGATCAACCGCACGGCGTTGTGGATTCGAGAAAATGTCGCATCTTCAAATGAACCAGAGACTATTGCCTACGTTGGAGCAAATGACATCCGTTATACCGCATTCATCTTTGCTTGTATGCGACTAAGACACACTGTAAGAATATGAACGTATCACCGTGCGAGGATTGCATACTTATCAGACACTAGGCCCTCCTTCTTTCAACAAGGAACTCGGAGCAGGCATCGCGACATGTCCTAGCAGCCACGAATTCTTCCAAGGTTGTATACAGCTCGGAGAAAGCGCGTCAGATCGAGGAATTGAAAACAGCGGATCCATCCTTGATAGCTGTCAAAATACCAGAATTGTGGGAGCTATTCGATCGCGACGGAAACACTCCCTCCCCTGGCATCAAGGAGCCCCTTGAGGATGACGAGGATCGTGTGGCAATCTACATCCACAGCTCAGGAACAACAGGTAAGAGTCACGCTGCATTGAAAGTTGAGGCAAAAAACTAATTACTCTCTACAGGAATGCCCAAACCAGTCCCGATGACAAATGGCTACCTCCAGACAATTGAAATGATTGGTTCGTTACCAGTTCCGGAGGGCCGGCGGGCTAGTTTTGCACCTGTTGCAGGCAAGGGAAAGTTACACTTTTTTATGAGCCCTTTCTTTCATCTGATGGGAATTATCGGCATGATGATACCTATTTCGCATCTCACCCCATTCGTTCTTGGCCCAGAGAGGCCTTTAACGGATGAAATGCTTGATCAAATTCTCAGGGAGACTGAACCCAAGATAACTATCATGGGGTCATCTATTCTAGATGACATGAGCAAGTCAGACCTCGGATTGAACTGCTTAGCCAAGTTTGAATATGTCAGTTATGGAGGCTCGCCATTGGCTTCAGAAGTCGGAAACCGTATCGCAGAAGTCGTGCGGCTCCAGTCGGTACTGGGAACAAGCGAATGCTCTATTTTCCCGAGCCTTATATCCGAAGACAAGAAAGACTGGAATTATCTCGAGTTCAACCCCCATTATGGCTCGGAAATGCAGGATGTCGGCGATGGACTTTACGAGCTCGTTGTTCAGCGAGGTCAAGATCGCAAGAGCAAAGCAGTCTTCCATACATTCCCGGACAAGACTGAGTACCGCACTGGCGATCTATTCTCCGCTCACCCAACAAGAGATGGACTGTGGCTCTATGCTGGTCGCCAGGATGACCTCATCGTTCTGAGCAACGGAGAAAAGTTCAATCCCACTGCAACCGAAGAGACAATTTCAAGTCATCCACTCGTGAACCTTGCTTTGGTAGTTGGGCAAGGGCATTTCCAAGCTGCTGCAATTTTAGAGCCAAACTGGTCACTTTGGAATGGAGAGCCAAGTTCCCTGATTGATGAGATCTGGCCTTTGGTTAAAAAAGCGAATGAAGCCGCTCCCGGTTATGCTCAGCTTATGAGAGAGCGTATCACCATTTCGTCTCAATCAAAGCCATTCCAGCTTACTCCAAAGAATACCATCAAGCGACGTGCTACAGTAAGTGACTATGCAGAGGAGATCGAAGCTCTTTATGAGACTGGAGATCAAATAAACGTCGATCAACTCGCAAAAGACACTCCTCGCACGGATGTTGCGGCATTCATAACACAGGTTTTGTCGGACATTTTGGAGGGGCAGGTAGCTGATGAAAATGCCGACATTTTTGCTTTAGGAGTTGACTCCCTTCAAACACTCCGTCTAGGTCAAATCCTTCAGGCTTCTTTGCAATCCACACGTCCGGACTTGAAAGCGGCCTTTGGTAACTCGCAACTTTACTCTCGTCCAACCATCGTGCAGCTCACCGATTACGTATATGATCTTCTCCAAGGAAATGACTCTGGATCCACGGAAGAAGTTGTGGAAAGTGATGAGGACCGCGAGGCTAGGATCGCTGAGCTTGTCGGGAAATATTCGGGCGACGTTGGCGTAGGTCACGCTGTTATTCTCACAGGCTCCACAGGTTCACTCGGCGCCTATCTTCTGCACGAGCTTCTTCGAGATCTCAGCGTGTCGAAGATCTACTGCCTTAATCGGTCTGATGATGCCGCCCCAAGACAACTGCAAAGCCTCCGTGAAAAGGGCCTTGTGGGTTTCAACAAGTTCCCACGACGAGTAGAATTCCTCCAAGCACGTTTTGGCGATGAAAGGCTCGGACTGGATGAAACGAAATATGACGAGCTTTTGGAAAATGTCGATACAATCATCCATAACGCTTGGAAAGTGAACTTCAATCACAGAGTTGAGGCCTTCGAGCAACCTCATATTGAGGGCGTTCGTCGACTGGTTGATTTCAGCCTTTCCAGCGAACGAAATGCCCATATCCACTTCATCTCATCAATTTCGACTATCGAGGGCTATAGCCAAGGCCCATCAATTCCTGAAATTATTTTCAATGACCCTAGCTCTGTTCTTCGCCAGGGATACGGCGAGTCAAAGCACGTTTCCGAGCGGATCTGCGCGACAGCTTCGGCAAAATGCGGTGTCCCGACTAGCATTCATCGAGTTGGTCAGATTGGAGGTCCGACAACAGAAAAGGGGATGTGGAATAAACAGGAATGGGTGCCATCCTTGGTCGCGTCCTCGAAGACGATTAAGCAAATTCCGAACTCGCTTGGATCAGTCTCCGTACAATGGGTCCCGGTGGTATGTCACTATGCTGCCAATTTGCCATTTCAACTTAACTATAACTAACATATCATGATCTAGGATGTCACAGCCAAGGTCATCACGGATATTGTTCGTACACGACGCATTACTCAGGAGGAGGAGCTATGTGCTGCCTTCCATATTGTCAACCCCAGGACCGCAGCTTGGGAATCCCTGATTCCTGCTGTCACAAAGTACTTCGACGTCGAGCTGGTTGATGTTCACACATGGGTTAAGACCCTCGAAGGCTTTACGAGCCCTACTGAGAACGATCTCAAAGACAAGCCCGCTCTCAAGATTCTAGACTTTTTCAAGGCAATTACATACAGTGATGAAGCTGGGCCATGGACTGAGACATCCAAAACGCAGATTGCAAGTAAGACCCTGAGAGATTTGAAGGAGATCGATGCTAGCCTATTCGAGAAGTGGATGAATCAGTGGGACTTCTAAAGGATATTCTTGAGGGATATTCTCAATACTAGTATTTAAATCTGAAGGTTTAGAGGGCGAATTTCATATCTCTACTAGTAGCTCCGAAATACTTCCAAGGCTAGATTACCTGCTCCGAATGCGGCACTGGATACATTATTTAGGGGGGTAGTTCTCTAGTCAGGATATGCCCCATTATATTCATCTCGGCATAGATGCATATTCTGGCTTTGAGTAGGTACATACTAGCACTAGTACGTACTCAGATAGCTACCAGTGGTAAGAAAGTAGAAACGGATGGGTTATCATGGCCTCCAACTCTAGACACACTGAAAGTTCGAATCGGAGAACTCGAAGAGGCACCGCTATGGCCGTGGGGACCAGGGCGGCGGATGAGCTGTGTTCAAATTTGTATAGAGAGCACTAGTAAAGTTGGGACGCGGGTGTGAGGGTTCCTTTTTTTGTCTGTTCAAATACCTCTAGTATCATGTATCCCTGGCATTTCTTTCGTATTCTCTTCTCGTGTGCTCTAAATGTTGCTGCTAGGACAGATCCAGTTGATTTTAAAACTATTGACTTTCTTAAACGGTAAATTGAACTTGGCTTGCGTGAATTCCAGCAGGCTGCTAGGTTTATTCTTGACATAGAAAGGTAGGATAATTCAAACTTTGGCCTGTTTACTAAGAATGCGAATTTCATATCGACGTGGACTATCGGGATATCTACTAGGTGTTTATAGGAATGAATATAACGCTCTAAGATGGTGTTGAACACACCACTCCACGGTAACGGTACCATTTTTAGTCCCAAACTAACTGGTGGTCAATGACTCAATTTGATACACATTCTTCATCATATTATAACTTAACAGTGCAAACAAGAGCAATAATTCCTAGGTAGTCTTTGATTATCCAACAGGCCCATTCTCAAACGTCTCATTCATCAAACGGGCACTATTTAGCTATTTTTTAAGCCTAGTGTAACGACTCTGATGCTTTGAAGGATAGCAGTAGTATTGAAGGTATTAAGCTGAGAGAGAGAAGAAGGAGAGAAGCTCCCATCGCAACTATATTCCTCACATATATTGCAACCACTAGATGTCGGCTGTTGTGGAGTATTGAAGCACTTCTATGGCCAGGCATTGCAAGATCTTGCCCGCGTGGGCTCGACGATCTTTGATCGTATCCTGACCTAAAGAGTAGGCTGCGTTCAAGCCATCGGAAAAGAATCATGCATGCCCTGCCGTGGTAAAATTTAATTTACCGAAATTGAATTAATAGTACAGCTGGCCCCATGACTGTTATTAACCCTATACAGATTAGACGGTACATACTACCTCAGTGATGAAATTCCTTTCTGCGCCTAAGCTCAGGACAATACTTGGAAGATGAGTCCCCTCTGTCACAAATTAATTGCTTGCAAGGATCCCCTGATTTTGCCTGGTTTCCAAAGCACAGTTTCCTGTTTTTGGCCGATGGTGTATCCACTCAGGGCAATAATGCCCTGGGGTACGAATAAATTTCTAGACGATTGATATTGAGCAAATTCCAATCTAGATGGACGCTGAGGAAGAAAGTCAAATATGGACGTGTTGTCCTCTTCTGAGTCGCTGAAGACTGCTCCATTTTCAAGAGTATAGGAGTTAATAATATCAATCGGTGCATCACTTAGAGTTTCTGTTGCCTTAAAGAGAGTCGGCAGATTGTTTCGACAAAGAGAAATCACTTAACCCTTGCTGTCAGAGAGTCCGTCAGAATCTCCAAGACAAGGATCTCCGCTTTCAAGACATTCATTATCACAAAGAAAGCCGGGCGTTCCGGTCGGAGGGCAATGGAAAGGTTTGATCTACCTAGAAAGTGATTATAAAGAGCCATGTTGTGAAACTAGAGAAATGGGCTTTATGTCAGTCACAGAAAGATTTACCCTTTTTGGAGAGATTAGATACAAAAAGCAGGATTCTAATTTGTAAACTTTAATATACATTATGGGGTTGGGTAGTCTCTGACTTGCTGGAAACATTTTGAAGTCGTGGGTGTTGAATACTGTTACACAACAGAAATTTCCACTCTCAGTGATGAACTGGCAGACTTTGTTAAAACTGTGTGGTTCGATTTCGTCCAAACCTTTACTGTTCAGCCACATTAGCATTCTGCCATCTTAATTGGAACGGTTGTCCTGCCGACAGATCCTTTGAACGGTTATTGGTGAACGGTCCAAGAAATGATATAGAGGAATCAATGCGATGTAGCAGCTACGTAATATTGCTGATGCATATGAATTTATTCGAAGTGCCGCAATCGATTGTACCACCTCAACTAATCACATGGACAACTGTATATGTTATTCTCAGCATATGGGAATGAGCTGGCAAGACTATTTAACGTGACCAATTACCCGCACTATGACCTTCAAGTATTTCATGTGTTCTGGCAAGGCTATATTACGATATCTCCTGCTGTCGATGCTCCAGAAGCCTCCCTACATTTAATCGAAATGACGGATTGCAATGAAACATTTCAACACAATATTGGTTACAAATTCAAATCACCTATCCTCATGCAGGAGGCACTACGTGCAAGTAATATGTCAGAGGGTAGCATAGACCTGACAGGAAACAAGCGTCTTGCCCTTGTTGGCGATTCCGTCTTATCGGTCATGCTTCTTAATCGATGGTATGGAAAAGGCGGAAGTACTGGTAAGTTCTTCTCCTTTCAATCATCCTAGATTACTAATTGAAGTAGAAGAGGGAGATTTAATATTGCAAAAACACGCTTGTAACAAAATTTTGGACGCTAAGGGCCAGGAATGGTCTTTGGACAAGTTCATCACCACCCATCCTGCTCAAAAAGGTGAAGTCTCGAAGGGTGTTCGTGCAAGTACGGTTGAAGCTATCATAGGCGCTGTGTGGCTTGACTCCTTCAAAAATGCGGCTGAAGTTGATCGTGTTATCGATATATTGGGACTTTATGACGATTAACTTAAAAGTACCATGGGTCGGAATCGCGTCCTTGAAATCTGCTCAAAAAATTGAAAGAAAATCTGTTATCGTAAAGCTGAAATTCTGGCTCCTTGGGCTCGCGTTTCGTGTAAGTAAGAATCCCATATTTTGGGCTTTCCTTCGTACCGTTGCACGGTTCTACAGCGTACGGAAATATTGTTCCCAATATCACCAGAGTCGCACAAATCACGCCGTCGGGTGTGCTACTTCCAAGTTGGTTCATACTGATGAGTAATATTACTATAATAATATTACATCATAACGCTAAGTGACGGTAAATCGAACGCCCGAAACGGCAACACTCGACGCCAGTTTAAGCGTTCATTTTACCAGAATCTTAGTCATATTTGGATCACGTAATCTTACCCAAGCGTTCTTATCGCTTGGTCCGGAAAGGCTGCCTGAGCCGTCCCTGAGTGCTCCCTGAGTACTCCTTGAGCCCTCCCGGGACCCTCATAGCTACTCAGGGATCAACTCCACCGTACTCAGGGCACTCTGGATAGACGATCAGTCACATCATCAGCATCTCTGTGATTAATTTTGCAATTTCTTCAACCCAAAAATTGATTATACTTACGATTCTCTCGAATTGCTTCCTTCAACAATCCCTTAGAACTAAAATCCCCAGCGGTTCTTTCAATTATTTATTAAAAAACTCTATAGAAAGAAACCAACTACTAACAATTCCCTCCTTTGATACCTTCAATGGCCACCTATATTCTTTCTTCAGCGTCCCCTCCAACGATCCTTTTCTAGTTAATTTCCAAGGAATTCTTGAGTTGTGTGCCCCGGCATTAGTTTGATTAATTCTCCAAGTCATCTTTAATCTTAATTTCTTCAATGACTACCTAAGATACTAACCCACAATGGTCCCAATAATAATCTTCTTAATGACGGTTTAGAAACATCATCTCAGCGACTGCCTTTGAAGTAATTTTCGAATTCAGTTATATCTTCGCACTCTTGCGACTTCTTTGCCGGAAAATAGTTCCGACGTGCGCTAATAAAGTCCAGGCTACGGCTTTGTAATACTGGCAGAAAGCTGGCTGTAATATCTGTGACTAGTTAGTTAGCTGTAAACACCGGATGAGTCATTGTTTCAACACTGTACATAACGTAACGCTCCTTGGCTCCTTAATCGATAGCATAATTATTGACCTGACTTACTCTCTTCCTTTACCTCGTCTTTTCGGTTGAAAGCTCTGCAGTGAGGTCATAGGTATAGCAAAAAGCCTGAAAGTTACCAAACTTTCTCCCATTGACATACTAGCTATTGCACTACCTGTTTCTCTCCATGCCAGAGCAGAAGAATGTTTGATGCTTTTGTCACTTTGACAATAACCAGCTAGTCAGAACAACAGGGATGAGGTATAATTGACTAAGTGCCTCTGCTGTGTAGCTTCCGCTATATTGAGCGACCAACCAACCATCCAGAGTCATGACGATGGTTCCAGCGACAAGTCAGATTCGAACAGACTTGCGTTTGCCGAGAGCTAGTAGTGCCAGGATACTAACACCAGATCCAATATTTCTGGACGAGTAAGTGCGGACAAGAGGAAGGCTAGCAGAAGCAGTGGATTCGATTTTTATGCCAAAAGTGGCGGCATATTTCAATGGGCCGGCGAAGAGTGCATTGATGCCTACTGAGGTACCTAGAGCAGCAATAGCAGTCGGTGCTGTAAGCCTTGGTATACATGATGTATATTCTCTGGTCAGAATATGAGACGAGTAGGCCACGACAAAAACCGTTCAATGCTAACTCTCTGTCTTAAAATGATGTCTGGTGGCCCAGGGTTTAATTTCAACAGCCAACCAGACCTGGTTGCGAGCAACGCAGCTGCTATTGCCCAGGAAGTAGGATGTGGCATTCGAAAATATATGGAGTCACTGGATTGCCTTCGAGGTGTTTCATTTGAACAGCTAATCAACTTATCGGTTGCTGCATTTCGTGCAGCCCGCCCGCCTTTCGGTGAAACATATTTTACCCGACAATTGACATGGTTTCATTCTAGACAGCCTCTCGCAATTGACGCATGCAGGAAATTTTACCAAGGGAATACCCTTAATATCTTCCTGGGTCACAGATTATGGTGCTTGGTACGTGATGCCGACCACTACGACAGACGAAGAAGTTCTTGGGAGTTTCGGACTGTGGTTGCACAAGCTTTCAGAACCCACGAGAGAGAAGCTCCTACATCTGTATCCTCTGGAGGACTGCGAGCACATGATAATTCAGAGCACATGGGACATATCTCACCACAGTACCACCGAGCTGCACAGCTGAACCGTGACATCTGGTTCACTTGCCCCTTTCTTGACTTTACATGGCTGTACGTCCAGAAATGGAGGTGTGGATGCGTCCCAGGTGCGGCTATATGAATTCAATGAGACCAGAAACACGCCAGTCTTTGATATCATGGGCGTGTCAATATGGGGTGTAGCTCATCTCAGCGATATCCCCTATCTATTCTATGATGATCACCTTGGAGCCGGTATTGCGATAGCGCGATAGAATTCGACATGAGATAGCTGTAAAACCACATAACGCCTATCGACACCTAAAAAGACAAATAACCTTTCTTCATATTCATAGAATACTACTACAGCGACCCACTCCCTAATCTAGTTACTAGAGGAAGCTAAAAAAAACCTGACTCCCGGTAGATACTGATCACATTACCAACCAGCTTCCACTGAGCCCTGTTTCAGGAAGTAGACCCTGATATATGTAACAGATTAATTAAACTTAGAATATTATCAATATAAAATCCGATGTATTCAGAAATCTCTATAAGAACAATTGCTGATTACTAGCTCTTCCTCACAGATTGGTCAAGTGCCCATGCAAAATATTCCACGTTGTGGTCATTCAATCCAGCGACAGACAGCCTCGAGGTCTCCACCATGTATACATGGAAATTTTCTATTTATTCAATTAGATTCAATGAGTGCATACTATTGTTTGGGGTATATACTGGCCTTCGAGATATTTGACTCGGGTCTTGCTAACGCCAAGATAGGCAAACATCCCCGTTTGCCGAACAATGTGAGACCAGTCACCCGGTGTTTGAAGACGCTGTAGCTTCTCATACAGTCGTTTGCGCATTTTACGAATACGACTTGACATCACGACAAGGTCTTCTGCCCATTGCTCCCGAATCGAAGGTGTGCCCAGAATGGCCGCAGCCACACGAGCCCCGTATGCTGGAGGAGCCGTAATTGTAGCCCGCTGCACATTTTGAATCATTGACTGCGCGACTTTGGCTGCTGAAGAAGAAGAGAGCGCGCAAGTAACAAGGCCGATTCTCTCCCCATATAGACCCATATTCTTCGCCAATGAAAGGCAAACTGTGACCTCTATATCTAACTTCTCCAAGAAGTAACGGATTGGCCATGCATCTTCATCGAAAGACCCGGAATTGAAACCAAGGTAAGCAGAGTCGAAAATTGGAAACAATCCTCTTTCTTTGATAGTGGTGCCAATAGTCTTCCATTGGTCTCTTGTGGGGTCACATCCGGTGGGGTTGTGAGCACATGTATGCAGGATGATTGGTGATCCCGAGATAGCAGTTTTCAGAGTAGCGATGTATGCATCAAAGAAAAAGTCACCGTCCTTATAGCAAGGAATTATTTCTACCTTAAATCCAATCGTAGTGAACATCAAATGGTGGTTCACCCATGAGGGATCAGTGATATAGATGACATCAGGCGCGGAATTTAGTTTCTTTAGAGTGAGGCCAATGAGCATAAGAGCTCCTGTTCCAGAAAGGGATTGACATGAGGCGATCTAAATGAATCTATAATCTTAGTTTCAATAACGACATTTTGGCAGAGGAAATATTACCCGTTCTTTAGCTAAAGCCTCGGTGCCATCAAACAGAAGCTTCGTCGCCTCCGTCAAAAATGGCTGAAATCCAGCAATTGGGAGGTATTCATGGTTGATCTCTCCCAAAGAGATCTTCGCCATTTGGATGGATGGAAGCATCCAAGGGAGCCCGTTTTCATCCCTGTGTGTCCCTTGCCCCAAGTTGATCTTGTTCTCCTTAGGATCAGCATGAAATCTTCTAGTGACGTCAAATTGAATGTCAGGAGGAACAGGATCTGTGGGTTGGAAGATTAACAACGGTCGTAATGCTGTCGACATGATGTGAGATCTAAGTTTTATACCAGTTTTAGATCCAATTCGAAGATTGAATTTGGAATGAATAGTAGATAAGGCTGACATTTCCCTCAAATACCGTCGAAATATGTGTGACATGCATTTGCCGTCATCCTTTCCCAGTGGTCTTTCAATATGGCCTGCAGGTGGGTCGGCTCGCAAAAAAAAGGAAAAAGAAAAGAAAATAAAACGCTTAAAAAATAAGTTGAAATAAAAGGTAATGTTTCTCGGTGTTTCCCCCAATACACCGCTAGTGCCCAGGTGAATCTAGCCTTTCAAGAAAGTTCAATGTAACGTGGATCAAATGACTTTGCAAAATCTGATCCAACTGGCGGCGTGTAGCAGTGCTCGGGCTCCATTTCGGTGAAATGATCGCTATGCCGGTGGCACATTTTCGATGATGCCGGGAGATATACAAGCTGCCGTGGGGTTCGCCTTCGCACCGAGAGTCCAATATTCAGCCATATCGGAGACTTGGCCTTGGATTCTGCTAGAAAATTGTACATGAATTTCGGAATAGTCAGATCTTGATAGATTCAGCTCCATCTATCTATCTACATTTCTATAGTATCTTGACATAGGAATGTCAGCACCTCGAATACTATGCGACGGCTTTCTCTCATTTAGAGATTCTAGGGAGCCAGTGTCCACTAAACCCACCGGCCTAGAGTACTGATGACTCTCTTCAAAATTTTATCCAAGCGTTAACGTTGATTTTTGATTTTCAAGATTAATTTCCATCTAGTTCGTACTATATAGTATCTCCATCCTCATTAACGTTCCATGCATTATTACTTAGCAAATCTCAACGACCGGCTCCTCAATTTAGCCAGCACAGCTGTGTAGAGAGCTCTTCCCCGTTGAGGTGTACCGCGAGACTAGTGTTGAGGTCAATAGTGTGACTGGTCCCAAAAATCCATTGATGAGACCTCAGAGTATGAGAAAATAGTGAAGCTGTGGATTTTCTGCGGAGGGTTCTCCTCCAAGATACAAGATGGTGAAGTAGACAAACACGAAGAAAGTCATTTTGGTCATTTCTTGAATTCTTTGAATCGCCAATACAACTCTGTCTGGGTGAGTCTATTGAACATTCTAGATTTTGATTATGAACAAGGATTCGTGCAAAACATGGAATGTATATGCGTGGTTGTTCAAGTATGGTACTTAATACCAAGCGTCATTTCACTTCTAGTTCTTGGTAGCGAAACAATCCTGAGCCTCAAACACTTCAACAGGCGGTTTCCCCACAAGTGATTCGTAGATCTCGGGGTCTGTTGCGCCCTCGAGGCCGAAAATGATGACCTGACTATTCCCATCCAATCCTAATTTCTCACGAAGGCTCGAATCTGAGCCACATCCTAGCACAACACCCATACTAGCAGCCGACGACTCACCACACACCACAGGAACATCACCCTCATCGCCATTAGCCAACGCCTTCATACCCTCTACCGCAACTGAATCTGGAACAGCAATGAAATCACTGGCCAACCAGGTGAGGATCTTCCACGCGGCTGGAGAAGGTGCGCGGCAAGCTAGACCAGCCATTAGCGTACGCAGTGTACCTTTAGACTGACGCTCCTGGCCATTCTTTGCACTCTGCAGTAGACAGTCCGCCTCGGAGGGTTCAACAACAACAAAACGGGGCATTTGAGTAGGCGACTTTTGGTTTCCACGGAGATGAGTGTAGAAGCCTTGAAAAATGGCGGCGGCAATACTTCCAACACCACCGCAGACAAAAACGTGAGAGATACGGTCGAGTTGAGGAATTAAAGCGACTGCCTCCTCCAGTACGACCATATAGGCGTTCATGACGTGCTGAGGCACGTCATTATCGAAGTCGGACCAGGAGGTACTGCTAACGAAGTACCAGCCGTTCATGCGAGCATCTTCCTTCGCCCGACTAACGGAAGCTTCATATTCGCCGTCAATTCGAATCACAACCGCGCCCAAATTCATCATACGCTTGGCGCGACCGTCGCTTACATGATTGTGAATGTAATTGACGCATCGACAGCCGAATATTTTGGCACCGTACGCCAATCCACGGCCTTGGTTGCCGTCCGTCGCGACGCAGACAGTAACGCGCTGCGTGATGTCACGGTACTCGTCCGTACGGAGTTCAGCTGCTGTCGGACAGACACCCTTTTTTGCGTGCACCTCCTCCGCCAAAATCTTATAAACTGAGTAAGGTGCACCAAGTGCCTTGAAGGAGCCGAGTTCAGTTCCAAAGCGTCTGCTTTCGTCTTTGACGAATATTTCCTGGATTCCTAGCTTTTGTGCCTGTTTGGGAAGAGTGCGTAGAGGCTGTTCGGTGTATTCTGGCCAGGTGCGAATTTCATCGACGGCATGCATCCACTCAGAGAGATTTTGCATACAGACGGCCGCAGTGGCCTCTGCCTGTGTAGACAAGCGGTCCGGGTTATAGTGATAAGAGTACTCCATATTAGATAGCGCAAGTATTGGATATTCGGAATTCGCTTGTCGCGTTGTGCTCATGCCAGCAGATGCCTATATTTACGTTGCCTTGTTATTTGCCTTAAGCCGATCGTGCTTCTTCATTTTCAATCTCTGATTCTATTGTGTTCTCTCTCAATGCCTCCGTATAGTTTCGGCCCTTTTGCCGGCTGCCGGGGGGCGTTCACTCGCCATGCATCTCTAAAAGATCCACCAGACCCACCCTGTCTTTCCTGTGGCGTTCGGTGATTTCTGCATGACCCCGGAGTCCCGACCATGAACGTTGTTTTCATCTAATTTCAGTCACGAGTACCCCAGTACACCACGCTGTTGTGGTTATTTTAATCGAAGAGGTATGATATCGATTGGTCTGACAAGGTTGAAAGTTTGGAGACCTTGGGAAGAATGTCAAGGTGAGGGCGTATTGCCGAGATACCAAGTCGATTCTGCAGGGAAGGTGCGCTCTGCTTGAATAGAAGACACCTATCTAATTCATCCAACTTGAACTTCGCGATGTGATACTTGCTCAAAATATATTATATGGCGTAGAAGTCGATAACTATAGGTAATTTATTGACCTCCGCGAGGCATCCAATATGCTTCGCGTCCAGGGTAGACAAGGCTGACACAGGCTGAACCTGACAACGCCCAAGGTTACAACTATTCATTGCTCACTGAGTATATTCTGTGTAGGAAATAGCTTGTTCATATAAATAAATCTTGTTGCTCTCTTCGACGATTTTCTGCCTATACCGGGAGACACACCGAGAGTCCCTAAAACTCCCATGTAGGCCATGCCCTGTAGATCATGCCGCAGGCATGCGGGCACGTGGTTGTGAGTGTGGATTTTTTTTCTTGGTAGCAAGTTAAGTTGTCATTTCGCCAAACGAACATTGGTCCGGGGTCAAATGGTAATTTTGCTGATCAAGCCGAGCTCCCCTCCAGTCGGAACTCTCCATCTGACGCGTTTCAAGAACCTTCTCGGCACAAGTCATCCGCGGCCGTCGGTGCATGTGGCTGCCTCCCGAATATGGCTCCACTAATGGGATGCCTCTATCTATGAACCTGCTGACCATGAAATTACGTTATTCATCAAGAAATTGTTGAGATATAGGTCTTATACCCCTGCATGGACATTTAGTAAAGCATGGACATTGATCACTAGTGAATTAAATCCAGAACATTCCCAGAATCTCGAGTTTCCAGCGACGTGTTTTCAAGTATGATTTCAATCACAACTGCCTCGACTTATGCGAATAAGGATGTCTTGCGGACTCGCTTTGCTGCTGCAATGTCAAGCATGTACCGCAGTGAGGTCCCACTTTACGGTGATCTAATCGAGATCGTGCGCAACACCAATAAGAGCGTGCTGAATGACGTTAACGCAAAAGCCCAACCCAGCGATTCTAGAGGCATAAATGTCACTATCGAGCGCCTAAGTCAAGAACGACATGGTGCAATCCGCCTCGGCACCCCTTATGAGCTCCGAATAATCAAGCGTGTATTCGAACTCTTGGGTATGTACCCGATCGGATACTATGATCTCTCAATCGCGGGACTGCCGATGCATGCAACCTGTTTTCGCCCATTGGAGATCTCAAGCCTCGACTCCAACCCCTTTCGTGTGTTCACTACTTTACTGCGACCTGAACTACTCGTCTCGGAAAATGCCCGCCGGATCTCATTGGACTTGCTCGATAAACGTAATATTTTCAGCAATGTCTTGTTGAAGATCCTCGATGAGGCAGAAGTGAAGGGTGGAAGACTCAATGAAGATAAAACGGAGATATTTATTCAAGAGGCATTGTCCGCTTTTAGCTGGCAGCCTATCGCTGCGGCTACCTTTGATCAGTATGAGATCCTGAAGGCCGAACATCCAATTCTAGCCGATATTGCATGCTTCAAAAGCGCACACATCAACCATCTCACTCCCCGAACACTGGACATTTCAGCAGTTGATTTGGCCATGAAAAGGGCCGGAATGGCAGCTAAAGATACCGTGGAAGGCCCACCAGCTCGTGAATGCCCAATACTTTTGCGTCAAACCAGCTTCCTTGCTCTGGAAGAGGCTGTTCGATTTAGGTGGAATGAGAACCAGAGCATAGATGGGGATGTGTCACGAGGCGCATTGATTGAGGCTAGTCACAGGGCGCGTTTTGGAGAGATCGAGGAACGGGGCGCCGCAGTCACTCAGAAGGGCCGGGAACTGTATGACAGGCTTCTTCGAGAATCCCAAAAGCAGAGAGCGGGCACCACAGCCTTGAAAGCCGCCGAAATCACCACCAAAGTGTTTAATGAGTTCCCCGACACCTGGAGGGAGCTTAGGCTACAGAATCTGATATACTGCGAGTTCAAACTGAAGAAAGCTGCCACGATGTTGTCGCTGGATTCGAAGAATGGTCCTATTCTCGAACAGTTGATTTCCATGAATGTCGTGGAAGCTGTGCCTATCACATATGAGGACTTCCTACCCTTCTCTGCAGCTGGAATCTTCCAGTCAAATTTACAGAGCAGCAATTCATCTCAATGTGCATTGAAATTGCCACTAGGCGTGAGTCAATCGGGGGCAGACTTGAAGGGCTTGGAGGAAGCCATGAATACGAGTATTTCGGACCTCGATGCATGGTACTCTGCCGTGCAAATGAAAAGTCTTAAGGATGTTGGGAAAAGCCTTGGTTTTACTTTGGAGGAGCTTATGCCAAGCTACGTTTAGTGTTGGGATTGGGCTTCGCGTGTTAAAAAAGAAGAAGTGTGACATTGGTTGACTAGGACGAGACTGTAGTTAGCAGAGCGGAATCACTTTATGTACTAAGCAATCATGGACATTGAGGACTTTCATGCGTCTAAGGTAGACTAAATTTATACTTTAGCAATATCAATGATGCAAACCTAGTTCTTCCAGTGGTGAAAGAAATTGGAAACTCTCATCTAAGTGATCGAATTAGCAGTTAGTCTGTTACGTGCTCTCACATTTCTGATCACCACGGAACTTGGCCACGTTGGTAGATAGCGCCACCACTCCCGAGGATCCTGATACTTCATGATATCGACCAAGAGCATTATTATTTAGAATAGAGACAGATTGTCGCTATCTCTAATCAAGCCGGGTCAGTAACTAAACTGCCAAATTGCAGGAATGGAATATAAACCCTCCTATGTCCATGCCTGGATATCACAATTGATTTGAAATCATTAAACACCAAAACTAACCGGTAATACATGCAATGGTTGAGTTAAATGTCCACCTAACTTTCTTATTCTATTCCCGCAATACTTGTGAATCATGTGTCATCATCGTGTATTATGGAAGTGTATCCAGGGACCGTATAGCCAGATTATGCCCCTAGTATGGATACAATACTGAAGAGAGGTCATCTGCCTCAGTGAAACATCTTTCGAGTCTGCTACTGGTGTGCCATGACTTCAATTTCAACATCCGTGCAAAGGGGCAGCTGTTTAACAGCTACACAAGTCCGGACCTGACCATCAAAAAGCGGTTGAATTAGTAAACTCAATTTACGTCAGGGTATATGTTGAGGACTCATACTGGCATGGCTCCTTGATTAAAGACCTTAAGGTAGCCTTCATTCATAGATGCATAATTGGACATGTCATCGATGAAAATTGTGACTTTAAGCTATAAATCGAATCGGTTGCGTGAGAATGTGCTCTATTTCACTTAGTAATTTCTAACCGGTTGCTGACTCACAACTTTCTCAATGGAGCTACTGGCAGCCTCTAAGATATGCGAAATGTTCTTGAGGCATTGCTCCTGTCGTGGATTAGTGACATTTTCACGCGACAAAAAGTCGAGCAACCTACGGTCCGATCACCCGTTGTCCCAGGAACCAAATTCTCTGTCGCAGGGTCCATACCGACGGCTCCTGACGTATAAACCAAGCCATTCAGAGTAATAGCCTGTGACAGAAACGGCTTGGGAGTCGGGGCCTTGCTGGTCAGAACGACTTGTTTCGATTGGGCTGCCATAGTTGTTTGTCGGTGGGCAAAGGTATGAAGTTTTGAAGAAATCTGCAAGAAAAAGAGCCAACCTTCGATTGAGGAATAATATATGAAATCAATACTAGAGAAACCAGAGGACTCTCAAATTAGCAACCGGTGTCAATGAGATCGAGCCGAGTGTTTGTGGCCCGGAATCTGGCGCTCGGCATACTTACTTTGTTCCGGATCCCGTAATCTGAAAGACAGACCAATGGATTCTACGGTCCGGCTATTCTCAGGAGGACTTTGTTACATATCGAATGACATAGTTGACAGTCCTCGGCTCTTCTAACTGTAATTGACTTTGGTCGAGTCATCTAACACGACTTCGTCCTCCTTATTCCTATTCTATTCTTCTGTCTTTTCACATTCTTGGTTCTCGATCTAAAATTAACATCAATTGACTGATAACGAAAATTATTTCCTTGGGGAGTTGGATGCAAATTTTTCGATAGACAGAGAAATCAGAGGCGCGAATTGTTCCAAAATTGAAAATTATTCAAGTATCAAGTGGTAATTTATTCGCTATCTTCTTCCGATCTCGGCAAGAACCCCCTTTTCAGGGCTTCCAAAACTCCATTCATCCACAGCTTCGCCATTTGCTCATAGCCCTCATTATCCGGGTGTATGCCGTCGACCAAGCAATCGATCTGAGGACCAGCCTCACTATACATGTCGACGAAGACGATTTTTTTCTGCTCGTTTGATTTCCGCTTTGCGAGAGCGCGGAACTGGTCGTTCACATACACGACGTTTGAGTCAGTCTGCTTATCTGCGCTGACTACAAGAGTAGATAGAATGATCGTGGAGTTCGGGGACGTTTGCCAAAGATACTCGAGCATGTCGCCTAATCTGTCTCCTGCTTCTTCGAGCTTGAAAGACTGGAGGCAGTCATTCGATCCAGCATTAATAGCAAAGACGTGAGGCAATAGTTCTGGCGTGGAGAGTCGGGCTTTTTTATCAATTTCATCGATTCTAAACCCTGGCCAACCCTCGTGGTTTTTATTGAGCATTGAGCCTGTCTTGCGTGAGCCGACCATTTGGACATCGAAGCCGTGCTCCTGGAGCATTTCTAGTAGCGGTCGGCGATATCCCGCGCCGGTGGACGATCCGACCCCTTGCGTTACTGAACCACCAAGGGGCATAAGGCGGAAGGAAATGCCGCGACCAACTTGAAGATATTTATCTAGGAGGAGCAGTCAATAAGAGAGGGTTTCTGGTGTCGAATAATTGGACCAGGCCGTTTTTGCAGCTGTAGCATCATGATTCATGACTTCACAGGGTCTGCTTGCCAACTTGGGTAGTGATGAACTGACCGTCCTGCATGGCTGATGAGATACAGCGTGACTGTCGGCTAATTGAATCACAAGTGTGTTTTGCTGATAAAGTCTGACGGTCCGGGATCCGGGTACTTGGTTTCAAAGACACTCGCTTTGCGATCAAAAAAGAACTCGGTAGTCGCATGGCATTCAAGGCACAGCCCTTCACATACATCTCTTAAATCCAGGTGATGCAGATATGCGTGCAGATGGTAGAGGGAATGATCGCACTTGGCTGGTATAGGCATAAGGCTGATTTTAGAAGGTTGCGTCTTCCAGGATTTAGCTTGAGGTTTGAAACAATGATAAGACTCGGATTCGGTGGAGATGTTTCTGTCCCGAGGGGGATTCGGCGACCGAGACTTCCGCCGCCGGTGGCGGTGTGCTAAAAGATGAAGGTACCCATAGTTATATAGTTATGTGTACTATACACTCTTAGGTGAATTTGAGTAGAGCGACGTCTTCTTAGAGTCTTGAATTACTCATTATAAAGTACCAAAAAAGACTAAATATTCCTAGATAGACTAGCTTTCAGATGCTACATACTACCCGAGACTCCCGAGTCCCGTCTACCGAAAGAGCAAAATGGAGGATAGTTTTGAGGATAATTTTCTTTCCGATCCCGGCTTGTACCCCTCACCAACGTATGTGCACTGTGCAGGCGTACTGAACGCGCATCCATTACGTTCTTCCCTATACGATCAGCAATGATTCAATGTCTTCAGAAAGGGAAATACTGTCTGATAACATGGGCCCGGGATCCCTGTTGAGCCGGACGAAACCAATAGCGTTCGTCTCTAGTCGTCGTTGCCGCTATCTTGTCGCTGAACCCTTCTAGCTGTCGAAAATGCCACGCAAGGAAAGTCAAGTGTCCAGGCGGCCAGCCTTGCCAGAACTGTGTTCAGTTGGACTGCGAGACCGGTTGCACATACCCAAAACGCGATCGGCAAATCAAAGTTAGCCAGAGGTTGATTCACTCTTTCACTCATCATTGTAAAATCCCACTAACCCAAGTCAACCAGTTATATTGAGGGTTTAGTCCGTGAGGTTGAGCAATTGAAAGCTCGGAATCAACGATCTCCGACTTTGCCCGAGCAAAATGCTGCAGCTCAGACAAACAGTCCTGTCATCGACTTTGACCGACATTCTGAAACTACCGATGAACCTTCCCAGAACCCGCTACTAGACAAGAAACCATGGTTCCTACCTATTAATACCTCAAAAGTTCCTATTCTTATAGGAGAAGTCGCTGATGCTGTGTTTGCGACCCGTCTTCGCCAACTCATCACGGGCAAAACTCTAAGTCATATCCCTCGTATCGCATACCCTGCCCATGATCGGATCTTGGAACTTGCGAAGATTGAGATCCCTCACCCTCGAGCGTCCCATGCTCGATTTCTTCTTCGCGTTGCTTTGAAATTTCTAGAGGGATCATTCCACATCGTTCGCAAAAGCCTAGTCTCTGACCTGTTAGAGCAATTTCTCCGTCTACCCCAGTCACTTGATTCCCTTTCCACATGCAAGATTTTTGCGCTTCTGGCTCTGGGTGAACTTCACTCCAGCCGCTTCCAGAATCCAGAGACGCAGCTAGCTGGCCTTGCGTACTATGGTCATGCTAGCCGAGCTCATGGCCTGCTCGAGGAACGACCTTGCGTTGATTCAATTGAAGTTTCATTGATCCTGGTGAGTCTTTTCTGTCAAAGCCACGGATATATCTCCTAACGATTGTGAAGTGTCTATATGCTCTCTGTATTAATAGACGTCATTCCGCCTACTTTTTAGCAAGTTCTGCAGTTCGCCGTGGCGTCGTGATGGGTCTGCATTTTGACCTTCCCAATACCCATATGAATGACCCTGAGCTCAAAGAGCATCTTAAACGTGTTTGGTGGACATCCTATGTGCTGGATCATCTGTGTGCATCTATCAGTAGCCAGCTGGTATCCATCTCGGATAAAGATATCTTTGTCGATCTCTCATTGAACCCAAACGTTGCTGGCCAACGGCAATGTGATTTTGGACATTCAGACTGGATAATCGCAAGGGCCCACCTAGCAAGACTCACCAGACGAACGATAAAGTCTGTCTACGGTCGGAGGCAACAAACTGGGTCATTTTTGCAACGGGTGCAATATTCACTCCGAGACCTAAAACAGTGGCTAAATGAGTTGCCAAAAGACATCCAGATGGATGCGGAATCATCACATCTGAAACCGCAGCCAATTCAGTCTCTGCACCTCACTTTCAACCAGGTAAATCAATCACGTCTCCAAGACTTTAATAAGTCTAACCAATCCAGTCTGTTATCCTTGCTACCCGGCCCGTTTTACTTCACAAACTGCAAATGCACAAACAGTCAAATGGAAATTCGCCAGTCAGCGCAGATCCAACTATTTCAAGCAATGTTCAAACTCTAGCAGAAGCATGCATTAGATGCGCTCGGCACTCATATTCTACTATCGTCGAATCCTGGATCGAAGGAAACTTCGGCATATTCGACTATTTTACAACCCAGTATCTCTTTTCTGCGGCTACAGTTCTGGCTATTTCTTGCCTCATTGGTGGTCCTGGAAGTTTAAAGGACCATGAGGATTTTGATTTCGCTGGTGAACTTCTCCAAAAGCTGCGTGACTCCGGAAGCTTTGCTGCTATGGAATTCTTTCGTCACTTTGAAGAGCTCAACGCAGATATCGGCTCGTTTTGGTCTGGTCTACAGTGTACGGAAGAAGCGCAAAGCTTTGAGCCCAACATTACAAGCAACACTACCACCTACCCGAATCAAATGGCGCCTTTCCCGCAGCCAGGACATTTGATGACATCAGGTATGGCTTTGGCAGAGCCTTCAGTTGAAGCATTTCTCGAAAGCGAACAGAGCTTAGCTCAGTTGGATGTCTTCTGGGATCATGTCGGACGGACAGGACTATACTGGCCGATGAGCGATTTGGTTTGAATGACTTGAGTTCTCCATTTGTAACAACATGAAGATATGTTTTCGAGGTCCTTGTATGATTTATTTATTCTCAACAACCAAATAAAGTCGCCGCAACTTGGTAGCGCTTTTGAATTATGCAGATTCCACGAAATTAATTGTAATAGGTCAAGGAAGTGCAAGCTTCGTTGAGTTTTGAGAGCTCTCTCTGCTACGATCTCGATTTAATGATTTAACAGGAACCTTCATGTTGCATATTGTAACATAACATTAGGTTTTATATCACTCGCTTTCAAACTTAGCAAGCTGATTAGACAAAAGAGCCGGTTTGTGTCATAACTGTCCATCAAAAAGGGTGAGATACCAAGAGAAGCAAGAATGCCAGATAGATAGATCAATCCCGAGTAACTTCGCATTTATTTTTCATGTGTATTTATATGCTAATGTGACATAATATTTATCCATTCCCCAAGAATCCTTCCGGATTTCCAAGAGAGGCTGGGCTAAGTTTGTTCCCCTCGGAATTGAGTTAGCCATTCATGATTGTCTGCCATAGTTTGGTTCCATTGATCCTCAGAATCAAATAATAGACGCCTGGCCTCTGATTGAAACATTTCATCTGTAGGTATAATGCCGCTGCTCATCATTTGTTGTGCGTAGTGGCTTAGATGACGAGTGAGAACTTCAGTATAGGAGTCTAGTATGGGCTCCTGGAATGCCGGAGCCTCATGCACTGGAGAATCCTCTACCTCAAATATATCAGGTGATATGTGAGCTTCGTCTGCTTCATGGTCAAACCTGGCCCGTGAGAGCATCTGAGAGAGATGGTCATTGACTGCTCTATTCGTAGCAGAAAATGGCACGAAAGTTCGCGATTCGAAATCGAGTAAATAGGGCGGCACACTATGTGTAATTTGTGCAGAAATCTCAGGTGGGAACTCGTGATCACCTTTCCAGTGGGCCATCGTATAGCCTTTTCGAAAGTGGGATGTGAGATGGTCGGCTCGCTCGTTCCAACTCGACATTCTGTCGTTACAAAAACCACATCGGGACGGAAAATCCGCAATGTTACGCTTCCATTCGTCAATAAGTGGGATCGTATCAAGTTTATGAAAAAGCCGTATATGCTGGATCAGATGATCTTTCCTTCGAAATGTGGGTTTATGTTGGTATTGGCAGAGTTCATGGTTGTGTCTCTCAAGGTGTTCGGGTGTTGGGTCAAGCTGGTTGCAATAGGCACAATGGGCGCGACCGGTAGATGGCAATATCACAACACCACCAAAAGGGGCGCAAGTCCAACTCTCCAGGTTCAAATGGAGGGACTTTTCGTGACGCATCCAGTCATATTTGCTCTTAAATTTATCACAGCAAAAAGTGCAGCAGAATATCCGCGGGTTATTAGCCGAGCTTCGTTTCTCTCTTTTTCCGCAAGTCCGCCTTTTCTCAATTGCTGAAGATTTCTGATTCCCAGCGGTCTGACTGTTACTAGACAAGGCCGACCGAATGGAGTAGTTAGAGCGGCGAGATGAGGCAGTGGTAGCGCTTTCACCACTCGTTGTGGAAGGTGCTCGGGATGCCGAATGTCGGTGCTGCCGAAACGCATCGGTGGCTCTCCGGCCAGGTGTATCCGGTCTTTGGTCTGCCATGTCCCCTGGCAACGAGGTCTTCAGGGAACTTTTGATGTCTAACAAGCTTGCGGCTTCGTCTTCAGGAGGGGACATTTTCCAGCGTTCCAACGGATCTGCGGGGCTATTGCCTGGAGGTATGAAAATAGCATTTGCCTTCTGACCAATCTGCTGTATCTTGTACTGGCTCCTGCGTCGTGGCAGTCCGCTGGCACTTAGTAGCGGATTTGTTGCTACTGGTGTTGAGACTGGGTGTGTAAAATCAACGATTCCATCTGTCAAGGTTGTCCCGGGTGCCATGTAATCGTGATTGGATTCATAATTCTGGCCTAGTTGACTCGTGGGCAAAGACCGTGGAAGAATATCAGCCATCCAGGGATGGTAATTGTGTTGCTCAGTACTTGAGCTGGCGCAATCTGTTCCAGAATAAGCCTGATTTGTATGAATTGGGTTGGTTGGAAAGCTTCCAGAGGAAGAAATAGGAACATCGCCTGGAAAATGGTCGGCGGAATCATGAAAAGTGTCGCTTGGCCCGGAGGCCTCAGGTGGTGGCGGCATCATGAATGCATATGCGCCTTCAATTTCCTCGGTGTAGGCCAGCTCATGCCATTGGGGCGAATCGCTCTCTCTCGTCACATCTGATAAAATGTCAGTGGGTTGGTCACTTGGAATGCAAAATATGCGGAATCTGTACATTGTGCCTCTTGGTGCTGCGGATCCATCTTCCCCAGCTGTTCGTTCTGTCTTATCCGACCAGAATTACGCAGAAGCCACTCGCAAGCACAATCGAATGCCTCGCAGTGGTTGATCGAATATTTCTAAGAGGTCGCAGATCTTTGGATACTAGGCACTACGGTTGTGGCAAGGAAAAATTGAAGCGGGGTGTGTGTCATCGGCAGTGGAGCGGTGGTCGCCACGCCTTCAATTTGGGATCAGTGCAGAGAAAAAAGTTGAAGAACACGAGCCTTTTTTTCCTCTATGGAGAGCATTCATGATATATTTACGGGTTAATTTTAGTCCCAAGGATAGCTAATAATAATCTTAGTCACAAAGGAATGATTACTGTCTCTCAGAGATCACCCTTGCCCACGGATGCTTCACCTCCCCATACATGATCTCACTCAGCCATCCCTTAAGCTTCCCCGTAATTTTGGCTGGCGTTCCATCGGGGCCGGTGGGGATTCTGATATCTTTTTCGCGGTGATGAATCAATGAAATCGGAGTAATGAACCACTTATAAAGCATCCGTTGTTAGCATTCGATCGTCGATCAAATTCTATGAGTCAGAACTCACAGCTGTGCCGGCGGCAAACGCTTCCAGAAGACGACCTTCTGAAACCGCCTCCTGGATCTCACCAATTGTAAATTTACGCTCAGTGACTTCAATTTCATCTTCCAGTCTATCTTTCGCTAAGTCAAGGCAACTTCTTCGAGTGACACCATCCAAGATCAGCTGGTCGTCCAAGGGAGCTGTTATCAGCTCCTTCTTGCCATCCTTACGCTTCCAAACCACAAAAAAGTTGCTCCCGCCTGCCTCGGTGCAGTCACCGTTGGGACCATACAACCATAGGATCTGATGATAGCCTTGGCGGTAGGCTGCTTCTGTGGCTTGCAACGACGGTCCGTAATTCGCGCCAACTTTTGCATAACCGAATCCGCCAACCCATGAGCGGACTACATCATCGGGGTTTGTCATCAGTCGTTTCCCACCAACTGGTTGATCCACGCGAGGCATATATCCGAGAATAATGTAGAGTAGAGCTGCCGTTGGCTTTGCAACGCCAATCTGGGAGTCTGTGCCAATGATCGTTGGGCGGACGTATAAGAAGTCCCCAGCGCGAGTCTTTGGAAGCCATCTCGCACCATCCACCGAAACCAAGGTATAGATAAGTTTTTCCAGCTCGATCGGATCGAATTTAGGGAGGGAGATTCGCTCAGAGGACATCAAAAGGCGTTGGGAATTCCGGTCGGATCGGAACATTCGTAGCTTTCCATCGTGTCCTCGATAGGCCTTGAGTCCCTCGAAGCATTCGTAGGCATAGTGAAGGCAGGATGCGGTGGGAAGAAGGTTGAACGGGCCATACGGTTTGAGCTCTGGAGTAGACCAGCCGCTGTTCACATCCCAAGATGCAACAATCATATGGTCTGTACAAATAGTTTGCTTGTTTTTGGCCAGAATTTCAGCATCGGGCACCTCTCGGGGTGTGGTGGTATATTGATATCTCAATTGAGATGCGTCAAGCGGTTGGGCTGATTCCATTGTGGGAGGTCAAAAGAACAGACGAAGCGCAAAGAGTAATGAGGTGGTACCCGGAATGAGACTGCGACCGCGAAAATGTCTCAAACCAACGCTGGGCACAGCTCGCTTTTCAGGTCATATCAACCCCATCAACCATCAGCCAGGGCGTGTTCGGCAGGGCGTGCCAGCACGCCCTGTGGGTCTGGCGAGAGAGTTGGAGATGTCCAACTCTGGAAAGTTGCACGCCCTGCCTGTGGGTCCCGCGAATGTCTCGGCTTTGTGCGCGAAGCGCCGAACCGCAGTCTAGGCAAACCCACAGATATTGATCCTCTATTAGGACCATGATACATCGAAGGCACTGCTAGTGCTGCCCACGGTATGATATCGTGGACAGCACTAGAAGGCAGCTTTGACCCTAGTCTCCATCATGTTCCGAGGCTGTAAGGCATACGAACTTCTCTGAGATATGTTACCAGTAGGATCATAATATACAGTAGACTAGCAACCCGCTTGACATGCATTTCGACATGTATTTCAAACTATCTTCAGGCGGGCTTTGATGGTGTGTCATGACTGGAAAATAATTACTAAGGCCATATCTCATGTAGCCGGGTAGACAGGTGCACCCGGGATGGCCAATCCTCCATGTAAATGAGTGGAAGAAAAGGTCACAATACACCGCACCGTCCAGGCAACTTGCACTAAAAATGGAACTTGCGTAAAAAACTTTTGCCATTCCATTATACAAGTTGCATTGCAGGCTCTCCAGTGGGAGAATATTCATGAGCGGTTATTCGAGTAAGTAGATCTGCAATGCTCCTTAATGTAAGTCCATGGAGTCCATAGAATGAAAGCTTAGCAGGAGCATAAATAGCCAGGTTGCCGTCCTCCACACGGTGGTATTTGTTCTCTGCCGTCTTACTCTCTATGCACGCACGACGCCAGATCCACATTCACAGAATCTGAAACACTTTCTGGAGCACGGGAAGCAGCTCCATACGGCCGTCTCCGAGATGTGTCCTTACGCAAGAATGATCAATCAATTTGAAGATGTCTTGGAGGAGAGTTCAAAATGCAAAGCAAAGCTCTCAGAGGCAAATGAAGAGTTGAGGAAGTCAAAAGAGGAGGAGAAGAGGCTCAATCTCGTCATGCAGGGGATGACAAGGCAATTTGAAAAAAGGGTCATTGGTCTCCAAGAGACGCAAAAGTCCCAGCTCCATGAGAAGAACATCTCATTAGAGCAAGCTAGAGAAAAGGCGGCCAATTATCATTCAGATTTCGAAGAATCGGATCGGAGACGTTCGTCGTTGGAAAAGGACTTAGAATCACAAAGACGGCTATCTTTAGCAATTACAACTGAGCAGGAAATCTCATACCAAGTCTTGGTCTTAAGGAGCTAGGTGACCATTTGTAAGTCAAAAGCCTATTTCTCAGATCACGTCGCTCACCAATCCAAACAGCCCAGACAGACTGGATCAGCTTGCCATGAAAATTTAATCTTTTGCAGAAGCAATGATCTTGGATTACTTTGATCACTGCTTTGCAAGCAGAATCCCGGTAAGTTGCCTCTTTTTGACTGGTAAGCAGATGCCCTGTTGACGTGAAGTCAGGACAAGCTTTTCAGACAGCTTCTCAGCTCGGACTTCATAAGCTCCGAGAGGCCCATCCCTATCTCGGGCAGTATAGCATCAATATATCTCCGTATAGCAACCTTGCAGGCCATTATCACGGAAAAATTGTCTATGAGTGTCTTCTCAGCAGTGCCAAGCTATAGTTAACAGGTGATTCAAATCAACCTCACCCAGCCCGAATTGGGAAAGAATTGCAGTTGATCAGCCTCTACATGAAGCCGTTCTGAGATCAGTTTCTTCCATGGTATGTTTCCAAGATGAGCAAGAGCTGGAGGAGATGCAGATTATAAGTATCTGTGATCGTATTTATCGCAAATCCCGACCGCTACTCGCAGACATCAAAGCTTCGGAGGAAAGGTTACAGTCCTTATTGAAGGTGGCTTTCGACATACGGAGAGAAGCTCAAAGAAGCACCCGCCGGATTATTGTACTCACTGATGGAAATTTCTGTGTAGAATTTCCCGCCTTCGATATCAATGAGGCGATCTCAATCATTGGTGAAGTCAGGACTGACGGGCTGGAGAAACCGATCATCCTTTTCTTTCTGAGAATGAGCTAGCTTTACGAGTAATTATGACTTTGAGACCACCTCATATTAAGTTGGTGTAATCTGTAACTTACCCCATTCAAATATATTCACTGATTATGACCAACCGTTTCGCTGATCAAACATCAATCATCATCATTGTTTTCTCTTACGAATTCCCGTGCGAGATCTTGATCTGAGTTGCATGGAAGTTACGTAGACGATTTGTGCAAGGCACGGTCCCACATGGCTCATCTGTGCCACTCTGAACAAGAGCAAGCTGATTTCCTTCTGTTTGCTCGTGCTAATTGTTGTCTCTAAGATTAACTTGTGGTGTCCTACTTTTGGTTGTTGTTAATGCTCTTCAAAGTGCAGTATGCCCACTTTTGAAAGATCATGGGCTTACTAACGGCATAAGAGTGATCTGCCCAGGTTCAGAGTCTCTTAAGCTTAGTCATACTGCTGTAAGCCACACGGAGGCTTCCTGTCTAAAATTGGCCGAGTACAGTCGAGGCGGGGCGGTCGGAAATGTGTGTGGTTCTAAGGGTAACTAATTCTGCTTTTACAATCCTGCGTGTGTGCTCATAACCTGTATCTCCTACTGTATATCCTGGTTTGTTACAGCTGAAAATTCCAGGAGACCACCCAAAAAAACGTGCCAGATCCTATATACAACGATGGAACGGGGTTTGCTATGGATGGCATCCTACTGGTAAGTCGGGAAGCGCTTCCAGGTGTGGAAAAAGTGTGGGAATTGCGGGCCGGGACGGTGCGGTCCTAAACGTAATGCCCCAGGCAAACGCTCAACCAGCCAAAGAATCGCGCCACTTCTGGTTGTCCGAAGGCCTGTGCACGCCAACCCCTCGAATGAGTGACGCCGAACTACCACACGCGTGCACGATAGCCCCCAATGTTCCCGCATTAGCGGCTTATCGGTACCATGGAACGCAGGTGGCAGAAGAGTGAAAAACTTAGAGCATCCAGGAGGGAAATGGGCTTGTCGAAGGCATTCGGCTAATACCCCAAACTCTAAAATAAACCGTCACATTGCGAGTATTTCTGAGTGTGGTATCATATCCACTTTACTGGACTAACCACTTGCAATTATGTATGGAAGCTTATTGGCTGTGAACAAGGGTTCGAGAATATCCCTCAGTCCTCCTTTGAGAAGTCATGTTGCGTTGTATGGGCTCATTATAGAATCGCTCATCGGGATTGAAACCCGAGCACTGCAATTATTTATCATTGCCAAAAAGGGATTTCGCAGCCTTGAAAGCATTCTTTGCTCCAGGTGCTGCCCATTGTGCTTGTTGAGTGAATTTTCAGATTTCAGCAAGACTTCTACTTGGAGCCTGGATATTACTGACTGATTCCTTTATACAACAAAAAAACTCTCTTTAATTGATTGAGTCAAAAATTTATTTCCATGATGAGGATGGACTGGTAGCTTTGACTTGAGTGTGTCTATTTGTTCTCGAGCACGGCCGTTCGAACCCTGTGGGCTTCGGAACGGATTGGGCGGCTACGTTGAAAGTTTCAATTGGGTCTATAAGTCCGTGCTATATTCCACGCACATGTATATCAACAGCGGGGTCGAGTATGAATCCACATAAGTATTTTAATTGGCTTATGTGCCACCTGCAAGCACGTCTAGAGGGTAAGAGCCTCAACCCCGCATATTGCCCAGAGCGTCAAGGCCAAAAGTTGGGTAGCATTGCATGAAACTAAATGAGGCTCTTATAACAGCTTTTTGATTGGAGCAAACTACAGATTTGATTATTTATAATTCTTGAAGTCCCCTCTTTCCCAAGATATTAAGGTATTAGAAAGGTCTATGAGGATGATTGGAACTCTGGTGAATACCTAAATGCTTCACCAAGCTTATGTAAAGAGCAAAGGCAATTCGATTCTGGCAAAAATGTAAGGATTCAAAGATCAATAGTGAAAGTCAAGGCGAGCTTTCGTGATAACACTATCTTCTAGCGTATCGTTCGAGAATTGCTGGAGATCGGATTTCAGAAGCTCCGAAAAGCTCAGCAAACTCAGCAGAAGTTTTACATGCAGCAGAAGATCTCCAAAACTCAGAAATATGAAGAACCATTTCACTTTTTCCAAGAGGTATCATCGTTTATGGAGGAAGAGACTCGAATCTCTCGAGGAGCCAATCTACGTGGTGTTCCTTTCTTCCTCAATGTCAATTTTGCTAAAGCCAGGGGGGACCCCCGGTTACTCCCGCTACTTCGCCGCTCAATCGTGACAATCAAACATTCGTCCTCGATACACTTAGTCGTTGCGACAGCAGCTCATAGATCAATCTACTTACCAAGAGCTCTGTAAGAACAATTAGGACATTGGTATTTTACACACACTAATTATCTATATAGGCAACTGCAGCTGTCGCGGTTTACTCCCCGCTATCTCCGGATAAAACTCATTCTGAAATAGATCGTAATGAATATTCTCAAGAAGAATGTGAAGCTCCAGAGAAACAAGACAATGGATGTACTCACGTGCGAATGCCATCTTTCGGCTCTTCAAAACTTGGCCCTCGCCCGGGTGCCAATCGAAAGTCCCCCGACCATTCTAATCTATCTATTGGCAGGGATGACAGAGCGCGCGATAAAGATTTGAGGATCTTTGTGTAGAGAATTGATTCTCTATGTCGAGGCCTCAAAAACGGAATTAAATCTTTCCTGGAATGCTATGGTAGCTTAAAACCTCATTCCACGTTCGCAGAGAATTAATGCCCATTTCCTAAGTCCATGCTTGATTGACTCCAGATTCTGCTGAGCCTTGATGTTCAAAATATATTTTGTAGCGTGACAATGTAATTAGAATGTTTTACAATGTTCACCTGCAGTTCTAACATGATGGTGTAGGTTTCCTTGACAGAAGGCTACAGCGCCGCGAGGGCTACAGGTGGGAAGAAAGCCGCTGCGAACCTTGGGAGAGCCCCACCCTCCCTGAAAACGGCGATGTTCATCTCGAAGGAGAGGATATAAATATGAGCTCGGTATTCCCCTCTTATGTTGACCTGTGAAATTGCGACCCAGAGTCGGTAATCTAGTACGTTATTAGTTAGATGGAACTTCACAGTTATTTTGTATACATAATAGCAGCTTTAGGATTCGGTCCTTTTACAGATTCGTTAGTTTGTATGTGCCATTGAATAAAAGATGTGATCCCTGTCGGTCAGAATGTACCGGTGCAAGCAATTCTTCCCTAGCCATATAGTAACCACGGCTCATGAGGGTTTTCTTTCTCTCAGATACACCTCCCACTATGTACGAGCAATAACTGGGATCTCGGGGCAGCACTGCAAGAGCCACTCGATGACACTTTCACCGATGACAAGAGATATCAGATCAAGGCTGAGATTACAACCGTGCTTTCATGCTATGAAATTTATAAAGAGAGAGGGTAGTGTTGGTGCAGTTTCGTGGAGGGGTGCCTTGATTCCTCTAGACCTTAAATTCCTGACATAGAAGAGAGTAAAAATAATCGTGGTCGCTATCGAAGGCGCTCGCTCCGTAGCACAGGTTCTGAGATCCAAAAGCTGAGGCTCATCATGGGGCAAAGGAACGGTGATGCGGTTGATGCACACAAGTGCAGGGAAATCTGCGACGTGTTTGTCAGTTTCAGGTCGTCAATAACACAAGATGTAGCAAGCAGATGCACGATTGCCAAGCCATGACGTGTCGTTTCGACTATGGCTGCTCCACTAAAGCTCCAGCAGATGTCGGAAACTCATTGCAAGTCATGCCCTTATGCAGTACAAGGGAATGCTTTGCAATCCTGGTTTCAAATAACTTGAGTTTATTCCGCCTCGCATCACGAGCCACAGTCGCCTCACCGGGCGCTTGAGATTGCATAACATATTTGAACGAAGAGAATCTGACTGGGCGCAAGGTATATCTCATGAATCGTGACGCCAATGAGCACCTGTTTAGTATTTCTGCGCGGGAGTGGGGACCGTTTTGCGCCAGAACACGTTGCTCGGAACCCTGCATCTTGTATGTGGAAAGCAAATCGTAGAATATCAAGACTTGTCTACTTTATACCTGCATTGGTGAGTACAGCATTGTCTTTCAATCTCAAATTCAATATATATATAGACTTTATCATCGAGAACTATTCTTCTTTGACCCAGTCGCCTTCATCTTCTTTCTTCTTTCACCTCAATCTTCTTTTTTCTATTCAGGCTTTGATTATCATGCAGCATTAGTCATATTTTCATGTCGATTTAAGTAATTTAAGTCATTCAACAGATCCCAACCCCATCGACAATCTGTATCTTTCATTTTTGGTCTCGTTCTACGACCCTAAACAACATCATGTTCTACCCTTCAGCTCTTCCTGACGAAATCGGACTTCTTGCTTACATAATTCTTGGTGGTGCTATCTATTTGCTATTCTTCAACTTACACCATACTTCCCTCGTCTCACCTCATGTACTACCAAAGGAATCTCTTTGCTCGAGCGATATATTGATTTCAGATCCCGAGTTGTGCCGTCAACTCATTTCGGGCACTATGACTCAGAATTCTAAACAAAATCAGTTGTCATTTTTAAAATCAAGAGCGTTACCTAACCAAAGGCTTCGGACTGTGTTTGCAATCGAGAATGCCTTTACCAGCACTGAAGACGTGGCTGCCGTGAATTTTGTTCGTGATGCCAGCCGGCGTATCAGTCTGAAGCCCGCAGAGTGGTCGAGTCTAAGCCATTTTCTCGTGGACACTGCGAGGCAGTGGATATTGATTGACTCCGACATCGGTGACCTAGGAAGCAGATTACGAAAGTCAATGCTATCAGAGCCTCGTGGGCGTGTCGGGATCAATATCACAAGCTTGGTGCAAGTTTTCACCTTGAAGGCTATCCTGCGGACAGTGTGCAAGGCAGAGGCACAGGATCGCCCTGATGATATAGCCATACTGGAGTTAGCTCAGCAGATCAATCGAGGCTGGATTGAATCAAAAAGTCGAACGCGGACCAGCGGCGATGATGCGAATATGCTTTGCTTCGAGCACAATGAGCCGCTTCAGGCTAGCCTCCGTGCGGTTTTCTCTCAACCAATGGAAGGAGGGCAAAACCCACTCAACTTCGTGTTGCCGTCGTTTGAAACTATGTGGAGAGTCGTACTCCGCGCTTTGTTAGAAATCAAGTTCAAGTCAGGCCGCGACCATCCGTGGTGGGGCGAAACCTTAATTGCATTCTGCCGGGACGCAAGCAAGGTGCAGTTTGAGAAGCGCGAAGGTCAATCCATTATTGAGGAGACACCGTCCGCAAAAGACATTATTATGGAAACAATGAGATTGTATCCTCCGACTCGGCGAATCTACCGGGCGTATCAGTGGGACAATAGCCTAGTGACTTGTGAAGAGATACCGGACCAGGAGATGAACGTACCTGTCCAAAGCTCATTAGATGAGCAGCAATCTTGTCCAGTAAGATACAGCAAAATTGCGGCGAATATTGAGGGGTGCCATTTGAGACCCGATATTTGGGGAGTGAGCGTGGCAATCTTTGACCCAGTTCGCTGGCTGGACCTGACTCCCGAACAGAGGCGCGCCTTCATGCCCTTTGGCTGCGGACCTCATGAATGTCCTGCCAAGGCTGGGTTTGGGCCGAAGATGATAGGTGTCTTAGTTGGTGCTTTACTTCTTGTCTTGGATAACAATGGACTGGAGCCCGGCATGAGTTGGGAGCTCGAGTGCCCCGATGACCAGGTCATGAAGTCTCTGGCGAAAATGGAAAGAATGAGTCTGGAGAGAGATGCTTACGATGATTGTTATTTGGTTCATGAGAGATGTCACAGAAGTTGGGATTTAGACCCCAGTGCCTAAAGCTAGGCTTTGTTTGATTGAGTACGCCATGCGGCTTTTTATGAGCATTTTATTATACATAAACTGCCTTTTGTTTGTTGAATATTGGGCCCGTTACCGACCGGGGCATTCAAAAAGATGTCTCAGGACAGTTGATAAGCGGGAAACATTAATTGAGGAATGCAATAACTTCTTTTCTAAACAATCTTTGATTCAATATAGGCTATGCTCAGATACTATTTCAAATTGACTGCATTTTACTTCTAAATAAGTTACTGCTATTGCGATTTCAATCTTATAAATATTGAATCCCCTCCACGTAGAAACCTCAGCAAGTGAAACAATCTCATTCGTATAATTCAAAAAGATCTCGATTTCATTCATCCAGATTTTAAGAAGTGACACATATCTGCTGCTTTACGCAACGATTCACTGCGAAGACATAGTGAAAATTCTTAAAAAGCTAGTATAATAGACCAAATACACAGGATATTGATTTCTATCCGTGCTAGTCATAAATTTCTTTACTTTATTAACCTTATTATAAATTTTGTTTGGAACTCTCGACCTTCGGACTAGCGTATTAATCAAGCAACAATAATACGTGATATTAAATTACTGGTTTATTTTAATTTTTACCGTTCCTGTACGGACTCAGATGCTTTGAAAGATAGCAGTAGTATTGAACGAAGGTATTAAGCTGAGAGAGAGAAAAAGAGAAAGAGAGAAGCTCCCATCGCAACTATCTACACATAAGCGGCGCCTGCGGAGTCCAATTGTTATCGCGGATTTCGCCTGCGAAAGACACATCAAGGTCTCGAGGCTCGGAGTGTGAGGAAAGAAGTCCTCTTTTCTTTTTGACGGAAAAAGTGCGTTTCCTATGTCATGTCAAGTACGCTTACCGGCAGCGACCACTGGCGTATATTTTGCCGGACCCGGAGGTTTCCACTTGACATTCGTACCGTGTGGCCGCGTTTTCGCTGGGCATTGACGCGGCTTTATTCACTGAATGGATTGGTAGGGGGCCATGGTAAGAAAATATTGAATTCTATGTGTCGCAGCGGGGAAAAGTCGCAAGTGGTGAAAGTAGATATTTACCTATACTAACAATGAATATCGTCCGGTATACGACTGGCACGATTGAAATCACCCATACGGATGCCAAACATGGTCTTTATGTAGAGAATTGGATAAAGTGTTCTAGGGCTTTTCGCAAATTGGTATTTGTAGAATGGTATGTTTCCTAGTCTTAAAATAAGTCACTAAGAATTGACCTTGATTAAGCTGATTTTCCATTATTATTGCCCATACCTTCGACCTGAACGAAGAAGATTTTCCGAAAGTGAGATCCTTTGACTTTCGCATTCTTATATGATCTCGAATCACTGTACGATCAAATCGTGTAGCTTGATCTTTTAGCTCTCTTCGAGCCTCGATATTCTGGCTTGTCATGTATGTCATTATGCACTCCCTATCCAGAATTGTTTACGAGCGCTTACCTTAAAGACATGTGTGTCTTTCTTCTGACATAAGAGTACCTTTGAGCCTATGTCAGTATATTCCATAATCTGCTGTAAGTAAAACTGAATTCTGCGCGGGACGATATCTCTAGGCTCGAAACTAGCTGTGGATTGCTAGCGCATGACAGTGAAAGTCGAACTTCACCTTCATATCTTTGGCAGGTTCTTAGCCCTCTATATCATCATTTGAAAAAAAATCAGAGACGAATATCGGGCACCAGAAGCTCCGGGGCAAATCGTTAATTTTGAAAAGCATATCAATAATGGCCACTACTTTTATTTATCAACCATTGTTCCCCCCATATGTCAAGCTCTTCATGTATTGCAAACATCCAATGTTATGGCAAATCCATGAAATCGAATTTAAAACTCTATTTCAAAGTCGATGAAATTCACCCACCCATTCATCCCCTCCATCCATGCTATATACAGTTATTCATGATGTGATAACAGAGAAATCGCCCGTAGTTGCCCGGTGAAGCCGCTTACTATTTCTCGCTCCAGGAGGCCGATCGGTGGTGAAATCATCCTCTTCACATAAATATGTATGGGCATTAGCGATTCTTCGCGAGGCAATCCTTAGAAAAGTATTAAAATCTGCTCAAATATGGAGGGGTGGATCATAGGATTCAAAAATAGAAACGTAAAGGATCTGAACTGCTCTAATGCCCATCCCTTAACAATTTAGTTAGTTATAACTATGGTCCAGAATACCGATTGCTGTCATAGAATCCGCGGGATTATTCGGCACAGGTTATATTCATCTCCGAGTGCTGTTTCTCTCCGACACATTTGAGGATCACCTGTATCATGCGATCTGGATTAAGAGGCTTCGAGAGATAGCCGTTCATTCCCGCCGCAATGCATCTCTCGCGATCGCCAAACATCGCATGGGCGGTGAGAGCAACTATTGGCGTGCGTGACAGATGGTTCGAATGTTCATGGTCCCGAATTTTAGAGGTGGATTCAAACCCACCCATGACTGGCATTTGAATGTCCATCAAGATCACATCAAATTGCCCTTTTTTGGCTTGCACAAAGGCATCCAGACCATTATCGACAACAACAACATGATGATTGTGCTTCTCAAGTATTTTAACCGCTACCTTTTGGTTGACCTCGTTGTCCTCCGCCAGCAGGATTGACAAAGAATATGTCTGTCCTGTGGTGGTACGCGACGGTCGGCTCTCGAATGCAGGAAGTATGCCATTTCCAAGATCGATCAAATGGCAGGGCGTTGTCACATATGAGGTGATGCTTAGATCCAGTGCTGCCTTCATGCTTACCGACATAGCAGGTCCTATTTGGACGGCAGGAACCGACTTGAAGTTGTCCAAGGCTCTTAAACCAATCAATGTCTCCATAGTCTCAAACAGGACGACTTCAGATTGGGAAGCTGTTTCCGCTTCAGATGGATCAGCGTTTCTTTGTGCCAGTTCTCGTATGGTCGGACTCATAATTGGATGAAGCTCGAGTTCTGTTAACATGTCACATATCTTTTCTAAAAGGCCATGGTCATAGCCCTCTGTAAGAAGAAGGACCCCGTGGCCCCGGTAAGGCATCAACCGCTGGGACATAGCCTCGCGAGACAACATCCCTCGCTTAACGGTGCATGTGAAATGAAAGGTGCTACCGGAACCCACAGCTGATGTGACCCATATATCGCCACCCATCAGGTTTGCTAGTCTCTTTGATATCGACAGGCCAAGGCCTGTGCCACCAAATCTTCTGGTTGTTGAACCATCGGCTTGCTGAAATTTGTCAAAAACCAAGTCGAGCTTGCTATCGTCAATACCAATTCCGGTATCTGAAACAGTGAACTCAAGGTTACATTCATCGGGATCACATCGTCTTAATTTCTGTTGCTTCACAGTAAGTTGGATCTCTCCATGCTCGGTGAATTTGATGGCGTTCCCGACTAGGTTGAGTATGATTTGCCGGAGCCGGAAAGAGTCCCCAACAATGAAGTCAGGCACCGAGTTGTCAACACTGTAAGAGAGGCTTAGGGCCTTTTCATTGGCTTCGACTGCAAGGGCCTTCAAGGCGTTAAAGACGATATTGCCGAGGCTGAAAGGAATATCTTCAATGACCACGTGGTTTGCTTCAATCTTTGAGATATCCAGGATATCATCGATGATCGTGAGCAAGCTATTCCCAAGACCATGGACAACATTTAACATCTCTCTTGCACCTGGTAGCAGGTTGTCCATATCCAGGGTTAACTGCGTCATGCCAATAATACCATTCATTGGCGTTCGGATCTCGTGGCTCATATTAGCAAGGAATTCTGATTTGCTTCTATTAGCGAGTTCAGCTGCTTCTCTCGCCGCCGTATTGCGCTGAATACTGTCGCGTAGACTTGAGACCATCTTATTGATCTTTTGTTTGAGCTCGTCCATCTCCCCAGATGCGCTGACTGTGATCAATTTGCTGAAATCTCCATCTGTGGCTGCGTTTGTGATTTCCCCGAACGCACGAACCTGGGAAGTCAAGTTGTCGGCCATAGTGTTAACATCTTCGGTGATCTCTTTCCATCGACCACCCATGCCAGCAATGTTTGCCTGTCCCCCCATTCGTCCCTCAACGCCAACATCACGTGCGACCCGCTTGAGTTCTTGAGCGAACTGGTCCAGTTGATGTACCATATCATTGATAGTTTCTTTCAAAGTTAAGATCTCCCCCCGGGCATGGACCACTATCTTCTTACTTAAATCACCCCTGGCAATTCCCTGGGTAACTTCCGAGATCGCTCGAACCTGGAAGGTCAGGTTTTGAGCCATTGTATTCACGTTGTCCGTCAATGTCTTCCACTCGCCCTCGACATTAGCGACAACAGCCTGACCGCCTAGCGTTCCATCAATCCCGACTTCGCGTGCAACTTTGCTGACCTCAAACGCAAATTGGTTCAGACGGTCCACCATGTCGTTTATCGTGTGCTTCAGGTCCGCAATTTCGCCTTTGACATTGGCGGTCACCTTTTTCGTAAGATCACCCCTGGCGACAGCAGTGGTAACATCTGCAATTTCACGCACCTGGGTCGTCAGGTTCATTGCCATCCGATTGACATTCTCTGTCAAGTCTTTCCAGACTCCTTCAACATCATGAACTGTGGCTTGACCCCCGAGAGCACCATCTGTTCCAACCTCTTTCGCTATCTTCGTGACTTCTTGTGCGAATTGTCGGAGCTGGTCGACCATTGAATTGATGATTTCTTTCAGAGCAAGAATTTCGCCTTTACATTCCGCTTGAACCTTCTGTGTAAGGTCACCAGTTGCGACTGCAGTTGTTACCATGGCGATGTCTCGAACTTGTGTTGTTAAGTTATTCGCCATAGCATTGACATTAACAGCAAGTTCACTCCATATTCCTTGGATGCCATAGATCTGTGCTTGTCCACCAAGGACGCCTTCAGATCCAACATCTCGCGCCACACGATTGACCTCCATGGCAAATGTACGAAGCTGGTCCACCATCGTGTTGATTGTTTGCTGAAGATTGAAGATCTCACCCCTAGCAGGCCGTTCAACCTTCTGACTAAGGTCACCATGAGCGACAGCTGTCGTAACAAGGGCAATCTCCCGGACTTGGTTTGTAAGGTTAGATGCCATGACATTCACATTATCGGTGAGCTCCTTCCAGACGCCATGCACCCCGACTATCTGGGCTTGGCCACCCAGGATACCATCTGTTCCTACCTCGCGTGCCACTCGGGATACTTCACTCGCGAATATCTGTAACTGGTCCATCATTGTGTTGATCGTGACTTTGAAAGTCGTAATATCAGGATCCATCTCGAGTGGATGGATCTGGACTCTCGTGGTAAGATCTCCGTCCGCGACTTGAGTAATGATCCCCCCCGATTTCCCTGAGTGCCTTTTGGAAAGCTTCATTCATCAGCTGACGTTTTCGCACCTCCTGTTCCATACTCTGGAGATGATCGACATGACGGATCAGTGATGCAAGCTGGTGCTCCAGTGCCGTCTTTGACTTGCTTCGTTGTCCGGGTAGTCTCCATGATCCATTACTCGGTGGGGTCTTAGAAACGTCAGCTCGGAAGCATGGGCAATACTTGAGTCTAGACTTGCCAATTTTTGATTGCCCTCGACAAGTGCTTGAATACCGGCGGCTATTGTGGAAAGAGCCTCATCTTCAGAGGACATCATCGCTGTGATGATCTGGCCGCAAATTTTCGATGTAATCAAACACAGTCTTGGTTGTATATCACAGAAGTCAATCTAACTGCACAGAGCGTTAATTAACTTAAGAGACTGAGCTGGCTACTGATGACTTCCAAATATCAAATACCACGTCCTCGCGTAATATAGGACTAAAGGGTCCTTTTGAGGGTTTATTTGGGTCTTAGAAAATGCATTCAAGGTGATATGGTCAGATGAGCCCTGCACCTTTTTCCGCAGCATAACCTGTCGCGGAGATTCATGGTGATTTTTAGTCATCCCTCGTGTTGATAATACTTTTTGTCTCTCTCTCGGGGGGGTGCTCACCAGTGTGGTGGGACCGCAGCGCCCTGCCGATCGAGACCATATAGATTTAGAGAATTGCGGGGGCAGTCAGGCCTAGAAGCACGCCACACTATACACTAGGCAAACTTTGCCGATCCGTTATCCACCGAAGCTCTATTTACTCGCAAGATAGATCTTCCATCTTTCGTCAACCACTTGCACTCCGCAGGATTGGCCAGTATCGGAGAGACAGTAGATTCAAATGGATGGAAGAAATTTCCATTGATCCTGACCCCTCACAATGTCGGAGTCTAAAACTGTCGCAAAATTGTGATGCACTTTTTCTATCCAGGAGCAGATATGACTACTTATAGACCTCGTGGATGCCTCGATACTACCCCCCGCAGCAGCTCCCTTGTGATACTCTTAGAGAAGAATCTGGAATTCAAACTCGCTAAGAGGTCAGGGTAAATGACATGGTGACGTGCGCTCCGCACGCTGTAGCCCTGAAACGAAAACGAGAGAAGGTGAGCGACTGGTCATTTGGAGCCCCGTGTATGCAAGCCGAACTTAAGCCACCATGTCCATGTAACCGGCCCCACATTAAACTTTACTTCTTTAATAACCTCACACAGTCAAGGGAGGCAGGAAGAGTATATTCTGGCAGTAAGGGGTCACCTGTTGCCGCTGGCCCAGGCCGTAGCGTCCTGTAGAGTCTAGATACCCCCAGGTCAGGCTAGGATGGTGGGGGGTGGGCGAAGCTGTAGAAACAAGAGACATCGGATTTGACGAGCCTGTCTAGAATTGGTGGTTTTGATTGTACAGAAAATAGTAATAATAGTAGTAGTAGTAGTAGTAGTAGTAGTAGCTTTCAATAACACTGAGCTCTCGCAAAGTTGGCTTATCCAACTAGACCAAAAACGAATCTGTTTCCAGCCTAGTGAATAAGGTTTCTAATCAAATTTGCAAGGGGTCAGTGCAAATGAAAGCTACTACTACTACTACTACTACTACTACTACTACTACTCCTGCTGCTGCTGCTGCTGCTACATGCCTGGTGTGGGCTAACCCTAAGTCAGAATATCTACTTAACCCGGGAGTCAACTGATGATAACTGTTGTGATATGAGGCTGCGGTACATCAGGAAGCAAGCCGCATCATCGGAATCAATCCCAAAGTGTCTGTACGAACAACAAAGTTGATTTCCAATCAAATTATTCTTCTCGTTGTACACATAGCCTCGTGTTTCTCTCTAAATAATTAAAACATAATCTATACTTCTAAATTACAAGAATAACCAGGTAAATAATTCTCCTGTCTTTCAGATTGAAGTCAAAGAAAGACATGTTCACTTGAAATCTAAGAGACATACCTAGGTATACCTATCTTAGACTCTGTAATATCGTATCGTTTGAGGGTTAAAACTATATAGTTTAGATTAGGAATTACTATAATCTGGTAAATTAAATATATCAATTCAATCAGCTATCATTCTACGTATAGATAACTTGGCTTATACTCAATATTAAAGAGAGCACCGCGATTGAGCGAAGCATACTATGATATCTCTCTTCAGATCTTTAGATGATGCATCTTGGTTTCCCGTGGTCTTCCTTCTAGCTATACGGTCTATTCTTGGTGTAGGCCCTCCGACTAAGTCAGGTTTTCATTATTTCTCCACGGCCCTTAAATTATCTGACTGAAATCATAATAATACTCTGAATTAGACTGATCATGGAGGTATAAAAGTATGAGAGCGAAGTAGATAAGTAAGAAATCTTCAAGTTTTTCAATCCAAATATTCTACCTAAATAGCCTAGAGATAATCAATCACCTCCGCTTCGTAAACAATCCATGAATATTTCCATATCAAACGGTTTACGTCCCTCCTCTTGCTTCAGTAATAACCGATCGGGATGGTATGGCTCTTTCTTCATCCACGCAGACTATTTCTCAATCACTGCAAATATATCCTTGAGCGAGGACTCGAACCATTTTCCGTGTATTTTAAATAACTCTGACAATAAATAATCGCTTGGCGGTGCTTCAATTCTGCATGACATAACTTCTCAACATGGTCGGCATTTGGAACGAGCGCGGCCTTGGTAGCAATTATTGGGAACAAGAGGTTTGACTTTCGGTTGCAGTCAAAGCCCCACTCCTCGTGGCGCTTTCTGATAGAGCGCGTGGTATATCCAATTTTGACGAAACCTTTGTTTCATTCAACTTTATAGATATAAAGTTGGCTACTTTTCTGATAATCGGCACTTAAGCGATTGATTATCTGCCTCTGTACTCTATCACACGAAGCCTGATGATCATCCGGCCTCCTGCCTCTTTCGGCAATATCAGAAGCCGTCGTATCGTGCCGTTCCGGCCAACATATAACCGGATTCTTGACGGAGCAGACACATTTAGGCAATAACATCGAATTATTTTCTAAGCTTGTCAAGGATTGTATATCATCCACTTTGGTCGTAATATTTGCCAAAATCTCTGTAACTAAAACCTGTCGTTGGGGGTCACCTGTGGTGTTGGTCTTCTTTAATTAGTCTGAAACCAAGCTTACCTTCCCAAGGATGTCCTCGATCCTCTTCCTCCATAATTTCAGCTCTTTGGGTGAGCTCTGCTTTGTATAAAAATGACAAAGCCTATTTACCGTTCAAGTGGATTTCGGCCCCAGAAGGTTTCTCGATTGTTTGCGTGCATTTTGAGCCTTAACCCTCCAATAGGCTTATTGTAGCGCTTGTTCTTCCCATTGGTTCCTTTAAACTGAGTGTTATTTCGACCAAAGCAGAGTTTAATTTTTCTCTCGATTGACGTGCTATGCGTGTCCCCGTTAAGTCCGTTAGTTATGGCCTCTATCCATGAATCCAGTCGCATTTATTTTACATATCCATGTCTGTGACGATAGCAATACACAAGGTTGACTCACTTCTCCAAGTCAAGTTAAAATTGGGGAGAAGACGGATGAAGCATAATCATTGAATCGATGTGGATATCAATATCGTCATGGCGCTTTTCCGCTATAAAGCAATCGCATTGCCCCTGCTTTAGTGTGAGGCCCCCACACCGCCAGTCGTCGATACCAAAGAGTTTTTTCCAGGTTGATGGCTTTAGAAGTACTGCTTTATATCTTTGATATGCCTCTGGGTTACTCAAGCGAGTGACAGGGCTCACAGAGTTGATTGAAATAGTGGTGACCGCCGACGAGAGGGCTGCAGAAAAGCAAAGTGTTTAGTCGAAATTCTCATTGGTTATATAAGTATCAACCTTTTCCCCACGCGGCAAATTTGGAGGGCTTGGATAGACAGCTGCTTTCCTGATGTCGGGATTATCGGGGATGAAAGTTGTATCGGATGGAAAAGGACGTGATATTTTCTGTCCGACTTCATGACCAAAAATGAGATGCAGTGATGCAATAAACGGTTAGTGAGCCACAGCTCTCGATGGAGACTCGGTTCTTGTTAACGCTGTAAGTCGGGAGGTTGTGAGGAGCGATAAAGACAAAGCGAACAGGAACCTGGCGATATCAGATGCGATGCGATCTGATCAGTTACGAAATGAAGTAGTGACCACGTGGCTTCAGTTTATGATAATTTAGATGTTGATCGGATGAGAAGTTTTACGATGTTAAATTGGGGAGATGGGAAAATATCGAGTGGCTAAGTGAATGGATGCCTGATGCGAGCCATAAGCTAAGGACAAGATGGGGCAACGAGGCGCGAATATGTGCATTACGTATATTACTAATACAATGCAATACCTGATGTGATCCGGACTCTCATCTCTAGAACAGACTACTGTGTCTTGGCATTGGGGTTCGAAAATGAATTGAAGAGCGTAACTACTCTAATATAGATTAGCGAGGTTTCGGGCACGGCCCGAAAAACAAAGTTGGAGTGTCTGGGGGGGTAAACTGTTTTCGGATACTGCTGTAAACACCGATTCCTCCAGGCTGCTTTGTAATTGGACATAGGGAAAGTCCAAGGTGCCCTTGGTGAGGAAAAGCTTGCCCAAAAAACCAAAGATAAAAGCACCTGATTGTGAAAACAAGGGAAAGAACTCCTCAATTAACCGAGAGCACATAAAAAGCTTAAATTCATGGAAAAGACCAAGTTGCATCTTATCTTATTTAACTTTTAAGATGCATTATTACTATCTTTTGTGGTCTGGTGTCTGGTATTGTCACTCTACGTACTTTTTAATATTTTCACTGTATTAAGCTAAATCAAACGACTGGAATATGGAGTGCGATATACAGTATGTCTCGAAACTGGTGCACCCACCTTCACTCTTCGAGGGATTGTCTAGTCCCACTCCCAAAATACACTAGTCTATCTTGGCGAATAGTCCCGGGGTATCAATATAATTGTGTCAGTGCCAATACCATGATCTACTTCCCTAAAACACGTTGCCTTGTCTCGTAACTGTATTGGCGATACAAGGGAGCTAGAAGTTTTCAGATAAATACGAATGAGGTAAACTCTAGATCTGTCGCTTCCCTCTACCACTCCTATGTTTAATTACAGGAAGTTTTGAGGTGGTAGCTTGAATCACAAGAAATTATCTGACATATCCAATATTTTTATGTAGTTGTTGCACCCCTTCGAAAGGGGTGCGGTGGCAGGTGGATAGGTGCTTGGCCGATTGGCAGGCAAAACGCATGCCAATTCGTTGACTCCTGAAGGTTGGTAATAGAAGCCATTCTGGGCCAGTTGAAGCTGTGTGACGCCAGTGAGTACTATTTGGAAGTAACGAGCTCATGGTGGAGTAGTACCATATCCCCGATATTTAGCATGTGGAACTGAGTGAGACACCGCTCCCTCCATTACATCCAATACCACCTGAGCCATTGCCTTGGTGTTGACCGTGCCACTGCCGTCACACTTGGACCAATAACATATTGCGATATCACTGCCAAAGCATGAAGATTCATCCCATGGAGTCTTTAGGTTTCGGCTAAGTGGAGAGACAAGGTCTTTTAATCCTTGCTTAGCGCGTTACTCCCTGTCACTTGTCTTTCCGAACCCGTGTGTCCGAATCCATCCCGGCAAGTAGAGCTTCTTCAATATGCGGATTTTTATTGACGAATGATTATGCGGCAGCAGTGTGTCCGTTTGGATATAAGTATGGATGTTTTCCCAAGAGGGGGTGCTACTGTAGAAGCTAGACAACCCATTCCTGATATTATTTTTTGGCAGATTCTAAGCTTGTGGGAAATTAGTGCAATACCACCACATAGGTGAGTTTTCCGCGATATGTTTGATATCTATTTTAGCTAATGAAATATTCAAAGAATGTCTACGGGATGGGGTATTTGTACTGAATGCGGAGAAAGAGTGCATTATTCAAGTTACTGTGGCCATGGTAATCATGGATCTTGCTGTCCCCTTTGTAGTATGGTTAGTATCTGATGCTTATGCTCCCTAGCTTGCAAGGATATGAAGAGATTTTAAGTGATTGTTCAGGATAAGGATAAACCTCCGCTAAATCTCGAACTGAACTTGTCAAGCACGGCCCCTTTTTATGGGGCACACTCGAACCCCGCAGGTTACGGAGCTAGCGTGCATATGACGGAAGGATTGCGGCCAACCAACTTGGCCTCGGAGGCGTTAGATCAAAATCACGTAATGACCCAACGTCAGGTGACCATGAGAGACTACGATTACGAGATTCAACGTCACCTGACTACTAAGATTCTCTAGATAGCACTTATCGGGCGATGTGTGGGACGCATCAAGTGATGAGAAGTATAGGGGTCGGCACGAATAAAAATCCGTAACCATTTAACGTGTGCGTATTGGAGTTCCTAACTTCCAAATTTTTACGAGTACGAGGACTCGCTCAACAATTGCCCTGTCTCTGGATGTAAATACCAGCTTACAAGCTCAATACGGAAGGTATTTTAGGTCGCAATATACAAATATGTCGGAATTCTGCCAAGGAAAGGAATCCGGGATGAGCCAACTCCAAAGGGAATAGTTGGGTTCAAAAGAGGATTCGAGACAGAAACTCCATGTGCAATTGGTGAAACTGATTTCGATCCATTCTCCACAAGCTGTTGGGTCTGGCTAAAGAGTAGGCCAGAGCCACGACTGAGGAAGAAGCTACCCCACAAATATAAGTCTCCAGAATAAAGTTGACAACACTGGATATCATATGGCTCCAAGCAGCCGCCAGCAAAGGCTTGCCAGAGAATATAGGGAGATATGCTAAACAAGTAGATACAGCTCTCTCAGGGAAATGAACCTAGTAGCTATATAACTAATTATCGTAGATTGAAGGAAGTTTAATGGCCTAACTCTAGACTACTTAGCTATATTAACTAATACAAATAAAATTTCTTTAAACTAACTTTTACCTACTATCTTGTACTAGTAATAACTAATAGATATATTTTCACTGTTCAGAATAGAATATTAAATTCTTGAAAAAGTACCTTTAAACTAGTCTACTAACAAAATTACTATTTTACAAGGATCTACTATAAGAAAATTAGTTTAGATAACATATGCAGAAAGTAACTATATATAGGCTGTAAGGAGATATTTTATGTATCAAAATATTTATCGGTAAACTGAAATATATCTATTAATTTGCCATATTTAAAGATGTATAGTGGGAATACCTAGGTATTGTTCAATAATAATAGTATTATTGAAAAACTTGCATGTAATTAAGACAAATAAGGGAGTCAAATAGGCTGGCCAATGTGCGGGACTAGATAAGTGTATCATTATTGAAGAAATGCGTATTGTCTACTCAAACATATTTTCCGAGGACAAATCCCGCCCGATAAACATAACACAAGTATTAGGTTCGAACATAATGACCTTCTCTAAGGCCCTAATCTTTATCATGGATACGGGAAATCCTCGATTCAGCATTGAGGTTGCCAAGTAGCTCTCCAAAATTCAAGCATTGCTCGCTATGTATTGCCCCACGTTCTCTGACTATAAACCATGCTAGCCATTCGTAAACTTGATCACTAATACGTAGTCTCATAGTTTGTTGAATATAGCTGAATCGAATAAAACCATCCACGACACTTCAAAGAGCAAGTAGAATTACCCCAGGTGGGGATAGGTGTTTCACGAAATCGTAGTCCTCTCTCTCGATAATATGTTTCAGTTAAAAGCTGGTCTGGCCTTTTTGATATAAATTTTCAAAGCCCCCTTTAGTTATACGACTTGATAGCATTATAGGCCCTTACCGAAATAAATACTCATCATATGCATCACGCCTCGTCACGTCCATCACGCCCATCACGCCCATCACGTCCATCGCGTCCATCACGCCCATCACGCCCATCGCGTCCATCTCGCCCACGCAGCCCCCCAGGTTCTCGGTCCGCTTGAATTACTCCAATTTCTCGCAGCCCGGGTGTGGTAAATGGTAGGCAGGGCCCTTGACCTCCTTGGCTCCCTGGTTCCCCCCGACGTCCTTGGCGTCCTCGATATCCACGACGACCTCGATCTCCTTGTTTTCCTGTTTCCCCTCGAAACCCTTGATACCCCCGAGGCCCTGGATTTCCCCGAGGCCCTGGATTTCCCCAAGGCCCAGGATATCCCCGAGGCCCTGTGTTTCCCTGAGGCCCTGTGTTTCCCTGAGGCCCTGTGTTTCCCTGAGGCCCTGTGTTTCCCTGAGGCCCTATGTTTCCCGGAGGCCCTATGTTTCCCTGAGGCCCTGTGTTTCCCTGAGGCCCTGTGTTTCCCTGAGGCCCTATGTTTCCCTGAGGCCCTGTGTTTCCCTGAGGCCCTATGTTTCCCGGAGGCCCTGGATCTCCCCGATGCCCTGGATCTCCCCGAGGCCCTGGATCTCCCCGAGGCCCTGGATCTCCCCGAGGCCCTGGATCTCCCCGAGGCCCTGGATCTCCCCGAGGCCCTGGATCTCCCCGAGGCCCTGGATCTCCCCGAGGCCCTGGATTTCCATGAGGCCCTGGACTTCCCCGTGGGCCTTGGATTCCGTCCTCACCTCGTGCACCGTCCTCGCCTCGTGCACCATTTTCCCCCCGAGACCCACGGGCACATCTTCTACAAATTAAACACCACCCAAGAATAATGGCCAATGCAACTGCAACGCCTGTTAAGGCGCCTATGATGGCTTTATTGCGTTGATGACTTGAACCTTCTGCCTTGTCGGAGTTAGAAACTGCGGTATATGATTCATGGATCGTTGCTTCTGGTGAGGGGATAGGCCCAAGAGTAATTATTGTTGTATATGTGGTGTAAGCCTTTGTGATAGGTAAGGTTAAAAGTCGAATATCCGGGCTATTATATTCATATTGGAAAAGTTTATCAGATGACATAATCAATGTCTTCTGTACACTGCATTGTTTTTTCTATAGAATAGACTAAATCTATCGCTTATATGCTGCTTTCCTAACCTTGCTCATATTATACTAACCCTGGCCATGATAACAAGAAAACAAAGGGCCAACGATTATGCGAAATAAAATTGTGATCTGAAAACGAAGTGTCGACTTGGGCGTTCATCTAGCCGCGAATTTTATCCAGATATGCTGTGCCACATCATACATACGTTATGCATGATGCAAGTAGATTGGTGCGAACTATGCTCTCTGTACGTGAACCCATGAGATACTTACAAGACTATCGTGTGACAGCTTAAAGTGGAATATGCCCAGTGCGCTACAGAATCAAACTATAATGATTGGACTGAACATTGCGAAACACAGGGTCATACAACTACTCTAAGCTGCCCAGGTGTCGTAGGACATACGTTCAGATAGTGCCGCCTAAATATATTTCTCCCACCAGTAAAGTTCCACCGAGACATGCTGTAGTTGATAGGGAAAAATGTCACCTTAACAGAGATTCAAATCCAAATTGAGCCCTCCATCTATAGATTGTGTGCATTTTGATCACATTTTCAGCGGCTATAGGTTACGTTTGCGGTTAAGAGACGTAATTCTCAAAGTGACTCTGGCGAGCTGAGCTGGGTTAATTTTTGCTTTTAGAAACAGTTGCTGTGCCATAGGATATAACCCCACGCTCAATATCGCTCTGAAACTGCATCACTTGCATCGATTATTATGAGTAGCTCGTTTTAACCACCCCCCTCCCTTCGTATCTAAGATAGGGAATATCTACTCAGGTGACAATGGCCGCTCGCAAGCCCCTGTACATACACGCTTTTATGTATTTTCATGGCCTAGCGAAGCTAGTTTTGGTTTCTCTATTGATCACTCATCTCATATGAGTTTCTATAAAGATCGACAGCTAAAGCCCTGAGAGGCCATCTTTCCTCGTTCCCTGACAGCTCTCATGCCTCCAGGATTGACATTTGAGCAGGTAGTCTACTACTTAAATAGGAAAGATCATTATTTTTCACTACCTCATCAGAATTAGGGATTTCTTTTTCCCTCTTTCGGTCGCAACTAGGAGGTTGGCATCTTCACCAGAATGCATCCAGCCAAATCTTGCAGCGCACAGTTATATCCACTGATGCGAAGACCGCAAAGTGCGAGAAATAATAAAGGTGAAAAGCCAAGCCTTGCTAGGCATTATACGGGTGTATTCAAAAGCGTAACTGCTGGCACAAACTGCCCTGAAAGGGGCTAATATCGAGACCAGCCGCCTTAGCTCGAATCAGGGGCGCTAACTAAACGATATTTCTTTTTTTTTTTCATTTTCTGGTTTATGTACCCTTTTCGCGGCGTGTTCTATAACCTCTCCAGCCAATCTACTTTAAAAATCTGATGCCATGATACTATAGAATTCCTTCTTCACCCCAGAGGGCTGGTATGTCTGATTGGGTAGACACACCTTTCTGTACTTTCATCTAATTATCGTTTCTGGCGGCCTTCGCCCCACGGAAATTTGTTGTAAAACTTGATCCGTCTATGTCTTCTTGTGAGTGACAGCTGTTCATAATGCTTATATAGGTTCTCAACAAAAAGGTGCACTCTTTGGAAGCGGCCGCAAATGCGTAGATCTACAGAACGTAAATGGAAACGTAAACAACCGATGACTAAAGCCCATGGAGCCATCACATGGTAACTATCTCAGCCATAAACCCGATTCGAAACCCCAATATAGAGATATGACGTCTTCTGGACACTACACATGAACGGAGTATTATTTTTTGACTTGTCACTTATTGACTATCGCCGGCTAGACGAACACATAGTGACGCAATTTGCAACCAGTCTTCATCGATGACTTTCAGTGTCCTAGATAGTCAGCAGATTCCTAGGGAGAATGATGCCTGCAAAGCCAAGCACCAGAGATAGCGTGGTGGTGGAGCTCAACAGTCCGGATGAAAAGCACCCATGCCTCACCAACACAGCGCGTAATAAGATGAGACAAGCCGAGCAATCAGAAACATGGCCTGTTGAAGGCGTAGGGGTCTTTCCCCGACGCATAGTAAGAGAACTCGTGGAAGCAGGGCGGGGTATTTATTCAGTAGAAACAGAGGGAATGCCAGCAGCGGACGCCCAAGGCCTCATGCAGCTCGTCAGGCCGCAATGCAGGAAGGGGGCCCTAGGGCCGACCACAGACTACAGCACCAGGTTTGTTGATTTGTTAAGCAATACTTCAATGTTCATGTGACTAAGGGGGATTAATTGTGTGTCGTCTTGCATGTTTTGTCTAAGATACAAGAAAGTTGTAACTAAGAGACTGGTATACTGTTACTGTATAGGCCTCGCCGAAACCGCCCACGAACGGCACTCAGCCAAGCGTGGGTAGAAAAATAATGTGACTTTTGACCCACCTTAGGCCAATCATTATTCCGCGATTTCTATCTATGCTGACCATCTATAATAACTAATAGATGCTAAGGTTAGTGTAACAGCAAATGCCTGCGCTCACGTGCTATTCAAATAGTCCAAAAGAACTATCAATATTGAAGCACTCGCTTCGATGTGCGTAAGCACCACTATATACAGTAAGCACGAGCTTTCTTTGTAACGGCTTATCCCGTTACAGCTTAGCTATTCTCATAAGTTTGATCAGAATAGTATATTATGGATAGTATAGGGGGATCTTATCTAGGCCAGAAGCAATATCAGTTACGAGTATCTATCCTACACTAGCAGCTGAAAACTAGTGCTAGATCAAGTGTATCTAATAGAAAATTACTTTGACCAAGTCCCAATAAAGATAGGGATTTAAAGCTGCCACTTTTGCCTATTTTATAAATAAAGGTGGCAAGTATATTCTTATCACCAGAACAATTTGGAAGCCAAGCAACTATGTTATCAAGTCACTATAACAAAGTTGTCTATTTTCCCCCAATATTATGCTTAAGGCAGCCGCTATCTGACCGAATGATTCCCTGATTTCACCACTGAGGCACACGGTCTCGCCAGCAGAAGCAGCCTCGCAAAGCACGGCCAGCCGATTGCTTCGGCTGTCACAACTCACCATTGATGATGCAAGAGATATAAGACTAGTTATTATCCCCAGGTGGAGAAAGCCTGCTTGTTTGTCACATGTGCCCTACACGACGCGCCACGATGCGTACTGCGCTTGCACTCGAACAGCCTTTCCACGCGCCCGAATACCACCGCATGCTGAGTTGAACCAAAATGCCCAAGTGAATATGAACACTGATTTCAAAATTTTGGTGGAAGTGTTCAAAAAGCAAAAATCACCCACGAATACTCGGGAAATAACTCGGAAGAAATCAGCCAGATTGTAATTTGAGGGCGGACTGCATGAGTGAGATCCGTCGTTCCGACGCAAGTTCAACTGAATGTACCTTGCCGGAATTGACCGAGTCAAAGAGCAATTGATGTGAGCGCGAAGCCCTCCAGTTTGAAACATGCAGTGGCACCATTGTTCCAGTCCCCACCAAGCGCGTGCTAGGGGGAACAAGGCAGTGCATTGACGCGTCACAGTGCGTCGCGTAGGGCACCTGCAGCATGCCCACACGGGGAGAGAAATCTCCACCGCTAGGAGATGAGGAATTCTATTGGAACTCTGCTCTCCCAGCTTTTTAGCATATCTCGCGCTCCTGGGTTTGAGTCTCGGCTTTGATAGGGTCGTATTATGTTCGATCTAGCCATTTCAACGTGGACAGATTGATAAAGCGGTAGAGGTGTTGCGGTTGCGATGATAGCTTGCTTATTCAGACTTGTTGCTTCTTTGCACCGTTTGTCTCTAAGTCTCTTGCGACTTTTCGTTTCGGGTTGTAACGATGCAAGAATACCCTCGAGAGTATGTTGATGCAAAACTGAATTGTGTATTGGCATGCCACGTTTGGCTGCAGCCGCTATTTGTCGGGCAGTTGCAACTTGTTGTAACTTCCCGCAAAGTAAGTCGTTCAGAAGTTTGACCCTTTCTATTTACTACGTGTTAGAAATTTCTTTGCCATTTTCGATGTCAGGGATTACCATTTTTTCCTAGATCTCTAGCCTTTTGAAAACGGACACCATGGGGCCACCAATCTGGCTTCTGTTGATTCAGGTATCTCATAGTTGGCTGGAGGAGATGAGTCCATCTGCAAATGAGCTTTTCGCAAACAGAACGGGGTAAAGTATTGAGCCTTTCCTGGTAAAGGCCTGCACTGTTGCTAAGATTACTAGCCCCGTCAAAGATAGCTTCGGCTGTAGATTCACCAGAATTCATCAAGGCCCGTGGAGGTGTAAACCCTAATGTTTCCATACATAGCTCTTCGTTATCCTCAAAATCAACAATCGTCTGATCTTAAAATAAAAATCAAATTCAACCTCAAGGACCTCCTACCTTTGCATAACGTTTTGGATCGTTTAGTATGTTTCTCGTGCAAACTAAACACTCTTAAAAAGGTTGGTAATGTTCGATTCAAAGAATTATGCCCTTCAAAATATCCCTTCATGAATATTATACCATGGCCTTCGTCAGATATTGCCATGTATCGAGGTGTTTTATGGTCCATCGAAATGTTGCCACAAATGTGCAGTACCAAGAATGGGCATGTCCATACGGGGCTATAGACTTCTTACATATCTTTAGGATACATTTATAGCACGGGATAAAATTCAGGGAATTGGGGTTCGGCTTCGTCAAAGATGATCTTAATTTCAAACTCAATTGATGTAACAACAGATGTAT